TTCTTGTCTTAAGTAATTTTTTTAAATTTTTTTTTTTTTTTTTTTTTTTTTTCCACTGCTCTTATTCTTTTACAGCTCAGAACAAATTATCATAAAAAAGAACGTAAACATGTCTGCTGAAATTGATGTTGAAAATGCAAATTTGGAGCAGCTAAGAGATATTTTAGTTAACAAGTCTGGTGACGTAGAAATAGCGAATAGATTTAGAGCTTTGTTCAGCTTAAAATCAATTGGATGTGAATCATCAGACGAGGAAGAAGCCAAAAGAGCAATCGATTATATAGCAGCATCCTTCAGTGATCACTCTGAATTGCTCAAGCATGAAGTAGCGTATGTTTTAGGTCAAACAAAAAATCTATATGCTGCTCCACATTTGAGGGAGGTCTTGCAATCAAAGAGCCAGCAATGTATGGTCAGACATGAAGCGGCTGAGGCGCTTGGGGCATTGGGAGATACTGAATCTTTGCCTCTATTAAATCAATACTACCAAAGTGATCCTGAAGTGGAGATAAGACAGACGTGTGAATTAGCTATTGAAAGAATAAAGTGGGAAAACTCAGATCAAGCAAAAACAGAGAAATTAGAGAAGTCTTTATATACATCTATTGATCCAGCTCCACCAATGTCGAGCGATAAGGAGTCAAGTGTTGAAAAATTGGCAAAAATTTTAAATGATCAAAATGAGCCATTATTTGAAAGATACCGTGCAATGTTTAGATTAAGAGATTTGGCAACAGATGAAGCCTGTTTAGCTTTGGCGACTGGACTTGATGACTCTTCTGCTCTCTTTAAGCATGAAATAGCTTATGTTTTTGGACAATTGTGTAATCCTGTTACTGTTCCTGCTTTAATAAAGGTATTAAAAAATGAAAACGAGGCCGGAATGGTGAGACACGAGGCTGCCGAAGCATTAGGATCAATTGCCACAGACGAGTGTCTACCAGTTTTAGAATCATTCTTGAATGACAAAGAAGCTGTTGTCAGGGACTCGGCTATTGTTGCATTGGATATGTATAATTATGAAAACTCCAACGTTTTATAGATTTAACCTGAAATAGTAGTTATGTGATAATATAATAATGTTATTGTAAAGGTGATCATGCATTCATTTACTATATGCAACTAAAAGACTCTGTGAGTACTAATTATTAGTTCTAAAGCGATATCCGCACTGTGTACATGTATAGAATACCGTAGCTCCTTCATCTGCTGACCTTAGTTGCAATGTATGATATTGCATCTCTTCATTGCCACACTTTGGACATTTCTCTTTAATTATGGCTCCTTCATCTAAATCTTCTTTTCCCAAGGAAGTCTTAACTACTGACCTTTTTAGCTTCAAAGCTGAAGGAAATGCATCCTCTGAAGATCTTGTAATAACCTTTAAATCGGCAAAATTGGACGTCGGATATCCCTTTTTGCAGACACTGCAATCTATCGTAGACTTCGACCCAACCGTGTCCAAGAGATTTCCACAATCAATACAAAATATAAGACTTCCCACGACAGACATGTCTATATCTCCATAGAATTTAATGACGATAAAAAAACAGCAAAAAAATCGATGAGATGGTTTTATATAAAGGTCTATCAAGAATGTTAATTATGCGCTTACTAAAATTTCAAGATAAGAGGAAAACTACCATCAACGTCATTATGGAAAATAAGGATTGAAATAACGGAACACACCCACTACAAGTCGTCGTAAAATCGTGAACTTGTATTTTTTATTAACTCGTTTAAGTTCAAGTCACATTTGAAAAACTAAACTAGAACTTTCCTCTCATCATACAACTTTGGACTATTTGCAAATATAAGTAATGCAGATGATATATCACATTTGCAAGTCTAATCAGCCGGCTAGTTTCTTTGAATTATATTTATACATTTTGAAACTAGAGCTTTAGAGCATTTGATTTTTTCAAACTTTAACCATATAAACCTTCCTCCATCGCCGATGGAACTGGCATATCACCATAGACACCAAGCCAGCTCACTGGTCTGGTCCAATTACTTGGCTGACTTAAATCAGCAAGTTTTATGAGTTCGTTGGCTAATACTTCGCCGTCTTCGAAGTTGTCACCTTCGTAAACGTAGGATACCAAAACCTTGATCTCTATCGTTTTCAAGTCACGACCTCTAAGGGAATCTGTTAGTTTAAGAATAAATAAAGAGTGATCGTAGGGTTCTTGGTACAATGGAATTGCGTGCTTCGTCAACTTTAAAGATTCAAACGATTTATCTAGCAAGTCTTCGTTAGTATATAAACGAACCAGGCCCGGTTTAAGCTCAGTTACCATTCCAGCATCAGATGAATCTAGGAGTATCAATTTTTTTACTTTCGAGAGTTCAATGAAAGGAATTATGACGTTCTCGACGAATTTGGCAGTGAATCCAGGAATTATCGGAGATCTCTGTTGAATAAGTACTAAGTTGAAGTCACTATTGTAGTACACCTCAATTGGAGTTGAAATACCTTCAGATTCAGCTTCTGGCCGATAGTCTGAAGGAGCGGCAAATGGATACATATATATATCACTTAAATTCCCAATCTTTTCGAAAGAGAAGGTGTGAATAAATAAATCAATCGCTAACTGCGATACATTACCTATGGCCACAGATGGAATAATCAACGTAGAGTCCTCAAACGTGGAAGGTTGCCCATCTATGGGATACCATATTTTCGATGTTTCAAGCATGCCTATTTATCAGTCTTATTACGTTGCCACTACAGACCTATTTATATGCGCGCAAGTATTTATTCACTACCATTTACTGTTACCAACTTGAATCACACAAAGATCCCAAATTATGAACTGAAGAAGAATTAGTGGAGCTAGTATTATTATTAATAGGCGGGTTGTTGTTACCTGCTGAATTCATCCCGATTTCCCTATTAAAAGTCGAGGCCAATCCGTTTAACACTTGGCTGTTACTATTGATGGTGTTATTGCTCGGAGAAGATAAGCCAGTACTTCCAACTGCCATCGAATACCACGACCCACCGGGCACATGGGCCTGATTATTTCCACCAAAAGAGCTATAATTACTATTTCCATTATTAATAATTGAACCGTTGTTGATATTATTGCTTGAATTTCCATTTGGTCCATTGGCACCACCAACATTCATATTACCACTATTCAAGTTAATATTGTTGTATAAATTGGAGCTTGTACTATTGCTGAGAGTTTTGAGTTCATTCAAGCTCATTAGTGAAGAGTTTGGGACATTCTTATTTCCAGAAGATTTAAGTAAATAAGACGGATTGAGAGTCGTCGAAGAATTATTGGCTAGTAGGGGGATCAATGAAGCCGAGGACGAAGACACTGTACCAGAAATTGATATTCCAGCATTGTTAGATGTCGGCGAAGTAGGTAGCTGATTTTGAATTGAATTAAAAGACGGTAGTTGTTGGTTTTGATTTTGAATTTGCAGAATTTGTGATGGAATCATGAAATTAGGACAAAGAGAATTTGTCACAATGCTTGAAGATAATCCTCCCGGTAAATGACAAAGTGCTTCAATTGTGTGACTGCTTGTGGGTGAATTATGATTTCCATTATAGTCGTTGTCGGAGTCATTCAACAAGGGTGACAAGGGTATTAAATTTGAGTTCGCGTTCGTGTTTAATGTATTATGATTTTGATTGGAATTCGCCAACCAATTAGCTTCCAGACTCTTGCATTCATGGTGATCTGTAATTGAGTCCTTGCAATTAAGTAATAATTGTGTAGCAAATCTCTTTAGCATGGAAAGCTTATCACTATCGTCGAATAGACTATTTTCGAGTATAAACCTGTTGATCAATATGTTAACTTGTCTTCTGAGATGCTCGAGTACCCTTTCAGATGACATCTCAAGGTCATTTGCACTTGTAAATTTTGATTTCTTATTTGCACTCTTACCTTCATCTAAGTGACGTTTACTTCTAGCATCAGTTAAAATGACTGAGCCCAAACTCGACCCCAAAGTTTCGGGAGAAGATAAGTCTGTCAAGTTGTCAAATATATCAGTTGCAGACGATTCTTTAGTGGTCGTGCTTGACGAGTCAATCGACTCCTCAGACACAAGAATCTGTGTATTTTCATCATAAATTTCTCTCCCCTGGTATGCATTACTGCACTCAAAATGGTGATCATGACTTTCGTTCACCACTACCAAAGTCCACTGCCCACTTCGAACGGAAAAGTTTGCCCTTATTTTAAATGGGCATTTATCAGAACGTCTCGACCCATCGCGAGCTCTCAATCTTGGTTCGCCATTGTGCTTCCTGGACTTACATCGAAAAACAATCTTGTTTGAATCAGAACGCTCAATAACTACGCTTATACCTTTTCTTGTTAGCAAGCAGTTCAGTAACCATGGCTTAATTTCATCTTTGGCTGTAAATTTCTGTGCTTCTAAATTAAGTTCAGACAAGGAGTAACTTCTCTGGTACCGGTCATTTGACATCTTGATATCCATTAAAGACTCAAAAGTATGTTAGAAATAAAATTCACTCAATATGAAGTAAGTATTTCATTTAAATATAAGTAACATTTAAAAAGACTTAATAATTTGTTATCACATTTCTGCGTGGGAAATGAATGGACACAAAAAATTCAAGTACATAAAATTTAAAATAGAATGATTTCAGTATATGAGCGCTTACAATTATGTTAAGCTCAAGGGTAAGAGAGAATTAATTGTATATGTGACTCTCAATTTCAATTGAGTTTCAGAACTGTGTCGATAAAGCTAATCTAGCACCGCTTCTCAATTCCAAAATAAAAAAGTATTTGATATATATGTACAAGGTATGTAAAAGGGGAATTGAAAAATGAATAATTCCACTGCAAGCTAGAGTTAAAATTCAAGTCCAGAATTACTCTAAAGAAACTTTTGCTCCCAATCCCTCTAAAGTTGCCTTGATTTTTTCTGCATCTTCTTTAGCAACATTATCCTTCAAAACTTTTGGAGCTGCTTCGACAAACTTCTTCGACTCTACCAATGACAAACCAAGCATTCCTTTGACCTCCTTGATAATCTTAGGTTTGGCCTTTGGGTCAAATGATTCCAACTTGATTGAAAAAATGGTCTTTTCTTCGACTTCTTCCTTGGGTTGTTCCTCAGCCTCAGCAGCAGCTGGTGCAGCGGCCGGTGCAGGCCCTGATGGTAAGGAGATATCTGGAATATTTAATCTTTCCTTCAACTCAGTTACTAATGCTGATGTTTCCAACAATGTTAATGTCGAGATTTGGTCGACGATAGCACTTATTTTTGGATCAACCGGAGCTTTTGACGCAGTTGTCTCGGTAGAATTAAAACGCACTAATGGCCTGAAAGAACTTCTATAGATTAACCTCAATGTAGGCTTAACACTTTGACGTAATAGAGACATACTGTTATTTATGATATTGAAAGTCTAAACTCAGTGTTCATTGATTGAAAATTTTGAGTACGCATTAATTAATAAATTAGACAAAATACACGCCCTCTCGGTTCTCTACTTAAGCTTTGTGAGTATTTGTTCAAGTTAATATATCGAACAAACCTGAGGGAAAACATAAAAAACTTCCAGATGGCATCGTTTAGGTTCTGTGCTGAATGCAACAATATGTTATATCCCAAGGAGGATAAGGAAAATTCAAGATTGTTGTATTCTTGTAGAAATTGTGACTATACCGAGCTTGCTGAAAATCCAAAAGTATACAGACATGAATTGATTACGAATATTGGGGAGACTGCTGGAGTAGTTCAAGATATAGGCAGCGATCCAACCTTGCCGAGATCAGACAAAGAGTGTCCTGCTTGTGGAAATCATGATTGTGTTTTTTTTCAATCACAACAAAGGAGAAAAGATACTTCTATGATTCTATTCTATGTTTGTTTAGAGTGTAAGAATGTATTCCGTGCATGAAGGTCAGTATGCCTCATCTGAGTTATTTGAAATGCAATGTATTATAGTCTCGATTTAGTGTCGAAAAAAAACTTAAAGATAAAAACCATCAAAAGGAAAAAAATACATATATTTGTATATTTATAATATAATTAAAATCGCACGAAATGATAAGTTAAAACAAAATATGAATGATGCTTTCATAGAGCAAGGACTTACTTGTGTAGATTTCTAAAAGGCCGCCATATCAATTAAAAATCACTAAAGTACTGCGCATAGGGATCTTCACCTATTGAACCATAGTCTAATTGCTCCTCTGGATAATGGTCAAATAAAGAAGTATCACCCACTCCTGCAGTTATAGGTGGTTCATAAGGAGTTTCTATGTCCTTGCTGAGTAGCTTTTCCCACACCACTTCCAAAAACCAAGGGTGATTTCTTATATCAGCTGGACCATGTATCAAGTTTCCTAGCCTCCTCGTAAGGTCTGCGGTAATTAATTTACTTAGCAAGTCAACTACATCAGCTCCAAAGAAGCTAGGATAATGAATCTTGCCAGAGAGAATTTTCTCATACGTCTTCATCGGAGTTGAGTCATAAAATGGCGTATAACCAGCCAACATTTCAAATATCAATACTCCTAATGACCACCAGTCAACAGATTTATTATATGGCTTTGAAGAAATCACTTCTGGGGCTATGTAGTCTGGTGTTCCACATAATGTCCAAGTGACTGTATTAACTTCTTTTGCAAAACCAAAATCAGTTATCTTTATATGTCCATTTCGATCCAAGAGAATGTTCTCAGGTTTAAGATCACGATAAATGATATCGTGACTATGTAAATACTCTATCGCTAATGTGACCTCTGCAGCATAAAATTTTGCGACTGGATTAGGGAATCTATGCGATTTTCTTAACAAGCTAAATAACTCACCTCCTTCAATGTAGTCCATAACCATAAACAAGTTTTTCGAATCTTGAAAAGTTCCCCACATTCTGATCAAAAATGGATGTTGAACAAGTTTCAACATTCTGCGTTCGTCATTTGTGTGCTCTACTTGCCTCATTTTGATAACTTGGTACTTCTTCAACACCTTTATGGCATAGTATCTACCGTTGTGCACCGAGCGGACCAAATGCACTCTGCCAAATGATCCCGTCCCTAATGTTCTCATTATCTGAAAGTCAACAAGGCTATACTTTCCTTTAGAAACCGTAGACCTCTCTGGCAACAAAGACTTCTCAATTGCTTCATTGGCTCTTTGTTGTTTTATATTTAGCTTTTCCGTCAGCTCTTGAGAAGTCTGACCAACTTGCGAAAGCTGATCAGAATATAGTGGGATATTTTGCTGGTTCATATGTTGCATAGACTCAACGTTATCAAGTAAATTACTCTTAACTTGCACAGAACGGGAATTATTGTTATTCAGCTTAGATATATGAAGCTTTCTTAATATATTTGACATAAAATTGAATTGTCTGATGGATAATATAAAGTGATATTAGTTATCACTTGAAGTTGTACAGAAATTGACAGGGCCCGATTGATTTTCACTTGCAGTCAAAAAAATGTATATAGACAATGGATAATTTCATCCAGTTAGAAGAAGCTCTTCAAAGTTCTCTTAGATGTCTAGATATTCAATTGCCTCAATCTTAGGTTATCAAAGATCAAGTAGTTTGGAGGATGTAAACTTGTTTGCCTGAGAAAGATTTAACTATTAAACGTCAGAACCAAGCTCAGCTACTCCGCTACGAAGAACAACTAGTATTATCGAACGCTACGTCTAATTAATAATTTCCCTTTTTATTTACATACAGGCAAGCATGTGGAATAGGACAAAGAAGATACAATAACAAAAAAATAGGTGCATGCACCTGAAGCCTAAAGCTCTAATATAAAGAAGCAAAATTGAGTAAATCTATGAACAATTGACTTGCTCGTCAAAAGAGAAGTCAGTTGGATCTAAATCTAATGAATATTTTAAGCAGTAGTGTTATCGTTTTCAACAAAATCACTTATTTCTTTGTTACCGCTAACGATTTGTTGAGTTTTGTTCAGAATATCGATAAAGCTCTCAAACTCAGTGTAAGGTATATTCTCCCTATTACAATACTTTATCAAATCCTTCCCGTGCTTTGCAAATAACAAATTAGTCTCCTTTGCAGCCGACAAATCAGAGACGCCATCACCACAGTAAAACAATAACGGCGCAGTTGTAACATCATACCCATTTCTGACGAGGTAATCTTTAATAGACTTAGATTTATCGTGACCGAAGCCAGATTCTGGGTGTTTATAGACTATCTTCCATTTCCCTGTGGCCTCGTCGACTTCAACACTATTGCTGATAATCTCAATATTTGATACGGCTTCATCACCAACAAGCTTGCTCAATAAAGCGAATATTATTGGCTTCATTCCTGAGCTGACAACAACGACAGGTATGTTCTTCTTCTCACACCAATGATAAAATTCCTTGAAGCCAGGGTCTAGCTTGATATTCTTCAATAAGAAATCAATACATTCGGGGAATGGAGTATTAATTGAATCTAGCATTTCAACAAAGCCCTCTCTGAAGGTCATTTTGCCATCTAAGATATCATCGTTTACCTCCAATCTTCTTTTCCTTCCAAAGCCGAGATTCTCTGTGAGGTAGTCATTTGAATCCTGCAACGTAACAGTACCATCCCAGTCGGTAAATACAATCGCAGGTGGAGTGCTCATATTTTGAAAGATTACAAGTATAGCTGACGCTAGAATAGTGCTGCTGGCATCTTTATATTTATCTTCGTCACTACGACGACAGCATGTCGTTGATGTCGTACGGAAGGCCGCCAAGGAGGAGGCAAGGTTATGAGCACGTGTTAATCGTGTCTCAAAATTGATAGTACATAGCAAGTAAACGGCTTCAGTATGTAAAAATCTACACCACAGAGTTTTATATTGCATAGAGTTTAAATTTCGTTTGCTTCTGGTATATTTAACCATATCACTAAAAGGTTTAGGCTAAATTTGATAGAGTTTGATAGATTTTAAACCATTTCTGAGACTACTTACCTTGGTTTTTTTATAAAAATAATCATAATAGTTTGATTAACTCCGACAGCCGAATCATGTTTGAAAATTTAAAAGCGTTTATAACGCATGGGAAGCAGGCAAATGATATCAAAAAGCCACTGGTTAGTGAAAGAACTTATGGGAAAGGAGATGAAGTCTATTCGGATCATAGTAAAAACGCAGCTCAAGCTTTGTCTAACTTGCCATCCGAATCAATGAGTGAGATTACAAATGCCCTAGATGACGAAAAATACTACAATGCTTCCAACGAAAAGAGTAACACCGAACATACGAAGGCTAATAATGCTAATATTGATAAAAGCAATAGATACGAAGAAGCAGCTTCCCACATCGTTGAACAGGAAAAGATACAGCGGAAAAAGTCTCTTAATTTTCCAAATTTAGAAAGGTATCAAATAATGGAGCAGATGGGCGAAGGGGCTTTCTCTGTGGTTTATAAAGCAACACATTTACCAACTGGCCAAGCCGTTGCTATAAAAATTTTAAGAAAATTTCAGATGGACGATGCTCAGAGACAGTCAGTATTAAAAGAAGCGACTATTATGAGGCAATTGAATCATCCTAATATTGTAAAATTTATCGAGTTTATTGATCTGGAGCATTACTACTACATCGTTCAAGAGATAGCGGTTGGAGGGGAAGTATTCACAGCGATAGTAAAATATACCTATTTTTCGGAGGATTTATCCAGGCACGTAATTAGACAAGTCGCTGAAGCAGTAAGATACTTGCATGAAGAAGTTGGAATAGTTCATCGAGACATCAAACCAGAAAACTTATTGTATACACCTATAGATTTTAAACCTTCAATGAACCCTATTGCAAAACTTAGGAAGTCCGATGATCCAAATACCAAAAGGGATGAAGGTGAGTTTATACCAGGTATTGGAAGTGGTGGTATAGGAAAAGTTCAACTTGCAGACTTCGGGTTATCAAAGCAAGTTTGGGAGCACAATACAAAGACACCTTGTGGGACTGTGGGTTATACGGCGCCTGAAATTGTCCGCGATGAAAGATATTCGAAAGAGGTTGACATGTGGGCCATAGGATGTGTCCTATATACCTTGTTATGTGGCTTTCCACCTTTTTATGATGAAAGCATCGAAACTTTGACGGAAAAGGTTGCTAGAGGTGAATATACGTTCTTGAGTCCTTGGTGGGATGAAATTTCTCAAGGAGCTAAGCATTGCGTTTCCAAACTATTAACCGTTGATCCTGGGAGGAGGTACACTATAGATGACTTGCTAAATGATCCTTGGCTCTTGAATGAGGGTCGTAAGACTTTCCGCCACCCAGTTAAGACTTCTAACAGTAAACAGCATCCTATTCAAAGCATTAACAAAAAGTTTTCAACTAATAAAGAGTTGTATTCTCCTGCTGCTGTTGCGTTGAGGGATGCTTTTGACGTTACCACAGCTGTCCATAGAATGGGAGAGGAGGCTGCATTATCATCTAGAGTTGGCATTAAACCCATAGATGAGCTAGTCGAAGAAGATGAAGGTGATTTCGGAGATCAGGATGGTGAGAGAAATTCTTCCGTTACGACTCGTATGACTCAGAATGGGGACACTTCCAGGAAAATTAAACATCAAAGACAGGTTAATTTGTTTGACTTGAATTTGGGTGGTGCTTCCATATTAGAAAGAAGAAAACATAAACCAGTCCCTGTCAGGAGTCTGTGAGTTCCCATTTGAATAGTCTTTTTAAGTTTATTCGAGTTACAAGAAAGAATAATTTGATAAGGCCTACTCGCTTGAGTGAATTAGGGGAATAAACATTTTATAAGAATAAACGTAGATATATACATCAGCATTGCTATATATTTATATCTAGATATCTACATACACATGAGTAAACTTTTTTCTTTTTATCTATCTATCTTTATGCAGTAATCGCTGATTTATACTAGTGATAAATTGAGTATTTTTTCGCATATTGATTTTGATATTAGTAACGATTAGATATCGTAAGCAACTTGATATTTATGACATACTTTTCTAATGAAGGAAAACGAAAAGTTTGGAGTTGGTTTACAATTGATCCATTTTGATGTACCATCAATACTAAAACATGCTGCTGTGCAGTTGGAAAATGGTGCAGCCAAAGGATCAAAGCGGCGAAAGATCGATAGGAACTCGAACGGACTAGTCATCGGAGATTTGCACTATACTGATTTTAACGAAAGTATAAGAAACAAAGATGAAGACAAGACTTTCTCGAAGTTCGAATGGGTTGTCATTGCCAATAGGCAGTTAAGACTCAAATCAGAATCACCCATCCTAATAGGTGATTTTTCTAATAAATTCCAAGATTTAAATGGGACTTCAGCGTCTACGTGGCAGCTACAAACAGAAGAGATCAAGGTCAGTATTGATTCAGATGACCAGTTAATTTTAATTAAAAGTAAAACTAACTCAAAGCTTAAGTCACTGCTTTTACTCTCAATCAATATTGCTTCGTATGATAAGAAGCTTAAATCTGTTTTAAGAAATGAGTTATCTATTATTAATCTGCCTGCTCCCAAGAGAAACTTTAATACATTATCGTTTGACCTGCCCTTACTTACAATCATTTTCGATGCTCAAGCGAATGAAGTAGATATTGCCATTGATTTTAATATACGCTTAAAATCAGGAGTTTTCAACTTTTTTCCTTCGGATTTGATAAGTAAAATTTCATCAATTGTGTTGAGTAAAAGCCAAGAAATGGGATCTAAGCTATGGTCTTTTGACACGGATTATAACTTGAATGAACCTATATCGCCTAGATTATTCTATAATGTTATTTCACATCAAACTTCGAAGATACCGAAAGTTGAGAAGCACTTTGATATTCCTGAGCTCAACACCAACCTTTTAAAGTTTCAGAGAAAGTCTGTAAATTGGTTTTTGGAGAAAGAAGGAGTTGCATACGATTGGGAAACCAGTAGATGTATTGAAGTTCCACTTGTTGATCATGACACAATTGAAGGCATCACAAAGTACCTTCAAGATCGGAACTGTGATCAAGAAGGTTTGGATCACATAGATTATAAGCTTCTTTCGGTTTTAAACAGGTTTTGCTTTGGCTGGCTGCGGTTCCTTATAGAAAATGAGATTTACTTTTTTAACAAATATTCAGGAAACATTTTAAAACGGATTACTGCTTACGAATATTTTTTGTTTTATCATGACCAGCAGAACGCTGAACTTTATCCCAAACATTTGCCAGCACAGGGTCTCTTAGCTGAGGAAATGGGATTAGGAAAAACCGTTGAGGTCACTACTGCTATTTTAATGAATCAGAGACCAATTGACGAAATCAATGAGCCTGTAAAATTGAAACTCCTGCCATATGGCGATGTGAAGATCGTAATTAAAGCTAGGACCACACTTATAATAGCACCAGATTCTATATTAAAACAATGGGTAGAAGAAATTTCTACGTTAGCACCTTCATTAACCGTAACCATTTATGGCGGTGTTGGGAACTACCCTAAACTTCAGAACAACGCAACTTTGGTGGCCGAGTATCTACGAAGCTTTGATGTTGTTTTTACGACTTACTCCACAATTTCAAAAGAATTAGATTATGCATTGTATTCATCTAAAGTCAAACCAACTAGGACGGCAACTAAACGCAAGTATACTTATACGGATGATCAGTATGACATACAGGGAATATCTCATCGTGACCCCAATAACAATAATGAGAAAAGTTTAGAGGATGCTTTGAAGGAATATAGGTACCTCTTCCAGCTTAGTCTATCCAATAAGAGATCAAAAATGAAAAATCTGGATTCTTCCGAGAATAAATCAGACATTGATTATGAAAAAGAACTAATGGATGAGATTCAAATGGCTGTAAATCATAATAAACTCCCCCCAATTTATTCAAATACTGACTATCAGTCACCACTCATGCTTAGTCAGTTTTGGAGGGTGGTATTGGACGAAGTACAGATGGTGTCTTCTAAGCTTTCAAGAGCTTTTCAGTCCGCAGCTTTAATTCCCAGATTTCATGCTTGGGGGGTATCTGGGACCCCAATCAAGAAAGATTTAAATGATTTGCATTCAATATTAAAATTCTTGAAAATAAGGCCCTTTGATGGTAACGCCAAATACTTTTGGAAGACTTTTACTATGCCCGATGATGGAAGCAATAAAGATTTTATAAGGTTATGGACTATTGTGGGATTACGACATACAAAAGCGATGGTGCATGATGATATCCAGCTTCCTCCCCAAAATCGTGTTCTAATGACAATTCCTTTTACTGCCGTCGAACAAGAAAATTACAACCAGACTCTTGAGGAATGCCTTGCTACTATATGTCTTGATATTAATGGAAATCCTGTCTCGGATGATTGGGAACCTTCTCCAACTGTTCTTGCATTTATGAGGAGTTGGCTAGTTCGACTTCGTCAGATTTGTTGTAATCCTCAAATTGGCAAGCTTAATATTTCTTCAAAAAAATACAAGACACGAAGTCATGGCTTTCAAGGAAGAACCGTCAACACTATACAGGAGCTCAAGACCTTAGAGAATGTCCTTGATGATATGTTGGCAAGAGCTGCTGATCAAATATCCGAGGCAGAGAGGCAACTAATTCAACTCTACATTGATGTTGGCCAATTTGAAGAATATATTTTAGAGCCTAAACGAGCATTAGAATTTTTAGAAATGGGCGTCATACAAACTCAGAGAATAATTCATAGATTAGACTTAAATGTGGAATCTCTCAAGAGAGGTTACCAGAAATACAAAATTGAGAAAAATATTGCTGTAAATGATGAAGATCAAGATGACGAGGTTAATGAGGAGTCAACGCTAAAATTTCAAGAGGATGCTGTAATGCGAACATACGAAGAGAAGATAAAAACTACAAAACTAAGGATCAGGGCATGGAACATTTTATTACATAAATTTTATTTTTTAATTGCATCAGGATATTTCCAACTCTATGATAGTGAATATCAAGACAAAATAAGGCGACTTGGGACCATGGAAGCTCCTTTAAGTGTTGCTTTGTTGGAATTTAAAGACAAAAGTGTACAATATAAGTCTGATGAAATTTCAACATTAATAAACGGGATTCCTCATCACGATCTTAATTTCAAAGAACTTAACTATTTGAAAGAATTTGAACCTGATTCTATTAGAAATGAAGAGGAAAGAAGAATTTCACAATTTATATTTTTAGAGCTGAAGTTCTATGACTTGGCTGAAAAAGCGAGGCAGAGTATACTAAAAAGCTCTATCAGGAACGTTGAGAAAGTAGTATATTCAAGAATCACTTCCAAAAGTCTCTACTGTCTGTCTGAACTACAAGATAATGGCTCAACATTGCTACCCAAGAGTTCAAAGTCCTTTTTTAATGCTTTACCAATTATCGACATAGATCCAACGAGGGACCTTGGTATATCTATGAGGGCTAGAATAACTGTTGATAAAATAGACAAGCTCATTATGCAGTTAAATGAACAAGCTAGAGTCATAAATTCTTGGATGACCGAATTAGTTAGCATACTTTGCAAGCCTCTCGTGACACACGACAAAAATCCAGATGGTGAAGAATACGAGGATTCAATTAGGGATCAAGATAAAGTATCCTGTTATCTTCATGTGCTTGTTCAGTCTTTGACTGAGAGATCTGAATACGTGTTAGGAGGTGGAGCATCTGTGAAGATTGTGAGTGTAAAGAAACAGCAAGAGCATGATATGGAACTAGAACTACAAAAAATCAATGATGCCATGTTTCTAAATAATCTTCAGGAAAAGAGGAAGGTATCGAGGCCATCAGTTAAAACATCACTCAACGAGGCGCTCTCTGATCTTAGGTCAATTGATGCAGATCTCCGGGATGAGGAATTTTTAGATAGTGAATTGCTAAAACTCCAATTAAACTTAATAGAATCCTTAAGTAAGAAGCTTAGAATCGTTTTCGAGAACCAGAAAGTTTCTCAGGTGTTACTACAGAAGGAGATATCGCAAAATTGCAATGCCGTATTTAATGCCCGTATTGACTACTTTAAACAGTTGCAGCAAATATCTGATAGTGTGAAGCCTCAGTCCTATGCTTTAAATCAAGACAATTTGAATCTTCATGAAATAGATCTCTATTTCAGAAATTTCACTAGTTCTTGCATGACGATAAAGAGCTCAATTGATAAAGCAATCGCAAAGTTCCGTTATCTCAAGTCTTTAGTTAAGCCTGAAAAAAGTGATGATAATGATGATAGTCTCACTTGCATAATATGTCGCTCAATGATAACCATTGGGTCTTTAACACAATGTGGACATAAATATTGTAAGGAATGTTTGGAGCAGTGGCTAAGAAACAATAGAACTTGTCCAATGTGCAAGTCATCAATTAGCATGAACTCTGTCTATAATTTTACTCATCATAAACCGAACCTAAAAATGAACCAAGTTGAAGAAAAAAAGAGTGGAGATAAGGCTAATAGTAACTTATATTCTATATATCGACCAGTTGAAAGGAATATTGTTGATGACATTCAAAAGGTGCGATTGAAAAATTCTTACAGTTCTAAGGTTGATTTAATCGTCAAGCAAGTTTTATACTTGAAAGAAAAGGATCCGACTGTTCAAATTGTGATATTCAGCCAATGGCAAGATCTTTTGTATATATTAGGAACTGCATTTAAAACAGTGAATATTTCGTACTTGGGTTCATATGGAACACTAACACCAGAAGTTGGTGGTGGGAGACGTCGCTCAAAATATGAAAGTGTGGAAGAGTTTAAGGATACGAAGAGAGGAATAACTTGTTTCTTGTTAAATGCGAAGGCTCAGGCTAGCGGGTTGACCTTGATAAATGCTACCCACATTTTCCTTTGCGAGCCATTAGTAAATACGTCCTTAGAACTACAAGCTATATCAAGAATTCACCGAATCGGTCAGACAAAAGAAACAACTGTTTGGATGTTTGCGATAGAAAACACAGTGGAAGAAAGTATTGTTCTAATGTCGACTAACAAAAGGTTGCAATATCTAGATCAAAACTTTGAAGGCCAAAAAAACAAAGGATTTCGAGGCCCAGGAGGATCAGTTTTAAGATCTGAGGGTAGGAGTCTCAGCAAAGCTGAGTCTATAGCCCTTATGAATAGTGGAGGCATAGATACGCTAATAAACAAAGGAAATGGTGAAGGAGAAACAGTAACTAATGCAGATTTGTGGAACGCTTTTTTTTCTACGACATCCGTCATGCCTTCTCCCATAGGCGAATCTAACTCTTAAGGAATAGTATATAAGATAGTATATAAGAACTTGCATAAACAATAATTTTTTCCTATTTAAAAACATAAAAAAGAAGTGTCATCATAACCGCTGTAAACTTTTCCCCCATCACTAAGTTCAGAGCAAATATTAAGAGCAACATCGTCTGTTATGTTGAGCTTCTGAGCAATCAATTGACAAGGAACGCCTTCTGGCATTGTACCGGAATATTCTTTGAGTACATCATAGACTTTGTCACTCATCGATTTTGGTAACTCCATGCCATTAGAATCCTTCACAAATAAGTTTTCCTTCTTGTCATCTACCTTGCTTTTAGCTGTAACACCATGTGCTTTCAAGTGACACGCGATAGCGCTCAAGTTATGATATAAAATCTCATTGCTATCGACAACTGGCCTAATTGTTGCGTGCTGAATATTTTTTTTCCCATTAAACTCTTTTAAAGCCCCACATATGAAGACATATTTATTTAATTCTTTTTCATACTTTTCTGACTCTTCACTTGCACTGGTAGATTGTTCATCGACCCATTTTCGCACATCGATAGTACCCGTGCCATCCTCCACACTAATGATAACAGCGGAAGTGTTGTTGTCGACCTTACGAACAACGCCAATAAAAGAGATGAAGTTAAGCTCAACATTATGGATCTTAAATTCGCCATCTGGAACAGGCTGCGTTGCTTCATTTATTTGTTTAATAGTGACAGGAGTGAGACTAGATCTAAGTTGTTGCTTTTGGGATCCATTTACTTCAGAATTGAAGCCACCTCCTCCATCCATATCTTGTGGGTTCTGGAATCCCCCATCCCCATACGCACCGTAGTTACCAAACTCAGACATTAATTATTCAATTTGTATATGTTATACAGAATCCTATTCTAGATAAGATGTGATTAAATGAATACGCGTTTGAAAATATTCTTATGTTTTGTGACATGTTAATTCAAAAGCTAGACTACTAACAGTATTTGAAAAAAATAGATCTTGGAGCTCGCATTACGTCCCCACAAGAGGCACTTCATGAGTATAGTTTTTTGATTTCAAATTAGCTACTTCTAATTTAATTGATACTATCAGCTAACTTTTGGAATCTATCCATTTTGACTTTGCTGAAGTTCATATAAATGAAATGAACTCAAATATTGATCCAACGATCACTGAACTGGATCTTTTTCAGACGGACTTAGGACAGGAAGAAAGGTCTCTGGATGAAATTCATGGAAGGAATCTACAAGAGCATCATGAAGTGCATTCTGATGATCGATCTGTTGCAAGAGTATTTGGATTAAATGAATATGTGACTAGTCCGAATCCATTGCAACCAGGGAGTCAAAATGAAAATTCGACAGCAGCTGCTGCGCTTAATATTATTCAATTAAGTAATTACAATGGCGAAGAGAGTGCAAGTACTATAAATCACGAAGATTTTGAGCGATTTGCTAATAGCCCCTACGATGATTTTTCAGGTCTTGGTGAGATTAAACGTAATTTAAGAACCAAGCCTTCTGCAGCAATCTCTCAGGTCAAACTCGTTCAATATAATCCTATTGAGAAAACGAAAAGACTCGGAAGACCACGAAAGCACATGACAAAGAGCCTACCTTCTCCCGAAAATTCCTCTTCACAGAATTATAATGAGTCAATTATATCTAAATTCAGGTTTGATACCCTCCCAGTTGAAGGACCAGGTTCGCGTGGTGGTAGAAGAGGTGTACGTCCCGGTCCTAGAGGCAGAATTGGAATTGGTAGCTTGAGGCAGCGACAACATCAATCAACTTTGAGCTTCAACAACACTTCTAGTAATTCAAATTTGGGGTTGAAAATACAAAAGCATGATTCAAATGAATTTGAACTTCAGAAGCTGTGCGCCTCTGTCCAATGTGATGTGGAACTGACCTTAAATGAGAGCAAGAAAGAAAGGAATTTGGATACAAAAGAGAAGAAAAATTCGAGAATAAAAGGGTCTTCCACAAGGAAGAATTCTCGCTTTCTTAAACTCACTCCGATAAGTCGAACAACAATTTTGAGAAATCGGAGCTGCATTAAAGGTAATGAGGTTGAACCAGTAATTGGCTTAAATTTTGACTTATATGACGATAATGTTTTAAAAGCGGAACAAAATTTAACTGCAACATCTGAAAGTTTAGCTTTGGGGTTTCCTGTAACTGTAGCCCCGTATGCTAGTGATATTTTGAAGATAATAAGTTTTTTATACAAATTCAAAGATATTGTATTGCTTGATAAAGTCGGCCCACAAAATATAGAGAGCGGCTTGAGCCTCCCTTTTAAAAGTCAAGCTATCATATTAAACACGTCAGCCAGCATGCCAGCTGTTGAGATTAAGGATTATGACTCCAATTATGTGTCTTCAGAAATGGATTTATTATTCAATCGTCTAATGCTGTTAATATTAAATCAAGAAAAAATTTCCTCCATTTCAAACTCAATTTTGCAATTGAGGCTGTTGATACCACAACTTGGTTTACCTTCTGAGTGGCGGAGCTCTAAATCTAATCCATTTAATTCAACTGAATTTGAAAAAGAAGGCTTGCGTGGAATTAATGATCCAACTGACAGACTAATAATGTTGCGAGTGCTAGTGGATTGGTCTCTAATTACCTCGGATGATGTACGTAAACATATAAATGAATATTTGGTTAACCAAAACTCATATGGTGAAACTTCTTACGTAGCTAGATCTGTCTTAAAAGGCTTGAAAGGCGTTGAAGATACTAGCGAAGAATTGAAAAACAAGAAATTAAAAAGTGTACCAAACGACGACCAACCTACAGTTGGTCCAACTTCAAATCCTCTTGATCATAATCTGCGTCTAAGACTAGAGGAATTGTTTGCTGGTGATTGTGGCTTTCATATTGGTAGATTCTATTTAGCTCGGATGGCCGATTCAGCTAGTGGTGGCCTCGATTCATCGAAAATAATGAAAGAGGCACTAAAGGTGCATCAAAATAGTGGAGGTTCCTCTTTGTTCAAGTTGTATGTACTTGATGTACATGAAATGTTGGTAACCTCATTGACAACTTATGGGGTCGAGTTTGATGAAGAAGGTGAAGAATTGCCTGCTCGAAATTTAACAGGTGAACATTGGTATGAAGTTGCGAACAATATCGAAAGTCTCGGAGCTTTTGTTCATTATCTCTCCCTACGTCTTGGTATTAAGAGTTCAGAAGAACCAATCAATGTTATCAGTAGAGCTTCTACCATTTACAAGCCTGTATTAAGCCTACTTAATTACCTTTCTTTTGTTTTAGAGGTGATGCAGAAATATGACAGTCACACAAAAGATCTTAATTTACATTCAATATCACAACTAGATTATGGCTAAAGAGATAAGGAGTGCTCCATGACGAAAGCTTTTTCTTCAAGGTATAAATATTACCTACAATGCTACAAAGATAAAGAACTGATAACTATTATGAGTAATGTTCTTGATGTTGACTGAATGGTATTCTCTAGTGACTCATTACTTTGTTGATCTAGCGATAGCTCCAGGTGCAAATTAATAATAGATTGCTAGCAAAATCATTCAATCTAGATCATACTTGTAACGTTTTGTATAGGGTTGAATATTGGTTGGGTTCATAATACATAGACGATTTTTCTTAAAACCGCGTTGATCCCAATAAAATATCTATCTTCTCTTTCAATACGTCCTCATTCTCTATGAAATATTCGGATCTCCTAACGAGTTCTTCATCATAGCTGTCATCACTTTTTAAAGCCTTTAATGTGGTCAGCTGGTTCTCGACCCACCTTTCTATGAATTTAGCAGGATCCTCGCTCAATTCTTTATAGAACTTTTCTCTTCTATTTGCATTTTGTAAAGCAACAATTCCCAAAGAAATACGATTATTTATTTTTTGTATCGTGTTATCTGACCTTGTTAATTCCTCGAAAGTGGATTTATTAAATTCCAATAAGTCTTTTTGAATTTCGGAAACAGAAGGGGGTAACTCGACCGGAATATCTATGACTACTTCACCCAAAGTTGAAGACTTTCTCGTATTTACTTTGTATGGAATAATAATTGGTTCCCTAGGTTTAAAATGAGGTTGCAATAATTTGTAAAGATCTGAAAATTTAAAGGAAGATACCCCTAAAAGTTTATGCAAAATCTCATCACATTCAACAGTCGAGAGTTCATCATCATGAGCTCCTTGGTTTATATCGTTTAACGCAGATGCAGAGGAGACAGCCGGTATGTTCGTGAAAGAGCTTTGCTTCTTTAATAAGGACTTGTACAAGGAATACTGCCATATGGAAAAAATAATCTCCTGCAGAGTCGCTTCTTGCTTGCCTACAAATTGAGCAAGTACATCACTTATTCTTAAAATGTTTCCCTGGGCTTTTACCATCAAAGCAATTTTTACGTCAATGTCAAAAATACCCTCCCGCTTAATATCCAATCCGTCAAAATCAGATTGTCTACCATTTTGAGCTGGACCAGTAGCTTGATCTCTCCATTCGATGAGATTATTTGAGGCACCATTTAATTCAGGATAATCATCATTCGGAATTATGTCCACAGAGATGCCTGAGAGTAATGAGTTAAATTTTAAGGATGGTTTATCAATGTCCTTTTTATTAGTATTTAAAAAACGACCTTCTACTCTCAATGTCCATGAGCCTTCAGATGAAGCGAGATCTGGAAGTGAGTGACCTTGCTCTTTTAAAAGTTGTTTTTGCCAAGGTTGATTTTCACAAGTATTATAAACAAACACCCTCAAAATACCAGTTTCTCGTTTAAAGTTTGAGGGCTGAATTGCCTTTTGTTGTATTGCCTGAAAATCTAACGCTTTTTTAGAGACTAAAAGATCAATTTTACGCTCAGCGTCCTTAAGTCTCTTATACAAGTTCAAATTTGGTACCTTATCGTATAAACTGCTGGGTATTATTGTATCCGTCGGAGTATATGATACTGTTGGGGTTGCGGAAGGGTTTGGCCTACCTCTATTTGGGGGAGCGTGTCCCTTTGCACCTTGCATATGATTGATCGACTGGTTAGGTAAAGGAGGCATTGTGTAGATAGATAAAGAAACTTTAAAATTATAGCTTTAAGTTCATTATTTGTTTTCGTCGAGAAAGAATGTCGCAAAAATGTTTATTGATGTCTGAAAATGTCATTCAAATTACAAAACGTTACGTATCGATAAATAGAAGAGATATATATAGCTAATATGTTAATACCTGATGGCCGATCTGTAAAGGAGATGCAGCTGCGTGCCAATAAAATCAGAAGGCGTAAGGTATTTCTTCGCACATCGGAGGATAGTGGACATGAGGGTGCTGGAAGACGGCATATCTTGAGTCAGGCATCTTACCTTAAAAGAACAAAGATGCATGAAATGAAAAAGAAGAGAGATGTATTGAAGAGAATAAACTATAGTCACTTATTGACTGTACTCATTCTACCGTTGATAGCGTTTACTTACTTGCTGTACTTTTCAGAACAAATTTTACCAAGCAACATCAAGACTATTATCTTTTCATGCATATATTATAATTTGACTATGCTAGCGTTCAGTGCCGGTTACCATAAGTACTTCTGTCATAACACATTTCGTACTAAATACCTGATTCTTCAAATATACTTTGCTATGCTAGGATCTAGTGTGGGTTTAGGTTCAATCCGTGTTTGGGCATCATTACATAGAGCCCATCATCAATTCACAGACGAAACTGAGAGAGATCCATATCTGATTAAAAGAGGTTTTACATGGGCTCATTGGGGATGGCTTTTCCAAAAGCCTAAATCATTAAGATTTTATGATTCATTTATAGAACAAGAATTCCCAAAAAACCAGAAACAAAAGTTGAAATTGACGCAGAAAGACATTGACTTACGGGAAGATTTCAATTCCGTTGATCTTGATGTAGAGGATGGTGACTTTTTTGATAACACCGGATTAGAAACACATGATATAGTATTATTGCAAGAGAGGTTTTACCTCCTTTCATTCGTATTCACAGCTTTGTTAATGCCCGCGGTTGTATCGCGATATATTTGCAATGATACGTTCTTGAATGGTGTGCTATACCCCGGTATTATTCGAATGTTTTGCTGTCAGCAATCCTTGCTAAGTACTGAATCAATATGTCACCTGAAAAATGTGTTATCTTTTCCCAGCCAGCCATTTAATGATAAAAATTCTTCACAAAACTGCAACAATCCACTCATATCTTTATTGACATATGGCCAGTCACACCAAAACTACCATCACGAATTTCCGCATGATTACCGCTCAACATACTCAATATTTGCATTTGATCCCACAAAGTGGTTTATTTCAGCTTTGGGTCTAATAGGAGCAGTCGATGAAATAAGTAAAACACCTATAGAGTTGATTTTACAATTGAAAGTGCAGCAGCAGCAGCACGTTCTTAATAGACTCAAAACTCAGTTAAATTGGGGAACACCTATTTCGAAGCTTCCGCTAATTTCGCTAGCTGAATTCAAAAAAATAAGCGCTTCTGCAGCTCATACGGATCGAATCTATATTATTATTCAAAATATCATTCATGATATCACTCCTTTTATGTACCAGCACCCTGGTGGAATTCAACTCCTTCGAGCCTCGAATAGAAAGGATGCTACCAAGGCATTTTATGGAGGAGTTTATGGGCATCTGACGGCTGCAATTAATTTACTAGCAACTATGAGAATAGGTATACTTCACGACGGTAATGAAGAGGAGGTTTGGAGAAGAGTGGCGAGAGAAGAAAGAGAGGTTGAAGAGCCTGGACTGGGACGACAAGATGGACTGTATAGAACAGCTGAGGCTGCTTAATGTTAAATTAATTGTATTTTTGGTAGCTTTTGTAAAATTTCTGAAGAACAAAGAAAATAATACTGTACTTCAATTACTGAAACACTGCGATCAATTTTTTGAGTAAATTACTGAGTAGTTCCCCTGTTTGGCCATGTCAACAAAAAGAGAAGCGTTTCAAGTAAAAGACTACCGTGGTGCCACTATTGAGGATCTTGATATACCTCCAGCCATCTCAATAAACCCATCAACAAATTTAAACGAAGCTCTAGAAATTTCTTACGAACATGAATTCACTTACCTACCAATAATTCATGAAACTAACAAAAGATTGCTAGGTGTTTTGAACATAGACAATTTAAGAAAAAAGCCTCAACTAGTGCACGATAGCTCTCTTGAACCGTTAGCAAAAAATTTTATGATTTGGTTTAGTCAGAAAGCTCGTAGGACCTACGAGAAAGACCACACAGATCTAGTCCAGTCGAGAAGAACACCTTTGAATACAAAGATAATAAAACCAAGGCCTTCTAACGGCAAAGCTTTCCAAATGTTGACACCGTTTTCTCCTCTTGAAGATTTAGAAAGTTTTTTTCAAAAAGGTTATTATTTTGCTATTATTACAAATGATGATGGTACTTTCGTCTATGGAGTTGCTACTCCTGAAGATTTGGCTAAATTTGAGAAGTCTAGACCAAAGTTGTAACTACAAACTTCCTTTGACTTTCAAAAAAACACTTTTAACATAAATACATAAGGTTACAAGCATTTAAGGAATGCAAATTCAATACAAATAAATCATCACTTTTCATTTATTACCATCTGAGCTCGTGGTTCTATGTAATTCAGTTTCTCTACTTTGGTTTAGCAAACTTCCCCAGCTTTCTAGAGTAAGCAGAATTTGTCAGTGGCAATACGTTGTTTGATCTGGCGTTCTCTGCCAATAATCGTTCGACTTTATCTCCATGTTTTACAGGCTTTTTATGACCATTAATGGGATCTTCCTTGAAAGCGTAGCTTATAGATATTTTTGAATTCATTAACATTATTCCATTCATCCTTTTTATAACCTCGTCACTGACTTTAAAGTCATTATAAGTAAGAAAACCGTAACCTTTCGACTCACCGGTATCAGAGTCTTTCACAATAGAAGGAGGTACGATCAACTTTCCAAATTTTGAAAAAGTCTCTGCGAGAAACTGATCATCTATTAAAGGGTTCAAGTTCTTAATGAAAAGTTTTGCCCCCACATCGACGTCATCCGTATTTTCTGATAACGAAACTGAATTTACAGCCAGCTGATTTTTATGAGGATCTGCCCTCTTAATTCTTAACGTTCTGCCGAAGACCCTTATTCCTCTAAGAACATTTAGGGCATATTCAGCGTCTCTAACATTTTTGAATTCTACAAAGCCATAACCTTGGTGCGTTTTTAGAATTTTATCCTTTGGCAAATTTAGTGATTTGATTGGAGCAACCTGAATCAACAACTCGTACAATAAAAGCTCATTGACTTGAGAATCTAGATTTCCAAAGTACAATGATGCATTTATATTTCTATCGGTATTCACGGGGCGCCGGAATACACTTTCCATTAGAGTCACAGCTTTCAGCAATACTTCATGAAATATTTTTATTTTCTTCATATATATGTATCGTGCGAAACCCGAATTGCAAAAGTAAAAATGCTTGAGTTCTCTAGCTGATGTTTCTATGTAAATGAATTTAGCTCGTTTCCTTTGAAGAGGACTCTTCGGGAACGTCGTCCGATGTGTTATCATCAGAGGTAATTTCAGAACTTAACTTTGATATCTCTGCTTTAGATTGAACTACCGATTCTGTATCAATGTCTGAAACGGATTCGGACTCTGATCCTTCTGAATCTGAATCTGAATCTGAATCTGAAGCTGCTTTGGATTCGGATCCAGATTTTAGAGTATGAGTGTCATCTAGGCGGCCCTTTGTATCTTCAGATGCTATCGCATTATCAATTTGATACGCTTCATCTTCCCCTAGGGTATCATCTTTCAAGCATTCTTCATTTAAAGTAATATAAAATGTTGGATACTCTATAATAATTTTGTTCTTTAATGCATCAATAATCTTAGAATCTCTGCTTAAGGAAATAAAAGTCCTCGGGTCTCTAGTATTGACCACGTTTTCCAAATAGAAATGAAGCGACCGTTTCTCTATTGCACTCTCGGGCTCCGTTCTGTTTATAATGTTCAAAGGGACTGCGTCTTTTAACGATAAGGTCTCTTTCAACCTATAGCTTATGAATCTACAAATTTCTTCTTTATTAGAGCCCAATAACACCCATTCGATAGTCCAAATGTAGGTGCCCAGCCTTTTATCATAGCCAGATTTATTTGATGTAGATCTTGACATTCCACTTGGAACTTGAATAATCAAAGTATTTTGCCTCTTAAAGTTTACTAGAGGATTATTAGGATAAGCTCGATAGACTGCTGCAATCATTGTATCATTTTTTTCATTACTTAGAGGTCCTTTGGATCTCTTATTATTTAATAGACTATACTTCGCAATTGGTTGTCTTTTGAAGACATTCTTAGCGTTAGCTTTCACATCATTTTTCCCCAATTGTATTTTTCTACTGACATCTAGCAAGAAGTTGTAGTCCCTATTTATCGTCACAGAGTCCCGTGAAAGATTTGATTTTGAAATAAACTTGGTTTGATCTATCTGACCACTGCATTCAGTTTGCCGCTTATGCCTTCTTACACATTCCATAGAGCAAGTTTTGATACCACATGCTGGACAGGTATATCTTCTATTGTTGATAAGGCATACTGAACATAAATTATTGTCGGTATCCATTGAAAACAAGATCTCTTTCACTACTTGCAGCTTCCAAAAGGTAGCCTCATTTTAAGATGAGCATCAATAAAGTTCTCATATATCCAAGCAAAAAAGATGTGATATGCGTAATTCTCAGAATACGATATTGCATTGATTTTTCCATCGAAGCAGCATTGAACTATAGATGCCAGAAAGTCACATTCAAATAAAATTGTGATGATTTCATTAGTAAGTAGTGGCTCGAGCCATTGTGGCCTTCTGATCTCAGTCAGACTTGTATCCTCTGCTACAAGAAAGGCATCTGACAAGATATCTGTTCAATTGTTAAAAGATCATTCATCTCTAGGTTCAAGAGGAGAAATCATCAAGGTAAGACCTGCTTTCATGAGAAACTACCTCCACAAAAACAATGGGGCTTGTTACATAACGAAGGACTTGGGTCCACGTATTCCTGTAGTCGAAAAGCGGACAAATACAACTACTTTTATTGAACCCGAGAAGGAGCAAATCATGGAGAAAAATGATAAAGACGAGCCAGTTGCGAGAAACGCAATGTCACTAGATGAGTTATCTACCTTATTTAATAATATGAGGAGTTCTAAACGCTCGAAGCTGACGGCACCTGTAGTTTCAAAAGAGCAACAATTTGAAACAAGTGGCGATGAACTTTTATATACTTCGTCAGAGTTAAGGCAAGCTATCCCAAGAAAGCTCACATTATCCTTGAACAAGGCAGAACAAGGTCCAATAAATAAGAGTTTTCTTTCTAGTTGGGTTTATAACATGTCTGGAATAGGTATTCCTTTGAAGAACTTTAAAATTTTCCCTAAGGGCTCTGATGAGCAAGTCAGTGAAATTCATGAGCCTGGAGAGTATGTCTGGGTGTTCGAAACTCCAGGTGAATCAGAGACTTTTAGCGTTAGTCTTTTGATTGAATAGGAGTGTTTGCTTTTAAAACTGTAAATAGAGTGTACTTCCAATATATATATATATTAGAGAGTGCGAAAACTTCATTTTTACTTAACACCCCACGTAAAACTTTAGGACAAATATCTAGAGTAGTGATCTCCATTTAAGATGCCTTCAAATTTGCGATACAGCGCAGCAAGTTCATCAACGATTCATAAACGACCCTCGCTTTCTCCTATTAAGAAAGCTCAGAGAGATTTAAAAAGAAGTTTGCCATCGCAAACAAAGTACCTGCAAAATTTGAAGAAAAGAAATAATAAGAAGTCACAATTACCATCAAAAACTTCAAATGGAGAAGGAAAACTATCAGTTACAGATTACGATGTAGAATTTGATTACCAGTTATCAAAAAATGAAGATTTAGAAGTTGCAATTGATACTATAGTTGATAATCAATGGTCTGAGAGTACTTCTTTGCATTCTCGCTATCACACTAAAGATGAAATAAGAAGCGCAAATTCAATGGAGGAATTAGTATTCCTGCTTAAGGGCCTTTCGATGATCAAAAAGGCAGAGATTATGAAATTTAGGAGCCAAATACCCGAAGGGCTAGTCACCATAAATCAACTCTATGCTATTTACGAACGTCAAGGTAATACCTTCGTCGATAGAAATTTAGAAGTCAAAATACGACAGGGGAAAATGAAAAAGTTTATTATCACTAATGCTGCCCCAGTTATCCTGAGGTCGTTTCATAGCCAAGGAAGAATCACTTACGGGCATGAGAATGTTGAAGTTGTAGTGAAATCTGAAGTATACTTGGACTCTATAGATAAAATTATTGCGTACTTGGAAAGACAAGAAAAGGAAGAGCTGCTTTCTACAGCAGAAAAACATAAATTTATAATGCAAAGGCTGGGCCTTAAAAACTTTAAAAACTTCTTAATTGAGAATCCTCTGGAGCTTTTTATTAACAAAAGTAATGCGATTAGTTCTCAAGAATTATCTTCATTAGTATCTTTAGGCTACGTTACACTTACATCTAATCATTTGAATGAGATAGAAGCTCATCAATATGCTATATCCTACCCCAACTGTGGTACATTTTTAAAATTAGTCAATGCTGGTAGATCCTGGTTGGTGAAAACACTAACTAAATCTAAGTATTCGGAAAATTTAGAAGATCAAATATTTAGCAAATGGGAAGGTACTACAGGAAGTGGTGATAATAAGTTGAATAATTTTAAGAAACCCTTCTATGGGTACGATTTAAATTGGATTTTAGCAGACGCATTAGGTGCAGGAATAATTGAGGTATTCAATACACCTGTTGGAAGAGGTTGGCGATTGACTGGAAAGGTATAGCTACCTCTATCGTAAATATTAGTTAAAAGTGTAATGATTGAAAAACCCTTTTCACATCCTTACTCTCTGCTTCTTTTGTTGTTTCTTCTGCTTCTTCTCCAAGGCCTTTTTCTCTAATTTAATACGCTCAGCTGCTGGAAGGCTCCTAAGCTTATCCCTTTCTTCTCTTGAGGCCTTTGCTTTTTCAGATGCAAGCCTTTCTTCTTCAAGCTGCTGCTCTGCTTTCTTAAGCTTTTCAATTTCATTTTCTCTTGTTTTAACGACTTTCTTCAAGGTACCGTTCAGAATTGTGATGTCCTTCGAAGCTAATTTATCAACTAGCAGCAAAAGAGCTTCAATTAAGTCCAGAACTTGCTTCAATTTTTCAGAATCAGAGACAACTTTAAGGGAAAATATAATTCTCCTTCTAGGAGAAAAACCAGAAGTTGTGGACGGTTTCTCTGTCGATTGATCAGTCAATGCAAGGAATTTTATGTAAGATGCACTTTCTAATGTCAAAGCTCTCTTCAATTTTCCTGTCAAAATTTTCTCTTGTAATTCGGTTGCCTCACTCATAAATACAAATGATTCTGGGATCGTTGCTGAATCCGCAGTTCTCGTTAAAGACAAAAAATAATTGTTTTTTCTTTGAACATTCATGCCAAGCTTTGAAACTATAGCACAGATAAAGTTATCATATATAGCAGCATTAGACGGAACAATAGTAATTTCAACATTATCCTCAGGTGACTGAACAGATTCTGTGAAGTAAGACATGACGTACTCAATTATCCAAACAAAAAGATTATGCCTAGGAACTAACTTAAATCTTAATGTAACATTAGCGATATTCAACCTTCCTGTAGCATAAGAGGTGTAGTTTTCAGGGCTGTCCTTGATGTATAGTTCATCTTTTGTGACACCATACTGGTAGAAGTTCTTTTCAAATTCATCACGTAATGAATTCAAAAATTTAGTTACAAGATGTTTGTTGTAATAGTCACCAACCTTATAAAGAATAGCGAAAAGCACAATTGTCGAGGATGTAATAATCTCAATCTTCCAGTCCATTAAAGATGCCCTCTCCATTAGTGTCATATCTTTCAATTCATCCACTGAATACTTCGAGTATGGCTTTTTCTCACTTCCTTATAGTTAGTATCGAGAAGAAAACAACATCGATAATTCAATCGTACTTACATTATTTCACCTAAAGCACAGGTGGCCAAAATAAGACCAGTTACGATTTCTTGAAGCATTTCAACCTAATTACTCGTACTTTATGAATTAGTCACTATTCTACGAATATTTCTCGACAATTTTATGTCAACCTTTTTCAGTACTCAATTTGCTTTTGTGCTACTTTCATCTACCAAAAACAAAGAATTTAATAGTTACTGTACAAAATTATATACTCATATGCTAATCCTTTCTCTTTTTGAAAGACGGCATGCTTTGTGTTTCTTCCGATCTCTCTTCATAGTTTTGTAAGCCCTCGTGAATGGCATTCTTAACCAAATCTCTTAATGCTTCTTCAGGATCTTCACTGTTAATAACCTCCTGTAATTTTTGTTGTCTTTCTTCTCTAGTCATTAAATCGTCCGTTTCTTGCTCTTCATTCTCCACGGAATATCTTATATTGTAGTCTCCGTGACTACCAGAAAAAGGCAATGATGGAATTGGTGATGTCCATTCGATCTGCTCTTTAGTAGGAGTTAAGGTATGGTCAAGCAGACGTAAATAATCCACTAACTCAGGAAATTCCTCTTCTTGTTCAATATATCGGATGGCTGTGAGCCCGTCATTGTTTTTCATCTTGAAGCTGGCATTTAAATTTTCAATCATGTACTTTGCAGTCTCAACATCCTCAACGTGATGCAATGGAGTATCCCCTTCGTTATCCTGAATATTTATGTCTCCTCCTCTTTCGACAAGAAGTTTGAGGAGCTTTAGGTGTCCATATGAAGCAGCAGCATGTATTGGAGTGTAACCATTCGGGTCCTTTGAATTTGGGGTGAAATTTCCAGATTCCAAATAGTCCGTGACTATTTTAATTTGATTGTCAGCTGTAGCAATCCAGATATTGGACACCATGACTTACGAGTTATTATAAATCAATCGGTACTGATACTTGTGCCTCAGGCAAGTTTGGTATGCTTGTATCTCTAAAGTGAAAAATAATTAGGCATCTCAATCCTTTACACAGAACTAGAACTCGTTTCGACCCTAAAATTTAATTATATTTCCATTAGTGAAAAAATTATGTCGAAACCAGGTGATGTTATAGGTTTAGGAGATGAAATACCCACATCGCCTTCAGAGAAACTAAAAGGATTTGAATGGTGGAGGCGCTCTATGCAATATAGAACAGGACTTGGACTAACAGACGAAGAGAAAAAGCAATTCGAGCATGATTATAAGGTCAAGTATTTACCTCGTCAATGTGCCGATTGCATAACTAATAGAGACTGGATGCTCAAATTCTCTCCAACTGTAATCTTTATGGTTGATCATATCAACAAGTTGGGAGGAAACATTGATAAGTCCAAAATTGCTTGTGATGTATGCAGCGAAACGAAGGGAGGAGGATTCCATCCTGAAATGGGGATTTTATTATGCGCCAATTGGATTAGGAATAAGTGGCAACTAGAGGATATCTTGGCCCATGAGTTGGTACATGCGTATGATCATCTTAAGTTTAAGGTTGATGTATCAGATTTGAGACATCATGCGTGCACGGAAATTAGGGCATCAATGTTGAGTGGAGAATGTAGATTGTTCAATGAGATTAAGAAAACAGGGTTAGGAAACTTTGGGGGTAAATTTCAAGAGTGTATTAAAAGAAGGGCAATTCTTTCAGTTTCTGCCAATCCAGCTTGTAAGAATGAAGAGGAGGCTAAAAAAGCTGTTAACTCTGTTTGGCAGTCCTGCTTCAATGACACAAGGCCCTTTGAGCGGGTATATAGATAAATTTTGTACGGCTAGAACTATAAGTAAGCTTGTAAATAGTAATTAAATTCTATTCCCGGAAATACGCATGAAGCGGATGAATTCATACGCAGCAAGATAAAAAAGTAATCCGATCTTTAATCAAAGTTACATATACTAATAATGCTTAAAGTATAAAAACGTGGCTCAAAAGCATCATTAAGAATGGTTGGAGTCATGAAGCATTCTGATACGGTTGATAATTTGAATGTTATCTCCCGGAGAAATCTCTCTCAAAGAGAAAACCTAAAAATCAACGATACAGATTCAACACTACAAGGCGAAAATAGTCAAAGAGACAGTGATATAGAAATTGAAAGATCGGAAAATAGCAGCTCGGTAGAGCCAGAGGATATTAATCCAAGTGATTTCGTGAAAAATGACAGAACTCAATTCATTAAAAGCCTTCATCATATCAATAGTCAATCAAGGTCAAGAATCAATAGAAGAAGAAACTCTACGAATGCAAGCAAAGAGTCGAAGTATGTTTCCAAGTATGGAGACATAAAGTTCTACCAGAGATCTGCCACGATTTTTGATTCAGATTCATTCAAAAACTCGGATTTTTATGGGATATACATACTGTTCTGGTTCTCAACTTCATTCTTGATATTCGACAATCTAATAAATTTCTACTTCGAAAGTTCCAGCTCTTTTTTTAACACACCTGTCTTTCACACCTTAAGGAGGGATATATTAAAGGTTGCCTTATCCGACTTAGGAATGTATTTTAGCTCATATTTCGCTTACTTTGTTCAGCTTGGATGCTTGAAGGGATGGATAACGTGGAACAAGACCGGATGGTGGGTGCAGGGATCTTATCAGTTTTTATTCTTGATGTTTTGGATAGAATTTTCATCGCAGAGAGTAATGGATTTTCCTTGGATAGCAAAGATATTTTTGATGTTGCACAGTTGTGTCTTTTTAATGAAAATGCATTCTTACGGTTTTTATAATGGATATTTGTGGAATATTTTAAACGAGTTGAAGTTTTCAGAAAGTTATTTAAAGAGGTTGGAGGCTTCACCGAATCAACTTGCGCAAGAATTTGATTACGAGGAAACAATTATCACCCTAAGGAATAGTATAACTTTTTGTAGATTCGAATTGGAATATCAATCAATGGCTACGACTTTGTCGACTGAGTTTGAAATAGAAAAGGATTCGCTCGATATGAATATAAAAGAACTACAGGAATCCAACTTTGTGAAGTTTCCCCAGAACATAAACCTATTCAACTACTTTGAATATTCTATGTTCCCAACTGCGATTTACACTTTGAATTTTCCAAGAACTCCGAAAATAAGATGGACATATGTTTTTGAAAAAACATCTGCTATATTTGGAATATTATTCTTAATGGTCACAGTAGCTCAAAATTGGATATATCCGTTAGTACTTCGGTGTTTGGCCCTTCGTCAATTGCCGTTTAAGGAGCGCTTTATACCGTTTGCTTTCATTTTTTTGGATATTGTGCCGCCTTTTCTTTTGGAGTATATTTTGACTTTCTTTTTGATATGGGATTCTATTTTAAACGATATCGCTGAACTCAGTAGATTTGGGGATAGAGACTTTTACGGACCGTGGTGGAACTGTACTGAATGGTCTGAATATGCAAGACTTTGGAATAAACCTGTTCATAAGTTTTTACTAAGGCATGTTTACCATTCATCTATTAGTGCTTTCAAGTTTAACAAAGTCCAAGCTTCGTTAGTTACGTTCATCATATCTAGCTTGTTGCATGAATTGGCTATGTTTGTCATCTTCGGTACTTTGAGAGGATACTTATTATTATTACAAATGTCACAGATTCCTCTCATTATGCTAAGCCGTACAGCTTTCATGAGAAATAAGAAAGTTTTGGGCATAGTCATATGCTGGTTTGGTTTCATCACGGGCCCTAGTATGATATGCATGCTTTATTTAATCTTTTAATAATAACTGTTTCAGAAATGATTGCAAAATTAGTTTTTTAGCACGTGATCAGATGCTCTATAGAATTTTTTTTTTTTTTGCTTTACTTGTAGATTGAACCAACAACAGTACTTGAAGCTACAAGCCAGTCATGTCGAGGCCAGAGCAGATTGCGCCTCCTGAAATATTTTATAATGATTCAGAATCATTCAAATATACGTCATCTACAAGGGTACAACGTATTCAGGCTGAAATGACGCTTCGAGCCTTAGATCTATTAAATTTAGAGAAAGATGAACCGCATTTCTTGCTTGATGTCGGTTGTGGATCTGGTTTGTCGGGAGAAATATTGACAGAAGAGGGATATAACTGGATTGGCATGGATATTGCACCAAGTATGTTGGCCACTGCTCTTGACAGAGGCGTGGAGGGGGATTTATTCCTTAGTGATTTAGGGAATGGCATACCTTTCAGGGCAGGAACATTCGACGCTGTCATATCCATATCTGTAATTCAGTGGTTATGCAATGCTGATTCATCTTCATTTGATCCTAAGAGGAGATTGATGAGATTCTTCAACACTTTATATGCATCATTAAAAAGGGGGGGTAAATTTGTTGCTCAATTCTATCCAATGAATGATGAGCAAACCGAGTCTATCCTAGGTGCCGCCAAAGTTGCAGGTTTTGGTGGTGGTTTAATCATAGATGATCCGGAGTCGAAAAGACATAAAAAATATTATTTGGTTTTGACAGCTGGGCAAGCATCAAGAAACGTTAACTTGACTGGAGCTGAGATGGAGCTAGCTTTGCCGTCCAAGAGATTGAATAAAAAGCTGTTGAAAAGCATGGAATCTAAGAAAGAGTATATAAAGAGAAAAAAGGAAACGATGAGGCGGCGAGGCAAAAGAGCGGCAAACGATTCTAGATTTACAGGGAGGAAGAGAAAACCTCGTTTCTAGGAGTTTTGATAGTTATATACATGCATAGGGCAGTGATAAGTGTGTATTTGTAGGCTAATAGACGGTTTTATCAAATAGCAGTTTCCTTAGCTGCTTTATAGACTTTTCAAAATCTGTTGGCTCCTGCACATGTACTCTCGAAATTTAGTAAAGAAAAAAAAAACCTTTTTTTCTGAATTCTAATAACCTTAACGACAACGCAGACACAAGGCAAAGATGTTGAGACTATTATATAATGGCTGTCTTAAATCTGCCAATGGAATCTTCCGGCCATCAATAAGGACTTTTTTTCCGCCAGATACAAGTAAGTATCTGATTAAATTTTTGGAGAACTTTCGATTTATAATGTAATACTAACTAGCTTAAAGCAAAGCGTTTAACGGCGTACGATCCTTTACCTCCAAAGCGTAACGGTGAAAATGTATTGAGTTATTTGCATAAACATCTTCTTCAAAGATATGATCCAACTGGCAAACGGCGTGCTTTAGTAGACCAAGAAAATGGACTTCGAGCAGGAGATATAATTAAGGTCACATACCTTGATAGGACGAATGTAGTGGGTCAGGTCATTGCTATCAAGAGATCTGTAAATAATGTCGGAACGAATATCTTGATTAGAAACAAATTTAATAAAATGGGTTGTGAATTAAGGATTCCATTGTTTAATCCAAATATTAGAAATATAGAAACTCTTCATAAGCCCAAGAAGTACTTATCCAGAAGGAAACAATTTTATATCCGGAAATCTAAGTACGATGTCGGTGACGTCGAGGCTTTTTTAAAATCAGTGTCCAAAAAAACAAGCTCTTAAGTAAATATATTGTAAATAGTGTGAATTTATGTTGTTCACGATTTCTTTTGAGTAGACATATTTTAACTCAGTGTTCATCTCCGGATAGATTAGTCGATATTTGCTCCAATTTCAAGGATAATTCGGAATGAAAACTATCTTGGAAAGATGGTGACAATGTCATCATCAAAGATTCGAATGTTTCATAATAAGGTCGAAGCAAGCACTGGTTTCCATCTAGGATACACCACCCAGAATCACACACAGAAACATCCAAATTCTGGCCTTCCACAGTCCTGATAGATATGTACCTTGAAGGTGCTCTATCTGATTTATTGTTGTTGTTATGCGTGTGAGCTTTCTGGTCGGTAGATTTCAATTTAATATCTAGAAAAAATGACTTATACTCCTCATATAATCTAGTAAGTTCAGCTATTTCAAAGTTTCCCATCTTTATAATGCTTTTGTCTGTATGTTTAGACCTCAACTAACTTTCCAACATTAGATGATTACTTTCTTTCGGCTTACAATGTCATGTCTCTTTTGCTTCTTAAATTTTACAAGAAAATTGGTCTACTGCCCTAGTGTACTTGAAATTAGACACAGAACCTATCTACATTCTTTACGGAGAAGAGAGAAAGCTTTAGTCACAACTGATTCCCAATGTTCCACAATTATTGTCAACATCGGGCGCCCAGCAACGTACCCCAAGTTATGGTCAATCTACGCATGGCTCGCCAGTTCCCTTTGTTAAGGTAGAATAGAATATCTAGTTTAACGTTTGCAAGAACTGAACATGCGATTGATGTTGAAGATTAACAAAACGGAAATTGCAGAACAAATCAATCTCCTTTAAATAGCCCAGAAATAAAGCCGGGTAATGCGGAGCTCATGCAATTCCAAATCGTTAATCCAAAGGAAGAGTTCTGTTAATATAGAATATACAACAAGGATGGCATCTACAATCGAATGTGAGAAGTTCATTGGGATAAATATAAAAGTGAAGCTAAATGATAAGAGAATACTAGATGGCGTTGTAACGGTTATAGATCCTTTTGGAAATATTCTATTGTCTAATACCTGGGAATCAACTGCAGATAAAATAGCTCCTGAGAAGATGCACAGAAGGGAGTTGGGTTTAGTTAGCGTTCCTCGACACGCTTTCAGTAATATATTAGTCCCGCGGAAGTATTGTCAGTATATGAAAAATACCACACCTTAATATCGTCTTCTTGAATCGAGATCAAGTTATTTCTGTTATTTAAATTGGAATAACTCTGAGGAAGTAAGCCCTTTATATTTGAGGATGATGCATTTCATTCGTTTAAGTATTAGCGTGTCTGTGTTTACAAAATTCACCTAATGATGTGAAAAAGTTGAGGTGGACGGATATGATCATTGAAATCATGAGAGAAGTAACGATTAAGTTGCTGTCCTAAAATGTTAAGTTTAAAACTTTGAATGTTAGAAGTACACGAGTCTCCTAACGTCTTGATGTGGTAATGAATTGAATATATGGCTGAACTGTACTCGTACTCACTATTCTCAAGCCTTTAAATAAAATAATTGATTCGTAGTATACAATGATCATGATCATTTTTGTATTTTTAAATTTATTTCTTATGTTTTCTTGAATGTCATCTTAATCTTTTCTTGATAGACGTTTAAAAGCTAGTCTTGTGAATCAAGTAGATCATATTTCAGTAAGAGGATGGTGTTGGAGTTTTGTTTTTCTTCTACATTTCCGCGATTTTTGCAACAATTTTACTCCAGACTAGTACCAAGCTACACGAACAAGTAATTAGAGCATACCAAACATGAGGGTTCCTCATACCTATACAATACAATAATATATCAGGAAGCCTAGGTTATGAGAAGTGTACCTTTTTCTACTATTTGAAATGGTCTCATTTTACAGCTTCAATTTAGTCAAGCAAATAGGGAAGAGAAGGAGGATACTGTAAAAAATTATACTTATTAGCACGGCACGAAAGTACCTATTCTAAGCTTAGTAGAGCGATGTAACAGCTTTAAAGTTTAATTCTTTTAAAAATACTTGGGTTAGTCTAGGCACAAGAGACTGAAAAAGATTACGTAATCATAACTTATTGGTGGGGGCCATGATTTCAACTAGGCTCAGTTAATCAACCCTGCCTGCCAGTTTGTAGTAAACTTGGAACTAGCCATTAGTTTAGTACCTCACTGGGAGTATATCGGAAAGAAAATATTATAGCAGGTATCAGTAAAATGCAAGGAACATACAAGGACAACGGATTACCTAGACCATACTACATGAAACCTTCAAGAAAGAAGCTATCACATTACGAAAAGTTGCCTATCAATGCATTTAATACACCGAGGCGAAAACTTCTAGGGTATATTGTCATGATAGTATTATTTGGCTCTTGTATGTACTGGATATCACAAGATCTCAAACCGAAGCCCGATCCAGTTTACGAAATCCTCGAAGCGGACGACGTGAATAAGAACATAGAGAATATAGTGAATACGGTTGGTTCTGTTGCCGACAAAGAAAGCGACAACCTTGGCTTGGCAGGCAATTTGGCTCAAAATTCTAAGGGCCAAATTGGACACGGTGTACTTGAAGCACCCAAGGGCGGAATAGCCAATGAAGCACCGCTTGTCGGAAATGACGAAGATGAGGTCGTAGGAAATATGAAAGGTAAGAATGGGAACCAGGCACCTCTAAATAAGGGGACTGATTCTGAATTTCAAGGCGATGCTGGAGTTCCATGATGATCAGAATTGCAATTTAGTAATTTTTATGATTTATCAACTAAAAAACAAAACTCTTTGATTTATTATCGTGAAATCTGAAGCCTTCATAAGATGACAGCGAGGGAAAGAGAACGCATATATCGAAAGATAACAACTTGCGAATTTTTAAAGTTAAAACTTAGCATAGACAAAGGAGTTCGTCTCAGTTATATAAACGTGTATAGTATTGTAATGCAGTTACGAGAATTGACCTCTACCAGTCCTGTAAGAATTAAAGAAAATACCTGCATTTTGATTTTTGTGAGCCAAAGAAGTACATATACAGCTAATAATAAAAATATAGGGTAAAGAGAGAAAGATTGATTTCCTTCAATTAATCACTGCTCTCATGAAAGAGGAGTGCATATATGCGTATCTTCAACTCGATTCTCGACTCTAGCATATTGTATATACTGCAAGAGAGTCAAAGAGGTAAATAATTTCCTCTTGATAGAGTTTTGCAACCGTCATTTTATATTTTTATCGCCAATAACAATTTTGAAGTCACCATTTCATTCTTCCTGTTTAGTCTCTATAGCAATATGATTGGGCCTTAGGTATGCTGAGTTTCCGCGCGTTATCTTGTTGATAATTGCCACGGGTCTTATTGGCAAAAGTAGCACAAAGGTTGCCATCGCTGAGCCGCATAAAAAAAAAAAAAAGAAATTGTTTTTGTGATGCGAAGACAAGCTCTAAACAGTGAAAAAATTTTTTAAGAACCCACTACTTGGACATTTTTAAGTGGTTACAAAAGATTTTTTTATCTTTTTTTTATATTTCATTCTAGCTAATAAAAACTTTGTCCTACAGTGAAGGCAAGATGTCAGCAGCTAGTGAAAAGAAGAACTCTGCTGAAGTTCTTTCTGAATTATTAAGCAAGTTACAAGTTGCAGATGATAGGGAGGAAGCTGCTGCCAATGTTGCTTCTTTCTTGAACTCATCTATCGTTGAACACGACGTTCCACAGGACTTCTTTACTTCTTTGAAGAAGGAAATCAACAACAAGGATGCTTCAGTATCTACCGCCGCATTAGAAGCATATGCTCATATTGCATCAAGAAATGACTTGGCTCCATCAGTGGAGCCTTATGTTGTTGGCTTAGTTAGTGATGTTGCTGTCAAGGCTGGTGATAAGAATAAGGACGTCCAAGCTAAGGCTTCCGATGCATTATTAGCTATTGCTAGGGCAATCACTCCTACTGCTATAAAGGCTCTCCTTCCAAAGCTTTTAGAAAACTTGGTCAACTCAAACAAGTGGACTGAGAAAGTTGCTATTTTGGGAGCAGTCAGTCAGTTAGTGGACACCGCTAAGGATCAGATTGCATTGAGAATGCCCGAATTGATCCCCGTTTTGTCTGAGACCATGTGGGATACCAAGAAGGAGGTTAAAGACGCTGCCACTAAAACTATGACAAAGTCTACTGAAACAATCGACAATAAGGATATTGAAAAGTTTATTCCCAAGTTGATAGAATGTATTGCTAAGCCAACTGAAGTTCCTGAAACCGTTCATCTTTTGGGTGCCACTACATTTGTTTCAGAGGTTACCATGGCTACTTTATCTATCATGACTCCTTTGTTATCTAGAGGTTTAGCTGAACGTGACACTGCTATCAAACGTAAAGCTGCTGTTATCGTTGATAACATGTGTAAGTTAGTGGATGATCCTCAAGTTGTTGCTCCTTTCATGAGTAAATTGTTACCGGCTCTCAAGGGTAACTTTTCTACTATGGCGGACCCTGAAGCTCGTGAAGTCACCAATAGAGCTTTAGCCACATTGAGGAGAGTCGGTGCTGTTGGTGAAGATGATGTTATTCCTGAAGTATCTACTGCTGGTGATATTCCAGTCACTTTAGGCGTTTTCAACGAATTATTATCTAGCCAAAAAGTCGATAAGAAGTTTGACCTTGCAAAGGAGTACATTGCTGCCATCGCAGGAGATTTGATCGACGAGAGAGCTATTCATCCTGAAACTTGGACGCAATACATTGTTCCTTTCGCTACCATCTTTTTACACGAGAAAGATGCGAAGGAGATTGTTGAAGAATACAGAAAGAGAGCTGTTGACAATATTCCAGAGCCACCAGCTTTTGAAGATGAAGAGGACGATGGAGAAGATTTATGTAACTGTGAGTTTTCTTTGGCCTACGGTGCTAAAATTTTGTTAAACAAAACTCAGTTCAGGTTGAAGAGAAATAGAAGATATGGTTTGTGTGGTCCAAATGGTGCCGGTAAGTCAACCTTGATGAGAGCTATTGCTAATGGTCAAGTTGAAGGATTCCCTACACAAGAGGAATGTAAGACCGTTTATGTTGAGCACGACATCGATGGAACTCATGCTGATACATCTGTTGTCGACTTCGTCATAGATGACGGTGAAGTTGGTTTAACCAAGGATACCGTGGAAGATAAGTTGAGGGAATTTGGTTTCTCCGAAGAGATGATCAAAATGCCAATTCAATCCTTATCTGGTGGTTGGAAAATGAAGTTGGCTTTGGCTAGAGCTGTATTAAAGAATGCCGATATCTTGTTATTGGATGAGCCAACTAACCATTTGGATACCGTTAATGTTGCCTGGTTAGTCAACTATTTAAATACTTGTGGTATTACTTCAATCATTGTGTCTCACGATTCTGGATTTTTGGATAAAGTTGTCCAATATATTATTCACTACGAAGGTTTCAAATTAAGAAAATATAAAGGGAATTTATCTGAGTTCGTTAAGAAGTGCCCATCTGCGCAATCTTATTACGAATTAGGTGCTTCTGATTTGGAATTTAGATTCCCAGAGCCTGGTTTCTTGGAAGGTGTTAAGACTAAACAAAAGGCTATTGTTAAAGTTTCCAATATGACATTCCAATACCCGGGTACTTCTAAACCACAAGTCACTAATATATCTTTCCAATGTTCTTTGTCATCCAGAATTGCTGTTATCGGTCCTAATGGTGCTGGTAAGTCTACCTTGATTAACGTGTTGACCGGTGAATTATTACCTACCTCCGGTGAAGTTTACGTCCACGAGAACTGTCGTATTGCTTACATTAAACAGCATGCTTTTGCTCATATTGATAATCACTTAGATAAGACTCCATCTGAATATATTCAATGGAGATTCCAGACTGGTGAAGATAGAGAAACCATGGATAGAGCATCTAGACAAATCAACGAAGATGATCAAAAAGATATGAATAAGATTTTCAAGGTTGAGGGTACCGAAAGAAGAATTGCCGGAATTCATGCCAGAAGAAAGTTTAAAAACTCTTACGAATATGAAATCTCCTGGATGTTGGGAGAAAACATTGGTATGAAGAATGAAAGATGGGTTGCAATGATGTCTGTTGATAACACTTGGTTGCCAAGAGGTGAATTGATGGAAACCCACTCTAAGATGGTTGCTGAAGTGGATATGAAAGAAGCCTTAGCATCTGGTCAATTTAGACCATTAACTAGAAAGGAAATTGAAGAACATTGTGCGATGTTGGGTTTGGATGCTGAGTTAGTCTCTCATTCTAGAATCAGAGGTTTGTCTGGTGGTCAAAAAGTCAAATTAGTTTTGGCCGCTTGTACTTGGCAAAGACCACATTTGATTGTATTGGATGAGCCAACTAACTATTTGGATCGTGACTCTTTGGGTGCATTGTCAAAGGCTTTGAAGGCTTTTGATGGTGGTATTGTTATTATCACACACTCTGCTGAGTTCACAAAAGACTTGACTGAAGAAGTCTGGGCTGTTTTAGATGGTAAAATGACACCATCGGGTCACAACTGGGTTCAAGGTCAAGGTGCTGGTCCAAGGTTAGAGAAGAAGGATGACGAAGAAGACAAATTTGATGCCATGGGTAACAAGATTAGTGCTGTGAAGAAGAAGAAGAAGTTGTCTTCTGCTGAATTAAGAAAGAAAAAGAAGGAAAGAATGAAAAAGAAGAAGGATTTGGGTGATGCTTATGTTTCATCTGACGATGACTTCTGATTTCCTGGTGAACAGATTATCAGATATTTCTTAACTTATTATTATCATTATTATATTGTTATATAAGGATCGACTCTCTTGAATATATTGTTTATTAATCTATTTAAATCTTTTTAACATCAATTTCCCTGACGATCGCAGGAAATAATTGTTGCGAAATACCGGGTCCACAATAATAAACTTAAGCGCTGTTATTCCAATTGATCAATTATCAAAAAAGATTCATAGCATGATATATCTTTTCATTCTTTTATTAGTCATTTCGAAGGTTTCCACTTCACCGCTCAGAATAGCAGACTTTTCCAATTTTATTCTACCGGAAAATACAATGCTCACCGACTTAGAGGTAAACCATATATTGACCAGAAATAATCCTTTGACAGCAAAAGAAGGCACTGATTATATTTGGAATTCGTCATACGCTCCATTCCCAGTACTATGTAAATCTGAATCGTTAATAAGAGCAGCGAACAACGTAAGTAAAAAATATCTCATATTTCAAAGAGTGTTTTTATATTAATGCTAATCGTTTAGAAATTAGGAGACCAAGAGAGGACCTACCTAGAAAGAAGACAAGAGCTTACCGAGAATGCTATCAATGAGCTTTTAGATAAGAATAGTATTCCAAAGTTTGATCACTCAGACTTTCTTAAAAAGAAAACAAAACCCATAGTTATTGCTTTGGCGATATCTGGAGGTGGATATAGATCTATGCTTATAGGCGCCGGAGTCTTGGAGGCCTACGATTCAAGAACACCGCTGAATAATAGCAACCTAGGGGGACTTTTGCAGTCACTTTCTTACATTGGGGGTATAAGTGGTGGCTCTTGGTTAGTTATGAGTAACTTTGTTAATGATTTCAAGCCAATGTATCAAACAAAATCAGATCATATGTCTTGGTCAATACACAAACAGCTCTTGAAAGGGGTACCCAGTTTTGACCCTTCGCCTGATCGTGGCCACGTATATGCCGGCGGCTCTGACGAGGAGAATGAACCAATAAGTAGCAACAAGACCATCATAAAAGAGTATGAGGGCTTTTTCGGCAGTATTCGCAGGGCATTCAGACTAGGTAAAGCATTTATATACAACATGGCTGATATCAGTAAAGACACTATTTCTCCAACGGCTGCAAAAGATTACAATAAAATCGACGATACGGCCGCCGTCTCGGACTCACTCTTTGCTTCAATAATAGGATCATTGTTCTTAAAGAATAGCTATCTAAGCACAAAAAATTCTTCTCAGAGCTCTCAGGAGCGTAGCTGGAAAGAGATATTCAAGTATTATAAACAACTACACACTGAAGTAAGAGATAAGAGATTAGCTGGCTACTACTTATCAATAACCGATTACTGGGGAAGAGCTTTGGCGAGAAGAATCTTCCCGAGAGAGGCAAGAGCTCCAGGAGCAACTATCACTGGGTGCACGAGGTTACCTTCATTTCTCAAGCATGAACAACCTTTGCCAATTATATGTGCTGTTGAGAAACTTCCAACCTATTCTGCATCGAGTGAAAACTCGCATCTATTCGAATTCACTCCTTTTGAATTTGGCTCTTGGGACGCATATTTGAATGCATTTATACCATTGAGATACTTAGGATCTTCTTTGTATGATGGTAAGTCTACCATCAAGACGAATGATCCGAATGTTTCTATTTGTACTTCGGGATTTGATAATATTGGTTTCATCACTGGGACGTCATCATCATTATTTAATCATGTCTTCATGTACATATACAGCTTACTTATTGATATGAAACTGACCGTTGCTCAGGCGTTTGAAAAAATACTTAAACCATTTGGTTTAGATTCAAATCTCAAGTCCTTAATGCATCCTCAATTGCATCCAGATTACGCTTTATATTCCCCCAACCCGTTCTATGGATATCACCAAGTAGGAAGTAATATTACGAAGAGTCCCCATATGTATTTGGTGGACGGCGGTGACGATGGACAAAATATTCCATTCCATCCATTTTTAAGAACAGCCAGAAAGGTGGACATTATCTTGGCTTTTGACATGACTGCAGATGCCTTCAACTATCCAAATGGAACGGTTCTTGGAAACTCCGCCAAAAGATTTCATAGTGCTGATAGTGGTATAGATCAGCCCTACTTTTTGAGTTTCTGTGGCGAACGAAAAAACAATTTGTCTAGCTTTCCCAATGGCTTAAAAGGTATCGGAAATGTGAAGTCGCTGTTCCCTAGAGTGCCAGATGCTAAAGAAATAGTAGAAACGGGTCTCCATAAAAGACCAGTTTTCTTTGGCTGCGACTTAGAACTCGATTACCCCAGTTTATCTAAAAACGATATTGATACATTTGAGAATAGAGAAATGATTGAGCATTACTTACCCCCTTTGATTGTATATACGGCGAATGCCGAGCTCAGTTATCCCTCCAACCAATCAACATTTCAAATGAGCTACTCAGAAGAAGAAATATACGGAGTTGTTCAGAATGGGTATAACTTAGCAACTTTTATGAACTCAAGCTTCTACAACACCTGCTTGAATTGCGCAATCTTAAAACGAGAGTTTGACAGGGCAGTGTTGGGATTAAACCCGATGATCACAGGAAACTTTTCAGTTCCTTCAAAATGTGTAGAATGTTACGATGAATTCTGTTGGCATAGCTCAGATTCTACTCGGTAAACCGGTTCTCTTTTTACTGCATATAATTTAGAGTTTGATGTAATTTTTTTTTTGGTCATCACCGTATATCTATCAGTTATCAGATTTGATGTGTGAAACGCTTACTTTGTTGTTTCGATAGTGGGAAGATATATTCAAAGCATTCATTTTGTTTAGAGGGAAAACAATTTTGAAAAATGACTATCCCTGTAGCTGCAAAGTTGGATATCTGGGATGCAATCAATTCCATATATATGATATTTTGCACTGCATTATTACCACTTATTGTAATAGGGATTGCTCTTTTCTATTCTGGTCTTACTCAGAGGAGGTCATCTCTCACTATGTTAGTACTTCCCATTCTACTTAGCTCATTGGTAATAATAGATTGGTTTATATGGGGTTACTCTTTATGTTATGCAACCTCATCAAATAGATTCATCGGAAACTTGAACTTTGCAGTTTTGAGAAATATGAGAGATGAAAACTCACTTATCTATTCAACACCGAGAGGGGATATATTATCGCTAAATCATTTTCTATTCAATGGCCTTTTCAAAATAATATGTGTTGCATTGACGTTTCCCGGCTGCATTGCTGAAAGAGGACGCATTCTACCGATGCTAGTATTCTTATTCTGCTGGTCTTGTATTATCTACAACCCAGTGACATATTGGTTTTGGAATAAAAACGGCTGGCTCTCAGTCCAATTGAATTTTTTGCCTGTATTGGACTTTGCGGGAGGCAATTGTATTCATATTGTGAGTGGTTTTACTACCTTAGCATACTCCTACATTTTAGGATCTAGGAATCCAAAAATTCTTGAGGATTATAGAAATTCCAATACTGCGTATATGGTTTTAGGAACCTTTTTGATGACGATCGGCTGGTGTGGATTTATTGGCGGTTGTGACTATAAGTTCTCTACGTCGTCGGTTATTATATATATCAACACAATTATTTGTGCTTCTGTCAGCGGCATAATATGGACTTTTATGGATTATTATTATTCTACGATACCGTTAGATGGTTCTATAGACAGTGACTATCTTGCTGAAGTAAACACATCTTCAATGAACTCAAATATCTCAATTCACGAGGAAGTAAATATGACGCATCAAAAAGAACCAGAAAAGCGCTATTCGAAGAGAAAGATGTCCACCATATCTTTTTGCTCTGGTGCAATGACGGGTTTAGTTGTCATAACGCCTGCAGGTGGATATATTGCTAGTTCGACAGAGCTATGGAAATGTTTTGTTTTTGGAACAATAGGTGCAATAATATGTAATCTTTCCACTCGATTGAAGTATTTTTTTCACATTGATGACGCTTTGGATATTTTTGCAATTCATGGAGTTGCTGGGATAGTAGGTTCAATATTGACCGGAATTTTTGCTAACAAGTTATACGACTCGCAAGGAGGGTGGGTAAAGGGCCATTGGGTTCAGATAGGGTATCAAATACTAGGCTCTGTGGTGACTTCTGCCTATGTATTCATTTTAAGTTGCGTTCTACTATACATAATTGACTTTATTCCCGGATTATACCTTCGAATAGACAAAAATTTCAATCAACGAAAGAGAGATGAGTTGAAAAGATTGAAAGACCATCAAGATTCCAGCGATATAGAAAATCAAGAGCACGTTACTGCTATGGATCCTGATGAGCCTGGTGATTGGGAGAACGCTGAGCTTTTAGGTTCAGATAATTATGAGTTTAATGGTGAATACTCAATGGACTTCATGGAGTTCATCAAGATCTTACGACCGAAAGATTACGATATCGATTGGGAGAATACTTCTAGGAACGCTCGAAGCTTTTATGGAGGTAGCATCTCATCAAGGTATCAGAATGCGGGCAAGCCGTATAAACGCGAATGACTGACGATCTATGTATTTTTGACATTAGATGGGGTATTATTGTGTAAATTTTCAAATTTTTTTCTTTATTTAGGTATTTTGGATCTTTTATTATTAGATATTTATACTAGCATTCTACTCAAATTTATGTCACTATAAGTCACCCCGTAGGCAGAAAATTTATTTTAATTAATTAGTCTCATCGTGAATTCAAATGCTGCAAATGTAGCGCCATTTGCTGGTGCTGCTCTAAGAATTGTGGGCAAGAAGCCTTTATAAAAACCCCTTAATCTGTTCTTGCTCCAAATATCTCTCACTACACTCATTGAATTCTTGTAAAGGGGGCTTGATAAAGAGTCTGTTTGCAATTTGGATTTGATCACATCTACTGGGTAAATACCTGCCCACAAAGTGTATCCAGATAGCCCTCCAAAAATACATAGTTTCCAACCCGGAATATCACTCCTGACCAAGCCGGGTGTTTTCTTTAGCTCTTCAGAGATCAAAGCTTCATAGGTGGCAAAATATATACCCAAACCTACACTCTCTCTGAACAAAGTTGGTACTAATCCCTTAAAAATGCCTTGTAGGCCACATGATTTATAGATACTTTGTGCACATCCAATGGGCCCGTGAAAGACTCCATCAACAGCCACTTGTGTTTGTAATCTAATACGAATATGTTCAATTGGGGAAGCAAGAAAGCCATTTGCAAACCCAGCTACCGCACCACAATTGAAAAAGTTCAACAAGCCAAGCGGTTGACCACCTAATTTGTCATCATAATACCTTTTCATGAGCTCATTTACTGAGAATTGAACTGAAACACAGGCTCCTACCCCGACCAAGGGAGTCAATGTACCTTTATAAAAGCCCTTAGTACCCTCATTTGCTAATAATTTCCTTATGACATCTCCAGCCCCAGTATATGTGCCCTCCGAGGCAGATTGCAATCGCACCTTAACAGTATCAAACGGTTGACCAACTAAAACTTGGGCAATACCACCGATAGTACCGCCGAATAGATCTTTGTAAACCTGGATATCATTACGTGTCAATTCAGGCTCTTCGAGCTCGATAGTCATAGTTAGATTTTATTTTTGTACGAATGGCTACAATGTTTCAGCCTTTTGCTTATCAATCTGAAAAATTTTCTAATATATTTGCCTGCACAACGTCATTAGAGGACATACAGAATCAGCCATCAACCTCCGCAAGAAATGATTATTTTATTTAATGATATATATTATACTATATGCAATTTTATGAGTTATCAGTTTCTGTTTCTTTGTTGCCGCTAGACAATATTAAACCATCGTAAGGATTGAAACCACCTTTCGCAAACTGCTGTCCCGTCGAATGTACTGGAGCAGTAGCTGGCGCATTGTTAACTCCGGGACTAGAAAGAGGGTTGGTCGTATTATTTGTAATCTCAGAATTACTAGATGGAATAATTGCTTGAGCAGCTGGACCAAGAGTCGCAACAAGTGGTGTTCTGATAGGAGGAGTATTGAACTGGTTTGTTAGTATTGAGCTACTGCCCATCTGTGATGCATTAGCTTGACTTTGATTGTGGCTAGGTGAAAACATGTTTGAAACTGACGGAATTGATTTCAAGAGAGGAGCACCTGAAAGTGGCCCAGCCATATTTTGACTTGAGTCAGAGGACATGGACTTATAAGAAGAAATTTCCAATAAGATAGTGACTTCTTTCGTTGTCTTTGTAAGATTGGCCATTGCCCCACGCACCTCATTAAGAACAGGCATATCCTTCATTATCCCCTTTACTGCTGAGAAAGTTTGAATTATCAGCTTCAAGAATAGGTTTATATCATCCCAGAAGAGTTTTCGCGTTGTTTGAGACGGGTTATTTCTAATAGTAATCAATTTTGTTTTCAATCTTTTAGTGATATCCATACATGTCATGCAAACATTTGTAAGTTCCTTCACTTTTGTAGCTACATTGTGGTTTATCGCAGGAGTACTTGAAGCTGTTGCACTCGCTATTGCCGATTTTCCAATTGCATTGGTAAGTTCACTGAAGACTACTTGAGCACTTGTTGTAGCACTATCAATCGAACGGTATAGTTTTTCGTCAACATCATCGGAGTCGTTGGATGACTTCGTATTCACTGTTAACCGCTGTTTTGTATCTGTGGAGTAATTCGGCATCGTTGAGGAGGGCTGCTGGCTAATATTAGAGGAGTTCACAGAAGAAGGCTTAGTACCTGGAGCAAGTATTCGGTATGCATTCATTAGTTCGTTCAAGGATCCATACAAGGTAATGTAGAGCATCCTTATAAAGCAGATATCCGTCTTCATGACAAATGTCAAGAAATTTTCGCTAAGGAAATTCATGATATTCTTAAAAGAATAAATGCACGAATGTAAAGATTCCACAATTTGCTCTAAATTACTACTACTTTCTTCCAAAATTTCCAAATCTTCCACTAATGAGTCGATGTTCGATTTTGTAGAATACAAATACGAGACCATCTTGATTGTTATTCTTTTATCAACACAAAATCCTGTAAACCTTCTGACGGATGAATGCAATTCACTGAAAGCAAATAAAACTTTTCTGGAAACTTTAATAATGATAGAAGTATCCAAGTTAGATTTTTTAGGGACACCTTTAGATGGAGAAGCCTCACTCACGGAGTGGCTATAGGCCCTTGTTACAGATGGAGACTTCAGTGAAGCTATAAAAGATTCATCCTCAGTATGTGGCAGGTCTCCTCTTCCTTGCTGACTACCACTTCCCTTTCTAGAGCTAGTACTCGAAACAGAAGACCCCATTGAAGAGGCTCCATAGGGGATATTCATCAGAAGCTGATTGCTCAGGTTAATACCTTCTACTGGGAGTTCCTGCAATGTCGATAGTCTTCTGAAATATGCCCCCGATTTATGCTCAGTATCAACGGTCCCATTTTTTTCCAACAATTTATCGATCTCTTTCAAGGTATTTGATCTAGACCTATTTCTACTCCCGGGCCTACTCAATGTTGCTAGAGATTGGTTAGATCCCGATATAGACGTGGGACCAGGGGTCGTTGGAGTAGAGCTGCTGATTGAGCTGGGAACGGTTGTACTTGTATAAGTCGAAACAGCACCAAAAGGAGACAAGCTGCGATTAAATGAAGACTCAGCAGCTGAAGCAGAGTGCGGGACACTTAAAGAGTCCAAACTTCCTGAATCTGAAAACTCAGATAAAACAGAATCGTCCTTACTAGAAGTATCATCAGGCTTTTTTATTATAAGCCCCATCCTTCTTGCCGCTCTTGCAGCTTTTCCTTTCGTATCAGAAACGCTTCTAGTTCTTCCAACAAATGGTTGTACGTTAGACTGTTGTTTCATCTGCTCAAGTAACCTAAGATTCAACAAAGAAGAATGTGTACTCAAATATGATTTCAACTCACTTACCCAATCGAGGTCAGAGCTTTGCTTCTGTAAATTCTTTATTAAGTCGAGAGATGGTAATATTAATGGGTTTCTTGCCAATTCGATTAAATTTAAATTTTTCAAATCTGCTAAAACAGGCGATAAGTACTGAAACCTGTTATCTTTCAAAGATATTACTTTCAAATTTTTCAAGGAGGCAAAATCCGGAGGCAAATTACTTAGCCTGTTTGATGAAAGATCTAAAATCTCAAGCTGTGAAAGGCTCGTTAAGTATTCAGGTATCTTGGTTAAGTAATTGTTGTGCAAATCCAAATACTTCAAATTATTGGATAATAATTTAAAGTTTGAAGGGAGTTCGTAAAGATGATTATTTTGTAATGAAATTCTTTCTATTTCTATGCCAGGATGGTTCTCTCTCAAGTATTCATCGATGATTTCTATTACACTTTCAGTGAAATCCTCATTCTCTTGGATAAAGCTGCCCAAGTTAAGTGACTTCTTTGATTTGATCTGGTCTGTTCTCTCATTCAAGAGACCTAAGATTTTAAGCCGCGAGGGTGTAGTCATCACGATCCAGATTTTTAATGTACGTTGCCTTCAAGCTAAATATAAGGAATAGTTTATAGTCTGGCTAAGTAGCTGTGTTTCTAGATTGTAATAGGAGATACAGAAGTATGCAGATATCAAACAGATCTGAAATAAATTCTAGGCTTCAATTTACTACACAATTCTCAAATTTACGAAGCGACTAAAAACGAACGGACGGTTCAAATCTTTATGCCCTTTAAAATAGCATCAGATCTCTCTTGCCATACAGTTTTGCCACTACAACTACACACTTGCTTATCATTCTCCCAAATACCAGCACTCCTGGCAATTACTCCGCATAAAGAGTCGGGCGAGACCTTGTCTTTGAGACGGGACAAGATTATACTTCGGCCGATTAAATTATTAACGTCAAGATCAGCATGCAAAAATTCTTGACCCGAGTATGATTTGAGCTCTTTCGATGCTCCAATGGCATTGATGGTGGTAGACTCATCAGATGGCGTCTCAACATTTATTTCATTTAAATCATAGAAAAGACTTCCCGTAGAAAGCGCTCCAGCAGATAAATTACCAGACGATCTAATTGAGGGATAATACACACCCTTAGGTAGGCCATTAACAGTTAAGTCGATGAAGACGTCGCCAGGTCCGACACTGACAATTCTTGCCAATCCTTTAACTGGATTCTTCAAATCCTTTTCGTCAAATGACTCTAGAATACATACGGCAGCAGAGTTCGGATTGCCTGTACCTCTAATTATGGCATCTCTACCTGTTGCCTGAATTGCTTTCACAATCGTGCTTGGGGGAATAGAACCTTCTGTTGTCACCAAGTTAGAGTTCAAATTTATATCGTATTTCGAGATTCCCGGGAGAGCTTTCAAAGCTGTTGAAATCGACTCCACGCAAGACTGACACTCCAAAGGCACCTGAAGAACTATCTCAAATGAATTAGCCATTCTTTTTATTCTGCTTTGCTTTGATACCTTGATCTTAAGTTTTGCAATTATATATTAGTAATTAATTTGTATCGATTACACGAAAAATCAAGCTCGCCTAACACACTAAAAAGCACGTTCTTGTAGACAAACAAAAATTATAGGAACTTCTACTTACTAGCTAAGACAGGCACGAAATAATATTCATTTTTTTAAGAAGCCGACCTCTATCTTTCACATCTAATATATATCGTACTAAGTTATAATCATATTACAATCGTCAAAAGATTGCAATACAGGACTCTCATTTCAGCCTTTCGTACAAACCCATGTAGATGCGTACATGTTTGTTCTGTCAATGGATTGTCCACTCTCTCGAATCGCTGCCGCTCGACAAAAAAAACCCGAACCTTCAAAGGTTTTAAGATACCAAGGACATTTGGCAGCACTTCTCAACAACACTCTTCCGCCAGGAGCTAGACACTTTTTTAATGCGTCAATTTCTTTCTTTGCTTCCTGTCCATTGACATCAAACCAATCCATATGATCCATAATTATGGCAATAGTAACAGAATTCAGTTGAAGTCTTGAGAAGACATCAATTAAACTATCTGTATGCAATCTAATGTTATCAATAGGACATTTCTCAGAGGAATTTGATCGAGTTAATCTTTCATATCCTTTAGATGTAAGGTAGTCAGGGCAATTATCCAATGAATATTGTCCCATTAATGTGAGATAGTAGAAGTAATTATCGCTTGAAATTAAAGACCTTTCGATAACCGGATCCAAAGTATCTTCAATATATTTTAGCATTGAGCCACCAATCATTGCGGCCTGATTAGTAGGTACGCCCAAAGCTTTCCATAGGAAGGTAGGATTTTCAATCATAAAGGTTATAACTAGCTTATTGAATAAGCACGGTCTTATTTTATCTCTCCAAAGTTTTGTTTGTTCCTCCATTGTTCGACAGTTGCAAAGCTCTTTTATAGCATCGCCTAGACCAAAGAAAGTGAAAATAATTCGAGCCAACCTTAAAGCCCACCTGGTTGATCCTGTGTCATATAAGCCGTTTCCATTCTCATCAAAAGCTTTTTTACCGTGGTGTATCCAGTATTGGAACGCATTTGATGACATGTGTGGGCTTAGTTTATCAAGGAGTAATTCAGAAAAGTGATCAACTTTTCCCCGTCCAAACATTGACCAAATACTTTTAAGATCTAAACTTCTGAAGGATGCAAGCTTCAATTCCAATAAGTGGTTTTGACAGGGATTCAAATCAACAGCATGAATCGCCTTTGGAGCATTCAATAACGTTGCGTAAGAAAGAATATTATCACCGGCGGATGTTATGGCAAGAACAGTATCTTCTGATGAAAATTGCAATATTCTATTGTCCTCTCTAGGATCCTCCCATGTAAAAGAGTAGATATATTGATTCCTGAATTGCTCATGTCTTGGGTCAATTTCATCATAGTATAATCTCCAAATTTCTCGTTGATAATACATGGACGGAAAAGGTAAGTTTCTCTTCACATTTTCAAGTGCTGCTTCATGTCCCTTACTAATGGGAACGCTACCAATTTTGTCAGTAGATGAATTAACTTCAGTTGCCAAGCTATTAATCATATGAAGATCATCAAAGGGCTTCATTTTATGCGTTCCTATCCAAATGTAATATGGAATCTTTCCTAGTTTCATATTATAAGTATTCAAAGATTTAATAGTTCCAAATTTGTACTCAAGATATGTTCTCCTAGAGGACTCTAAGAATACGTTGTCTGCCTCAAACCAAATTCTCCAAAAATTTCTTAATATCCAAGGCACATTTCTCTTCACAAGACCGCCTAATGTATTGACCCTACCGATTGACGTTTCAACAGTTTGAATACCAAAATCAACGCATCCAACTATTCCATTAGTTGCCAAGATATTATTGGCGTTATCGATGACTGAGTTGAAGGTAGGAATCATAGACAAGGAGTAACTGAAAGTAACAAGATCGACGAATTGATTGTCAATTTTAAAGGATGTTGCATCACCAACCACCACATGGACATTAGTCCAATTTTTAGCCGCAAATCTCTGTTTTGCAACTTCACAAAGAGAAGGGCTCAAGTCCACTAAATATACAGCTTCGAAATTTTCAGCAATAGAAGAAACTGAATCCATATACGTAATATTCCAGCCAGTCCCACCTCCAATGTCGACCCATACAATGCCCGATTTCCTATTCAAGTGAGACATTGCTAAACGCAAACACTCTCTTCTACCCTTCAATAAAACCTCTCTCGTTTTGTCATATATACCTGCTTGACTACCATAGAAATTTTCAAGTGACTGCTGCTGCTCCAGAGGTTTCACCCTTAATTTGTATAATATGGGTTTGATAAAGCAAGCCCAGCCAAACATTATAACAAGGCGACATTTTTCTATCAAGTTGGGTTTAATCCAGGCCGTCAAAAAAACGACTAAGAGTATCATAACGACAAAGTTTACGAGGTGCGAAGCGTAAATAGCCTCAATCGGAATCTTCATCCTGGTTTCAAAAATTCGAATATAAGCACTAGCCTCAAGGGTGTTTAAGTGTTGCGAAATTAATAGTATATATAGCATTATATATAGATCTTCTAAGTTCAATGTCAAAGGAGGCACATGTATGACAAGCGTTCAACGTGGTCTTGCGAAACGTGCATGCGCTCCAACGTTTAGACCTACATGAATAAAATAGTAATAAATCTAAATCACAAAGAGGTATCTGGGCTGTTTCAAAGCGCGACTAGCTGTATTTGGATATAATGTCATCGTTTTCATCTTCTAACCTTCTTAAAAGATAATCTACCTCTACTTTTTTTGTCAATGGAATAATATATTCCTTATATAGCTTTGCAATCACTTTAGGATCGACTTTACTTTGAGGATTTTGACTATATTTCAATGATGGGTCTATACCATAACTTTCCCCTTTAATTACTAGGCGGTCTAAAATCTTTGCTTCGAGAGCAGTATTTGTAATAGACTTTTCTATTCCTTTCACGTCCCCTGAGATTATGAGTTTAACATACTCAGCTTTATCAGCTAAATACTTAGCTTCTGCAACAAATAAACCGAAATGAATTCTTCTTGATATTGCTTGTAGACAGTCAATATCACATGTCGACACTGAGCCTAAATTTTCTTTCTGCTCACCTTTCTTACAGCTGATTTGAGGTACAATTTCTTCAACGTAAAATTGCTTTATGGTGGAATTAACATTTATTTGTCTCGAGTAGGATGCAAGAACCTTCGGATATTCTATTGGAGGAAGAATCGATGGTAGTAATTGGTCGGGAAAAAACGGTACTTCATCTGGTGCCTCATACCTTCTGATCTGTGAATGTGTTCTCTCCATTTGTAAAAGGGCCCAGTCTAAGAATGAACCATCAAAACCTGGAATTTGAAATTTATTCTTCTCATACACGGAAGGCGAAGAATAAAATTGTGAACGTTCAATTAATGCAAACACTATAGTGTCCTCCATTCGAATCAATGCTTCCCGGATATTTCCCAAATCAAGGACTGTTTCTGGTTTCATAAAATCCATCTCGTTTCTCTTTATCAATTATGTCAATGACGGCTTACTTTTTTTGAACCCCGTTAATTAAAAAGTTTTTGACCGATAAAATGAGGAAACTGTCGCGTTCTAGTTCTACATTTTGAGAAGAGTTAGAAGATTATTAAATAAACCGTACTACGTATATAGAGTCTTTCAGTTAAATTTTTTAAGCTGATCTTGAGCGTACTTAGTTAACATCGCTTGATCTTCTTTCTTGAGCTGTTCCATTTTTTCGTCGCCTTTATCCATAAAATAAGACCTTCTAAAAGTCAAAAATCTCTTTAGTCTTTCAAATCTTGAAGTACCTTCACCGTAGTTATCGTATGTCTGCTGCAAATCTTGCATTGACTTCAAGTTATGCAAATTGGTTTGTCTAACATATTCATTAGATCTCTCTATTACTAGCATCATTTGAATTGCAAATGATAAGCCAGCAACGACTAGTACGCCGGCTAGAATCCTGTACTTGTTCTTTTCAAATTCTTCTTTTGTTGGAGGAGGTCTTTTGTACTTCATTCGATAGTAGTCTTCCCAAGTTCCCGCTGTCCAAAACTCTTCATCCTTCAGAAAATTGTGACTACTTCTATGTGAGTTTGCCATTCTGTATGCTTCAAAGCTACTAGCACCAGGCTTGTAGCTATCCCATGTTGTACTTTCATAACGTTTATATGCTAATCTTCTCTTGGGGTTTTTAAGGATCTCATACGCATTTCGAATTTGATCGAATCTATCTCTTTTCATGTCACTGGTGAGAACCTTGTGCTTGTTATCGTATATGGTCAAATGCTTGGAGATATCAGGATGATATATTTTTATGAATTTGGAGTAATTATTCTTTAAAAGGTTATTAAAGTCAGTGACAGATAAGTTCTTTTGCTCATCTTTGATGTCAAAGATCTCAAACGGACTGGGCCGTTTTGAAGTCGGCCAAGGAGGCAAGTTGAACTTTTCATGAGGATCAAATGATTCTGCTGATGTGGCATAGCATCTTATCGACCTCAACTGTTTAAAATTACGTCTTATCATGGTCAAAGTTCCTAAATTCTGAAAAGTGTATGATTTAGAGTCAATGATACCAATCTGTTTGTCGCAACTTTAAATGGTGTGCGAATTGTCTCCCCTTAAATCTTTACTGCTATAACATTAGATAGAGAATATTAAGTATTTTAAAGAGATGAAATAAAAGAAGCTATAGCTTTCTTTTCATGTTTATAATATATGTCTGAATTATAAGAATATCTCTACAAAGTGTCTTTTGTCCATAGTTCATTCAAGTCAACCCTCTTAATGAAAATAAATTGAGTTGCAATTAAGCATGAAACCATAATATACTACAAATGCATCCCTTTTCGTCTCCTCTCATTCGGCTTTCTGGACCTTTTCACACTTTGTGTTAAGATATTCTTCCATTCTACATGTACCAACTTTATTCACCGCACCCTTCTTGAAAGAGCCACTGTAATATGTTGATACATTATGCGGGGTCAAGAGTTGACATATTTACAAAAGTAACAAGACATCAAGTAAACAAGTAGCTAATTGATGAAATTTATCCTTTCATATATCCCTTCATATATCCCTTCATATATCTATAATGTTAGATAACCGTTCTCTATGCATTTAAACGGGTGTGCACCTCGGTCTGAGAACCCACGAATATTGTGGTCCGGAGCAAAAACAGTAATGGAGAAGTCCTGAAACTAAACTTTACTCAGGTAATCAATCAATAAGAAATCAAAAACAGGTCAAATAGTATAAAGTATTAAATTATATTGATAACATGGCTGTATTCTCATCTTTGTCTTCATTTTTCAGGAGAAATAAACGGAAATTGATAATTTCTACGTCACTAACTATTACCTTATACTTTTTATTTGATCATTTCGTTATCAAGAAATTAAAAAACTTTCAAAATTCCTTAAGGCAAGAGTTAATTTTCAAAGAACAAATCAAAAGAAGGTTTCTTCAAACCCAACAAGACTGTTATTATACAATTCTCGCATTGCTACCTGTTTTAAGTGATCCAATAATTAAGCATGTTCCCGTCGAGTTGATAACACAGGCCCTAAAGTTGAAGAAATCAAATCAGAGTAATCTCGAGATGAGTGACTCCTTGTTGACAACTGACAATTTAAGCTTGCATGAGAATAATGACAATTTAGAGTTGTCAAAATACATAAACAAGTCAAAAAATGAATTATGGAATGCCTTGAAAATAAAGACGTTGACCAGGTCGTTAACTCTAATTTACGCCTTAAGCGGATTGCTTCTTATTACCAGACTTCAATTGAATATACTTGCTAGAAGATCATACTTAGAACTGGCAATAGTAATGGCGGGAGGAAAATTACCCAATGATATTAATGAAGGGGAGAATTATTTAATAGAGCAAAGCTACTTGTCACTCAGCTGGTGGTTATTAAATAAAGGGTGGCTCACAGTAAGTGATACCATTGAAGAGATTGTATCAAAAAAATTTAGAAAAGTCAACGCAAGAACTGAGCTTTCTTTGGACGACTTTAATCAATTGCTTAATGAAATTCTTGATGAGCTATGTATAGAAAAAAGAGAAGAAGTTTTTCAATCTCTTTTTCCTATAACTTATGACAACTTAGTTGAGTCATTACTCAATACAAACCCTGATTTGATTAGAGAGTTAGATGTTCGTGACTCAAATTTGTTAAAGTTGATCAATGAGACAAAATATTTAATCAAAACAGAAATATTCAATGACATACTAATCAAGTTATTACATAATGGAAAATCAACTTTAATCAATAATGTTGCGGTCAATTTAAACCCCTCATTACTATTGAACAACTCAGATAAGATTGAATTAATCGATGATAAACCATTTAAGCTAGCTAGTTTCTTAGCCCAATTATCAGTACAGAACAATATTTTAGTGGATAATAACTGTTTAGACGGTACACAGCATAGCGAGTTGTCAGGTAATGTTTTTGTAAACAATATGAATGACTTGGAAGAGCTCGATGAGTTTAGTGCAGGTATATATTCGAATTTTGAGTGAGTCACCAATAAGCTACGTTAATCGAAGCTTATTAACTATACTAGGATATCAGAATTCCTTCCATGTAGCAACTAAATATAAATTCAATGGTAATTAACATTCCATCAAACTGTAAAATTTCTGCTCTGCACACAAACATTACAATTAATGAGAAATGCAATTCAATCCAATCCAAATCCATGACTTGTAACATCGTAATATTAAAATTAGGTGAATTTTTATCAGGAAATATACACAGGTTTTGGTACCTCATCTTAAATTTGTGAATTATCTCAAGTGGTTGCCTCTTGTTAATAAAAGCTGTTTATATTAAACTTACTAATTTCCTTCACACCATAAATTACGGACGCTATCAATAATTTATGACCATGTCTTCACCTAAAGTGATAATTATTTCTGCTGATGATGAAAAATTTACCGTGGAACCCAAAATAGCTGAAAAGTCTGTTTTGATTAAGCATATGATTAATGATTTGAATCCCGATGGTTTACAGGAAGACTTCGAAATCCCTACGCCGAATGTAAGAGCAAATGTCCTCTCCAAGGTATTAGAATGGTGTGAACATCATAAGAATACAATTTTTCCTGACGACGATGATGAAGATGCAAGAAAATCAGCCCCAGTCGATGAATGGGATAAAAATTTCCTCAAGGTAGACCAAGAAATGTTGTATGAAATCATTCTAGCTGCAAACTATTTGAATATTCGTCCCTTACTCGACTCAGGATGCAAGATTGTGGCAGAAATGATTAGAGGGAAATCGCCTGAAGAGTTGAGAAGAACTTTTAATATTGTCAATGATTTCAGCCCAGAAGAAGAAGCAGCCATCAGAAGAGAAAATGAATGGGCTGAAGACAGATAGTAGCTCTAAAAATTGACTAAGGCACGATGTGAGCTTATTTATATATATGTATGCATGTATAACTACTCATTGCGCTTTAAGACTAAGATAATATTACTACACTAAATTTTACTCTTTATTCATAAGCATGGAAGCTTATGGCTATTTCTTGCTTTAGTACAAGATTCAGTAGCCGTTGATGCTGATTATGTTTTAACACTGATTATACAATCCATATCGTTAGTTGCGGACCTGAATTTTTAACCTGAACGTACTTCTGAAACATATTGAGTATTGGACACTACTGTAATATGAAACCCTTGCAAGAATCTATTATCGCAAAATTTTGCCGACTTACTTGTGCGTACACAGAATTTAAAGTGTAAATATATCTTTGAGTACTGGGGCTAGATGGAAGATGCCTCCAAGTGATAGTAATGATAATTTTCATAGATTTGATTCTTCCTATTTACTGAAGTTACCGCTTTTGCCTACAAATGAGTTAAATAAGATTGAGCAGGACTTGGCGGATGAATTCAAGAGTGCGAGCAAGGAATATGTTATCTCCAGGTTGTCAAGGATTAACCATGTATTAGATGAACTCAATTATCACATAAGAGTCTTTACGGAGAATGATTTAAACTGGTCAAGAATATACAACTTTGAGATTGAGACGATCAGTAACATGAAAACGAATACCGAAGACTATATTCTCTTAGATACGGGTCTAATAAGGAGTAAGCGAGAAGTTATAACTGATTTAGTAGACTATGAGGAGGAATTTAGAGAGATTATTAAGAACTTACAAAGTCCGCTAGAATTTGATCGCCATTTTATCAAGGGAAATGCTAATGAGAATAATATACCTTTTGCAGCTCAGTTTGACAAGATTTTAGATCCTTTCAAAAAAGACTTAGAAATATCACTGAATGAAATGCACTACCAAAATAACCTTGTTTCATTAGATTCAAAGAGAAATGCAATGATTATATGGAAACAATATTATCAAAATCTTTTGAATGGTAAAAGGGAGCTAATCGACAGAACATACCTGGAACTCAACGAATTATACAAAGAATATTACGAAATAAATGCTAATGAAATGAATTGTTTGGCCTGGAAGCGTTACTATCGCTCATTGGTTAGTCCAACGGATTTAAAGAGAGTTTACGAAGAACAAAATCAGCATCCTTTAGATGGAAAAACCAGTCACGATAGCTACTATTACATTGACAATATATATTATCCTAAGAACAAGGTCGAATTGACTGACGCTAAATATAGAGATTTGGAGAGCTTAAAAACATTTGAGGTGGAGCAAAAAAGAAATTATCAAAACAACGACCAATGTTTAAGGTTGGATTCTTGCTCAGGCTTGAATAATGATGAAATTGAAAGTGACTTAAAACTATTGAGAAGTGATGATCTCAGTGAGACAGTGCCCACAGAAGCCTCTCCCTTAGATCCAATGGAACTGAGCCCTGCAGAACCCATTGATAAATATGGATCAGAATATGATAAAAAAAATAGCGAGCATGACGTAACCTTTCGAAGGAAGTATAGGCGTTTGCTTGAAGTTTCTTCTCGTTCAGGATATTCATCTATTCCAAGTTTCAATTCATCTTCAACTGTCACGTATCCGAACAACCCAGCAACATCTGGAAGACAATTGAAACCATTCGTATTGCCTGAAATACCTCCTATTGAGAGATTTCAAAATTTCAACAGAAGAGAATAAAGTTTTGTATGTAATCTTCGATTTATGTTTGTCAGTCTATTCCTTCTCTAATAATACACTTGCATTTTTCAAATTACTTTCTTGAATTGATTTATCCAAAGAATCAATTAGACTAACTGATCTATCTGAAAAATTAGATAGTGTGAATTTATCTCCAGCCTGGAGGCCGTAAGCTTCAGGATCTTTTTCCAAAATATATTTCAACCATTCATAAAGGATCAGCACCCTATCATCGACTAAAAGCTTTCGCACTAGTCTTTTTCCATTTGGGAACCTTACTTGAATCCTCGTAGTATTTCCTGAGTCCGGTTCAGGGTGGTCCCTAGGCTCTATGTAGACGAAGGGGTCACTTTGTTTTGGTATCGTTGGAACCGGTATTGTATTCTCCTGTTCATCGGAATCTGTAATAGAAATAGCATTGCTTTCACTTGTTCCTTCATTATCCATCATAGACTGTTTCATCGCAAATTCTATCTGCTGTTCTTCAGTCAAGGTATCAGGATCAAACTTTACTGGATGTTCCACCATAGGATTATTGGAACTAGATGATAGAGAGAACCTCAGTAGAAAAGCTTCCACATCTGAAATCCACTCTTCCACATCTGGAACTACTCCATCAGTCCACTGGAACACTCTTTCACCAGTTAATGGGTCCAAAATTGCTATATGGGGAAATTTAGTTGTTGAATAGAATTGCAAATAAGTTATTCCATTCGGTGAGTCATTTTGATATTGAAGGAATATAAAAGACTTTTTAATCTCTGACTTTATTCTAGAATTTGACCAGAAGTCCCTATTCAAAATTTGACAACTGAATTCGGTAGAATCTTGAACATTGACCAATATCCATTTCTTTTGTTTCCTACCTTCGAGCTTTGCTGTATCTATATCAAACTTGGACATTAAGTCAAAAGGAGGTCTGAACAAATTTGCTAAGCGCCTTTGCGTAGAAGTGAGTTCCGACTGACGATTTTCCCTGTGAGCTCCTCTTCTAGACCTTGGTCGATCACCCTCTTCTTCATCACTATCTAGAATCATCACTTCATCTTCGGTATCTTCATAGGGTTCATCAGAGTTGGTTCCTGATATTCTACCATTATAGTAATCATTCTCTTCTTCGTCAAACCTTTGATTGAAAATTCCTACTCTTCCTCTACCAAAAATATCGGTTGGCCTTGGCTGGTTTGTCGGGGAGAAAAAACTATCCATATTGTCTACCAAGGTTTCATGCCTATGGATATTGGAGTCCGCATCACGTACTATAGAGTTCCTATCTTCATTCTCATATGTTTCTTGTTGTAATCTGGCAGCATACTCTTCATCATTTCCTGAATTAGTTGATGCTGCTTGTGGATGATGTGATTCCATGTATAAAGTGACAGCATACTCCAAGTCTCCATTTGTGAGTTCCAAGAAATGCTTGGCAAGCGATTCATCTTTTGCACCTGTTACAGCCAAAAAGGTCGATTCTTGGTCATCCATGATTACCTATACTGTTTTGGTAGGCATTCTTATCGGAGAGCTAGCCTTTCAAAGGACCTGGTTGAAACATGTCGCATAAGCGTGACAGTTTTTACAGCGACAAAGTAAGACATTACGTATTTCACAACGATTGCGGAGTGGTTCATATTAATTCTCTGTCATTTAGACAATAGATACAATTTGATCCACACTAATCAATCATTTATAAAGACAAATACTTGTCGGGGGAGAGAATCATTAAAACCTGAAGCAGCTGAAAAGTGAGGATATACTTGAGTTGGCATTTTCCTTCTTTGTTTCACATTGCATTACGAAAGAAGTCAAACATCAATAAGGCGGCTAATTAATAGACAAATTTGCTGTCAACTACATTCAAAGAGGCTGCCTGTGAGCTCATCCGTATAACCCTTTTGACGACACGCTTATCATATATCACGAAACTTGCATTTTAATTACGCATTTTTTTAATTTATTATCCATTACATTCTTGTTAAACAAACACTTTATGTTAATTTAAAGACCTAGTGGTAAATTTAGTTCTATTGATCAGTTGGGACTCTTCAGATTAATAATTTGTACGAATTCTGTTTCTTTTTCGTCCTTTTCTTTTAAAAAAAAAATTGATTAGACATAAGCATTTTTATCCACCTCCAACCATCCAATTTTGAATAATATCCGGCAGGGCATCCTATCTCAAGAATTCAATTGTCTCATATTGGCTTGAGGAACATTTTGTTAAGTTTTGTTTCCTTTGGTTCTCGATAGAATTTGGACTAAAATTGAATGTCCGATTCGTGATGATCAGTGATTATGAAAAATACGACAAAGGTGAGTTACTAAGAGGAAAATATCGTAAGATAGCGGATATAAGTGAAGGTTCTTATGGAATCGTATCATTGGCTAAGGATGTGAAGAACAACGATAGGCTACTCGCCGTAAAGTTTATTTATCCCTTGAATTACAAAAGAAATAATCCTAAAAACTCCTCATCTCTAACTAAATTGAGATCAAAATCATCTTCGTTACTTCTGGAAAGTGAACTCTCAATATTAAAGGCTCTTTACGGAGAGGCTTCGAAAGAAATTGAAATTCACAAGAAATTGGGGATTCACCCAAATGTGACGACATTATATGACAACTTTGACTCCTGCCTAGTTTTGGATTATTGCTCAAAAGGTGACCTATATGAGGCGATTCAAAAAGGTCACGGACCAGCTACTTCACAGGATATTAAAGACGTGTTTTCGCAAATTTTAACGGCACTAGAGTATTGCCATTCGCATTCTGTTTATCATAGAGATTTGAAACCAGAAAATATCTTAATAGCAGAGGACTGGTCAATTAAAATATGTGACTGGGGATTAGCAACAACTAATAAAATCATCACAGATAGACGTGAATTTGATATTGGATCAGAAAGATATATGGCCCCAGAGTTATTCGATTCTAGTGTTGAGTCTTATGATGCATCGAAGGTAGATTTATGGTCTACTGGAATCATCTTACTAACTTTAGTCTTCCACAAGAATCCGTTCCAAGTAGCCTCTTATTCAGATAAGGCGTTTCTTCAATTCGCACGCAATAGAGAAGCATTATTCGACATATTCTCTACAATGAGCAGCGAAATGTTTTCCGTTTTACGGTTCTGTTTAAATATCGATCCCGCAAATCGAGACTTATCAAGTTTAAGATCTGAGTTAAAATTATTGAAGTATTTTACGATAGATGAAGAGTACTTGGCAAGCGATTACGAAGAAGACGTCGACTTGGATGAAGAGAATTTCGAAGATGATGACTTTTATTATGGCAAAGGTGACAAGTCGCTATCTTTGTCTCCAGTTAAACGCCTACCGGTAATCAATTCGTATGAAGATGAAATGCAAATACCCATGAAGCTTCACACTTCTCCCCCTCAGACTGCTGACAGCGACAACAGTAGGAGCTCGAGATGTTTTGTGTCATCGACTCAGCTGGATGATGCTTCTATGCAACATAACCCTAGAGCAGATGCGTTATTATCTGCAAATACGGATTTGAAACCAATTCCCATTAATGAGTCTGGTTTCAGGTTCACTCGAAACGCAAGAAAACCTTTCAATGTTGCTTCATATCATCAAGCCTCTCAAAATACTTGGAACAAGTCCTCTAACTCTAGATTCAATCGTGAAGATTATTTTACTCCCAAATCTATCATGAATCATTATATGGATAAGTATGGAGATCAAAGACACTCAAATAATGGGAAGCTTCATAATGATACTCTAGAATTGAAGAAGAGCGGGAATAATCGTCACTCATGGAAGAGAAACACAAGGGATGGTAACTCAAATGGGCCAAATCATAGAATCTATAACAAGAATCATAATGATAACCAGCGTTATCACCCCCCTTCTGATAGTTATTGCAGCACATCTTCTCAAACTCCAAAGAGGAAGTCTAATCTGTTCTCAAAATCAAGGTGTGCTATTTCGACGGCTCATAACTCTGGTCAACAAGGCGTATCACCTCATTCGACTTCCATGCTATCTTCTCATGGGAAATATGTCCCACCTTTCTTGAGATCTCCACATTATCGATCTCCGGAAATTGCTCCATTATCTGAAAGGATTGGTGATTTAAGTCTTGATGATGAAGATGAAGTATTCCATTTAGAGGATGATTTTGATTTTACTAACAACGGTAAACAATTGGGCTCTAATGTTTCTCCAAGCGAAAAACCGCTGATACTGACAGTATCAACAGGCTTGAATGGAGATATGAATTTTAAAAGACCTAATTTTAGAGAACCTTTTTATGCTTCAGATCAGGCCAGTGAGAGTGGAATTGGTAGCGGGCTGAGAGCACCTATTTCCTCAGGAGCTCGTAGTAATGATAAGCGTCAAATATTTAATTTCGATTCTCAAAGGCCGTCTTCGACTGGGCTTGCCGGTGATAGTGATGCTGAATCATCTTTATCGGTATCTTCAGCGTCTTCAGTTGGAAAATATATTCCACCTTTTAGAAGAGGATCACATCCCGCGAATATACCTTCTGCGATGACAACGGGTAGAGGTCACCGTGTCTCCGAGAAGCGGCATACGGATTCTAGCCTGAAGGCTCGAAATTTTAAGCCCTTGAAATCATTTGATTGTATTTCTGAAGTCTCGTCATCTCTTCCAGCTGACAAGTCTGATTGGTTTTCTCTCAAGAGAGAATAACGTTCGACGATCTACATGTCTCGCGTGGGTTTTTGTGCCAAGTAATGGACAAGCTGAGCGTTTTGATTATGTACTTAGTATATAGTTCTCATACAGAAATTAAATTAAGCGTCTCGCTAACCTTCACACTTTTTGGTAATACAATATCTCATTGTATATGCCAATCAGAGATATAAACTAGAATACAATTTATTTTTATTAGCCTTGGTTATGAAGCATTGCTTAAAATTGAATGCGCATAGCATAAACTACAAGCCACTTCTATTACCGTGCTCTGCGAGACTTGGCTTATACAAGTTTCGTGTACTGGGCACACTTATTTTTGCGATAAGAAATTGTGGTTTCAGAAGTCCTTAGGAACCCGATTCTTGTATTATCTCTACACTCAGGATAAAAATTAAGTGAAAATCAAAAATCTTTCAACATTTCCCGAATTTCTTTACTCGACGGCACTGTTCGGTCTTGGAGAAGCTCGTTCTGTTTTCTATGTTTGAGTACAAACTCACCCTCTGAAGGACCGAATTTCTTGACTAACTTGGAGTAGAATAAACCACAAGCATTACACAATGTCCTAGCCCCATCTGGTCCTCTTCTCCATTCAGGTGTATCATCTGCTGCGCAATGCTTACAAGCAATGCTTTTTGCTCTGTTTCGTTTGGATTTTTGTTTGGTTACTTTAGTTGATGCCCTACCACTTCTGGGGAACGCCGTACAACTTTTTTTTGTACCTTCAGATCGATCAACTCGAGTTCTACTGAAAATTTTAAGATCTTCCGCTGAACTATGCCCAAAATCAGGTATAGAATTGGTCTTGTTGTCTTGAGATAAATCTATTGCATTCAATATTTCTTCTTCGATGTAGTCATATTTCATCAGCTCTAACTCTCCTAAAATATTTGCGAAGTCTAATAAAGAAGTTTTCATATTTTTATACATTACATCAGGAATTTCTTTAACCCAGCCCCTAAAATGCTCTCTTGCAGTCAGAATGGTTCTGCGCTCACTATCCCTTGAAGAAAGGAGATCAGCGTTTTTATTGAATTCTATATCGCTCTTCGTTGTAATAGAATCCATCTTTTTGTTCATCTCTTTGATACACCTTGTGAAGTTATCTGAAGTCAAAAAAAATTGTATTAAAGAATGAAATGCCTTCTCTTCCAGTTTCTTAGTTTGCGATGACATTGAATAGTGCTTTGCAACAGACGTATTAGCAAGAGTGGATAAATTTTCAGAACAATTTGAATTCGATCTATTGCCTGATTTCTCATAATACCCCATGTAAAGTGAGTCTCTGGTTTTAAAAGTCCAACTATCCGTCTCGTAGTTTACCGTGTCAATTGGTCCATCACTGACTGAGATACTCGACGCTGAAATAGTTCTTTTCGTAGTTTCATCACTAACGTAATCTCTCCATTTCTCAATTTGACCTATCAATTCTCGAAAAGGGGGAAGAGGTGTAATGCTATCAAATTTTCTGTGATAATTGAGATCTAAAGTTCTAGGAATATTCTTTGCGGTACTGTTCTCAAATGTTAAGGGTAAGATCCCAGTAGAACAGCCTTTTTCTCCCACAACTAGTTGATTCATTTGCTGGACAACACCTTTCGGTGATATATTTTGTTACAATCATCCCTTTTATAAGAGATCAATTTTAAGTAATGCCCTGTAGAACTGAATTGAGATGCTTTTTGTTATAACAGATACTTGAACACTAGCCGATCAAAAATTATTGCAGCCATTAACTTAGTCAAAAATAACACAAAATGAAGAAGTCGAGACGTTTGAAGTGCGTTTTGTGTCATGTTTTACATTCAAAATCTGAAACACCAGACTACCACATTTACAATAGTACTTAAGAGAATTCATCTGCTACACATTCAGAAGTGATTCTTAGAAATTTCGGTGCCACTCCATTTTTGTTTCCTAGAAGGAATCAACCATATCCCATTTTGAGCAATTGTGAGAAGCTGAGATTTCTTCTCCATATAGGGACTGTTATTTCAGTTGAAGCAAAGTGACTGTCGCTACTGTAGCAGACTGGGAAGACCAGAAAGAAAGGAAAGAAACTTTGCTCACTAATAAAGGAAAGGATTGTTCAGATATTGCGTTGAAACTGCGTTACTGTTCATAGGTAACTTTAAACTGCATAATCCTGCTTTCTTTGTGAAAAATACCGTGCAGAATCAAGAACAATGGAAGAGCTGAGGGCTAGACACAGTGATATCAAGGCCGAAAATAACCAAGAGCTAGCAGAGGAAGTCAAGGAATCGCTTAGGCTCATTGAAGATTTAAAATTTTTCTTGGCTACTGCTCCAGCGAATTGGCAGGAGAACCAAGTAATTCGAAGATATTATTTAAATCATGACGAGGGATTCGTGAGTTGCGTTTATTGGAATAATCTTTACTTCATCACTGGTACTGATATCGTTAGATGTATAGTCTACAAATTTGAGCATTTTGGACGCAAGATCATTGACAGAAAGAAATTCGAAGAAGGGATTTTCTCTGACTTAAGAAATTTGAAATGCGGAACTGATGCTATATTGGAATCTCCAAGGTCAGAATTCTTAGAGTTTTTATTCAAGAATTCCTGCTTAAGAACACAAAAAAAGCAAAAAGTTTTCTTTTGGTTCAATGTTCCGCATGACAAATTAATGGCCGATGCATTGGAGAGGGATTTAAAGAAGGAAAAACTGGGCCAGAATTCAACGACTGTCGCTCAGAGAGAACCTGCATTATCATTTCAGTACGATGAGACTAAAAGCTTGTATTCTCAGCTCTCTGATCATATGGACGCACAGAAAAAGCTAAATGGTTCTCCAAATGATGATTTTCAATCCAATTTGATGTCGGCCGCTATTCAGAGAGAAAAAGGAAGCTACGAACTTTTGGCTAGAAATACACCTCAATTCAAAGATGGGTCGGATTATGAAGATGATTTTCCATTAGATTATTTCGATAATGATATTGATGTTTCTGGCGAATCTAATGACTATATCACTTTAGACCCAAGTATTCATCAGGGCTCATATAACAATCTACTTGATGAGAACTATGATTCCATTGTTGATCCTTCTGTATTTACTCATCCAAAAGTCTCCGCATCAACTTCCAGTCAGCTCATCTATAACGATGAATACTTAATAGAGCAAACACAGCAAATAAAGACTCCCATAGCTCCCGTCTCTGCTGCTGCCTTACATCGACTCCAAAACAGACATCCCACTAATTTAATGACATCTTCAGCTGAAGAAGCATATCAAACATTTTCGCCAGTGCCACTTTCAGCTAAGTTCACGAATCATAAATACCAATATCCAGGAATTTCGCACAACCATAGTCATACGCAGCAAGGACATTTTCATCCACTAGGTGACCAGGGCACTATTTACACGAGTCATGTTGATAGCCCAATTGTGGGAATTAATGCATATGGTTACGCTGACCAGGATTTTGTTTCATCGGCTCCTTCAGGTTATAACGGTTCAATGGATCAATTAATATCTGCACCACAGGTTCAGCCATATATGGTAATGGGAGATCTGGAGTATTTTGTTCCTAATCATGTTTATGTCAACCCATCAAAAATGAATGCATTACAAAATCATCACTATGCATATCCTGTATCTTCCACGCGGCAACAACAAATTAGTGCGAATATGATGAAAAAAAAGAGAATGATGCTCCAGCAGCAGAGACAGAAAGTTAATTACGTTTCTAAGAATACAATTGAGAAGACTCAAAATACAAATAAATTCGGAAGTGCGGAAGAATTGATGAGATCTAAGGTTACAAATCTAATCAACTATAGAAGAGACGATTTGAAATCTGATACGACAGAGACATTGATTCCGACACCCGAATCATCTATAACTAATACATCAGATCAAAATATCTCCAACACACTGTCCAGAGGAATTTAACAATGACACTTCGAGTAAGAAAATATTTCTTGGAGTTCAAATAGATTCAATTGACGTCTATATATTTCTTTACTTCTCTTTTTGTTTTACAGGTTTATCTTATTAAATGTATTACGAATAATGAATAATTAAAAAAATTCAACCCCTACTATAATACTCTATGAGTTTCCTTTGCGGTAGAGATAAATCTTGAATTATCTTATCAATAAGCAGCTCGCTAGATACGTCAATTTCGTTCGAGACAGCAATTTTATTCCTTGCTGATTTCAATATGATACTATAACAGAGAACAACAGCTCTTCTTATTTCTACTACCTCATTATCAATGAAACATCTGATCAAATTATCCAATTGTTTGACAAAAGCATCATTTAAAAGAAAAGACACTGAACATACGTTAAGTAACTTGGAGATACATTCCAACAAGAATAATGAATGGACCCCTTGTGATGAGTATTCTGAACGTCCAAAATGTGAAAATAGAGCAATAAAAAGATTTGCACTAGTATAAATCCCTGAAAGCATCTCATCATAACATTCAGACAAAGCATAGTATAGTTGATCAAAGAAATCATCAGCACGATCACTCAAAGAGATCAAAATTAGAAGTAACTGGTCCAAATTTAATTCTACCCTGTTGATGAGTAGTTGTTTAATTATTATCAACCCATTGAATATTTCGGATCTAGAAAGCTTTCCATTAAAATAATCCCATAATGACCTTTCAAGTTTAAGCTTACCAGCTGTCTTGAAATAACTTAAGAACTCTGAAGAATACTCTCGCAATTCTTGCAAAATACCTAGCAATGTAACAAGCTCGTTGCTATTAATATTTTTTTCTGCGAGTAAGAGGCATATATTTTCAAATTGACCCTGACAACTTTGCAGATCACAACCCATAGAACTAACTCGGGTATAACTGGATAAGCGAAAATTGAACCAATTCAAATCAGAATAATTATATTCTTTTACCTTCTGTGGTGACGCATGGTGATTCATATCCTCGTATATATTGATGGGCCTGTTTTTACTCGAAACATTGCTCAATGGATCCAGTCTCTCAATAAATTTCTGAATATCCTCACCTTGTTTGGGCAGCTTAGCAATCTCGAACTGAGCAAAGTCATCAGCTAACTCACTTTGTTCATCTCCCTTGTGCAATTTTGAGAATAGATCTGACTTTTTGGTATTCACAGAGTAGTCTACGAACACATTCGGCCTATGAGACAGCGTCGGCCCGGAGCAAGAATCACCACCATTTTGGTGACCTTCATTGTTGATTTGTGAGGTACCATCCATGAGGGCAGATTGTTCTCTTTCAACATAATCATCAAGCTTGACAGCTTTGTAATCTACGTCCATACTATCACATTCTTGACTGTAAGCAGAGTTATTGTGACTACTAGAGGTCTCTGCATTAAGATTGAAGTTTTGTAACTTCAGAGGCTCACTAAAATCAGATTCTTTGTTCAGAACTAAACGAATATCCAGCTTTTTGGGAATGAAAGTAAAATCATGGTCATCTTTTGCAACAGGTACTAACATAGTAAAGTCTGTGCTCATCTTCACGGGAGAAAAGTTTTCTTCAGCTTTTGATGGATCCACCTTCGTGAGATCAAATAAAGATTCATAATTATCATCAAATATGTTCATATTGTTATCAAGGACCAAGGTATGGTCTACACCGACAATAACTTCAACGTCTTCTTTAGTCACATCGTCTCTCAAGCCAAGTTCAGATCCGAACAAAGTTGGATTAATCGAATAAAGTTTCCCTAACAAGCTAGAAAACATAGGAAAAATATCAGTATATCTCAAAAGACCAATTAAATCTAACAAGTTAGAGGTCAATTTCAGAAAATGTCTGTCTGTAATGGGAATTTTATCTAATCCTTTTAAAAGTAGTTGTATAATCAGCAGGATAATTATTGATTTATATTTTATTATCAGCATAGTTAATTCACCGTCATCATCAAGTATATTGGAAACGCTTACAGCATACGAAAGTAGTCGATTCATTGATTCGTATAAGTCATCAACATTAACGGCAGAAATAAGTAAATCGACAGTTTTGTTTTCGATCGGACTTTTTAAAATACAACAGGTTCTAATATAATCATCTGGTTTCAAAAACTGAGAGGTTCTTTTGAACAAGTTATCAGTAGTCAAAAATAGCGGTTCGAGCAAGTGTGGCTGTCTGATTGATATTTTTCTTAACATTTCATTTATGTCAGATGATAAGTCCTCGTCACCCATTACTGCATACTTAAGAAGATTGACACCTTCTATTACCAAATCTGTTTGATTAGAAGATAAAAACTTCAAAATAGGATCTTTATGTTTATCGAATGCTAATTGAGAGTTCTTTATACTCGAGATATCTCTAGTTAAATCAATAACCATATTATCTTTTCGAAGGCTATCCACACTCAATGGAGAGGAAACTTTAATCGCTAGGTCTTTAGAGGGAGCAGAAGTGCTAACCGAAATTGCTTGTTTTCCCTCTTCAAAAACCTTAGTTTCAGATTCTGGGTTCAAATATTGTCTCTTATTATGACTAGGATCGATCGCATCCTTACTGCCTTGCCTATGATTCGGTTGCAATTCTGAATTCGGTCCTGAGGATGGCCTAGAAAGAACTGTCATTTCTTTCTGCCTGCTACGTAATTCCTTATTTTTAGCAATGATCGATTTTTTCAATGAAGGACGCTCTTTGTTATTCGAGATTAAAGGAGCTGAATGAACTTTCTGCTCATCCGCCCTTGATCTTTGAATTGCCCTAACGACATTTGTATCTACCTTTGACAAAACGGCCCCCGCATCATTTGGAAAGTATTTCCAAAAGATCCAATAGGATTCTCTTCCGACTTGACGAACTTTTGGATTTGGGTCAGAAAGAAGTCTTATAACTGTTTTAGTTGAAACCTCAATTCCGTTTGTAATGCTATTGTTGACGAATGAGTTTTCGTTATGGAATCTTATTATGAAAATTTGCAACCAAACTCCACCATACGTTCGGGGTTGTACTGTTTTTTCATTCGACGCCAAGGAAATCCTTTGTAGCAATTTTGAGTTATAAGAACAATTAATATAAATGGCACATAAAGCCATATGTGCATTTGTAGAAGTGATATGCTTCGTAGCAGAGCATAGCTTCATTAAGGTTGGAAAAAATGATTCTACAAGAGAGTCAAAGTTTCCCTTTAGTATTATTGCGCATTCTTTCACAAGGTTACAAGAATGGGAGCATAATGTTGTTCTCAAAGATGACATTCCTTTACAAATAGCTTCTGAAACATCCTTAATACAAGTGATTAGCTCAGGTAAATAATTTGTTCTCGCGTTTCCTCTTACTAAGGATCTCATTTTAACAATAAAATGCTCTCTTTTCGACCAATTAAATTCTGTTTCCTTGCTTCCAAAAATCGACGCCATCTCGTTGACAAGATGATGCAATGGTTCCACATCTACAATTTCCATCGATAAAATGCTATCATCAATATTATATCCCAAGTCTTTGACAATTTTTTGTATTTCAGTCAGAAGCTCAGTATTGAATTGGGGGGAGGAGCTTTTCAGATCTGGTTTCACTAATTTAGTATCATTATACTTGTCAGCAATTTCTGAATCTTGGGGATTTAAAGGCTCTGCGATGGACGAAGTGTGCCATGTATTTCTATTCTGCGAAGTATTCCTAGAATTGTGATGGGGAAGAGATCTTTTGAGTGAGAATCTACTTTCCTCAATGTCATTCTCACGCTGACTCAGGTTTACTGTAACCCTTGTAGACCCTGCCGATACAAAACCTTTTGCTCCATTCATAATACTAGTCTCGGTATTTATCGCATTTATTATATCCTCCTGTATAGCTGCATTAACATTCTGAATTTCTAGTTCCCTGACTAAATCAAATTTATATTGTCGATGTGATTTACGACTATAATAAAGTGTTAAGAAATCCCTAGTTTTTTCAAATGCATCCCGCTGCCTATCATTATTGAGAGACGATAATAAGGAGACTAATGAAGGTAATAAATTGTTTATCTTAAACTGGGGACTGATATTTGTCACGATATGAGCGAGCCAATTCAACGACTCAATAGTAACTTTTTTATTTCTATTCTTCAATGCCATTTCTACTAAAAATTCTTCGACTTTCTTGGGTGCAGAGAACCAATACGCTTCTAAGGCCTTTTTAGCAGAGCTAATAGTTCCTGTCTTAGTATCACCTAGACCGTTGATAATTATAGGTAAGACTAAGAAACTTTGATTTTTTAGCACCGACCCACCCTTATCTTGCATGCTAATCCTCTTAACAAGGTGGCAGAGAACACTGAAGCTGCTTGTGTGAATACCAGGATCTGGTATATCCACTGCAATAGCTAGCGCTTCAAAATATCTCGGCACCTGATCAAGGTTTATAAAGTTTTTCTTTACATGAGCCTTGAGTCGAGTGATCACTTCTAATTTACTCTCATAACTTTCAGTCAGCGATGCTATAGCTTGAAATAAGTCATCTGAGCTAGTAATCAGAGATAGCATTATAATAAGGTGGTTTTCTTAGATCATTTAATTGGATTATGTTTTCTTTTAAAATATTGTGTAAACAAATGTGGCAGGGCGCGTAGGAAAACAGCGATGTTGTATACACGAAAAAGAGTAGTAAAAGCCTCTCAATATCACGCTATAAAAAGAAGAAGCTATGTCAAATTTAGCATTATAGTTACTTAATTAATCAATATAACTCTAATATATATCTGAATGTTGACATGAAAATACACATGTCTATAACTATTTAGCGTAGAGCCACAAGCCGAAGATCAAAACGAAAGATAATAACACAAATATTCTGGATTTAGAACTGTATGATTCATTGTTAACATTCTCACTATATGCGATAGCTTTTATCTTGGGTGTATTATTGAAAACTGAAGAGCTAGTATCAGTTGAATGCCTGAGTCTGTCGATATCATTCTGATTTGATACTGATAATATGTGATTTTCATCACTATCGACAATAGAGTTTTGAATATTACCAAAGAAATCTGTTAAACGTACCAGAGCAATATCTCGCTGATATAAATCTGTCCGAATACCGGGATTTGAGTGCACATTTTCGTATGTGTAAACATCAAACAATTTATCAAGGGTTTCGCCTGAACTTTTATTTAGCTTCTCAAGGTAATCCAAAGTGTAGTAAGTAAAACGGTCTATTACTGCAACTCCAATATCTAGATCAGAATGGTGAGAGTAAGATGACTCGTCTATCTTTGAAGATCCAACGGCTAAAATATTTGGCGAATAAAATCTCTCATACATTGTATTTGCTTGACACGTATCAATCATAAAAAAAATTTCATTATATCTTTTCTTTTCGTGCATCTGTTCGAAAGCATCTGCTATATCGTATGAGCTTATCTCTTCAGCGTCCTGAAACTTCAAAAACTCGTTGCCGCCATGACCAGTTAGATAAATAAATATGTTGGAGTTTTCGTCAGTTAATAGCCTCTTGGACCTAGGGTGATCTTCATCCCATCTATCAGTTAATAGCCTTATAAAATTCTCGACAGTTACTTCATATCCCCTATAGTCAACTTCGATCAGGTCCCCATATAAATCAATGGCTTGGTCCATATTATTAAACACAGTTCCAGGAAAAGCGTTCCGAGGGTTGCATGCCACATCATCTGATAACATTAGTATGATTTGAGAGTCTGGTATACCTAGCCTCTTGACTGTTCTATACAAGCTAAGAACGTTAGCCATATGTCTGTAATTAAACCAAAATCTAGAAGTCGAAACTAATACGGCCCAGTTATTCGTGTGCCTTGACTCATTACTGTCACTTAATTCATCCAGAGTTTTAATACTTAGTTCTGATAAAGCAGTTGTCATTAAGATACATAATGTTAAAGCTACCTTAGCAAACAACATTACAGATGGACTGTACTCTTTATTTTACTAAAGTTTGTGCATTAAGTTATTTACTAAATTATGACAATGCTACATATCACGTGGCTAAAATAGATGGTTCCTCAACTTTTGGAAGCCAAGACTCTAATTTTCTTTTTCATTATCTCACTAGGTCCTAATATTCTTTGTAGTTCCCACCCGATCCATAGTGACTTCGGCGAGAAATTAAAAGCAAATATTAGTTTTGATGCCCTTTCCTTTGTAAATTGATTTAAATTCTCCATGATTGTTATACTAGTATCATCCGATGCTTCATAGTTTTGATTTGCTTTTTTCAATAGTTTGGCATGTAGATACTCTCTTTGCTTGGATGATATTGAAGTAGCATTAGAAAAGTTTGAAAATGGTTTGTGTTTCATCTGTCTATGCAAATTTTCGGCTTGGATAAGAACTTGCTTCAAATACTTACTTGATGAAGGTTCAGAAATAACCTTTGACTTGCCACATTTATAACTACTAGCAATTTTCTGTTCTCTAGATGTGAACTGATTGATTGTAAAACAAAAAAATAACTCTCCATTCTTTTTTTGCTTTCGCTCGATTTGAAAGAAGTCTGTCCGGCTCACTTGATAGCCCCATATATCATACTCCAACCTGACCCATGGTATTTTGCATATCAGAAATTCTCGTTGGACTAGTTTATTATCCTCGTAGACTTTGGCATCCTTACTTTGAAGGGCTGAAAAACCATCAATTGTGGTAATACTAATGTTCATTTCATCAACCTTTCTTTTAAAATTGCAAAGTTTTTTATGAGTTTCTTGTTCTTCTAATCGACGTAATTGTTCTGCCTCTAGTTGCATTTCTTTTTTATTTTGTTCTATTTCTTGATCGTAATCTTTTTTTTCCATCATCAACTCTTCGTATGTTTTACCTTGTATGGAGTAATTCTCCGGTAATGAAAACAAAGTAGGTACGGATTGCATACCTGTACCCCTGGTGCCAACTATATCTACGACATGACAGCGTTCTTTATCTTTATGTAATCTTAAACCTCTTCCAATCATTTGAACCAAAAGAGGTCTAGATTTCGTCGGTCTAGCTAATAAAAGTGAGTCAATGTTCGGAATATCTGTACCTTCTGTGAAAACTTGGACATTGCATAGTACTTCTATCAGTCCCTCCTTAAAATCTTTTATTATTTCCTTCCTTTCAAACTTAGATGTTTCACTCGTGACATATTGAGCGTTAATTCCTTCTCTCTGTAAGACTCCACATAATGTTTTGCAATGGTTAATGTCCACACAAAATATTATAGTCGACTTGAAATTGTATTTTTTCTTTAGCTTTAAATAAGACGATGCGGTAACGAAATTTACGTCAGAGCTATTTATTGCTTTAGAAAGGCTGTTGATTTCATAGTCCTTCTTGTGAATTTTAACTTTACTTAGATCAACATCTATCCCTATAGACGAAAATTTTATGTCAACCAACTCTCGATTCTTTATCATTGTGAGTAAGTCCCTTTCATAAACAATTTGATCAAACATACTTCCTAGAGCAGCTCCGTCGCTTCTTTCCATAGTTGCAGTGAATCCTATAACGTAAATCTTCAGGTCAGCATTATCTGCATTAAAGTACTTTAAGACTTTTAACCACGAATTCGCAGTTGCGTGGTGACACTCATCTAATATTATAGTCTTGAAATCATCAGCCTGGTATTTCTGAAGCCTTTGATATCTCACTAGAGTTGGCACAGATCCAACAATCACATCTCCGTCAAAGCTAGGCTTCAAGTGTCTCATGTCTATTTCGACTTTCAAATTAGGATTAATTTGTGAAATAGTGTCTGCTGCCTGTTTCACTAATTCTTCCTTATGAGCTAAAACTAATGTTTTATTTCCTTGATTTTCCTGGGAGGTCATTTGAGGAATTAGATGAGAGAAGACAACTGTTTTGCCGCCGCCTGTTGCTAAAACTACAGCAGGTCGCTTTACTCCTTGAGATATTGCTTCGTGAACACAGGTTATCGCATCCTGTTGGTAATCCCTGAGACTTATAGTTCGAAGAAACCGGACATTTCCTAGCCTAAAATTGGTGCATTTGAGTCCAAGCACGGTAAGAAACTTTCGACTTATCTCAGGCAGGTGAAATATCTTTGCCATAAAATTACTACAGGGTGTATTATTTCTTCACTGCTTTTCACTTCCTTATGTTATCTATTTGATATGGCGCGCCTACTCAACCGAGTTTTCACGACCAATTTAACTAGTTCCTGTATATACTCACACGAGTTCTTCGGTGTACATTATTGAAAAACAAACCATCAGTATCTTTCACAGCCTCAACATTATCTGAGGAATTAGATGATAAATCTGGAGCATTTATGCTCATAATAACATATGTTCCATCCATTTTATTTGGATCTCTATGTGGCTTTATGAAAGAGCCAGGGTTGATCACCACAACACCTCGTATAACTTTTGCAAAATATCTCAACTCTGAGGGAAGAATTAGAACATCTGGTAAAGAGTTTCCTAATTCCCCAAGTCCAAGATATGGTACTTCGAGGCTAGAACCCCCAATACTTGTAGTGACTAGTTCTTCTTGCATGATTCCATCGATGAGATCACCGTCCAAAGCATCCTTTTGAGGACTCCTGACTTGATTTATAGAACCTGGAAATACTGGATAATAGCGCCTTTGTTCGAAAACATGGTTAGCTACTCTCTCGAACCTATTTGTGGGCAAGTTTGGAGAATGATCAGCAGATTTATAAATTTCTCTCAAATCCTTCATAACATCCAAATTAGATATACCGAACAAAACTTCATTTACAGAAAAGTTATTGGGATTTGGTAAAACTTTAACATTCTTAGGTAGACCAAATCTCTTTCTATCAAATGAATCCATGGGATATGAGCAATGCTTGATGCATGAATCTTTTAAAGATGGTATTAATACAACTTGTATTCTCGAGTTAATTTTTTTAATTATGGGTGTAATAAGTTTTTTGAACACTTCATCCAAATTCCTAGGTGCTTGGCGTGACTCTTCGAAATCAAAATCTCCTTTTTGAACTGAAGTGTTAGTCATATCAATAAATGGACCATTTAGTATTACTACGTGCGGCTTGATCTCTGAGTTTATCTTTTCAGTTAACATTTCTAATTTCAGGTAGTTCAAGGTATGATGATTGGAGAAGGGCCCTGCAGCAACTAAAATCTTTAAACCGCCCTTCGATGTCCATTCTTCATATACCTTAAGCTCGCTGCTAGAGGTCAAAGAAGCACCTAGATCTGGTAATGGCATTATTTGCTCCACTACGAAGCTCCTTCCAGTCGGATTTTTACCTTTTAAAACAACAATCTGGCCCGGAAATAAGGAATACTCCTCAAGATTTGTTATATCTAGTGGTATCCTTTGGCCTATTCCATGAAGTCTCGAAGTCTCTAAGCATATAGCCGCAGAATTTAAGCATTGACTTGCGCTCTGGTCATACATTGGAGAATCAGGTACAATTCTTCCGCAGCATAAGATACTGAATTGAGAGCTCAAGCAAGGATTTCCAAACTCTTTTTCCGACTTATTTGCCATGCTACTTTGATAAAGACTTGTGATTGACTCAATTTGATCGTCAAGGACATCTGCACTTTCCAATAGCTTCATTGACATCGTCCGGAACTTATACTTTGACGCGTCAAAATTTGATGTTAGTTTAAACGGCTTGATCGACATAGCAGTATCATCATTGATATCCATGAAGCCTTTCGATTCTGAAACATTTGGATTTAGGGTCTCGATCACGTCGCTCTGGCTGCTTTTTTCAGTTTTGTCATGTCTAGGTGTCAATGAATCGGGAGACTGGAAAGTGTTATTAGCTGTTTCATAATTACTCGGTGACAAGTCTTCTGTCATGACCCTTGGTGTTTCATAGGGAGTCTCTTCGTCTACTTTTCTTCTTTTGGTATGCGGGGTGCTGGGGACATTAGGACTTGACTTCATTAGAAGTTTTCTTTTCATAGCACTAGGTTGAATTTCTCTTGCCTTCCTGCTTGAAGGGGTTGTTTTATTAGCCAATATTGATTGGAGGTATTCTTGGAATCTGTCGAGATTAATAGAGTTTAACTCCAAATCCTCTTGCACTTTTGACACATTAAAGGTTTCCCAATTTACAAATAGGTCATCTGTATTGATATTAAAGATTTCTTTCAAGGTCATTAGCTTATCAACTATGTCATTTCCAATTGCCAGAGTTGGACTAAAGGCTGCAATGACCTCTCTTTTATCTGTATCATCTATCGTCATGACCTTTTGCGTATATGATGTTAAGAATTTTTATAGCTAACCTTTTAATGCTGATTATTTTTATTAGACGCGCTAACTAAATTATATTTATGTGAGGCGCGTTCCGATATGAAATGAAAAATATCAAATTTAATTTCGTAGCGCTTCTACTAAAAAGTTCTTGTCTCACATTCTTCAGATATTGTATATTCTACAAATATTAAATCTAGTACTTTACTTATGACCTGATTTTGAGTTATCATCATGCTTAATATCTTCAAGTTCACTTGAAGATTCACCACCTTTTGCAAGCTCCACTTCTTTTTCAGATTCATCTACAGAACCTTCTTTTACTACTCCAGCCCCTTCCTTTCTTATTTCTTCTTTTTCTTCTTCCTTTTCTTCTCGTTCTCCTTGTTCATTCCCTTCATATTGTTCTTTTTGGTCATCTTCTTCCTCTGCTGCCAGCTTTGGGTCATCATGCTTTTTTCTACCAAAATTTTTCCTAGACATTTTACTGCGGTTGTTCTCGTTTAAGCTGTTGCGTCTCTTAGTTACGTCATTGACTCCAAACCTCTTTCCATTCTCTCTCATTTCTTGAAATGTTAAAAGTGACATCTTTTTTAGCAAATTTTTCTTGTCCACTGAATCATCATTAGCACGAACTATACCTTGAGGATATTCAACTTCCATCGCATTTAAAAAATGATCTGCGTCCTGTTGTGTCTTGAATTCAACATCGATGACACCAAAAAACTCTTTCTTGGATCGACTTCTAATTCTGCGAATGGAGCATATTTGTCTTTCATTGGGTAGATCAGGAGCAATTTTATTGCTAAACCATTCTTCTAAGTCCTCTTGCGTTAAATTCTTTGGAAATCCTTCTACGTGAACAGAATTTCTTTTACGGGTATTCCTTAGCTCATGTAGCTCTTTTAAAGGATCCTTTCTTCTAACCATATCATCGCTCTGTGAAAGAAGTAATTTATTTGATTGCTTAAGAGCAGATATTACTTTCTCTTCGGGCCTAAATTGTCTCATCCTACTAAATGTTAAGATAGTCTTTAATTCAACCCATCCATCGTTTGCTTCGTATATCTTCCATAAAAACTTATCTGTCTGTAAATTACTATCAGAAAAATAAAACTCGACTTGCTTCCTGACTTTATCATCAAAGTCTTCCCCTTTGTAAATGAAGTCAGTCATATCCGCCATACGAGCTTGAATTTGTTTTAGGTTTCGTTACAAATTATTATATGAAAAAAAAAATTTTAAATTAGCTTAAAGCGATGTCAACATCTGGTTCTTCCACGATCCAATTGCGAGACATCTCAACATACTAATTGATTTATTTCAGAGGAGAAATAAGTCCGTCAAATATAGTTTCAAACGTATATTTCTGGGCGCTGTTCTTTCAATGGCCATTAGATTCTTTGTATAAACTCTGTGGAAGAATTCTTCACTGGACAAGTGTAGCATCGGAATGCTATCTCGTAATTATCACTTAGTAGAAATAGATAGAGCATTTTAGTCAACAGGGAACTACTACAATGCATTGAATCCTCGTTATCATAAAAAGATATCAATCTAACTAACTAGTCTGTGTTTGTCCGCTCAGTCGTCATGCAAAGTACTGCATCGCGTTGAAGAACCAAAAAGCGCTATAAGGTTTTCGCGGACATCAAGAAATACATGTTAGAACTAATGTTAACCGCATTTCGAAGACTCTCAAAGAGGAGCCAAGTCGTCTTTATTAGAAATAGAGCAATGAATTCGTTGAATGCTACAGAAGAACGAAGGAAGGAACTTGTAGGCAATTATGAGATAATCGCAAATCAAGTTCAACAACTATCGTTGCCAAGAAAGAACACTGAAATACGATTAGTAGCGGTATCTAAATTAAAACCTTCTTCGGATATAAAGGCCTTATATGATATAGGTGTCAGGCACTTTGGAGAGAATTATGTTCAAGAGCTTATTGAAAAATCGCAAGAGTTGCCAAAGGATATAAAATGGCATTTCATAGGAGGGCTTCAATCAGGAAAGTGTAAGGATCTAGCTAAAAAAATAGAAAATTTGTATGCTGTGGAAACCTTAGACAGTCTAAAAAAATGTCAGAAACTTGATGCAGCAAGATCCACAACCACTAGTCCCAAAATAAATGTTTATTTGCAAATAAACACTTCTGACGAAAGCCAGAAATCTGGCTACAGTTTAGAAGACTTAGATAATCTATATGAAACTATCGATTATTTGATTTCTGACAAGTGTACGAAGCTTAAGTTCGAAGGATTGATGACAATAGGATCATTTTCTGAATCCTTGTCTGAAGATGATGAAAATCGTGACTTTTCACGCTTGGTAGATTTGAAGAAAAAGTGTGATGAGAAATATCATCTTGATCTACAATTAAGCATGGGGATGAGCAATGACTTTAAACAAGCAATTATTCAAGGGAGTACAAACGTGAGAGTTGGTTCTTCAATCTTCGGTGCGAGACCTTCAAAAAATTGATCTTATAGCAAAATGTCCGAAGTCAGTAGCGTAGGAAGAAAACAAGAATAATAGGTTACAATAATATAATATGAGACTGCAAAATATAACAATGTAAGAATACTGCTCATTTTTTAAAGAGCTTTTTTAAAGAAGACTTTTTTTTACCAAGCTTTACTTCACCGGTTTTATTTGCGTTATTGGAATGATTTTTTGACACTTTCTTATCTTCGCTGACACTTCTGCTACCTTTTCCATTTATCTCGGAGTCTTCCCTTTCGCTGGTATCCTTCGATGTTTCCTGGCTGTCGCTAGTTGTTTTACTCAGACTTCCGTTAGCCAAACCTTGCACATGCTTTGGCAGTCCACTGGCTGATGATCCGGCAAATGCTTCACTTGAAACACTTTTAGCAATATTTCCATGCTTTGCCGTCTCAGGGGAAGGTAATTCCCCCTTCGGTGCCTCCGTATCAATGACCTCTGGATTGATATGTGAATTGTTGTCGATTGTGGAATACGCTTCATTGCCATCCTTGTCCTTAGATTTAATGATAGAATCTCCTTCGTCTTTAACTTTATTTAAAGCTAATACATGTTTTTCTTCAGCTAATTTCAATTCGTTCTCTTTCTCTTTCAACATTTCGGTCTTTTCTTTTATAAGCTCTTTTTTTTCCCCATTCACGCCTGGAATAGTTGAAGGCGCATTAAATGTCTCCTGTTCAGCGTTTAAAGCTTGTTTATCGTCCTTGAGGTCTCCTGACTGAGAGTTAGAGACTACGCCTCCTCTTGCATTTACAGCAGTACTTGATGACTCACTGGATTTCAGTGATACGTCTGTTTTACTCAGTGAAAGTTTACTTTCGCTTGGACCAGATACTAAAGCTCTACTCCTACCTTTAGCAAGAATAGAAGTTGCTTGATCTATCACTTGACTTTCAGAAAACTTGGTCCAAATTAAATCCAGTTTTGCTTGCACAGATGTTCCTTTTTTATCTTCCCTATCCAGGATATTGTCAGATGTCTTATCTTTGAAACATTCAGACAATCTTGAGAGGACTAAATACGCAACCAAATAACTATGTTCAATGGCAAACAATAAAAATACCAATTTTGTTGTAGACGAAACATGAACACTTGCTTTGTCCAAAGCCAATTTCCCTAAAGTTTTGGGGGGGTTGGTCCCGTGACGATAAAAGGAGGTAATTAAAGGCGAAATTATAGTTCCAAGCCACGTCAAGAGGAATAGCGCAATGTTCCATGGATAAATTGTATTTGTGACCTTTGGGACTGGCGGCTTGAAGTATTTTCCGCTAAAAAGCTTAAATGTATCAAGCCTAAAAGTAATGACGTTGAAGCATATTGAAATAACGGGAGCAAGTGACCAAACCGGACCAAAAAGGATTAAATACCCGTACAATATGACAATCCCTCTAAAGTCATCATTCACATCATACTCTGGTAGTTCTAGAACCTCGCGGGCGCTTGTTAGCCATTTCTTTTCATCGGTCGAGTCAATATTCTTCGTTGGGACTTCAGGCTTTTTCAACTTTGATTTTATCAATTCAATTCCTTTTCTTAGAATGATAGGCAATCCATATTTTAACACTATTTGAATAACTTGATTTGTCACGATAAAGTAATTAAATTGCATATTTAACCTTTCTTGGTTAATTCTAAAGTCTTCATGCCTCTTTAACTGAGTCAAATATTTGAAATAGAAACGATTCTCGTCAATACTTGAATATATAGTATGCTTAATTTCACCCAAGTGAGGCTCCACCAAGTGAGCAAATGGAAGGTAAACAAAAGAGGTAATCACCAATGGCATATAGCTTGTTAGGAAGTTCAACACAAACGACTTTATTAATATTGAATTTTCTCTGCTAAAGAAATCTTCATGGTGCTCCCAAGAGATAACCTTATCTGTGACAATATTATAAACAATAGTTAAAGCGGGAACAAATGCTGAAATGAGGATAGTTGGAATCAATGATAAGAACATTTTTCCAGGGCCATCATAAATTTCGGTTAAAAAAATTTCAAGAACGAAGCAGGATAGCTGGTAAGAAATTAAAACAATAGTGAACAATAAAGCTATTGGCACAAAAGCCAATTCCTTGATAAAACGGATTCCATCACTCTTTGTTTTAGTTTCCAGGTCACTTTTAGATACTGGTAAATCTTCAACGGTTTGGTCATTCGCTTTAATTCCCCAAATGCTTGCAAGATATTTTTCTCTCCGGTTCCAAAATATCATAAATAACAATCCCCAAAGTAAATTCACTAAAGTATATGTCATCAGAAAGGTCAGTTTGGACTTAAGAAAGGACGTAATACCCAAAATTGCTAAAGGTACGAGCCAAATGGTGAAAAACTTGAGGAAATCAAAATACATGCCGATTTGGACTCCATACTTTTCTCTAATAACATCGATACTTTCTTGACTCCCTAGGATATACTCTTTTGCATCTTGAGTCCAACTTGAATGCTTGAAAATCAGAGTTACAGGCGCAATGCCTTTAACGAATGTCCATTCTCCCGATAAGGGCGTGATTCCCACGCCACCAGACTCTTCTGACGAAGTAAGAAACTCGTATATGTCTCCAATTCTATCGGCAGATTCTGCTTCTGACGAGGTAATTCTTCCATCAAGAGATTTTTCTAAAGAATCTGAAGTAATCAATTTAATAAAGAATAGCAAACAATGCTCTGGGTCGCTGCCTGGCCTTACTTGAGTCCTAAATCCTTTAGAATTTAGCTTAGAGACTAACGACTTTAAAGCAGACTCTTCTTTGGGACTTATTTCCTTCTTTTGCAGAGGTAAATCCACTGTCAATACGAAATCGGGATCAGAAGATTGAATTGTATCACCCATACTAAGTTCTATATTTCAATTTCAGATATTTTAGTCAATGGCATTAAATGTTGAAATACTTAATTGAAGGCTGTATCAGCAATAAGTTGATTTGCTACTTGCTATTTACTTGAAATTTGCGACTGAAATAGAATTTCCCGTGATACGTCCAAACGAACACGAATATCGATTTCTGTTCAAAACCCCTAAGCTATTCACTAAAAGGTCTTAGTAAGACACGAAGGTTTATCGGATCCTAGTAACTAAGTGACAATGAAATTTACAGATGACATTATATAGAGCATTAAAATTTTAATTAATTATTCTGGGTGTACCTTGGGGCAGCAACAATTGTAGTGATGATATTACTTGAGGCAGATATGGGCCACTGGGCTTTTCTCCGTAACCTTGACATTCCAGGTCCTACAAGTGTCTTCAAATTTTTGTAATTGGATCATGTCAGGTTTTTGCGGTCATACTTGATATAAAAGTGAGGAGACCCCACTAATTTTTCTTTCACCAGAAACTATATGATAAAAAAATCGTGAACATAATAGTCTTTCAGACCAGGTTAGGATTTAGAAGCATTCATGAGGAGTACCATAATTCTTTAGCTGTGATCCGATAAAACTTCCAAAAACAACTCCTACGATGCGTATTCTGAAATTAGATAATGAACCTAAATCAATAGATTATTCACATTAAAGCAAAACATTAGAATCCATTTCCATCTCAATCCCATTAATTAAATATTATGATGATCAATCTGTCTTGTATTGTTAAGATCACTTTTTTTTCCTTTTGATAGTAGTTGGCTCCCGTTGTGCAGTTTTTTTCCTATATTGTTGTATCCATTACATTTCTGATATTTTCCATCTATAATTGTTGAACTTCTAATCTTCTAAGCAAATTCCTACTGAAAGTAAACCCGATGTTTCTAACTCATAAATATATACTGGCTTATTCTGTGGATTTCATAAATTTGGATTAAATAACTATGGAAGTGGTACACCTAAGGCTTCGCCTGCTCTGGTCTAAGAGATATAATTGTGTTCCGATCTTAATTTATTATCTTATATTTATTCAATACATAAAATCATTCTAAATAGTGAGGAAGGTATAAAAACCTACCATTCAACGTAGCTTCTGGGAACAACTCTGAAAACTCTTATTCTTCCACCTTTGAAGTCTGAAAGTTTATAACTTTCTTTTCTTACAAGTCCAGAGTTATCCTGCTCTATGACCTTGAATTTCTCCTTCTTCGGGTCAAATTCATAAATCACTGCCGCATACACCAGGTCTCCCTCTCCTAATACAATGGGTTTACCGGAGCCTATCAAGCTCTTATGACTAGCGAACTGTCCATTTTTAATCCAAAGAATGTCACCACCTTTAATCTCATCAATCTTCGCGATACTGTTGTTATTGATATTCTTGTAAATCGTTACGCCAAATGATTTCGTACCAATAGGTTTCAAAATATTAGGATAATTCTTTAATATTGCAGGTACAAGACTATCAGAAAGTTTTGAATTCAATAAAGAAAGCGCCTGTCCAATTATGTTTGAGCTGTTATCAACGTGAAATTTATCCAAAAAATCTTTTCTTATCAATGGAATCGGTTTTGTGAAGTAGTTTGTGAGTTTTACAGTCGATCTAGGATCTTCCTTCTCATATTCCAATTCAAAGACCAATTGCGATAAATCGTAAAATAACACATAGTAGTCACAATAGTTAATGACTCTGTTACCTCTTTTGGTAATAGTATTAAAGTCAATTTCATAAATGAGATCAATTCCTGCTTTCGAGGCTAATAAATCTGGTAAATCACCTTTTAGCCACCACTTAGAATTTTCGTTAATATTTCCAAGCTCATATTCCAAGTCATCGTGCATAGCATCCGCCTGGGATCTGTCCTGACTCAGTTTTCCACTTCTTGACATTGTGGAGTCTATTGATTTACGCGAATTCGACGACAACGGCACACCATATTTTGACTCAGTTAAAGAGGTTGGGGAGTAAACAGTGTCAATATCTGTCGCTGCCCTCTTCGGAACATTTTTTGAAATTGGGGGAACTGGAGGAGGTGGAAGGTCTCGTGGAACAGGAGGAGGTACTTCGGGAGCTTGTGCTGGAAAAGTTTTCGATCTAGCTGGAATGGACGGGGCAAATGAAAAATCTTCATCAAAGCTCTCTTTTTGGAGCTCAGTCGCATTTTCATCGTCGCTGGAGCTACCGCCTTGTGTCTTCAGCTGGGGTTCTTTCATAAAAGATGGTACATCTTCTTGTGGTAAGGGTGGTGGTTCATGAAAGGAGCTATCCTTTTGAAGCTTCTTATATTCTTGCGAATTTGAAGTGGATTGAGATATGATTGGAGAAACAGGTACAGCAGGTACAGATGGTACAGGTGGTGGCGCTTGGTGAATACTTTTCGAACTCCTTGTAGAAGATATAGAGCTTCTGTTACCTTTATCTGGAGAAACATGCACATTCTTTAAACTAGGCACTTTGGCCAAATCAGAAAGATCTTCGTCTGCATCATATCCCGTGGGTTCTGCTTCTAAAGAAGATCTGTTAAGTGTAATCTCGTCAGTATCTCCTATCTCTTCTCTATGAGACGAAATATCAGATGAGAATGTTTGAGGAACTGTAGGTACTGGAGGGACAACTCGAGTTGTCTTCGGTTTCGGCAAGCTCTCTTCAGAGTCTGACAGTTCGGCTGCTTCGGGCAAAATAGACTCTCTTTTCCCAGAGTTACCAACGGCTGAGGTCTTCTTGTAAGCATCATCATAGTCACTCTCCGACTCTTCGATATTGTGATCCTCATTATCAAGGTTCCCACCTTTATTTAATGCTTCCGTATTGGTGAAAGGTGGGGTCGGTATAGTCTGCGTAGGTTCTTGATTACCTGTGACTCTTTTTTCAGCACTTTTTCTCGCTTCTGAAATATGGTGGTCATCCTTCGATTGTTTAGATGGCGGAGCGCCAAAAGAAGGTGTCATTCCCATCATCCCGAACATATTCCTTCCACCTGATATCTTTGCCATTCTCTCCACCAATTTCTTTCTCTTTAGTTCTTCATCTTCGGATTCATCCAAATCTTCCTCTACATCCTCTTCATCAGCAGCTATATTGATATCGTCTTCCATCGATGCTCCATCAGAATGAGATTTGTTTCGACTTTCATCAGGCTTTTCTACTCGGGACACAAAATTTTCCTCTTCACCTAAATCTGCTGCAACCTCATCTTGATGAGGATATTTTGTCTCTTCTTCTTCTTCTTCCTCTTCTTCCTCTTCTTCTTCTTCTTTTTGCTTCTTTAACTTTTCTCGCTCAAGAGCTGCCTTCTTTTTTTCCTCTCTTTTCTTCATTGCAGCGGCCTCTCTTTCAGCCTCTTCTTGCTGACGTTTTTGAAGCAACGCAATACGCTCTTTCAATCCAATCTTAGGGCCTTCTTCGTTCTTTTCGTCTTCTCTCTTTGTAGACTCATTGACAATTTCACTGGTAGGAACAGATTCATAGTGAGGGTGACTCACAAGATTGGATTCATCTCTCGGCTTTACCTGTGGTATGTAATGAGATTTACCTGATGCTGGAAACTGCTTTTTGAGAGTATAGGGGTCGTTCACTTTTTGTGCAATTGGTATAGGAAGCTTCTGTGTATTCAGCTCGGTGGCCCGAAGCTTCTCTCTGTTGGATTCAAAGCTTTTTCTATTACTCGTATTCAAGTCATCTTCCAGCTTAAATGTGCTTCCAACTTCAGATTTTGGTTTCATAATTTGTTCATCCTGATTTGAATCTTTTTGGTTTGGTTCAACATGAGCTTCACGATCCTCTGTAGTTAAATGAGATTCTTTTAACTGATGTGGAATTGAAGCCTTTTCTTTTATAATTTGAACAAAATTCTTAGGAAACATTCCGGATTTACCATCATAAGTTCCAGTATACCACTCTTCATCCTCGACTGCTGAAACTGTTATTATTTGACCTGCTTGGAAACTTAAATCATCCTCAAAATCAGATGTATAGTCATACACAGCTTTGACTTTGAACGGGAGTTCATGTTCTGACATTTCCAAAATCTGTGCTTGCTTCTTGTTATGTGTTTTAGAATCAACAATCCTGACTTTCCGTGACGAATTGAATGATCTTACTCAAATGCTGGCAATATGCACGACAGTTAGTATAAATTGTGACGACAAAAAAATAAGATTGCAGCTTTCGCGCTCTTCTTGTGTTTGCAGAGAGCGCACAGCAAGAATGTCCCATACCAGTCATCTGGTCAAAGGGGGTTCATCTACCGTGTTTGTAAATGAAAACATAATTGGGGCATTTCGACCTGTTAAAACATTTAATTACCATCAAGAAGCGAGCATAACATCATTAGACTTTGACGATTCTGGACAGTACTTGATATCTTCAGGAGTTGATAAATCTATACAATTATACGATGTACATAAAGGAATACACTATAAGGATATTCAGTCTCAGAAATATGGTGCTCATGTAGCCAGATTCACTCATCAGGGCTTGAATTGCCTCTACGCTTCAACACCATCAGCCCAATTGGATGTCGATAATGCAGTCAGATACTTATCTCTCGATAATAATCAATATATCAGATATTTTAAAGGTCATAAAGGGCAGGTTACTTCTATAGAAGTAAACCCGTTGCTCGATGTCTTTTTGAGCTCGAGCGTGGATAGAAGTGTTAAAATGTGGGACCTAAAATCGTCTAATCCTATAGGAAATCTAGACGTCGGACAGATTTCAGTCATTGCATTTGATGCCCAAGGCTTGGTTTTTGCAGTAGGTAAAAATCCTGACCCAAAGGGACTGACTAAATATGGAACAATATCACTATACGGAATGAATAACTTCGATAAAGGACCATTTCTAAGCACAGAAATTGAAATCCTTCCTGGTCAGACTTGGAACAAGATAGAATTTTCAAATAATGGGAAATTACTTTTAGTATCCACGGATTCTCCTGAGCATTATATAGTTGATGCATTTCTGGGCAAATTGCTTACGATTCTTCGAATGGACCATATTCAAGACCCTTATAATGTTCCATGGATGTCGTTCAAATATCCTTATAATGGACCAGCTTGTTTCTCCACATGTGGAAAATTTGTTTTCGCTGGTTCTTTGATGCTGAATCTATCCACATTTGACTTAACAGGTATTAAAACAACTGATGGTGGAAATCATGTTGTGACACCGACCGATAATCCGAAATATTCAGATCCATTTAAAGTTATTGAAACTCAGCAGGGTATCCCAAAAGTTGTTGCCTTTAATCCAAAACTTTTGACATTGGCTACTGCTGATAATACGGTATCATTGTGGCAACCAAAACTTCATTAGCATCATTCTTGTACACATTAATTATATGTAGTACCGACGATAAAATTTAGGTTAAAATAGAAATCACGCACTTAGTAGTGAAAAAATGACAGTAGTAGAGAGTATTCTTCAATATGAAGAATACTGGCATTCGCGTTTTATCTTCAGGACCACCTTTTCAAAATCTTTCGTCTAAATTGCAAGTAAATCATCTTCGTGATAAGTTCAAAGAAGGTTATTTTTCGTGTTCAACTTATAGTAACTCTATACCTAAGTTTGGCGACCACTCTGAATATCTCAAGCAAACTTATCCTAAAAATTTCATACCTGACCATGCTAGACAAGATATTTTGCCAGTTCAGCCCACAGATATTAAAGGTATTGATTCTGCCGCTTATAGACATATTCAAAGAGGAAAGTTAATTAAGAAATTGCCCAGATTAGCAGGAAATAGGTTTTTTTCACTTCATTTTTTTCCTGAGCAGCATTATATTTCCTTGGCTAGGAAATCTAATATTGCATACACTTTCACGAATAGGGGTGGGTTTAAATTGAATAACTCTACACTCCAAAGTAATCTCGAGAGATATCGTGGTCAATATCAAAACTTGACCTATTTTCAAGAGGATTTATTTCCCTTGAGTATTGCCACATGCAGATCAAAATACCGCAAACTTATCAAAAGGGCATTATTCAATTCTGTGAAGAGATGTATTAAGGATCATTCTCAATACAATTTAGTATCTGGTGTCTTTTATTTTAGATTATCAGTAGTTCCAGTTACAGAGGATGATAAAAGGGAGATTCAAGAAGAGACGAATAAGTCTTTGTATCGTTTGCTCAATGATAATGAATTACGCAAAACAACTCTTAGTATCAGTAGAGAGCACAATAAAGAGTTTAGGAAGGGTCAATTTCTATTAAAAGATGTCCGCAGGTACAATACACTCGGAGCTGAAAACGTCCCAGGTTATTATCCTAAACTACCATTTCTAGGTAACAAAGAAAAGTTAGCATAAGCTCACTCTAAACACCAGTGAGGCATATTGGTCTCAAATGATAAAGAGCGATTCAGAGGGCTTGAGTACTTATACGCGTGCAAATAGATGGTCAGACATGCATCACTATCTCTGTCGAATAAATCACTCCCACATTCTGTGCATTTTTGGTTGAACTCTGTTTTAAGAGTTTTGATAAAGGTTTTTCTTAGGTTTCTTAGGGCTTCAATTTTCGATCGAATTACTAGATCCTCATAAAATTTGGTAAGCTCCAAGATATTGATAAATGCCACATCATTAACGTTAGGTTCATCTCGAAAATTCGAAAACGCCGAAAACTTAAGGAATATTCTTTGATATAATTCTATCTCAATTTCATTTTTGAGTTTTCTGATGTCATCCAAATCTTTACTTAAATAATTATATAGAAAATCATTTACTATAGGATGTCCCATATTCCGCAAATGAATTCTAATTTGATGCATTCTTCCCGTCAAAGGTTGACATATCACAATACTTTGTTTTCTTTGCGAGTCATAGCGTATCTTTGTAAATTTTGTGCAAGAATTTACTGGTAACTTTTCAATATTTGATTGCATCAAGTAGCCACCGGTGTTTAACGAGAAAATTGGACAATTGACTGTAACTTTGCCGTCTGGAAAGTTGCCCTCTACTCGAGCTATGTATTCCTTGCTGATATTTCCTTCCTTCTCTTTCACTAGTTTCAGAAATTTTCCAGCAGCTAATTTAGTTTTAGCTAAGATCAAAATTCCTGAGGTACATTTATCCAACCTGTGACAGGGCCAAATATTATCGAATTCTAGGTCGTATTTTAAAATCTCAGTGATGGAATTATATCTATAAGATCCAGTCGGATGTGTTGCAATACCTGATGGTTTATCGACCACTATTAGATCAGTGTTCTCATGTACGATTGGTATGCTAGTTTTAAACTGATTTAGACTCGCCTCTAGTTTACTTGAAGAAATTGGAGAATGTGGAACACTAGGTTCATGCATGTGCTTTGAGTTATATATGACATCATGTACATTCAACTTTCTCTTTTCCAAGGCATTCCAGCCCTTTACTACGATCGAGCCATTCTTCTTCCCGTAATCGCTTATTATGTACAATAAATGATCTTTAATATTCTGTTTTATCAACTCTGGATTTTGTCCCAATTCATTCGAAAAAACTTCTAGAAGGGTTTTATCCATCCACCTTGTCTTAACGTGAGTATTGAATGCAAAATAGTAAGGATAAACCTTTCTGAGCCCATTTTCAAAAAAATATACTGAGTTAGCCATCTCAGCCGTAGGAGTATTTTTTTTTTTTTGCACTGTCGAAAGTTTTTGTACATCATTCCAGGTCTACTAATCTGAATCACATATAGGAGCACATTCCATACATCTTTAAAGTTATATTACAAGAGAGTTTACTTCTTAATAAGAAAATATAGCTATACATGGTAGTAATATAACTATAGACTACTTTTGCGGTTTGTAAGTTACTCAGGTCTCTGGAAAAACGTTAAGGCTATTCTTACCAATAACATTTCCAGGAGGATCATAAGAGCATATGACATACTTTTTCCAACCTTCAGCTGAACAGTCCTTGTATGCGCATCCTAGTTTAGTCGATCCTTTCCAGATTACCTGTGTAAAATGATCATAAGTGTTGGCGCTCGTATAGCTATATGAATCACCTTCTGCATACCAGGCCGCAACGGCTGAAGGACCAGTGCTGAAACCTGCAGCTAAATTTTCGCCATATGGACCATGAGTATGCGTCAAAACACCGGAGCAGTCATAGCTGTCTGCATTACTTTTAGCATAGTTGTAAGCGTCAACATCCCATGACAAATCGCCAACTTGATGGAGAGCCCTATATTTATTGTGGGCATCTAGAGTATCTTTTGCGAAGGTTTTATCAATGTCTTGGCTTTCGTAAATGGCATCATAAATGCCCGCTGATGACGAGGCATATGAAGATGATTCTGACGTAGATGAAGTCGATGAAGTCGTTTCCGCCTCAGTGGGGGTATATAACACTGAGCTTGTAGCTGATGTGTAACTTGTAGTTACTGTATTTGGATTCACATCTGATGAAGAAGTGGTTTTGGTTTCAATTGTGTCACTTGAGCTCGAAGCTGAACTTGAATCTCCTCTGAGACCATTTAAAAATTTATCTATCGAACTGAAGAATGAACTAAACCTGGAGCTACCGGTCGACACATTTGTGGAGCTTGACGTCTCAGCTGGGCTACTGGAAACTCCGGTTGAAGAAGTCGAAGATGTTGAAGATGTTGTAACTGCATTTCCGCTCGCAGCAGATGGGTCTAATAATGTGTATAATGAGCCATCCGTATTAATTACTTGAGTTGCCGTTTGCCATACTGTAACAACTTGAGGAGCTGGAGCAGCCTTTATTGTTGTAATTTGTAAAAATAGAAGTATGGCGTTATAACTTGCCGCCGTTCCTAACTTCATTTTTCAGTTCTTTGTTGGAGCACAGTAAGTTACTTGGGCGTAATCTATTTGCCTACACCGCTTGCATCCGTACCCAAGGAATGCTACGATATATATAGACTTGGAAATATGGAAGAGCTAACAGCAAGCAGAATTGCCCCTCAATATGGCTACTTTGCTCCTGTGTCTTTTATCCTGCAATAATCTTTCTCTTATTCGGTAATTTAATAAGAGCTGCAAATTAACTGCCTTACAATTGACCTCAAAAATTAGAAATTTGACATAAAGGGTAATCTTACTATTTCCTAATTAGGAAATTTTGAGATCCAGTTAACTAAAGAGGAAGTCTCGCTTAGTACGAAGAGACTCTTAGAATAAAGGAACAGTGTAAGTCATTATCACCTTTTATCTTAGGAAGGATATTACAAGTTCAGTAATTGCAATGTCTATATATTTCTGTTTTCAACTACACAGGTCTGATAAGTATATATTTGTTCGAACTTAGCTAGTGCCATATTCATTCAATAATCAGAACATATTAAGATAACTATTATTAATACTCATTAATTATAAAATTCCTAGCTTGTGTTTACCGGCTGCATGTGAAGACTTTTGTTTAAAAAGAACTGGATTTTAATAGAGTTCAACCTTTAATTTGGCCAAGTCGTACTTCCTAACTAGGAAATTAGAAGAACTTTACAAGACATGGCTTATGATGCTCTGGTGATCAACTCGTATAGTAGTGCATTCTCTTAGAAAGATCGTCATTTGCAAATCATTTCCGTTTGCTATTTTTATGCTACTGTCTTCCGAGTGGAGGGTTTAAGCATTATCGAAGTTTACAAAAATTTCAAAAATTTTAAAATTGCGAAAAATATTCATCAAAAATTAATATTCTAATCTATGAACTTTAAAATCTACCTTCAAATATTTCTTTCAATGTCTCCGCAATAACAGTTGCAATACCACCACCGGTACAACGCACAACTATTCTAAAGCGCTTGACAGAAGCATCTATTCCTTGGATAGTCGTAAGCAAACCATAATCGCATTTTTGTGTATGAATAATTCCAGCACCCATAACAAGAATATTATCATTATCATCTGGCGAGGAATGAACTACAGAGTATCCAAGACGAACCATTAGTCTAGAAATATTAGACGACAGGTACCCGTGCCTAGTACTTACATCAGTACTGAATTCACCCTCCGCACCCAAAAGATCGCCAATTTGTAACCACCTTTTCTTGAAATCTTCTAAGTTGGATTTTGAAGACGAAAGTGTTTTCAACAACAGGACTGGAAATTTGAGGTTTAATTGAACAAATGTCCCTCCACACTTAAATGAGATTGATAATATCGGACTCTGATCGTTTTCAATTACGTCACGAACCTTTGCTGATACTTCCATTGTGGTTTTATCATCCACTGTTGAATCTGGCATCTTTTTAACGGTCAATGTGTAACTAGGATTGTCTGAGTTTGACATATTTTTAACCTTCAATAAGTTTAGACCAGTTATAATTGTTCCTAAAGTTTTGAGCGAGTTATTAATAATTGAAAACTTATAGGTCAAAACATCCTTTTCTTTCAACACTCGGTACGTAATTTTGACCAATTGGTCGTCAAAAAAGATTCCCGCATCAAAGTGAAGTATCCTGTGATACCCTGCGTACCAATTTGGAGACAATGTTGCATCAGGATTTATGTTTGAAGGATCATCTTCGAAAGGATTGATATCGTTTGATGTTTCATTCAACTCTTTGTCTCCTTCTTCTGCGATCGGTAGTGTGAGGTTAGACCCCGATCTGAGGTTGCTTTTGCTAATAGTATTACTTCTTCTGATCTTCAGGATATTAACAAATGAACCTGATCTGCTTCTTGATGTCAATTTACGAATGTTACCAATTCTATTCATCAACGGGCTCTCTTTCTTTTCGAAGACCGGCAAAGCGGCCACTGCTCGCTTTCCAACATTTGAGTTTGAGAAATGAGTAGCTAATTGTAAATACTCATGCGAACGAGTTTGAATTTCCAAATCAATTGATTTCGATTCAACATCGAACAAGTCAATAATATCAGGAATGAATTCTTCATCAGAGCTTTTAATAGCATATTTTAAAAATGAAGAGAGAAGCATTGCCCTAGTCAATAGCGATACTCTGAAATATGCCCTATATAGCAACAGAAATTGCACTTTCACTGAAGTATCAAAACTATCGTTGACTAAGTGGCCAAACTCGCCTAAAACAAAAGCCGCAACCTTTACCAAGTTCTCTGAGAGCTCCCCAGATACAGAATTACGTTTTCCATTGAAATCGCTAGGTTCAGGATTTTTCAATAAGCTAATAATAAACTTGCAGCTCTTTTTTTGCAAATCTTCATTGTTAACAATAATTTGGACAATTCTTTCCCAAACTTCATTTCCAATATAATTCATTCCGTTAGAGTTAGAGCTGCCGCCAATAGATAACAACTTTAGCATAGTGGTGACGTAAGATGTCGAATCGGTGGCAAATCTCTCAGCTAAAATTGCAATTTTGACAGCGATCTCTGAGCGTAGACCATAGTCTGCCAGAGGGAAATAATCCAATAGTTTGTTCAAAATCGAACTGTATGATTTTTGGTCACATATTATGTATAAAATATCCAATGCTTTTCTCCTTACGGATATATCCTTATCATGCAATAACAGAAAAATTTTTGGTAAATCTTCATCAAATGTATTGGATGTCATCGGATGTTTCGATATCTGCCTTGCAGATAACTTTATCAATGCATCCAATGATAAATACCTGGTGTTGGTTTCATTCGAGTTTAGTAAAAGAACTAAAGCATGCATTGCTCCACTCATGGCATCCGGCGAGGGATCTATAAAAACTGCTAGTGAAACGGATTGAAATAAAATTGAGCTTTGCGTGTTTCGGTTTGGGAGACCCTTGATCGGACGAGACGAGCTTTGAATGGATTTGGCTACTACCTGACGTAAATTTGATAAGCTTTGGCTATCTAAATCACTGGACAAAAAAAACGAGGTGTGATCATTGGCTAATAAAAAGCAATATTCCACAAGCTGTAAGAGCTCAATTACTAGCCACGGCGCAGGAGTTTCATAGTAATAATATTGATCCGGACATTTTTGATCAACCACCAACGCATAAAGCTTATTGGAAATTGATGCCATTATGGATCTAATAAACTGAGGTTGAAGAGTAACGATAAAACGCATCAAAGGAATACAAGAAATTACCACACCGTAGTCACTATCATCAATCAAAGTTAAAAGTCTGGGAATCCAATTATCATGCTGGACAATTGCATGAGGATATAATTTCAAGAGAGTGAATAATGCCAAAGTTGATTTCTTTCGTACCATTGAAGACTGCATTGGAGAGGTGCAGAATGAGTAAATCAGCAACACCAATTCCAGCCAGTTACCAGATTCATCATCATGTTCGTCTATATGAAGAATACTTTCATCTGGGACGTTGAAAGTTGAACAGATGAATTGAATTGCTAAACAATTCACATTGTCATTTTCGACGCGTAAATCATTACGAAGAAATATGTGGACCTTATCCATCAAGTTTAGTAAGTGATCCTTAGCAGACTGGTGTTGCTTTATAGAACAGAAGATTGATATAGCCAAGTATCCAAGTTGCTTCTCAGCGTAGTTCAGAGATTCAAGCAATTCAATTGCACCTCTCATGCCCAGTTCCGCAACATCAGTATAACCTAGCAAATAGATATAAATTAACTTGCAGATGTACTTTTTCTTCTGATACCCATTCAAATTGGTACTAAACTTTGTCTGAATGTTATTTATTTCTAAATTGATGCGCTTATTCTCTTCTTCCAAATCCTTAGAGTTCCTCAAATCCACAATAAATTGTGTTAACCCCTTCATTGGAGGTGACATTGCAATCTTAGTCTCTCCTTTGATAGATCCCGTAGCTTGATCAAGACCTATCGGCCCACGAAAACTGCAGCGATTTTGTCTCACAATATTAAACTGCAGAGAGGCAGATTTGTGTAATAAACAAGTCGTGTGAAATGCTCATATATTCTTGTGCTGCACATACCAATAGAGTCTTCTTATTGGGCGGAAAATAAACTCGGCTTTCAATCATTGAATCTAACAAATGTTATAACTATTTCCTTTTATTAGCATTAACCATTGAACAAGTATAATAACAATTATGTCTGTTGCGAGAAGTATTTCTAACAAATTAGACTGGGCAAAGGTCATTTCCAGTTTGGGATTGACTGGTTCTACCTCTTCAGCTTTGACTGCCTTTAAGAAGAGAAACGACGATGCAAAAAAAGAACATTTGTCTTTGAAGGAACAGCCAACTGAGGTTGATTTCAGTCACTATAAATCTATTTTGAAAAACAGTCAAGTTGTGGATGAAATTCAGAAAGCTGTCTCCTCTTTCAAACCTGCAACTTACGATGTCTCTAAGAATTTGAAGACTATCGACATTTTTGAAGAGAAAGCGGTTGAAAATGCAAAGTTGACCGAAAAATCTGTTTTAGATGAAATTAAACAGTTGCAAGACACTTTGAAGGATATTGAAAGTGCAAGGCCATTCGACCAATTGACTGTCGATGACGTTGCCAAGGCAAGACCAGATTTAGATGAGAAGGTTACTTATATGGTAAAGAATGGAAAGTGGGAAGTACCCGGCTACAAAGAGAAGTTTGGCGACTTGACAGTTATGTGATCAATTCTTTATTCCATCTTACATAATCTATCGAATGGCTTATATGAATAAGCATAAACAATAAACGGTTATAAGTAGATTTCATGTTCTGTATTATTCTGTAGTAACCTAATTGTTTTCTTTTCCTATGACAACCCATCTATGATTTGTCTTATCGAAGTATTTGTCAGAGTAATCATCTGCATGCAAAATGTAATCGCACCAGAATAAATACATCGGGGATAAATATGAAAGAGACGATATATCTTTCGGAACAATATCTTCCTTGCCTTTGTAATTGTAACCTTTGTCAAAAGTTACATCCCATGAAGTTATAACGATATTACATTTAAACTTCTCCTTCAATTGTTCCAAGAGATCAAGGAATCTTTTATAACTTTGATTTGAAGAATCAGATCTGTATCCAATACTTTTATAGCTCATCAGGTGTAGCACTTTAAGCTCCCAATAAAAGACTGATATGTTGTCAATAACTAAATTTCGTAATTCATAATCTAGGTATTCAGTCAACAAACTTTGCAAAAAGAGTAATAAGTTTTCAAATGAACTTACGCTTCGAATGATGGTGGGTCCATTATTACAGTACTCTTCTTGGCCGCAGTTTAACAACACTGTGCCCTTACCTTTAATTTGCTCAATAAAATTAAGCTTTAGCTCTCTACTGCTAAATAAAAAATGGCATGATTGGTTAACTAATGTGGGATATACATCATGACGTAAGGGAACATTCAAGATACCGTCTTGCAACTTTATAAAATCATAAAGGGTCTTAGTCTTCATAATTCAAAATATCATCCTGTTCTTTGATTCAGTTAGAGACAGCTCTTATCAGGCTTGTCAAGTCTAACGTCTGGTATTCGACCAATTACTTATTGCTGACTTATTTGTTCTTTTGACGGTAACTGCGGTAAAGAACCAATTTACCGCACTCCCATAAAAAGTTTTCCATACAATCCTCAAAATATACACTTAACCAAATTTTAGATAACGGTCGCTCTAGTAAGTAAGGCGTAGTATACGCGTAATTATATTAAAGACGTCACGTAACCGAAGCATAGCTTTGCCCTTTAGTAGTGCTTCAAGTCACACAAGATCAATAGGTCAGCTTATTTCAGTTCCAATTTATCTATCTGTTGCATATTTTGATCACTCTAGACTCGGGGGAATTTGCTCAGTTCCAGCTTCAAGGAGGAAGTACTGGCATTAACAGCACTAATGTTGTTACAGGATATAAATTATAGAGCAATGGTGATACTGAAAGCGAAAATGGTTGTTAATAAGAGATTAATACAACCGCTTTTAAACGGAAAAACCCCATGGCAATTTGCACAGAGAATATTTCTTAACTGCTTCTTCATTGTTCTTTGGGCAGCTTCCACACTCTTCATAGATCATATACCGCGATCTGAGTTTATAATGATCAAGTTTTTGCTAAGATTGGATAATTATTTGTTCAACCCTTCATCATCATATATTGGACTGTTTACATTTTTACTTGTATTATTTTCGGGAAGTTGGTTATTGTATGTGAAATATTATTCAAAGCCTTTAGTTCAGAATTCAATACAAGATGATGGAGCAGGAGACTACGAACTATTAAATCTTCCGCTAGGTGCTAATGAATTTAACGATGATAGTATCAACAATAAGAGACTTGTAAACCATATCAAGCATTCACATTCTTGGAAGCCATACAATTGCTGGAGTCAAGGCCCTCCCATTTTGCTAGCATGTTCCTGGTTTATTTTGAACCTCTTGTTCACGTTAAAGTTGCCCATAAATAAAGCAAAAAACTTAATCGCTTGGATATTCTATGTCATACTACACTTCTTAGTACCAATATTCGTTGGGTTTTGGCTCTATTTGTTTCAGCCATCAGGTGCTCTTGGTATTTATGCTGTTAGTATCGGGTTGCAGAATATGTTGATCGCATTCACACATCTCATCTTTCCCAACGCCCCCCCATTGTATATTAAATTATATGGAGAAAACAAACAACCAACTTATGATATGATATATGCCGATGGAATAACAAGACAAGATATGAAGATTGGCCAAAGGATTTATAAAGCTGTTTACTACGCTACACCACATAAATTTGCATCATTGCCCTCAATACATTCTTCAATGACTTCATTAATCTTCTTTTATGTTAGCTATTATTCTAGATGGACTTTATTCAAGATACTAGCATTTGTCTATCTATTAGGGCAGTGGTGGTCAGCCCTATATTTGGATCATCATTGGAGGTTTGATTTGTTGGTTGGCTTGGTTTATTCTATTCTTGTATTCACGTTTTTTAGAATATGCAGAAATGGCTTGGGAAGAGTGGATGAGAATTTTATAAGAGCAAGACTAAGGCACGATTTTAAAGGCAGTAGTACCATGGGAATGAGGATTTTTAAAAATACAAGATTTCAAAATCTTTTTGACCCTCTAGCATAGTTTTTCATCTTGCTTCCTTTTTTTTGCATATATTATATTACCTTACGAAAAGTATGTACAATTAGAATAGCATTATAGTTCATTCGAATGAGAAAAAGTTTAAAGAAATTAGCTTAGTTTCAATTTGAGTCGTGATGATTCTGACTCGATGCTTCTTTTGCATGCTTATAAACAGTTGTGGATTAAGCTCGAGAAGAAGCGATAAAAGCTCATCTTTACTTGTATCCGGCTTTGCTCCTAGAATTATCAGATTATCATACATTGTATTGATACTACTTTGGTAAAAAGATTTTGAGGCCGAACGACAAATACAGCTGTAAGATGCTTGAGCTTATCGGGCTACTTTGAACCTATTCAAAATTAGAGGAAACTGTACAATAAAGCCAGAAGTCAAGAATGCTTCACATAGAAAGTATGTAACAATAGATCTGACGATAGAGTAAGAAGCCTAACAAGACTCAATGAATGAAAGGTAGTATTTCTTGTAAGATATATTTTAGCAAGCAATTTAAAGCAAAAAATGAAATCACATTGCTGCTGGACGGTTGAGAGAGCACTATATTTTTTGATATTTCCGGCATATTACTAACCACTCGTTTGACATCAATTAGATGAGTAAGCTTTTATGAAGTGTGAAAATCGAGGAGCGTATTGTGAAAAGTAAGTTAATACTATAAATTCACATATCAGATATGTTTGCTAGAGCTTTATTCAATAGTCTGAGAATTGTATGTTCACATTAAATGCAAAATTCTTTGTATGACCAATACTAACATCAATAGTCCCGCCCAGTTTTTGTAAGGTCATCTGTCTTTACTAAACCATGTACTCTTCCATTGGTTAGATCACTTTCCACCGAAATTAAAAACGCTATAGATAAGGCGGTTAGCTCATCGAAAGTTGTATTGTTTATGAAGGGCACTCCTGAGTTTCCTCAATGTGGATTTTCACGAGCTACAATTCAGATTTTGGGTCAGGAAGGTGTCGATCCAGAAAAATTTGCCGCATATAATGTTTTAGAGGACCCTGAATTAAGGGATGGTATCAAAGAATATAGCTCGTGGCCAACAATTCCTCAATTATACGTTAATAAGGAATTCGTTGGAGGCTGCGATATAGTGATGTCTATGGCGCAGTCGGGGGAACTCGGTGAATTGTTGGAAGCAAGTGATTGTCTTATTCCAGAAGATGAGCCAGAACAAAGCTCTGCAAACGTAAAGCCTAGCGATAGATCATGATGTTTACATAGTCAAGATTCTTTGGTATCTTTCTTCGCTGCTTTCAGTTTTGAGAGATGACGATAATACACATTTTGTATGACACTTGAGCCTTTTCAATAGTGGTAATGATTTATACATAGAAAAAAAAAAACCAAATAAAACAGAATTTCCTTGAAAAAATGAGTATATGCACAATGATCCTAAATGTAAACGAAGTAAAAAGAAATGAAAGGGCGGGTACCTTGTTATGGTATATGGCAACACTCTAAATCTTTAGCCGCTCCTTCTTGGAGCAACAGAGAGTATATAGACATAAATGCAGAGTTTAGTTATGCAGTGGGATCAACAGTACGTTGACGAAGTGAAGAAGTACCTGAATTGATTTTACTTAGAGACTTCAAGGTAGATGATCTTCTTCTTGTTAAAAGATTTGAGTCATTCAAATTCAATGTAAATTTGAAATCACCTGCAATACCTGATATGATAGATGATGACCTTGTTCGGTAGTCAGAAGCTTCTTCATCTGAATCTAGCGATATTGGTGACTTTTGAGATGAATCCCTTCTTTTGGTGAAATCATTGTCTAGGCTTGCTAAATCATCTTCACCACTACCAACATCATCGTCTTCGTACTCATTATCGCTATGATCATCTTCAGACTTATGTACGCTTTCAATTATCTTATCAACTTTAAAGACATCTTTGAAATTCAAGTCATTCAAATCATCCAGTGTTGGATTCGGAGTCCTAGGATGATTTTTATAAAGGTCCCTCTTTAAGCACGAGTCAGTTTCATCAGAGGAATTGTTCGTTTCAGATATGTTTTCGATAAATTGAACTGAACTTTTCGAGTGAGTACTTTGATTCAATATAGATGAACCCGCATGGGCCATTGCTCGATTATTGAAGACCATCCGAATCGCATTAGCCCTCGGTGAAAATAATGGAGAAGTACCACAAATAGTTTTTGCTACTGATAAGTGGTCCTCTGAATACTCGATATGTTCCACCGAATCCTTTAATGATTCAGAATAGCTATCATTAAATTTAGTATCATTGGAAGAGAAGTAATTATCACAAGTTGTATCTATATCAACTTCTTGATCAAAGGTAACGTTTTTGACCCAAGGATGTTGCCATATCTCCTTGATAGAGATCCTGGATTCAGGATTCACATCAAGCATGCGATCAATCAAATTTTTGGCATCATCACTTATATCGTCCCACCACGGCTTCAAAAACAGATATTGTCCTTTGATAATCTTCGCTGTCAAGTTTTCTGGATCATCGTCATAAAATGGAGGAAAGCCACAGAGGACAGTATACAACAAGCAACCTAACGACCAAATATCGACCGCTTTCGAGTAATTATTTTTCTTTGAGGTAGCACTAAAAAATCTAGTACGGTCATTTGATCTATCGTTGCAAGTGATAACCTCTGGAGCAGTGTATCCTGCTGTTCCACAGGGGGTCTTCAATGCAGAGTCAAAGTTAGACGATTCAGACTTAAGCTGCTTCGCTAGACCAAAATCAGCTAGTTTTATTATGCCAATAGTACCTCCACCAATTCCAGGAATAAATTTACCCTCATCTATTTTGGAGTCATCATCTGAAGCTCTCTTTGAAGCAAGAAATTCTTCCCTTGAGCGTTCGAAATATTTAATTCTTTTGATAATGAGATTTTCAGGTTTGATATCCCTGTGGACAACGTGAGCTTGATTATGCAAATAATCAATCGCTGATAAAAGTTGCCTGAAAACATGACGTGAAAGGTTTTCACTAAAATATGTATATTCGATGATTTTGTTAAAAATTTCACCACCATCGCAATACTCTAGGATCAAAAAGCAATGCTTTTCAGTATCATAGTGGTCCAATAGTTTTAAAACGTTTTCATGATTATTCGCTTTCTTCATTACATTAATTTCATTTTTAACATTTGCCAATTGTCTTACTGATAAATTCTCTTTACTTATAACTTTCACAGCTACATGAGACTTATGTTGTAAGTCCTTAGCCTCATAGACAGTTGAAAATGCTCCTTCGCCAAGTATATTGAACAACCGATATCGAGACGGTAAATCGGGATACAAACTATTAGGTCCATTGAAAGTGAAGCTTGCATTAGTCTTTTTCGGAGATTGATCAGAGGACGTACTCGAAGATATGGCATTAATATTCATACAAGAAGACAGTGGCGATAAGCTCTCTTCGTCAGCTTCCTCGCCACGGCCATCTGCCTTAAATAGTTTCTTGAAATTCTTGGGCCCGTTAGTATTATGATTAACAACCAGCCAACGCATAATTACGAAGTCAAATTGAGGAGTTGGATACATACTTGCATTATTATCATATTCTTAATTCACACTGAAAAGTTGATTCAAAAACAGATATTATATATATTATAGTTCTTAGCTCTGCGTAAACTCACAGGATATTGATTACAATTGGGGTCACACGATATTTGTCAAAAAATGATATAAGTATACTTTGCTTATACAAACGTGTTTATGCCTATTCAACAACTTCAAAAGATACCCACTGTCTTTGATTTTTGAAATTTTTGATCTTACCCCTTATTTGGATGTCTGATTGTTTTTAAATCAAGAAGAAATTTACCAAGACTTATTGTGTATGGGTGGGGAATTGACGTTGTTTCAATATTTTGTGGGTGCAGTGGATGCTTAATATAGATCTACGGCGCGAGAGTTATGTATTGGTATGAACTCTGTCTCGCATAATATGGGTGAGGAGGATGTTTTGAGCAACTACCACGACCCGAATTATGGGGTCGCTCATAGCTAAAAAAAAAATGTTTACTTCTATTTTCAGAACATGACGTCATGGTTTTGTAATATCTGCAGAAATTTACGTAAGTAGATACCAGATAAGGAAAAGATCGCCCACGATATATTGTTTACAGATAAGTTACAGAAAAATAATCCAAAACTGAGACCGATACCAAACTTCAAAGCCCCGCTCAGAGTGCAGAACAACGCTATAAAAAGCAGAATGCAGTGTAGTAAGTAAGTATATGTTAGTAGCCCGTAACTAAGTTTTCTCGAGATAATTTCGGAATATGATATCCGAGGCTGGAGACTCTCACATGAGACGAGAAAGTAGTAGCGTTAATCTTTGAGATCGCAGTTGACAAGTGACCGATCAATCACCGGAGATGTACAATGACTAAGCGCAAGTAGCTTTGTATCAATAAGTTTGACGGATGATTATTACAAATGACACCAAGGGGATCAATATGGGAAAGTGCATCCATCATGTCATTCTAAGCAGGATCGTTTTGTTTGATTATCTTATTCACAAGACGTCCCGAATATCAGTTACGAACTCATCGATCAATATGGTTATCTGAGCTTACGAATTATAAAAATACAATTTTAGAGAGGAATGCTCTCTACACTTGTGTTATACTTCGTGTATCCGACATATTACTTATAGCGTAAGGTCAAGTTGACACTGCGACGCGTGAACGAGGATAGTCGTCATGACATAATGCAAATAAATTCTTTTGCATATATCATAGTAGATGGAAAACTGTCTTCGAAATGTAAACGAATTGGAGCTTTTTCATTCTCTTGAAAAACTGGCCGAATTCCTGAGGAAGCTTCCATGTAGATCCAAGTCGGTTGCTGCAATGCAATGTGAAGGCTAAGAGAGACCGACATACCCGGCCGGGACCAGTTTTCGTACAAAGTTTTCCATCCGAATGTCGCATGTGTCGTGTTTAAAAGCTCGAAAGAACACGATTAGATTAAATGTCGCATCAGGAAACGTTATTGTGCCTGCTTGTTGTCCCTCCCTATGAAACTCTCCGTGAAATTAAACTCAGACCACTGAGATACTGATTCTGATGCTTAAGTTATATCAGTTGCAAAATTTTATAGTAAGATATAATTGAGTGGAAACCTATTGACTTGATATAGCTTTTATGCGTTCCTTTGAACTCAATGCCTTTTGAATCACTTTCTTTTCAAACATTTAAGCTTAAGTTGTGGCCGAAAAGCTGACAAAGTTTTTTGTTTATAAACTGCAGTGCGCTATGCAATGAAATAATTACAGAAGATACACAATATTGATAAAAACAGATCTCTCGAACGTCAACAAAACTAAATATTTTCACCAGCAGCCCAAATAAATGGATTCTAAATTTCGTGCCAGACATCTAAACAATAATAATTGTATCACACTAATCAAGCATCACACGAATTGCCGTACGCTATGAGATAAGAGAAAACCAAAGGATTGACTTTACGAACGAAATTCAGCCATCATATTTCACAACCGAGAGTCTCCCAACGAGAAGTATTCAAACTACTTGCTGCGAAAACACGATAATAGTTTATGATAAACTATAAATGAATTTGATGCAGGTAGTTATTTTATACTGTAGGCTTATTCATAAGTCATGTGTTCATTTTCATTTTATTAGCTTTTTGAACAGACGGATATGTTCTCTTGTATCAAAACCCATGAAGTTTTGGTTAAATATACGGCCAAATAATGTAGTTCAAAAGTGATTTAATAAATTTTGATCAATTGATTTATGTACGATATAAATGAGTTACAAAAGAATTTGTAGCAGGAATTCATCACGGTGGGTAACATGAAATAGAAAGATATATATGTACATCAAATCTAGTACTGGCGACTTGAGAATCTCAATTCGGTTGTTAGCGAAGATGATTTAAACATAAAATGACTTTCAAGTGACTTTCAATTGACTTTCAACAAACCTTACATTTATCAGTGAAGGGCATTCTGAAATTTCATCCTTCAATGCTATATCGTAATAAGCTTTTGTGCGACTTTATGTACCTTTTAGCGTGATATAAGATTTGTGCGAAATTTGTTTACGTATGTGGGATTGTGTAATATCAGATTCAGTGCAAAAATTCTACCGATGACCATGCGATGATCAGTTTTGAAAGCGCTGGGACTTAAATCAATCATGGTGGCACAGGGGCCAAAGAAAAAGAATGTTCACAGTTCCGTGAATGTAAACTCAAAAGTGGTCGATGAACTCGTGAAAGTGACATCCTCGAGGGACTTGACTTTAGTAGCAGGATTCGTTCAACATGGCAGCATGATTAAAGTATTGAGTAATTGGTCATATTTTGCTTCTCTGAACGATCACCACCACTTCAGTGATTGCTCACTGAAGATGTCGCGATTAACATATATGGCTAATGTGATCAGTGGTATTTATTCTGATAAGGATTATCAAGGTTTGAGCCAAATTGATAGTGCACAACTACAACCTATGATTGTGACATTTTATAAAGAGTTACTCCATGGTCACTTAAAAGCTATATATAGAGCTTTATCTAGCTGTAAACCGTCGCTAACGAATCCAGTTTTAAGAATACTCACCGATTTGGTTAGCAATAAAAGTTTGGTGAGTGAATTTCTAGACCTTTTTGATATAAATCTAAGTGTTCTTCCAAAATTATTGATTCCTACGAAAGCGGAGCTTGAAAATGGATTAGCAAATTCTTCGAAAGACTTTTTATCGATACGACACAATTTCATTAAATTTTGGCTTGCTTTAAATTCTAATGCATCGGCATTCACAAGAAAGACCTTGCTTACAAGATATCATTCCATAATGAATAATCTCTGGAAATATTTGTCTATTGTCGATTCAACATCGACTTTAACACTAATATTCAATTTTATTGACTCAAAAATATTAGAAGAAGTCGTGTTCAGAAAATCAATTAAGTGTAAGATATTGAATGAAAACTTTATGTTTAAAGCCCAGTTAATTTTCAATAGACAGGAGAATGAAGAATTCAAAGAATTCTTCATGAAATTCATGACTAAACTTGCAACAGACCTGAAGCGAGGTTTACTATTTCCAAATGATAGAACGTGGCAATTCCCAGAAGTGGAGGGTGTGGCCATCGTAATCAATAATACTTCATTCAAAATTTGCAATAAATTATTGTACACATTATTGACTGCCATAAAACCTTGGGAATCGAGTCCTCAGCTTCAGTTTTGTATTGACATATTGAGGGCAGCTCCTGAATTAGTTCTGCCATATTTGAATTGGATGATACAACACGGTGGGGGTTACCATGATCCTACCTTATCTTCTTGGTGGATTGGCCACACTCTATTATATTGCAGAATTTTACAGCTACCTCTTCCTCAAAGTATCATGGAGCTCTCTGAAATGAATTTTATAAACGATGATGTTCAATTAAACCTATCTAGGATTGTGGATAACATAGCTCTACCGCCTTTGTCAAAGTCTTCCCTTTCAAAGTGCATTGATTTTGAATATGACCTCGTGTCTCAGTTATCCCTACAGTTAATAATGTTCGCTTTAAGAAAATTGAAAGCTTTTTTGTCATTAGGTATAATGAAGTATAAACAATCATTGACAGATTTGGTATTTCTGAATCTTCCTGACTTGTCATATTTGGTTCAATTATATAATAAATTAGGGAACGAAAGAAAACCTAAAGAAAGGAATGTAATGATATTAACTCTATCGATGATATTTAAAGAGTACGAAGAATTATATCCAAAAATTAGCTCGGCTTCTTTAGCTTTAACGAAAATTACGGTATCGGAATCGAACCAGATTTTGAAGAAAGACTTCAACTCTTTGAAAGGATATGACATAGCATTGTTGGACAACTATTTATCTATACAGTTTAGCCAGCAATTAGAGCAAAATATCAAATGGTGGCATAAGCCCAATAGTGGAAATTCTTTCTTTACATGCTTAGTCAAATTGTCAGCAACGAGCCTGCTAGACAACTATTTTCGTTGGAAATTGATTAATATTTTGGAATCTTTGACGACGCCATATTTGTTTCTCAACAAAAGGTTGATAGTCTCTCCTATAATTGCATTGATTGAGTCTTTAAAATTGTTCGGCTCTAATGAAAGTATCTGGAATGTGTTAGATGAGGTAATTTCTAGGTCAACAAAATTTCCCTATAGATTTCTTGATAAATCCCATAAAACCTTCAATGATATAAATGTTTTCACAATATGCTTGGTTGATCAGCTAAAGGTTGTCTTGAAACAGGATACGGGCAACACAAAACTAATAATGAGATGGCTTTTCTTATACTTTAGATATTTAGTTGTAATAGGAGAGCCTATTGAATCCATAGTTGATCTAGGAAATGATTTGATAAATGAAGATGAGAGGTATTTATCTATCGCTGCAGAAAACCATTTATGGAACGCTTTGGAATTTCAAATTCCGTACTCACAACATAAGAACCAATCTTTCTTTGAAAAAATAATTAACGTATCATATGTTTCATTAATCAAAGATCCTGACAGCCTCGGTAACAGCATTCCTGTTACTAAATTCGACTTCGCTGGCCTAGCACTTAAATTGAAGATGATTGTCAGGGATCCACAGATTAAGGATGCTGAAAGTGTCATGTTTAACTTATTTTCAAAAATGGGTAATTTCTTAATGGGAGTTATTCCAAATGACGAATCATTGAAATCTTATCTATTTTCGAAATATTTTTGGTCAGAGATACTTCATCCCGGGTTGATAAGTGATCATCGTTTGAATACGAAACAATATCTAGCTGCAAGTCTTCTTAACGAGACTTTCCAGCAAATATTTCTCACAACCCCACAAGACCCTAAATACATTAAAGAGCTAACTGATTTTGTTTCACAAGCAATTACAAATACCGAATCAATTCACGAGGAAAACCAAGCAATATTATCTAAGTTTTTTTGGTTATTTTCTAAGGAAACGATCAAATCTTTGATAAAAAAATTAAGCTGTCGGAATCAAATCGTATCGATAAGATTTTTGGAATTGTTATATAATGAAAGCATCATAACTCCAATGGAGATATTTAATAGAATGATAACTCTCGAAGCTAACACCACTATTGATGACCAGAAGCACAGAATAATTTGTAATATGATTGAGAAGAACCTTGTTGATTTTTCTTTTAAGAAGTGGTCACATTATTTTGATTTGGCTTTAGAAAATAGAGAGCAACAATATTTACTTAAGAGCTTAACTAAAAATGAAACGGTGGACAACAACGATAAGTGTGAGTATTTAAAAAAGAAGCTAGAAAATTTAGTAAGCAAAGACATACTTTTCTGTACTGTTGGAGCTGCTATTATTTCTTGCCCGACTCTAAATTCGGACGAAAAGCTTACTATTTTCTTTAAACAAATGGTGAGTACGGCTTTAAATCTTGTAAGTGCGAAAAATTTTGGACATCAATTAACGTTTGGGCAATTGCTTGAAATTTTTGCCTTTTGCTTACGGGAGAATTACATTTCTGAGATAGATAATTACAGCCTTATTCTAGAAAAAGTTTTTAATTATGTGGAAACTCAGGGTTGTGATTTAGATATGAGTAGCGCATTTGCATCTCTAGTATATGAAGTACTTTCTAAAGTTGATGCCGAGGAAAGGTTAGCAGTATGGTTGCAAAAGGCAATGCTAGTTGTTACCAAAAGATTCGCGGAATCAAATGAGTGGACCAATGGTTTTAGAACATTTGTTGTCAATATACAAAGGATTGTCGAACTCCTACTGCGTCAATCGTCTTCAATATGGAAATTTATTCCTCCATCAATTATCAACACTCAATTAGAAGTTTTATTGAGTCAAAGATCATGGGTGAATGAAGTTGAGGTGTTGAAGTACGCTAACAGTTTACTTTTAACTGGCTCAAAAGCTGATGTCGACTTTGAAAAGCTCTTACACATATTCGTTACTAATGAGGCAAATGAACTAACTCAGTTGCCATCAGAAACTAATAGTTTGTTACGAATTCATTCTGCATTGATCATATACATATTGTTTCACTTAAATCCTCATAAGACTTCAACTGCTCATCTAGTGACTATTTTGCTTAAGTTTTACTTGGGATCTATTAGAGTGGAGGATATTCTCTTGAAGAAAGTCCTTATTAAGTATGAAGAAATTGTTCCGAAGTCATGGATGTCTTTCATCAAATACTGGGATTTTACAGAGGGTTTGAGCGATGTCGAAAAAGATTCACTAGACGAACAAAAGTTGATAACCGGTAAACAGGTTTCGGAGTACAAGATTACTTTGAACAAAAAATTCCTTCTCAATACGGTTGATAATCCAAAACTATTTCAAGACATTGAACTCCCAGATCATTTACTTAAGTTATTGATTGAGTCTCCTTCGGAAGATAACTGTTTGGATGCCTTTGATATACTGCTTGGAATTAAGTCATCTTATCCTAAGGATTATCAGCATACAATTTATGATCCAGAGTTTCTCTTTTTGTTGATCATAAATTCAGAAGACTTTGTTAAAGTCAACCAGTCACAAACATCTACGCCGGAGTACTTACTCAATCTCAAACAACTTTTCGATTCAAATTTATTACAGCTAATGATAACATGCCTTGGAAGTCAATCTGAAACCCTCAAAAAAATTTCTAAGATTTTGTTGTCTGGTGCTTTAAAATCTTGCAACACTGCTTACAAAGACTATAATCTTTACAAAGTTTACATTTCCAATGCGTTGTTCACTTTAAGAAGTTGTGATAACATACTGCCCATGGTATGGTTCATTTATGCTAGTTTTGCCCTGATCATTTCGGACCCAGAGCACTTTTTGTTCGACCGGGTTTGTAGATACATTTCATCTAGGCCAATGATAAAGGTGAATGAGTTGCCGTTATACAGTGATATAACTTTCGCTTCAGTCGATAATATTGAATCAGAAGGAAGCAAAAACTACCATAAAGAAATAGCTTGGCTACTAGAAAGATTTATCATGGGAATACAAAATATGGACGATTTGAATGTCTTAAAAAGACATGGCGTCATTGAGTGGGTTTTAAATCTATTAAATTCTCCTTATGTATCATTGAGAATTAGAACGCTACTACTAAAACTTCTATACACTATTGAAGGATTAGAGTCGGGCTCCGACTTGCTTATCACAAGGTATGCACTTTTTGCTTCAATTGATCAAAATGCTGTACGTTTTGCACCAATTCCTCCTCTGAAATACCATGAGCTTGAAGTTGAACAATTAAAGCTTAATTTTCAGCAGTTACAGCTTCGTTTATTTTCTGCTGTCGGATCCAGTAAGCGTATCAGGAACTGGACTAGTAATGATATTTACGAACGTATCAAAAAAATTCGCATGGCCTGATTAGTTCAGTTTAATTGATTATTTCAAAATATCCTGAGTAGTTTGTATAGTATATATCTATCACGAAATATTATATTCAGTCCGCTTAAATACTTAAAATACACCCACAAAATCAAAAAGCGATACTACCCTATTTTCTCCTTAAGTGTGACACATCTATCGAAAGAATGAGTGTAAGTGTATTGTTGATGGTATAGAAATGATTTCTGATAAATACTAACGTTTTTCTTACAGATAGGAAAATTGGCACATTATTCTTTTGACTTAGTTTTAATTTCTATTATATTGGCAGGTGTTCATAGAAACACAGGTTTGGCGTTCGACACTTCAAGCTTTTCTTCAATTGACATCCGCAGATGGTTCGGTAAATACTTGGCAATGGGAGAAAAGTGCTATGACTCAGTTGTATCTATTTTAAAGGCTAGTGGTTATTTTAAACAGAGGAACTTATTGTATGATTATGTTTCCGGTCAGACATCAAATCAAATATTCAAAGATCAAACAGGGAGGGATTTAAAAGATTTACCCATCAAAAAATAAGAGGAATTATTCAGTTATAGATCTTTTTCTTATCTTTCTTTTTTTTTGTATTTTCGTTTATTTGTTCTTTTTTCTTTTTTTTTGGTGCAAGGTAATTGTTTTTGGGCCCTAACTTATAAGGCGAGTTTATAATGAAGTTTTAGTTTCGAAGTAAAAATTCTGCAAAATGAGTCTTTGTAATTCTTATTGTTTTAGTAGATAAATTAATAGAGTCGATAAAGACTTCAAATGAAAAATTCTGTAGACTTAAGATAAGTACGTTTTGATTCTCAAATTTTTGTCATTCAGTGTGTAATTCCTGAAGGCTGTCCATATTTAAGTTATAAGAGTTTTGGATATTTGAAGAGATAACGCTGCATTCTGCTTCAAATTTGTGTGGTGCGAGTTACACATGCTCAATATTAAAGACATTTTTAGTAGCATATTCAGTATGACATTTAGTTTATTATTCAACGATGGACGAGAATCGAGCTAGGAGGAGTAAATTCGTCGAATCGCTTAAGCATGCGGTGGATTTAGAGCAGAGAACCGACTCATCGGAGATGTCTGCTTATTTAGAATCATATTCAGCAAAAAGACTATCTCGTTTGGGGTTAGCTGTGATCAACTTGATTATAGGCCAAATGAGAACAGGCCTAGGTGGGAAAACTTTGATTACATTGGAATTGGATCCTGCCTTGAAAAATGGTGAAACTTTCAATAGCATCCAAATGGGTTCTATTAGAGTAGGAGATATTGTGAAACTTGAGAGGATGGACAGCACGAAATCATCCGAGGAACGGGACGTTATTAGGAAGGGTGGTGAAAAAAGAACAGAAAGTGACGATTTGGATTGTGTGGTCACAAAAATCACATCCGATTCTGTGACAATAGCTGTTGAAGAGGATTCTTCTGATGAAAAAGTTCTAAACATGTATAACAATACTTCTAGTGAAAATCCACGAGTATGGATTGTCAAGCTTTCCAATTCAATAACTTTTAAGAGGATGATAACTGCTTTGAATAAAATGAAAGAGCTACCATACGACAAAACGAACGATGTTATTAGAATGTTGTTGGGGGAACTCGAATATCAGCCATGGAAGACAGAATGCGACTCAAACTTAAATCAGTTTTTTGATTGCCAATTAAACGAATCTCAGAAAGAAGCAGTTAATTTCGCAGTTCACAGGTCTCCCATATCTATTATTCACGGTCCACCAGGTACCGGAAAAACTTATACTGTCATAGAAACAATCAAGCAATTAGTATTTAATAATCAGGAGCGAGTATTAGTCTGTGCTCCTTCAAATATTGCAGTCGACACAATTTTGGAAAGACTTTCGCCGATGTTTAACAACCATGCATCTACAGAGAAAAAGGGCAAAAGACTGAGATCTGCTCTAAAGAGTGTTCGGAATCCAGATAAACTAATTCGAATAGGTCATCCTGCTAGGCTCATTCAAGGAAACTTGAAACATTCTTTGGATGTTTTATCTAAAAGAGGTGATGGTGTAGCCAACAATAACAACCAAGAGATACTAAAAGATATTGAGAGGGATATCAGTGACACTTTGGTGAAAATTCGTAAATGCAAAGCGTATTCTGAGAGGCGAGCCCTCTGGGCGGAGCTTAAGACGTTAAAAAAAGAACTTAAAGTAAGGGAACGACGAATTGTTCAAGAATTGTTGGTTGGAGCGAACGTAATTTTATCCACTTTGCATGGTTCAGGATCATATGAGCTTTTGTCATTATATAAAGAAAATGCAGTTTTAGGAGGAAAGGCTCTATTTGATACGATAATAATCGATGAAGTTTCGCAGGCTTTAGAACCACAATGCTGGATACCTTTAGTATCTCATCCTGGTTTCAAAAGATTAATAATTGCAGGAGATAACATGCAATTACCTCCTACAGTTAAATCGAAAGAGGATTTGGCAAGTGAAATTTCAAAATTGGCTATCAGAAATGAAGAGGTTGCGAATTTAGAAGTGACTTTGTTTGATAGATTAGTGAGAGATCTAGAGGGTAATCGGTTCAAGAAGCTTTTGAACGTTCAGTATCGAATGAACGATGCAATAATGAACTTCCCGTCAAATGAATTATATGGTGGCCAACTCAGAGCAGATAAGAGTGTTGCTAATATTTTGATAACAGATCTTCCTAATATTTCAGACTCGGATGATTTAGACATAGCGTGTCTTTGGTTTGATACTCAAGGAGGCGATTTTCCAGAAAAGTCGGACGAAAATAACGATTCTGGCTTAAATGTTGGGTCTAAATACAATGAAATGGAAGTTCATGTTATCCTTCAACATTTAAAAAAACTTTTAGATTCAGGAGTTTCACCGCAAGACATAGGTCTAATTTCTCCTTACAGTGCCCAGGTATCATTGCTAAAACGTACCTTGCAGAAAGAAGATATCGAAGGTGTTGAGGTCTCGACCGTTGATGGATTTCAGGGAAGAGAGAAGGAAGCAATCTTGATCTCATTAGTGAGATCTAATGATTCTAGGGATGTAGGATTTTTAAAGGACAAACGGCGTTTGAATGTGGCTATGACGAGGCCGAGAAGACAACTCTGCGTGGTAGGTGATCTAGAATTAATGGCCACAAGTGGAATAAAATTTTTGATGAATTGGTCTTCGTACGCTGAGCAAGAATTCGAGATTCGATATCCCATTCTAGATAATTACTGAGATCTTAGCTGCAACATGGCTCATCATCAATTCTTATGCCCAGCTTTTAAATATACATTAAGATGACTGCATGTGTGTCAAAGGTCGCTTATGTATGCACACCGTGCTTCGGTGAAATTATGATCACAGATCTCAACTTCGTACACAACTCACACTTAGTAGGTGTAGAAAAGTATTATTCCCTCTCCTTACTTCGCACCCTTCAGGAAAAATTGTAAATATACAGAATCTATTGTTTTAAGGTATTGCCCACAACCAGTGTTCAAGAAGAATAAATTAACTGTCTTCATGCAAGACGACACTGTGCCTCGTGGGGACCGATGATTGGTGAATATTGATTGGTGAATATTTGGACTCTGAACCTACTGCTGAGAAGAGAATGAAGGAGTTACCAGCTCATTCACATTCTAGAATCAAAAAACTTTAAACTTTCAAGCTCATTTTAAACTCCTGCAAGTATCACAAGAAAATCTTAGTGGTTGACGGACAATATATGAGCAATGCTTTCGAGAATGTAAACAATCAGGAACATAATGCGCGTATTTTTCTTTTTTATATTTCCCAATTCAGGACGCGATTGTTTAGAAGCTCCAAAAGAATAGTTCCAGAAGAGCTTACATACAGTTGACGGTGCATGAGCTAAGAACGTATATATCCAGGGATGTTAACGTTATGAAATGAAATGTCAAAGGTAGAAAAGAATTGAACGCATATATAAAGCTAGCGTAAGCGAGAATTTATTTAAGTCTTTCTGTCGACTATATTCTAGCATATCCAAGAAAACTATAAAATCGAGAATGAAGTTCGTCAGCGTCATAGGAGCATTATCGGTATTATCTTTAGTCAACTCAGAAACGTATTATGTTACAAACACGTTCGTGAAGACAGTATACGGTGGAGTATCAGAAGCAACAACTGCTGGCGGTGAGCAAACAGTCGTTTCTGAAGCTCCGACACAGAAAAAAGCAGCAACTAGTCAAACTTTGTCTAGTTCTAGTACTCAAGTTCCAACAACGTTAGTAAGCTCCTCTAGCGTGTCTTCTGCAGAAACATCCCCCGTGGGAACTTCGACAGAATCAGAGTCATCGTCCACGTCTGTATCTGGTTCAGACAAGTCATTTGCCTCTGCAATCTTGGAAGCACACAACGAGAAACGAGCAAAGCACGGAGCAGATGCATTAACTTGGGATGATACTGTTTATCAGTATGCCCAAGATTATGCAGACAAGTATGATTGTTCGGGAAGCCTCAAACACTCTGGAGGTAAGTATGGTGAAAATTTAGCTGTTGGGTATTCAGATGGACCATCTGCGCTTGATGCCTGGTATGATGAGGGAAAGAACTACGACTATTCCTCTGCAAGTTCCTTTGACCACTTTACTCAAGTCATTTGGAAAGGATCATCGCAATTAGGATGTGCTTACAAGGACTGTTCTTCTGAGAACTGGGGTAAGTATATCATCTGCTCCTACAGCGCTGCAGGTAACGTTGTGGGACAGGGAAAGAAGAACCTTTCATCTGATTAAGCTTAAAATTGCATCATAGGCACAAAATATGTTTTACGAATAAAATAAACTCTCTACTCTACTTTTCTCCCCGTTTTATTTGATAGCATTTAGTTCAAATATATGTTAAAAGGTTACAAAATGAAAACAGGAATATGTGTACGCCTTGCCCCGATAGAGAATGTTCGACTTGTCACAAATTTTTGACAATTTTGGATGCAGTACCTTTCAAAGCTCTCATCAACTCCGCTTCTTGTTATATTCTAATTTTAATATGGAAAAGCTTCAGAGAATATGGCAGTGTCAAAACCTCCTGAAATCGCTTCAAAATCTAGCGAATTTAGTGGATATGAAGCAAAGGCATCATTTGGAGAAAACAAAGACTACCTGAATGCGAAACCTAAGAGAAGTTCTTTAGCTTGCATTAGATGTCGAAATCGTCATACCAAATGTCCTGGGGGTGAACCCTGTAGAAAATGTCAATTGGCGAAAACAAAATGTGAATATGTTGAAGTAGATAAGAAAGTGGTTGTTTCGATGAAATATTTAAGCAAACTACATGATGACATTGCTAGATTGAAGAAAGACAATGCGACTTTAAGGAATAGCCTCAAAGAAGAAGCAAATAAAAGGCTTTCTTCGGCTTCCTCAGGGGAAACAGAGTGTGAGTCACCATTTGCTCAACACTCATCGAGCATGAATCTATCGCAGAACCATACCGGATCCATTTCCGACGTGGGACAGAATAAGTTGAACCCACAGAGCGGTGAAGTAATACAGCCTTCTTTAGAGAATCATGGGAGATTAATACACTCAAGAACGGGTGAAAAATTGTATGCTGGATCATCATCTATGACTCTCTTTGGTCTTGAGATTCAAAATATGGTTTCACCGAATGCTTCGAGCCTATCGAGGAAAATGTCAACATTAGGATCTCCTCCTCAAGATTCCTCTCCAAATGTATCAAATTATTCTTTTTATTACCACCATACACGTGAAGCGGAAATATTAGAGAAAGAAGGAAATGCCTACAAGATCACATTGTCGAAAACGAATACGAGACCTGGTCTTTCCATCAATTTTACGCTTCCTTCGTATTCTTATGCAATGCTTCTCGTAGACATGTTTATCAACTATAATGATGCATGCTTTTATTTTTTTAACGAAGGATTGGTTAAGCAATTTTTGATGAATTTATATTCCGGAAAAACAGAAGAGAATAAAAAGATCTTGAAGAGAAACAAAAGTCCGCTTACATCACCAGTCGAAGATGACAATGCTATCAAGAGAGATGCAGATGACGATAGGATTTTGGAATCTATATGGTTCTGCAAAATATTACTTATTTTTGCTATCGGAGAAATGTACTTGGGTACCGAATCAGATTCTTCAAGTGCTAAAAGCTCAAACAAATCCAAAGCAGATAATAAAGCTAAGAACAAAAAGACAAGAAAAAATATTCTTCCAGGTTCTGGGTTTTTTTATCAAGCCACTGAATTATTTACAGGCTTATTTGCTTCTGGAGCGATTGATAATGTTACTAGGGATGGCGGTATTGAGGTCTTGCTATTATATGCGTTCTTTTTGCAAGTAGCAGATTGTACTATTGCTTCCTATTTTTATTTTGGGTTAGCCTTGCGGTCAAGTTTGATTCTTGGATGGCATGTTGACGCTGAAAAAGAAAATTTAAACAGATTCGAGTTGGAGCATAGAAGAAGGATTTGGTGGACGGTGTATATGTATGAAAGAATGCTCTCTTCAAAGGCTGGATTACCATTAAGTTTTTCTGATGACAGTATCTCAACTGCTTTGCCCGCAGATTTTAATATGACAATTGATCAATCAGAAGAAAACGACGTCAGAGGTTATTATATTTTTCCAAGTGCCGAATATATTAACAATTGCGTCCGAATAACGCAAATTAACGCATCAATCCTTTCATCTTTATACACGAAGCAACCGAAATTTAATATTTTGCCAGTCGTTTCTGAACTTGTGCAGAAGTTGACTACGTGGAGAAATTCGTTACCTGATTTTTTGAAAGTTGAGTTTTCTAGTGAAGAAGTGTCAGTCACAAGATTGACTGTGAATTTAATGACAGAATATTTTCAAGGTATGAATTTGGCGGTACGTCCACTTTTGTTTCATTTTGCTAGCAAAAAATTGAAAGAAATCCAGGTCGATCACAGCGTGAGTAAATATATTGATTTGAAGAAGTATTCAGGAAATATCTTTAAATTATTAAATGCTTCGTTCCGAGCCTCCATTAATTCGATCAAATGCATATGGGGTCTAATGCCTGATAGAATGGTTGCCATGTTTGGTTGGATGGATAGAGAATACTTGTTCACTTCAGCTTCTACATTAATATTATTTAATGCTTCCTTTGGTGTCTACGAGGCAACAAAGACTCACTTGGATCATGCCTTGATCATATTCACAAAAATGAAAAAATTAGGCAATTATCCTGCGGCATTAAGGAGAGCTCAACTTTTAAAGTTAATAAAAGTATTAAATTTTAACGGGCCAATGGATGATTTACTTCAAAAGCATTGCCATGAGAAAGGTGATGATTATGACTTGAATGGACTGAATGCAGACCCTCACAACAATGGAGATGGAGGAAACACCAATTTTAAGTCTGAGTCAACAATTCCATTCGATTCAACTCCATCTTTTATTGATTTTAATAAACAAGAGCAACAGATGTCAACGTCAAAAGACACTTCAAACGACCGAGGAGACGTGACTGATCTTAATTTACTTCTCACACCAACAATAACTGCTTTTGAAGGGACGTCAGATATGGCAGTTGATGAAGTACCGTCTTTAGACGACGAACAAAAGCTATGGAATGAAATAACGAATGATGCCATTTGGTTGAATATACCGGGAGAGCTGTCGAACCGTGATCATGAAGATCTGTGGCGGGAATTAGATCGCTTCAGTGCTTCAGTTTACAACCCTAGCCAATCACATAATCAGACACCACAAGCTGAGGTTTACAGTGATGTTCCAGATGTTTTGAATATTTTCAATCGAAACCCCAATGCATTTGGATGAGAAAGATCCATGTTAGATGACGGGAGTTATTAAGTATTATTGCCATGAGGCTTAATAAAGTTCACCGAGTTAATTATAGACAAAGATTATACATATGAATTAGTGTAGAAATGTACGTAAGCTTAAATAAAGGGATTATAAATCATTTTAATCAAATCATATCCATCATTCCTGAAGTAGGGGCCAAGTTTGAGGAGGAGTTATTGATATTAAATAGCTGCAGTGGAGACATAGCCTGCATTGATGGACGGGGAGACTGGGATGGTATTTGATTGTTCGGGAGATTATTTACTCCTTGATTAAAGTTGTTTAAATAATTTTGACCCTGCTGAAATGTATTTGGCGCTTGATCCGCATTCATGGCATTCATGTTGGATACTGATATGTTTCGTGGTGCAATCTGATCTTGTGGAACATTGTTTATAGGAGGTGTATATTGTGGTCGTTGTGCTTGGGGATATGGAGAAGTAGACAGCAGTTCAAACTGTGAAGGTTCCCTCATCGGGTCGGGTCTCATTTTCATATACTGTGACTCAGGATAAAGTTCCTGTAATTTATTGTACAACTGGTTAAGTTCTGGCATGTCTGGAGGTGCCGTATTTAAAACTGGAAAAGTGGGCCGATTTTGAGACGTCTGTTGTTGGCCCTGGGCTCCATGATACTTTTCATGTAAGTATGACAATACTGTCAAGTTGCAGTGTATTCTTCTGGTACAGTTTTGATACAGATCAATGATTGTTTTTCTTGCTTGTTGGGGAAGCTGTTGGAGAGAATGTTGGTTACTTAAAACGTTGTGATAAATATTTATAGTCTTCTTCATAAGCTGAGTGTTGATGAGTAAAAGACAAGTAACTCTTTCCCTATCGAGTTCTAGGGGACTCTTATTATTTGAATTCATGTCCCATACGTAGTGGTGAGATGGAATGGGGATAGATACTTGAGATTTTTGGACCATAAGTATAGATTTGACTACATGCAGTACAATCTTTCTTCTTCAGGCACATTGGCAATATGGGTCTCTTTAGCTTCTGATTAAATTAAAGAGCAAAAGCGACCCATCGGTTCCTACCAACATATCCAACTCGTAAAAAAGTTACAGCGAGATTTTTTTATACGATTTGCTTTATATAAGTACCATGTGTTCGATTTACTTCCAAACGCCAGACGAGCATGGTCGAATATGTCTATAAGTGAATATATACAAGAATTCTAGACTATTTTAGTCTCTTCAACAAGAGTCGCTAATCTAGACTGAAGAGCTCTTCTCATTCCAAGATACGTCATACTGAAGTCGCTTCTTCCCTGGGTCATTGAGCGTAATTTAGACAAATAGCCAACCATCTCACGTAAAGGTGTGTGAGCTGTGATGACTTTTTTGCTACTAAGCTCAGACATAATGTTATTGGACGACATTGTGTAATCAGGTGGTAAATAGATACGTTCGGATTCTTTTGAAGCCCATGTTAAGTTTTCTAAATTATCAGAGTGCTCATCATCAATAGATATGATTATTGCATGTCGTTTATGAGTAAGATCATGAACAACATCTCCCAAAACATCTGAGTTAACGAAAATCCTGGTAACCATTATCGGTTCCAAGATAGAAAATGCATTTTCTTTATGATTGTGTATATTGCTACTGACCGCTTTTCTAGCGGCCTCCATTAGCAATGAAGAATTGTACGTTTTATCAAATACTGGAAAATTCCATGCTTTGATTCTTACAACTGTAGAATGCAAAGGAAGACTCAAGATGGGGCCCCCAAGCTGCAAAGCTGTTAAGCAGCCTTGAATTAGTGTCTCCTGTAAGTCCTCTAAAGAATGATCAGACTTCCATCGTCTTTCCGTCATTGCTTGCATCATCGAATTCGGAGTTGCCGATGGCTCTAAAATTACAATATTATTTTCATGTGGAAAGATGTAAGCACCATCTTCTTCTGAAAACATAGAGTCTACCGCCTCACCTTCAAAAGAGTCTAGCTCGACTGTCACAGAAACACTAGTTTCATCTGAGCGTTCAGTTGTCTTTTGGTTGTTCGGTTTATAAGGTGACTCTTTATAGGAAACCGCAACATCTCGAAAGCGTACATTCGCTTTCATATCTCTGATTAATCTCTCTTTTATAATGTCTAAATGAAGCTCTCCCATTCCACTTAAAGTCGTTTGCCCCAAATCTTCATCCTCGCTAACTTTCAATGACGGATCCTCCCTTATTAAGACAGCTATGCAAGACTTGATATATCTTTCATCTCCAGCTGTGAGTGGCTCAATGCTTGAGTTGAAGAGTGGGGGAGGAATTTCTATCGGTAATAATTTCAAATTTGACTCCATAGGTGAAAACAGTTTATTGAGAGCACCATGAGAAACAAGAGTATCACCAGTGATAATGTCATCCTCAGTACCAGCAATCACACCAATGTTTCCTGAGCTTATATATGGAACTGTTTCTGGGTCCTCTCCGTGCATGAGTAATAGTTTTTTAAAGTGTAGCTTTTTTCCTGTTCTTGTGTTGATAACCGTTGTATTCGACATAAGCTTTCCGCTGTAAACCCTAAAGAAAGTAAGGACCCCTCTAGTAGCATGTGTCATTACCTTAAATGCTAATGCAACTGTTAAGTTAGGGTTTTTGTTAAAAATTAAACCTTTTTTTGAATCAAGAATTATGGGTACATCCATTTGAACGTCAGCGGTGAGCTGCTTCTTTTTTTTGCTTCTAGAAAGTTTTGAAGTTGAGGACTTAACTTCCGGCAATTTTATCTCCAAAGGAGAGGGTAGGAAGTTAACCACCGCATCCATAAGTGGTTGAACTCCAATGTGCTTAAATGAAGAACCACAAAACACTGGGGTCAAAAGATTCGAGATAGTTGCCCTTTTTATAGCTTTAGTTAAAAATGTAGCCGATATCTGCATGTAATCTTCATTATGGTTCAAAAATTCATCCACAACCTCATCGTCAATCTCTCCTAGCGTTTCAATCATGGATTCACGACATTTTTGAATCATCATAAGTTGCTCCTCATACTCAGTTGGACTCTTTTCTAAATCCACAACTTCTATCTGATTTCCTGTATCATCTGAGGATTTCCACTTTAAGATTTTTTTATTTAATACGTCGATAACACCTTTAAATTGTAACTCATTGTCTTGGTCCTTTTCAAAATATGGAATATTGCATAGAACAACTCTTGTTTGTAACTTTTGAATCATTTCACGCACAGTACGACTGAATCCTGCTCCCACCCTATCCATTTTGTTAATATAAGCAATGCGTGGTATTTCAAGAGAAGCTGCTTGCTTCCATACCTTCTCTGATTGTGCTTCTACACCGGCCACGGCATCGAAAATAGTGATGGCACCGTCTAAAACTCTAAGCGACCGAATAACTTCAAAGGAAAAGTCAGCATGACCAGGGGTGTCTATTATATTGATTTTTTTGTTGTTCCACGGAATAGAAATGGCAGCCAGTTGAATTGTTATACCTCTTTCTCTTTCTGAAGGTAGATAATCTGTCACCGTATCACCATCATCGACTTTTCCAATACGCCGGGTCTCTCCACTGTAGTATAACATTGTTTCCGTCGTTGTAGTTTTTCCCGCATCGATATGAGCAATCACTCCAATATTCCTTGTACGATCGATAGGAACATTATTTAGTTTACTTTCAGTGAGATACCTAACGGAAGCATGAAGAGATCTGGTATGACCAGGATTCTTAAACCATGAGGCGACAAGAGAAGTATGTTTCACTTTAGCAAAAGAATAAAATATCATCCCAATTGTCCTTAAAATCAACCTCATCAAGTAGATAAGATTTTTGGTTTTTTTGCTCGGTACCGTATTAGCGTCAGATTTTACTGGTGTACAGATCTATTATATTAATGGAGGTGATAAAAATATCACTTGTGCAAGTACCTCCACAAGTCAGATTCCACCTATCTAAAATATATTATAACTGGATCATTACATTGCTATAAGGTTCATATATCCCAATGCTGCTAAGTATTCAAACGCTTCAAAATCTGCCGCAACAAACACTCTAAATATCTACATCTGTTCATCAAAAAATATCATATTCTTAACACCAATGTGAGCTACAGTTTGCATAAAAAGCATGATAGTAATATTTCTCTCAAGTTATAACAAGGCTCGAGAGAGTTTTTTGAAAGCTTTAGCATCTACTCTGCACCGTCACAAACATTTGGTGTGAAGAGTATTTATGCAATTTCATTACCTTAACTTATTTTAGTATTGCCTCTTGCCATCTAATCCTAGCGGTCAGCCTTTGGAGTTTTATTTACAAAGTATCAAGAGACCTCACTGAAGAAGACACGAGGAATCTTCTCTCACAATGCAGATTTTTGTAGCTGATACTCTATTGATCGGCATTATTAAAATCCAATACATTAATAAAGGCGTACTACACGAAGATGCTATTTGAAGTATGTTCAAGCGCAGAATTAAAGAATGATATCTCTATTTCCCTTTCTTTGATGACACATTCAAAGCCAATTCAAATATTTGCAACAATAGCAATTGGGATCTATTATTCTTTTATAAAATGAAAAAAATTAAATTCAAGGGCATGTGGTCTAGAGGTATGATTCTCGCTTAGGGTCAACTTAAAATGCGGGAGGTCCTGGGTTCGAGTCCCAGCTTGCCCCAAAAAATTTTAATTTTTTGCTTTTTTTTTTCGGAAAAAAGATACAGACAAGCTACCTATGTTGTTCTTGATGTCAGCAAAGCTTTTTTCCTTATTTTAGGTAGGGCGTATATCTGGTCAAGGGCGTCGGTCTTTTTGTCTGTAAAGAGTCATCTTAAAACTTGACGTAACAATCAAAGCAACGTATATGCCTCGTGAGGCTGACGAACGGCTTACTGTTTTGTAAGCGCTAAGCGCAAGTTTGAATCTCGACATCACTAAGAATTTCGCCCGTATCGGTGAGCCGGTTATTTAGAGAACAACCTTCTCGGGCCGGTTTCTGTATCCGACTTTTGAAAGGCTTTATTATAGCTATAAAAAATTAACCATAGTCTAATTAGAATTGAAATGAGTAATCCATAAGCACTTTTTGATTTGTGTCGTAAAATTACTTAAGTTTTCATTCTATTGGATTGTTGAATCCTGTAATGAGTCCATCAACTTATCTGGAGGATGAAAGTTCTGATGGTGCTGCATTTGTGCCTTCACTGGTTGGGCCAGAGAAAGACGTAGAAAAGGCCGAAGTTGAAGAGGATCCTAACATTGATGGAGGTTATGCATATTTTATTATTTTGGCGTCTTTCTTGTTGAATTTTTGTACATGGGGCATGAACTCTGGATTCGCTATTTATTTTGCATATTATTTGAATAATGATACCTTCGAAGGTGCCACTAAAATAGATTACAGTTATATTGGAGGTATGGCGTTTGGAGTTGGGTTATTTTTTGCTCCGGTAATTAATTATATACAAGGCTTGATAGGTACACGGCCAACTATTATAGTGGGTAATTGTCTTCAATTTACTGCCCTAATGTTGGCGTCCTGGTCTCGCTCTCTATGGCAACTTTATCTAACTCAAGGTTTAATGCAGAGTTTTGGATTGGCTTTCATATCGTTGCCGTCTCTTAGTCTTTTACCCCAGTGGTTCAAGAAGAAAAGGACGTTTGCAAGTGGGCTCGCGACAGCAGGTTCGGGAGCTGGAGGTGTTGTATTTAATTTAGGGATGCAAAAAGTGTTGTCAAGTCGTTCGGTGTTTTGGGCACTTCGTTGTCAGAGCATTATAGGTTTTGGTGTAGCATGGATTGCGATTTTAATGATCAGAACTAGAACTAAGCAGCATCACATTGAATTTTCAGTTTGGGACTCTCAATGCGTCTCCTGTGGTGGTTTCTGGTTGCTTGCATTTTATCTAATTACGTGTATGTTTGGTTATGTGATTTTACTTTATACATTAGCTAACTTCACGACTAGCTTGGGATATTCAGAATACCAAGGGTCTATTGTATCAGCTATGGTTCAAGTTGGAAGCGTACTTGGAAGACCCATTGTGGGTCTAGCATCGGACAAGTTAGGACCATGTACTGTTGCAAGCTCGTGCTACTACATAGTTGCCATATTCTGTCTTGCAATGTGGATTCCAGCTAGAAATTACGCTACTGTCATTATATTTGCGCTAATCGAAGGAAGCCTTATGGGAACTGTGTATGGGACCCTTGCTCCAATAGTTGCCCATTTAGTTGGCATGCCAAAGCTCAATGTCACATTTTGTATGTTGTGGCTCTTCGTTGGTGCTGCAGGTGTCTTTTCACCAGTTATTGGTGTTAAGTTAACGGCTGGAGCTGGAAATGAGATTGACCCTACTAGGTATAGAAATTGTTCCATTTTTGCTGGGGTCGCATTCTTTGCATGCGCTACATCTATGCTTCTTTTACGTGGTTTTCTCAAGGCTCGTGAGGAGCTCATTGAAAGTGAAAAAGATGCTGATGAAGGTGGCCAACTATATGTATTTGTTAAGCCGACTTCTATGTTAAGAGGTTGCTTTAAAAGGACAAATACACCTGCATGATAATAATATAAAATATATTGCATTAAAAAATGCTTCAATATTTTAACTAAGTATGTTTCCTATCTTTACCTCTTCTGTATATATTTCTGAGATATAGTCGCATCTCGAGTTATAAAATTAAAAAACAAAAAAAAAAAAATCAATTAAGAGCTGCCATCTGAAATACATGCGTAATGACATCTGAAATACTGGAAGAGACACCCAGCATGGATACCGAGTCTGAAGTAAGACCCTTTTCCTCAGATAATCAGGACACATCAAAAACTGGTGTCACTGTTAGCGTAAATCATTCGGCAGCTGAAGATGATAGTGCGAAGCGAACATCACTCTCACTTTTAGAAAATGACAGAGAAACAATTGGTATTATAAAGAGGAGCATCGAAGAGTCTGAAATCGAAGCAAATCTCAATGCTGATATAAGCAATGAAGCTTTAGATTTAACTTCAAGCAAACCAATCGAGCTTTCAGGACAAGAACATACAAACTTACAATCTCAGCTTATTACTGGGATAGATAAATCTTCGAATACCAAGGATAACAGATCGGGTGCAGATGCAAACACAACCGATGAATTTAAGGAAGGCTTTTCTACTGCTCTCAAGTCTGATGGTTTCCATATTGATGAAACGCGGCATCCCAAAGCCAAGATCGAATCTGTCGAACCTGAGATTCCAAGAAATGTTGATCAGATTGGCGTCTCAATAAATGGTATAGATAAAGATATCAGCTCGAACGTACTGCCCTCCTCATCTGGCCCTTCTTTAAATGTGCAAAAAGATTATCTGGATAATCTTTCCAAACATGTCCCAATTTCCGAATCCATTCATGATTCTAAAGTCCCCATTTCATCAGGTAGAAAAAATCGACTTGTGATTTTTTGTGAGGAACCAATCTTCTATGATACGAAAGAGTTCATATCTCGGCTCAAGGTTTCTACTAGTGACGACGTTGAGGTTGTTAAGCTAAACGAGCTCAAGACAGATCTTATCGAGAACAAAAACTCTTATACTAATGTACATTTTTGCATAGAGTATAGCGACAGCTTTAGCTCGAATCTTAAGAATTTGACGACATATTTCACCAACGACTGGACTAACGTACAACCAAGCTTGAATGTTGCTTTCCACATTCAGTTCGATAAAGAAATGTTATGGCCCCAAGATTATAACAAGATAGAAAGAGACGAGTATGATAACTTCATAAAGTCTTTATCTCAGATTATTTCAGATCGTATAAATCAATTTTCTGTCATTGGCAAATCTCTTTCTGATATGAATTCTCCAACAAAAAAAGATGACAGTTCAAGTTTAAAGCAAGAAATCTCTGTAGAGTTTCAAGAATGGAAAAATTTAAGAACTCTAGACTACACTGGGGGTAATGTCGTATCTTTTGAAGGTATTAATTTTCCTGAAAGCTTGGAAGTGTTAAACATAGGCAATCAAAATTCCTTGAAATCCCTTGCTGGCTTCAAAATGCCTCACAAATTAAGATCGTTGATTGCGCATAATACTGCCATTTCTTCTATTGACAACATCAGCTTTTCACCATTTTTAGAGAGCCTTGATCTCTCGAATAATAATATTTATTTTCTTAATTATGTTGACTTTCCAGTAAGGTTGTTGGAGATGGACTTATCTAATAATCGAATAGATAATCTTAGGGGGGTCAACTTTCCCAGAACACTTAGATCACTATCCTTGGCTCGGAATCCTATTGAATGCATTAAAGGCGTGAAGTTCCCTGACGGTATTCAATACCTTGATGTGTCTTGCATTCCGAACGAATCAATGACAGGTGTTAGATTCCCTGACTCAATAGTTGCGTTGAATCTTCAAGAATCGATGACTAATACTAGAGGTTTGAAATTACCTCAGTTTTTAAAAGAAGTCAACCTAAGTGATAATGGTGTTAACAGCATAAATCCCTTGAAGTTACCAAATAGCATTGAGCGGTTATTTCTTAGCAATAATAACATAAAAACACTCAATAAAGTTCTGTTTCCACCTTGTTTGAAGGACCTATACTTGGGTAATAATCTCATAACCACATTAAAAAATGTCCATTTTCCAGTTGGTCTCGAAGTACTTGATTTAGAAATGGATCCAGACGTTGACGAGAATGATAGACATATTACTACCTTAAAAGATGTAATATTTCCACCCAATTTAAAGGTCTTGAAACTTGGCCATCATTCCATAAAGAGCATAGAATCAATAGAATTTCCTTATGGTTTGGAATGCTTGAGTTTGGCATACAATGAATTGAAATTTGCAAGGAACATAAAGTTTGGTCCAAAATTAAAAACGTTGGATCTTAGTGGAAACAGGGACTTGATTAATATTGATCATTTTATGATCCCAGATTCAGTGACCGATCTACGCATAGCGCCTCAGTTAATAGAAAACTTACCGGCGTACATCATCGAACGGGCAAATAATAGACAAGTAAAGATTTCGAAGTCTGCACCCTACTAGAAGATTAAACTTATTTTCTAATACAAAATAATATAGTTAATACAAGAAGCATTTATTATGAATTACGTCTATTTGTCCTCTTCTTCATCCGAAGATTCATCTTCATTTTCTTTTCTTTCCAATAAGGCCTGTAACTGAGCATCATCGCTAGCTGTCACAGCCTTTGGAGCCATTGTAATTTTACAAACTCCATCTTTTTTCTCAATTGATTCCGTTATTTTCTCAATAGCAGTTTCTAACAAAGAAATACCTTGGGTCTTGTCTAATGATTGAGTAGATATGATATATAATGGTGCAGCCACTAAACTGGCTTTGACTTGCATGTGTTCAGTGGAAACATCTTCAGCTGCTTTCAATGCTGACTTGATCGCATCAATACCATCGTAACCAAAGCAAGAAACTTCAACATCGGCTCTTATCTTGATAGCTTGTGGTGTTAAACGTCTAGAAATGTATAATTTTAATTCTTCTAACACGTCTTTTGAAGGAGGCACAATCTCATCAAAGACTGTAGAGTCGGTAATGGATAACTTAAATGCGTCATATGCATGGCCATATTGTCTGCTTAACGGCCATCCGATTGTCTGATATAAGGTTTCTAAACTGATATTGAATTTCTCTGCACAGTGTCTTAATATGGAGTGAACTGCTTTCGATTTATTGTATCTTTCATCACACTTTACAATATCTTCAGCGGAGACTCTTCTTTTAGATAAATCGATATATCCCTTTTCTTTGTCCACTCTCAAAACCACAGCAACTTCGTTTTTTCCAACACGGATCAACTTTTGTATCGATCTAATACGTCTTCTAGATAACTCTGATAATAAAACCATTCCCTCAATATTGTCATACTCGAGTAATTTGACGTAGGCCCCCATTTCAGCAATTTCTTGGACATTAACCATTACCACTTCGTCCACCTCTGGATACTTATTCTCATAAAATCTACAGTTAGAAGAGCTCATCTTGGAATTCGTATCTAATGAGCTAAAATTCACTTTAGCAAAATACTATGTTTTATTGATTAAGTTTGGTATACTCAATATCTTGATGAGCTTTCTTGATGTTGAAATCAAGATGAAAAAAGCGTAAAGAAAAAAAAATCTTTAGAGAAATTACGTAATACAAAAGAGCACTATTTAGCTGTATCAGCTGATAGATCATATGACCAGATTGCCACAAATTGCAACACCACAAACTAGATGGTAGCGAAATATAAAGCCAGTTCCTATTATCGCTTTTAAATCTAAGAGTTAGATATATCTAACCAAGAAATCATATACTGAAGCGAATTCGACTTTACTCAATATGATAAAAAAAGAAGAACCTGAGAGGCGAGGAAGAGATTTCAAGTCAACTAAGCGGAGTCAGATTAGTTTAGAAGAAGCCAAATTTTTAATTGATTCCAGATATCAAATCAAGGAGGTTTTGGGAAAGGGCTCATATGGAACTGTATGCTCAGCAGTAGACTTGGGCATTGAAGGTAACGAGGAAGGTATTCAACTAGCAATTAAAAAAGTTTCTAACATCTTTGATAAACAAGTTCTTTTGAAAAGAGCAGTCCGAGAATTAAAACTCATGAAACATTTTAAAGGTCACAGAAACGTAACTATTACCCCCATCAATTATCTTTCTATCATATTTACTAACACTGCATAGATCGTGAATTTAATTGATCTCGACATAGTTCATATTCAGCCCTATGAAGGACTATACTGTTTTCAAGAATTAGCTGAGTATGACTTGGCCAAGGTGATTTACTCTGGAATTCAATTCTCAGAACTACACATTCAAAGTTTCATTTATCAAATTTTATGTGGGCTCAAGTACATTCATTCTGCTGATGTGATTCATAGAGATCTTAAACCTGGTAACATATTGGTCACTACTCATGGCACTTTAAAGATCTGCGATTTTGGATTAGCGAGAGGCGTAAATCCGGAGTTCTTTCTGCAAAGAACAGCACCTATCACGAATTATGTAGCAACCAGATGGTATAGGGCACCTGAATTGATGTTGAGCAATCGAATATATAGCAAAGCAGTTGATATTTGGGCCGTGGGATGCATACTAGCAGAGCTATACGGAAGAAGACCTATATTCATGGGAAAAGACCAAATTGACCAGCTCCACAAAATCTTCAGAATCTTGGGCAGCCCACCTATTGATGTAATTAGGAAGCTCCAATGGAGGTACACAGTTCCTCCCAGAATGCAGTACAAAGTGGTATCATTTGCCCATATATACCCTTTTGCTTCAGAAGGCGCGTTAGACTTATTAGAATCATTATTGAAATGGGATCCATCCGCTAGACCGGACATATATCAAGCTTTGTCGCACCCATTTTTAGAAAAGATTCGAAATAAAGATTGCGAATCTGAATGTAAACAAGTTTTTGACTTCAGCTTTGAAAATTCATTTACATCGATGGCGGATTTGAAGCAGCTTCTCTACGATGAGGTGCAAGCTTTCAAAGTGGAGCGTCGTCGCATTCAATCGTAATTCGTTGTTTATTAATATATATTCTATATGATGTCTTGTTCATCTGTATTTTCGTAGTATAGACTATTATAAACAACTTTGTCACACCAATTTTCCAGCGCCACGTATTATTATATAGAAGTACTATGATGTCGGTTGCATGCTTTTTTTTAAATTTCTCAAAAAGTGGGGAGAGCGTATACCGAGTTTCAATCAACTAACCGAGGAATAAGTATAACTGTGAGCGTTTATAACCTCCTCTTTAGCCAACGTTTATGTCTTCATTACCAACAGTTCATCTAAAGATAAAATATGGTACTGACTACACATCCTGACTTGGAACTCATTAAGATATACGTGGAAATTGAAGGGCTCGACCCCATTGAAGTTCCTTTAGGAAAAGGTGATATAGAGGTCAAAATTCCGGAACATACAAAATACACCCAAACTTTTCATTTCAAGGTTAAAAACAAGCCATTGAAGAAGTTCTGGTTTAAAGTTACTGCTAAGAAGCATGGAATCACTGTAAATGAAAGAACCACTGAAGTTGGTGATGAATTTGAACCTAGAGAGGAGGAATATGTAGAAAGGCTCCCAGAACAAGAGACTCCAGGAGGGTTTTTAATTAGAGGGCGGTTTCCAACAGTAAGTACTTACTATTCTGGAGATGAGGTATTAATTGAGTCACCTTGGACTTTGGAAATTACGAAAAAGTGATTACTTTTCGCTATTCGATTTATATACACCACTGGTGGAAAGTTTAAATAACTTTAAATAAAAAGAATAACTATTTGACATCAACCATAATCTGTAGGTTAGTGTTCCTTTTCATAAATAAAACCCAGACGTTTCTGCAGCAATTTTTTTTAATTTTTATTCCTTAGTGATAGATTGCGAATGTTTTGTAGATTTTTCAATGATATGCACATATTTTCAATTGTCAAGAAAAAATTGAACGGAGCAAGCCAACATGTTGCAAATGATTTCAAAAGGATCACTGAAGATGCTTACTACACATGGACTTAAATGAACATCTAATAGAGATCTTGTGAGATTATGAAGAGGTCTCTGGTGAAGTTCCCTTATCTTTTGGCATCTTATCGCTCTTTTTGGATATCCTGCATCATTTAAATTTATACATGCGTCGGCAATTAAAGGAAGCAAGGTCTCACTCTCTGGCTAATACTCTTATAATTTTTTTTTTAAAAGGCAACTTTGATTACTTTATTCCTGTAGGATATTTTGGTGAGAAAGATCTATTTTGATATTCAGAATTTAACAAGACACATTAGAGCTACCATGGAGTACGTTCGTCCAATCACTCACGAATTATGGTATGGAGATATAAATAATAGGTTAGGATCACAAATCGAGGGTTATTTGAATAAGGCAGGTCTGGTAAAAAGTGAAACTTGTAAAGATGATACCTCAAGACCAGTAAAGGGAGCTAGGGTGTTGATTGGGCCGCATGCAGGGTACACATACTCTGGAGAAAGATTAGCAGAAACATTCAAGGTGTGGGATACTTCGAAAGTGAAGAGGATATTTATGTTGGGCCCGTCTCATCATGTTTATTTTAGGAATTCAGTAATGGTTTCGAAGTATGAATTTTATGAGACCCCTTTTGGAAATCTTCCTGTGGATGTTGATACTATTGAGAGCCTAGTTCAGTCAAAAAGTGGCATTTTCAAATATATGAGTGCGGTCGTTGACGAAGATGAACATTCGTTTGAAATGCACGCTCCTTTCATTTACTATATGTCAAAAGATTTGCCTCAGGGCCTCCCCAAAATTATACCCATCATGATAAGTGGTATGGATCCAAATCTCAATAGTGAAATAGCCAAAGCATTGCAGCCCTACTTCGAAAATGAAGAAAATCATTTCATTATAAGTTCTGACTTTTGCCATTGGGGTCCTCGTTTTGGTTACACTGAATACCTAAAGAATGGTGAAACCGAAAGTCCGACGGCCAAGAGCTTGATTTCTTTGACTTCTCTGAAGCAGTTAAAATCCGACTTTCCAATACATAAATCGATTGAGAACTTAGATAAAGCAGCGATGCGGATAGCAACGGATGGGTCCTACGAAGCTTGGAGTGACTATATCCAGGCTACGGGCAATACAATTTGTGGCCAAAAACCTGTTGGAGTAGTCTTAAAGCTATTAGAAGAATATAAAAAGAAGCAGGCTACAGATAAAGATATCTCATTTAGCTGGATTGGCTACTCTCAAAGTAACAAGGTAACAAGGATATCAGACAGTAGCGTGTCTTATGCATCCGGATACGTCAAATTATAATATGCTTCGAAAATTAGTTAAGATATACTAATCTCTATTTTTAGACACAATTTGCTAGCTATTTCATCAACTTGCTGTGCTCGTTTGATAGCAGTATCTAGAAATATAATGAAGAGACGATATGAATTGCTCACTGAAATTCAAGTCCTGTATATACTTTTACCCTGTAACGTCGCGCTGATAAAGTTAGAACAGTATGAATGTATATATGGTAGAAGTGAATTAATCTTCTCTATAGCAATATGAGTGATGGAAAATTATTCGCCAAGTCCAAGTCATCCGAACTAAGAGCTGAATTGGACCAAGCTTTCAAGAAATCGAAGCCTCATAATAGAGTAAAGATTGTACTCAAGAAAGTAATTGCGAATATAATCTTGAACAATAATGAGTTGGTTAACTTGATGCCTGATGTAATAAAATTAATGAGAATCGATGATTTAGAAATCAGGAAGATGTGCTTTCAATACCTTACAAATTATGCACATCATAACCCAAAAGTTGCTCATGAAGGGCTTCCATATTTAATGAGATTCAAGGATGATCCATCTCCAATAATGAGGGCTTTGGTAATAAAAACATCATCTTCAGTTCCCAATAAGGATTACGTGGAGTTCACTATTAAGAATATCAGGAAATTCTTAAAGGACCCTGATGCGCATGTAAGGAAGACTGCGGCATATTCAGTTTGCAGATTGTATCAACATGATGAACGTATGACATCAGAAGAGAACTTCATAGACGATTTGAATGAGCTCCTATACGATTCAAATCAAGTCGTCGTATCCAACACGTTAGCAGCCCTAAGCTACATTACTGAAAATGGGAAATCATTAACACTCACTATAGATAAGTCTCATGCAATGACATTAACAACTTATTTGGGTAAAACGAATGAATGGTGCCAAGTGTATATATTGAACTCATTAATGTCATATGTACCCCAAACAACGAATGAGGCTTTAGATCTAATTGATGCTACAATTCCATCGTTGCAACATGAAAATTCTGCTGTTGTGTTGAATGCAATCAAGGTTATTGTGTACTATAGTAATTACGTAAAAAATACCCAAATTGTCATGCCGTCCATACCAAAAAGGTTGGGTACCTCACTTGTGTCACTATTGTCAAAACCTCCTGAAATTCAATTCCTAGTCTTGAGAAATGTTATATTGCTATTATTAGGTAAAAAAGAATTGGTGAACTTTGACGTTGAAATGTTTTTCTGCAGATTCGATGATCCAATCTATGTTAAAGATACAAAACTCGAAATTATCTATTTGCTTGCAAATGAGAATAACGTAGACTTAGTCCTAAACGAGCTTGAGGAATATGCAACTGAAGTTGATGTTGCCATGGCCAGAAAGGCAATCAGGGCATTTGGAAATTTGGCAGTTAAATTGGAAGGGGCGAGCCAAGATTGTGTGGAGGTGATCTGCGACTTGGTTTCCAATGGTATCTCGTATATAGTACAGGAATCAGCAATCATTATTAAAAACATTTTGAGAAAGTATCCGGGGAAATTTAATTTTGCAATCGATGTGCTACTCGAGCACTATAAACATATAAACGAACCTGATGCCAAAATTGCAATGATTTGGATTTTAGGCCAACACTGTAAAACTATCAATGGTGTTCGGGACATTTTTGAAGATTTTATTTCAACTTTTAGAGACGATCCTATTGAAGTTCAATACGCTGTACTAACAGCAGTTGTAAAACTTTATCTTCAGATTCCATCTATAGGGGAGCCCTTGGTTTTGAAAATTTTGAAATGGGCCACAGAAGAAGTTGATAATCCAGACCTTAGAGAAAGAGGCTTTTTATATTGGAGACTAATCTCGTCAGAAGAAAATCACAAGAAAGGAATTTCATTCCAGGAGACGACTAAGCAAATTGTGTTGAATTCTTGTCCTATTATAAACGCTGATAATGATAATATAGAACCTACCATTTTGGAGGAATTAGAGTTAAATATAGGAACATTGGCATCAATTTACTTAAAACCGGTTCAAAGCGTCTTTCGATTTTCCAAACACAAACAATTACAAAATAGCCCGGCTTTATTCGAAAGACCTCTTCCATCACCACCAGACTCACAAAGGGACACCGATGGTCAGAACATGGAACAGCAACATCATCAAAAGAATAACAACTATTCACCAGCAATGGATTTTTCCGACAGTTATCCAGCGTCTCGACTGGCTGGCTCCTCGCATGACAAAAATCTTATATCAAGAGATTCGCATAAGCCATTAATGCTGAGCCGTCAATCTCACGATTCTGCTACTTCGAGTGGAGATGAACATATTAAGAAACAGAGCTTAGCTAAAAGAATTTCAAGAAAAGCTTCTGCAATATCTATTAGAGGAAATAAGTAGTGATTAAAGACATTATAAATATAATTACTAAAAAACAAAGTAAAGAGCGATCTTTATAGTCCTTATCGATCACATGTTATTTTACCTTTTGATCTTCTTCTAGCTTAATCGAGTGATTCACAAGTGATGACAAAGGCGAAGTGGCTCTTCTAGTTTCCAAGATCTCCACATCTTTAGAAAATTTCACGGGGCCCCCAACCGATTCGATCGTCTCGACTTTCAACTTCGGCATATTTGGTTCAGGACCATCAGCTATCTGTTCCCTAAGTTCATTCAAATTAATTCCAAGTAATGATGCTAAAATTATAATTGCAGCAGGCTTTGACATTACTAACATCATTTCCTTACAAAAGCTTGCTGCCACACATTCTGGGCAACCATATTCACACTTACAATCTCTCACTCTTTGGTAAGTAGTAAATAATATATCATCAATGTGTTCAAATGTTTTAGCCGATATTCCAGAACCTCTTTCTCCACCCTTACAGTCATAAAAAATTAGTCTTCCTGGTCTTTTACGCTTTGTTTCTCTTTGAGCAAATTCTTTTTCTGGTGCTTTGCATTCAGTCATTAACTCTGCCTCTCCCACACGAGACGAAAATTTTGCATTAGGATCTGTTGTAGCTCCACCACTAATATAAAGCGGTAATATGTTCATTATCGCATGCTGAGCAGAGTGTATTCCTCCAGCAGCGGAAAGATGTTTTTCTTTGATAATTCTAAGTGCTTCCAAAGGTATATCAATCCAAAATCCTTTGGCATTCAAGACGATTGGTGGATTCTTGACTTCTACAGCCTCTAGGATTTCTGACCTTCTATTGACTTTAAAGTAACCAAAAACAATAATTGTCATTTCAATTCTTCCAAAATACACTGGGATATCAATAGGAGCACTAGAATTCGTTGGAAAAAGTTGCTTTACTAGTATAATTTCGGTTGGATCTATGTCCGTGAAATCACGTTGCAGAGTAATCCAATCAACATTCACTCTTTCAACTTTTGCAAAACGATAATCAGAATTAAATTCCTTAACTAAATAGGGGTACCCTTGGTGTAAGAAAATCGCACCTTCATAAAGTGTGAAACTTGTCCTTGATGCTTCTACCTCTTCAATGACGATATTTCTATCATTAGTGATATCGACAACTGCAAAGTTATCATTTTCTATTGCACGGAGCTGAACGTGGTCAGTTGGCCAAGGTAAAAACTTTGGATGTGTTCTATAGTAATTATCATTGTCTTGGTAAAGCTTTTCTTTACATAATTTAGTAAATGTGTTCATTTTATTTATAGAATTATCAGGACAGAACCATTTCATATCTTCTTGGATTTCGATTGGCCATTCAAACGCAGCACATTGTAAGTGCAAATCCATAATCAATTGGTCAGTACCAAATTCCATTAACCCATCAACACATAAGTCTTCATATGTCTTATTGCAAAGTTCTTTGGTATTTTTTAAGAAATATTGATCAACGGGCGTTGTTCCAGCAACATAGATAGCTAAACTACCTTTTGAATTTTTTCCTCTACCAGCTCGACCAAATTGTTGATGCAAATTCAGTTTCAGCATTGGGAACCCACAAGACATCACAATATCTATATCGGAAAGATCAATCCCTAATTCTAGAGCATTAGTGGCAACTATAGCCCTAACTTGACCGTCGAACATTTTTCCTTCAATGACTCTTCTGTCATGTTTTGCATAGCCTCCCCTGTAAGATAATATATCATCTTCATTCAAACCACATCCTCTAAATGGTTCATCTTTCAATAAACTCCTGATCTCCTTCATTAAAAGCTCACAGACTTTACGTATTGGGCAGAATACTATAGCCTTAACATCAGGTAGCTTTCCCAAAAGCCTAAGCAATATCTTGGCCAGTTCGGAGATGATCGATTCTCTAGGCACTAAAATCGTATTATTTAAGGACTCACCTAATTGACTAGAGGAAGTCAAAGTGTATTGCTGTCCCTTTTTATTCATCAAAGGTGGTGGATTCCAAATTAGTAATTTCTTTTCACAGCACGGGGCACCATCTTCTGAGATATGCACAATTTCATCATCACAGGAAATAGAGCATACAGATCTAAAGTGTGTAACTGGATTCTGGATAGTAGCTGAACATGATATAAAAGTGATATTATTTTCTGTTTCTGTGATCTTCGAAATTAATCTCAAAAGTCTAGACATAACATAACTTACATGGATGCCGAATGTCCCCTGATAGACATGTAGTTCGTCCATAACAACATATTTTAAATTAGATAAAAAATCAATCCATTGTTTCCCCCTATGGCTCTTATCATAGTTAGGTAAAATTGAAGCATGCAAGGCGTCGGGATTTGTGAATACAATGTCTGCAAATGATCTCACAAAATTTCTCAGGTTTTGGTCAGTGTCGCCATCATAAGTTTCAACAAGAATTTTCCTTTCATTGCAAATTGGTATACATGCAATAAACTCTTGTAAATGTCTCTTTTGATCTTGGGCTAGTGCTTTTGTAGGGAAAATGAAGAATGCAGTGTTCAATCGTTCCATGCTACCATTCTCTATCAGCCAAAGTATATCGTTAATAATTGGAAGTTGATATATCAAAGATTTTCCTGAACTAGTTGAGGTGCTAACAATGACATTTTTTCTCCTCTCATCATTAATGAGAGCATCCAATGCTAAAGCTTGGTGGACATAAAGATCTCTATCCAAAGAGATTCCTCTATATTTTATTAGTCCATATATTAAGTCTGGATGTATAAGTTTAATGCTCGAAAGAGGCTTGAGTTTGGCATGTTGGGACCTGTTCAATGTCTCAATGCTTACAATCTGATTCTTATAGGAGTGCTCATCCTTCAAGGCTCCTATCATTTGATCAATATCTGACTTCACTTCAGTTTTTATGCTTAGACTATCTTTTTGAGAGAGTAAGTCTACCGGATCATCAAAAGATGGGGGCGTTGGCATTAACGGTTCGCTTGATGATATTAAGTTAGTCATAGGTATATCTTCAAGAATTTCCTGGGAGGTGAATTTCTTCAAATGACTATTTATGGCATCTTTAAACTTTTTATTCCTAGAATTTACAATCCTTAACAATTGTACTGGAGTTAGCTTTGCCAGGTATAACTCTTTAGATGAGAAGAAAAATCTCAGGCTCTCTTCTTGCTTCAGATTAGGTTTCCTTCTTTTACTTCCCTTCAAAGCAGCTCCTATTCCATGAATCTTTGTATCACGAAAATCGAATATGAGCAACTGCTTCGTACCATGCTGATGATCGTCGGATCCTGAGACATCTTCAAAAGCTTGGTCCATCAGAACAGGTTTAGATTGGGTATAACCTTTTGACCAGTCAAACTTAAGCTTTTCAGCAAAAGAAAGCATGACTTCATTTTCATCCACATAATCAAAGAATATTTCTTCTGATGCAAACATGCATTTTATTATTTCTAGATCTAGTACAGTAACATCTGCATTTAGTTTTCGTATTAGATCAAACGATGGTATGGTTGCCATAGAATGGGACGCCAAGAAAGTCAAATGGGTATTTATTTGAGCAAAGAGAGCGTATAAACGTTTGAATGACTCTGACCAGTCTAACGTCTCCTGGGTCAGTTCATCTTTCATCATGCTTTCGTAAACATAATGTGTGATATTGATCTGTATGATATCATTCATATATTGATGATGTCGTCAAGGTTGCGACATAATATGTTACAAGCGACATTCAATTCACAGCAACTCAAGAACCATGTCACTTTAAATGAAGGCTATATATAAAAGCATTGCCTGAATTCCAAAAATACTTTGATAGAAATTATACTCTCTATCAGTATATGCATCATATAACAATGTTCGATAAACTCAAGCTTAAGTCTAAAGGTTCCAATGTTCCAGCTGCTGCTCCAGCTGCAACACCAGGTAAGCCACCATCTAAGAGACAAATATACCAAAACAGACAGAATCATGGAGTTAATATTGGTGCATGCTTTGTTTTAGAAAAATGGATCTTTCATGATGTATTTCCTGAAGGTGCTGGCTGTGAACTTGAAGCCGTTCAAAAATTGGTAAAAGAGAAAGGCAAAGATGATGCTAAGAAAAAATTTGAGAAACATTGGAATGATTTTTTGAACGAGGGTGATTGGAAATGGATGAAAGAACATCATGTCACTTCTATTAGAGTACCTTTGGGGTACTGGGATATCGATGGTGGTAAGTTTACCAATGGCACTAATTTTGAGAAGTTTGCATCCGTATATTCAAATGCTTGGACCATCTTCAAAAGAAAATTCATAGAGGAGGCTGAGAAGTATAACATATCTGTCTTAGTAGACATCCATGGCTTACCTTTTGGAGCAAATGGGTCTGATCATAGCGGTGAAAAATGTAGCGGCGATGCTGGATTTTGGAACAAAGAACAAGCTCAGCTTTTGGTTTGTGACATGTTAAAGTTCATTGCAAAGGACTTAAAAGCATACGACAATATTACTGGAATTCAAATAGTGAATGAAGCAGAATTTGCAGATCCACCAAAAAAACAACAAAGGTATTACGCTGCAGCTATATCTAAAATTCGGGAAGAAGATCTGAGCATCCCAATTATTATTTCTGATGGGTGGTGGCCAGACCAATGGGTTAAATGGGTACAGGATCAACAGAGCGAAGGAAAAAGTATAGGTGTCGTAATAGACGACCATTGCTATAGATGTTTTTCTGATGATGACAAAAAGAAGTCACCAAGGCAGATTATCAATGATCTCGAAAAAGACTTATTGACTAATTTGACAGACAATGGGAATGGAGTCGACTTTATGGTAGGAGAATACTCTTGCGTCATTGATGGTTCCTCTTGGAACAAAGACAATGCTAATACAAAGAGGGACGATTACGTGATTCAATATGGAAGGCGCGAGATAGAGCTTATGTCTAAAAGGGCCACTTTCGGCACTTATTTTTGGACTTTCAAATTTCAGTCTGGAAACGGAGGTGAATGGGACTTTAAAACTATGACTGATAGTGGTGCAATATCTCCGGCTGTAGTTGTTAATAAAATTCCGGATTCATCTCAACGTGATCAGAAGCTAAACTCGGCCTATTCAGCTCATGTGGAATATTGGAACAAGCAAAACTCAAAAGAGAAGTACGAACATGAAAGGTATAAAGAAGGTTTTAATAAAGCTTGGGATGATGCAACAGCATTCGCAAAATTCAATGGCTCGGTTATTGGGAGAATTCAAGCATGGAAAGCAGCAAGATTTGACGAGCATGTGAAGTCCAAGGGATCTCTGAAACATCTATGGGAATGGGAGCAAGGATTCCAAACTGGCTTGAATGAGTTTTTGAACTGTGTCTAATTAAGTACTAGAGTGTAATGAACGAAGTGCTTAAGTTTTAGTTTAAATTTTTTATTTCTAACTGTAGATTATTTCAGTTGTGCATCCTAAATACATATCTAAGTCTAAAAATGAATTACAAATTCAAACTAGACTCAAGTTATTAATATTATATATAGAAGCCACTCTTTCTTAAGATTGATTAGAGAACAGGCATACTCTACACGTGGTAAATTATGACGAGTGCTGGAATCGCATTCCAGTCAACTTCTGTGTTGAGTGGTTATGCCAATACACTTGCTAAAGAATTATCATCAAATGGGAAAAGCGCTTCAAAGATTTTGAGTTTTCAAATATCGTTGCTAGAGATATTCAACCATGAAGCAAAGAAGCTTAAGGAGTTCCATTATTGTGATTATGAGATAGCATATGTTACATACAAAAGTGCAGTGGCGTTATATTCTGATAATGAGAATGATGTATCAGCAAAGACAGAAGATTTCGTTAAAGCTATCAGGGAAACTCTTGTAAGGAAAAGACAGGATTTTGAAAGCGTGAAAGAATTCATTATACTTAACCAACCGCAGCAGAGTTTCAAGGGAGACGAAGAGATTGATCCCTTGTTTGAAAGATTCAACAATTTAAAAACTTCAAACCTGGGGTTAAAGGATCAATATGGAACCAAGAGTTCTTCTTCAGATGAAGCTACACCTGTGAGCCAGGAAGCATTTGTAGAAACCTTGAAATTCCGAGAAGTAATTATGCCACTGGAACTTCATGATTTATTGGCTGGGGAGAGTAAAATTCTTTTGATCGACTATAGAGCAACGAAGGATTTCAATCATAATCACATCAAGCATGATGATGTTGTCAACATAGATCCATCTATTGTGATGTCATTAGATTGGAAAAAGCAACAAGGCTTGACTGACCTGGATCTTGAGGATAAACTAAGCTTTCACTTACCAAAGGAGCAGCTTGAAAGATTTAAAAACAGAAACAGATATGAATTGGTAGTTGCATACAACTTCAAGTTTGGTTATTCAAGTTCTGCAAATAATAGATTTGATTGTTTGAAATCCCTGCTAATCAACGAACAGGCATATGGCTTAGTATCACAGAATCCTTTTGAGAAGCTTCTCGAACTCATTACATCGAAAAATAAGTATATTAGCTCTAAGCTAAAAAATTATCCGTGTTACTTGGCTGGCGGTGTGTTTAAATGGTATGAGTGCTTCGGAGATAAGTCAATTGCAAGAACTATTGTAACATCTACTCTAACTCGACCTGATGCCATCGTTTCCAAAAATAGCGGTCTGTCTTCATCAAGGAGCAGCAGCTCTGACTTACGCATGAACGCAAACTCACGTTCATCTTCTCCATATTTGAAGAACTTCGGAGAATATTTGGCTACGGCCAAGTCTGATGGTGATTCATATAATTCAAAGAGCGCTGGTTCCGCTTCTTTACGCTTGAAATTTTTCCCTGATGACAAGGTTGGCGACTTACCTCAAATAGCACGTAATCAATCGGGTCCTACTATAGTACAGCCTCAGCAACAACTTAAACCTTCAATCACACGAAGAATGTCTAGAGATCTAACAGATTCGAAGGAAATCCAAAGTGCAAACGGCAAACTCCAAACATCACCAACTAAATTCTTGGAACAGTATACGACTGGTCTAACTAATTTAGGAAATTCTTGTTATATGAATTGCGTACTCCAATGTTTGGGTGCCACGCCTCAGCTAACAAAGTTCTTTTTCCCTAATATATCGAACTCAATGTTAGCTCCTTCTTCATCACTCATGTCATATCGTCAGCATATTAATGTCAACAATAAACTCGGGAGTAAGGGAATATTGACCACCAACTTTGTTAATCTTTTACTTAATATGTTCAATAACGCTGGGAAATACTTTACACCTACAAGTTTTAAAAAAGTTGTGGGTTCTTTGTCATCAGGACATCAATTTGCAAGCTTTGATCAACAAGATTGTATTGAGTTCCTTAATTTCCTTCTTGATGGTCTCCATGAGGATCTAAATCAAGTGATGCTAAACGCTGAGGACAAAAAGAGCATCATGGAGCTAACGCCAGAGCAGGAAAAAACCAGGGAAACCCTCCCAGTTAGACTTGCTTCGACAATTGAATGGGAGAGGTATTTGAAACTCAACTTTTCGATTGTAGTAGACTATTTTCAAGGACAGTATTTGTCTCAACTCAAGTGTCTAGAATGTGGACACACTTCAACCACGTATAATGCATTCTCAATCTTATCTTTACCAATACCAGAGAAGCTCAATAGCACTCCGACAGTGCTCCTAGAAGATTGTCTACAGGAGTTCGTTACTACAGAGCTATTGGATGAATTCAATAAATGGTTCTGTCCAAATTGCAAAAAGTTTACGAAGCTGACTAAAAAGATTACGATAACAAGACTACCTCAAGTGTTAATTATTCATTTCAAACGCTTCAAAATTTTACCTAATGGGTATATAAATAAGCTTGATACCTTTGTAAAGTACCCAGTTAATGAAGTTTTAGATTTAACTTCTTATTGGCCAGATATCGGAACGAGTGTTAATCCTAGTAAAGACCTGAGTATAAGTAAATCAAAGGAAGCTGAGATTTTATCAACTTTACCTACAAGAAACCAAGTGCCCCCATTCCGTTATAAATTATATGGTGTCGTTAATCACTTTGGAAATTTATCGACCGGACATTACACTTCATATGTTCACAAGAATAGTGATACAAGAAAAAAAAGAGAATGGTGCTATTTTGACGATGCAAAGATAACTTATAATTGTTCCGAAAGCCAAGTGTTGAATAAAAATGCATACTGCTTGTTTTTTCAACGTATATAGAATAATGCAGAAGAAATTCGTAACGTCTAGCTAGCTTGTCAATCGTTCTCCTGTTGTCAGCCGATCATCCGTAGTTTCATCTAAATATTCATGAATTCTAATTCTAGGATTGTTTTCTATAACACCTTTGCTCATACCTACCCAAAGCCAGGCAGCCTTGTCATTTGTATTTATATTGATCTCTCCTTTAAATCCTTCGACAAAGATTCTGTCATTGACTGTCATATTGGTGGTAAAGTTAATGAACTCATTAAATATCGTAATTGAGGACCAAAATTGTAGCTTACGGAGACTTGCAATTACTAAACTGGTAACCTGACCACCATTCAAACAATGAATGTAAATGGGTGAATATTCCTTATGTATCATAAGATCAAGCGCATCCAATACCGTTGAATAGCCGATTGGAACGCCTCTTTTTTTTCCCTTGCCACTATGAGCACATTCTAAATGAACAACTCTTATATTGTTGATCCTAGCAAATTCAAATAGTTTTTTGTCTGTTGTTTCGTCTATTGGTTCTGGAGTTAGAGAGACGATTGTTCTGAGTTGAAGCGTCTTCAAGAAAGGAAAATTTATTTCTCTGGGATAAGCTCCTCGATATAGATTTTCTTCAACTGTGCTGAACTTCAAAGGTGGAGTTAATGGATCTGGAACTATAACATCCATCCCTTTAATCAAATATATAGCTTAAATAGGGTTCTACGAATAGATATTAATTGTGAAGCTAGAAGACAAACTTGACTTATATACATTCCTAAGCTTTCTAAGTTTTCTATAAAACTTGAATAAATTAAAAGTATCAGTTATGTTAAAGTTCATAATAGATATAACATTAAGAGAATTTTAGAAGTCGTTAAATTATACTGGAATAATACATAGCCAAATGGTCTATCCCAAAATTGGCTTCTTGCAATCCTCGACATTAGTAGCAATCACATCCTCGATTGACCATCTTGGTGGCTCTCCAGGAACTTTTGAGCCACCAGCAATTCCACTGCTGAGCTTCAAGAATTCAGCTACCTCATTTATTTGAGTGAGAACGTAGTCCAAATCTTCTTTAGTCAATGCAGAGCTTACACATAATCTAGCTCTAGCAGTATCCAATGGTGTAGCAGGATAACTAACCACAACGATAGCAATCTTTCGATCATATAAGACTTTAGATAATTCTGCCATTTTAGCTGGTAAAAATATCAATAAAGGAATGACTGGTGAATCATCAGCACCATATACAATAAAACCCAACTTTTTCAAACCGAGCCTCAAATAGCGCGAATTGAAGGCTATCCTTTGCAATCTCTCTTGGCCATCACCAGGATTCAATTTGCCCTCAATAACACTCAATGAAGAAATAATTTGACCTAATACAGGAGGAGGTACACCTTCAGAGTAAACATTAGTAATATAGTTTAATCTTAGTCTGTCGATAATAGCTTTATCAGCAGCAATGTATCCACCTGTAGCACCAAAAGACTTCGTAAAAGTACCCATCAAAATATCAACATCAGATGGATCAACCGAAAAGTAGTTACAGATTCCCTTTCCATCAGCCCCTAAAGCACCGATCGAATGAGCCTCGTCAACAAATAGATAACACTTATACTTCTTTTTAATTTCGATTAACTTTGGTAAGTTACACAAATTTCCTTCCATTGAATACAATCCCTCGACTGCAATGATGATTTTGCTCCATGGCCTATGAGTTTTCGGTTGCCCTTGAGCTATTTGGTTTCTCACCAACTTTTCTAAGTCTTCCATATCATTGTGTTTAAAAACCTTGACCGAAGCCCCAGATTGTCTAATTCCAAACCGAATTGAAGCATGATTCAATTCATCTGAAATTACCAACGTCTTGGTATCCGAAATAGAAGAGAAAACAGTAGCATTGGTTCCATAACCTTGAGAGACTAAAAGAACATCTTCTTTACCAATAAAGTTGGCCACAATACGTTCACACTTTTTATGCAAGTCAGTGGTACCTATTATCAGTCTGGGAGAACAACACGAGGTACCATACTCTTCAAGACGCTTTAGAGAGTATTCAGTACATACACCTTTTGACTGCGCAAAACCCAAATAATTATAAGATGAAAGATTCAAACATTCGGATGAGGTTCCATCGTAGAGATATCCCGAATTACCATATCTAACTCGGTTGAAGCATTTGATGAAACGACCGGGCGCCCCATGAATTGGTCGAGCAAAACAATCATCTATTCTAGCCTTTAAACGGCGAACATAAAACTTTTCAAAACCATCATACCACGGAGAATACCCATCTTTTTCAACCAAATCTTCATAATTCTTGGGGTAGAATATTTTACCAAAAAAATCTCGAAGATGCCCAATGATAATCAAAATAAGGTAGTTTAGATAAGTTAAGAGGTAAAATATATAAGGCGGATCATCCTCAATAGGCAGAGGTAATGGCTCTCCAACAGGATGGCTAGAGACATACAAATAATCTTTCGACGTCAATCGGCCATATTCCAAATCCGCTAAAACGCTCTCTTTTCTATCGTCTGGTGGAGCATTCGGGATTTCGAGTGACAAGCCTGGGGGTATTGGCTCCGAGTCTGGGATTGTCTTCATTGTACTTAGTTACCTCGATAAGCAAACAAAGCTATTCCTTAGATAGTTCAAATTCTAATGCAAATTATGTTGTTAAACGAATGTTGATATATTCTAATAGGGAGCTGGTTCAAAGTCGCCGAACAAATTCAAAAAGTTAGAACAAAAATATAAGTTAAAGGTTTGTTCTCTTCGATATTTCTTCTGCTTGGTCCCTTTGTATAGTTAGTCCTGTGGCAGATGTAGCTGTTGATATGTCTGACTTACAATGTGTATTCGCTGAGGGAATAAAAATATCAATCAATTAATTACACAAAACCTAAGGTCAAAAGAATAGCCTGCTAACGCGTTTGCTATTGAAGATTGTTGATGTAAAAGAAGAAACTACAACAGCAACGTACTAGTTGTTAAACTGGACGTATGAAAGGATAACTAAGCTTGGTGTTATCTTAATTCAGCTACACATTTATTTTTTGGGCTTCTAATAATGGATATTGAGATAGTACCAATCACAAATAGGGGTAATACATCTCTATGATGGTGATTTTTCAAGTGCTTAATCATCTGTACTTAAATGTGCTGTAGGATCGGTCTTTGTCACCATGCAACTTGAGCATGTAGTCGCACTTAGGTAGTTCCCAATCTATATGACCAATTGCCAACACAGTCGAATTTTGCAATTCTCTTTCTAAAAGTTTGTGGCACCTAATTAAAAGCTCTTCATCGTCCATGCAAGAAAACGCTTCATCTAAAATCAAAACTTCGGGATTCTTTATAACAGCTCTTAAAAATAAACATAGCTTTTGCTCAGATATAGGTAGTTCCGCAAAATTTGTGTTACCATACCTTTCAATTCTATCCTTGAATAGCAGCAAGATGTTTCTAGCAAAGTCATCAATACTACTTTCTGGAACGGAAAACATAAAATTTGCATTACCGACATCCTTCTTAAGTCCAGAAAAAATAACTTCCTTCATTGTCTTGCTTCCAGGAACCAATGCGTGTAATTCTGGTGAAGAAATACCAATTTTATTGTTCACCTCAAAAAATGAGCTTCCATTACCTGTTTTCCTCACCTTGCCATCTACAGACAACACTGAACGCCAAGATTGTGGGTGGTCCGCAGTTATTAAAGATAATAACGTGGTTTTTCCAGTCCCATTGGCTCCAAAGATACGCCACTTGGACCCTTTCGGAATGAACCAACTGAAATCTTTTAAAATTGGAGTGTTCTTGTAAACAACTGATGCATTGGAGAATTCAATGTGCAGGTTTGAAGATTCAAGTGACTTAGCAGATATTTCTTCATAATCATTTGAAATAGCCTCTCTTTGGTGATTTTGATGCAATTCAATTAGTGACCGCATCTCACTCTTTATAAGAGGTACGACTTCTCTTTTTTCTCCAGCAATAAACGTTCCTTCATTATCAATATAGCCAACACTATTGACCCAATCAGGGATAGTGTCTTGAATTCTTATACCGAGAACAATCGCAATATTCAACCTGTTGCCCACCTTCTCCAAAGAATTTGATACTAGCTTTGTTGCCTCCGGGTCTAACCCGAGAAAGGGATCATCAATAATTAAAAGTTCAGGCCGTTTAGCCAATGCTTTTGCTATACGTGCCCTCCGTAATTGCCCATTACTCAAGACAGTTATCCACTTATTCTTCAAAGGCTTCAAATTAAAGAGTTCAAGTAGATCGTGGATATACAATTCATCTGATTGAGAATTGTTACTATTATAGTTGTTTGCTCCTGTTATGTAGTTGATAGTAGAGTTCACATTTTCTGACAATCCTTCTTCGTCCTGTTGTGCTAACGATTCATAACGAGCTGACATATGGATCCTGGGTAAACCTGAATCTTCTTTAAAATTAAGAAATTGAATCTTGTTGTAATTAAACGTTTGAGAGAACAAAGGGTATGTTCTCGATAAAGGAGGTACAGCAATATATCTGTTTGCTACTACTTTTAAAAAAACACTTTTTTTTGGTCCAAGTATGGCCCAGTAAGCTTTTCTAGAACTAATAGATGGTCTAAAGATTTTAAAACTCTCAATTGGTTTTTGAAATACATACTCTTTCGACCGGATATCATTTTTAAACAATGCATTCTTTAATAGAAGAATGCAATGACTTGCCTCCTTAGCTTGTGCGTTAGGTGAAGTCATTGGATTTTGAATCAGACAAATTTACATTGTAACTTTTTAAAAAGGTTTCTTTCCTTCTCAAATATGTCTACTGTATGTAAGACCATAGTCGGAAGTCAATTTGAATTTAAACCGTGCATTCTGGATGCAAAAAAGTTATTAGAGAAACGAACTTATTGAACCAGAAAATACGATATAAAAAGAAGTTGAGGCGCTTAAAATAGAAGCGTTTCCACAGGTTCATTTATGACTCGAAAGTGGACAATGCAACTAAGTTTCTTGAATAAAGAGATTTTCCTAAGCCTGAAACATTGCAGCATAAATACATTTTGAAATGAAGCCATGGTACATTGATGGCAAGTATCAAGTTCCATTTATCTAGACTTACTCTTGTTTTCCCTAACTGTCATCGTTTTTCCTTCAAAGTTTTGAATTCTAAGACAATAAAACATTAAATCCAACAGTAGATGGAAAATGGATCACGATTAAGTATTCAGTACATGCATCTATAAAACTATAAATAGTTACCCAAAACCGTCTAATATCTATTGTATGAAAAAGGGTATCGTAGTCTATAGTCATCTATAGTCTACGGTCGACACTCTACAGTCTACAATCAATAAAACTTAAAATTCAGGAGTGTAAATATTCAGGCATTATATACAGTCCAGAAATTGTGGTATTCTCAAGGAACTGAATGTGAAGCTTAGCAATATACATGGTTACTAGCGGAAATTTCTTAAGATGGAATTTTACGATCCTGTGGTTGATCAGAGTAACGAGGCTTTGAAGGGCCCCTCTGAAGAAAACAAAACTGACGAAGCAGTGTTGAAGTTAGAAGATGAAATTGATAAAGTGTATTCATCAATTGAAAATAAATTCCAGTATTTATGGTCAACTTCACCTGGGACAGCTAAAAATTCTGACAAATCAGTGAAGCTAGAAAACCACAAAAAGGAAATAGTAGACCAATTGAATAAAGTTCGAGAAAACGTCACTGATAATGCAAAGGTCAAAGAAGGCTTAAGCCAAATTGAAGACCAGCTAAGGAATCTACATGTACCCGAAGTAGATTTGAAAAAGCTACAAAGCCTGGCTACGACTGCACTTGATAGCCTTGACTCGACTTTAGAAAAAGTCGAGAAACAAGCAGGGTTATACGTCAGCCAATTTGCTTCTATGTTCTCTAACATAATTCAAGTTAGCCCTGAGGAAGAACGACAAGAAGCAAAAATTCAAGAGAGGGAAACTTTATTTACTTCACCATTAGGAAATAACGATAATTACGGGTCCACTCGTTTTGATAATGAGCTATTGGAATTGCACACGTCAAAGACACCTTATTTATCTGCGGTGTTAGATAAGGAAGAAGAACTCAAGACTTTCAATGCGGATTCTAGAACCTCACAAATATCTGACTTGCTAGACAAATATCCAAACACTCTCACGAAGTTAATGAACAGCATAGTACCCGTTAGTGTGCCTTATAATGTTTTTTGGTATCGATACTTCAAGAATGTTGATAAATTAAAAGAATCAGAGCAGGCTCGACGAGAACTTTTGAATAACAAAGATTTGCATGATGGAAATAGCGAGCAAATAAACAATGAAGCTGATGAAGAGGAGAATTTCACATGGGATGATGAAGATGATGATGAAGTCGTTGATGTTGCAAAGGAAGCTGGGGACCGCACTTCAGAGCTGAAATCAACTTTAAGTGAAGACGGTGAAGAAGAAGAAGAAGAAGAAGATGATGATGACGATGATGACTGGGAATAATGACTTTGACCCACTCTCTCTATTATCTCTAATCCCTCAAGGAACCTTACTCTTAAGTTCTGATTACTTACATATGTATCGTTTTAAGTTTAATAAAGTTTTGTGTCTTCAAATGTCGCGGTGATACAAAAGAATGCGCTTTTTTGAGTGAGCTTCTATAATTTAGTTATCCTTAAACACATTAAACAGCGCAGAATCATTCCGCCATATTAATCTTATTAGTAATATTCAACATTATAGCGTTTTCTAATCAATGGATTTGAAGTGCTTCTTTCAAATTAAGGAAATAGTATCGGAACTATAAAAAGAATCGAAGAAAGAGAAAGCTTTAATACGTTGTGGTTATATCTTACGTGGCAACATATTAAAGGAAAACGATGAGTAATAGCTATAATGCTCCCAAAAGGACGCAATTTAATATATCAGCTTCTAGTGCGCCGCTAAATACTGCCAAAAATTCAAGCACAGCTTCACCTCATAGGGTTGGTAATGTAAATACACATCAGAGAATGAATAGTCAACCCAAAAGTTTTGGGAAAGCTGTGCATAGTGATCATCAGAGCCATACAAACGAGACAAATGGCCAGAATGGTCGAGTGGGCCTAGTTCGAAGGGTCTGGGTAAGGAAGTACAACGGAAGCCCTACTACAATTTTGGTTAGCGAAGACGAAATTGTTGACGATTTGAAACAACTGATATTCAATAAATTTCCAAATTCAATAGCAAATTTTTGTGATCCGCCAGATTTAATCTTGAAGTTAGACTTACTGGCAAGAAATCAATCAAATGCAAATTCTATGAAACAAGGCAATCTATCAGGTAGCTCATGGCCGGAAAGAAGGCGATCGATATCACCTTCCGGAAATGGACCCACCAATGGTATCAAAATCCTCGAACCTGACCAGAATGTGTGGTCAATCCTTGATACCTACTTTCCGCAAGGAATGAATATGTCAGAGTCCCTCATCATTGAAACTCCCGTTAATGATGAGACTGAAACTCATGCTGTATCATTTTCGAATGGAATCAATCTTGATAAAAGTGGAGGTAGTAACAAGCCATTAAGAACTGATAATCAACAAGGGGTACCCATAAAGCAGCAAGTAGGGACACAAAACTCTGGTTTTCAAGAAAGTGCACAGTTTTATCATCAACCGAAACCACAATACTTGTACCAAAATCAAAATTCTGCTAACAATTCCAATCTCCAGGTGAGATCTGCATCTCCTAGTAGTCTAAAGAACTCACCGGGTCCCATAAATGTAAATCCATATAGGAGGACACAATCTAGTCCATTATACTCACCTCCTATTGATGGCAGTAATAATAGCACTAACAGCACAACCGGCGGTAACTCGCAAGCTATTTTGTTATTACCTAAAAATTTTCCATTAACTGCAAATTCATCTAATGCTAACACAATGGGGCATTATAAAAAGAGATTATCTTTGGATGATGGTCTAATAAATGGACAACGAGCTCGAGATCATTCTTTACGCAAGTCATTGAGCACCATTGAATCCAATACCGAGAGCAATGATTTGGAAACAAGGCCGAAGCTAGAACACTTTGATGAACATGAAAGTAAAAAGCTGGCATTTCCGAAGCTTGATGCATCGAATAATTCTAGCAATGATTCAAATAGTGAGCAAAGTGGACAGAGTACAATAGTTGAAAGAGACAATGGTAATCCAATTTCATCCACTAACAGCCTTGACAGAATATTGATATCTCCTTCCCCTGATATAGGCAGACTTGATTCACCTTCACAAGCACAAATAAATGCGCCTGATAATTTAACCATGGATAATTTATTAAAAGCGAAAGAGCCTTTGAATAAAAATTGCAATGATATCAACTTGAAGAATTCGTTGTCGAAATCTGCAACTGAAAGAGTGTTACCTTCTATTTCGGTTTTGGTAGTCGAAGATAATGCTATTAATCAAGCTATTTTGGGTGCATTTTTGAGAAAGCATAAAATACATTATGAAATTGCTAAGAATGGTCAAGAGGCTATTGATAAATGGAAACGTGGTGGTTTCCATTTGGTGCTCATGGATATTCAATTACCCGTTAAATCAGGGATAGATGCTACAAAAGAGATTCGTCACTTGGAAAAAATAAATAGAATTGGGTTTTTTGCAAATAAGGAATATTTAAATGGTTCCGGGAAGAGGGCTATAAAAGAGGAAGATAAGCTTGATTTGAATGTTTTCAGGTCACCTGTTATAATCGTTGCCTTGACGGCTTCCTCTAACTCTTCTGTCGACAAGAAAAATGCTTTAACAGCAGGTTGTAACGATTACTTGACAAAGCCCGTTAATTTAGTATGGCTTCAAAATAAAATTACAGAATGGGGCTGTATGCAAGCATTGATAGATTTTGATGGATGGAGAGTTAAAGAGTCTTCTCCAACTACGCCACACTTTAGTCCAGAGAAGACAATTTCGTCGGATTCACAGAATCACAAGAATAAGATAGCACCTGCTTTTAATTCACAAGCCTCCGTGCTATCTAATTGAGCGCAGTAGATACAGAATGTTTATATTATATACTTTTCATCGTTCAGTTATGTAGTTATGTATTACTGATTTCGCAAACAATGATTTTGACGTTAATTATAAAGGTCGCGTGTGAACCAGCTAATAAGTAACATTGAGATTTTAATATAGCCTACAGAAGAGAAGAGGTACTATCTAGTTTTACCGTATCAGCAACCATGTCAGCAGAAGAAAAGAAGTCACCCTCTGGTGAATTAAATGAAGATGAAACTCAAGTATTGTTTCCCTTGGAAATAATCGACAAATCTATTGGTCATAAAATTCATGTGTTGATGTCGAACGACAGAGAGTATAAAGGAACATTGATAGGGTTCGATGATTTTGTAAATATAGTGTTGGAGAATGTGCAAGAGTTAGATTCAGATGGCCCAAAGGAAAAACAAGTTAAAAGGATGCTTTTGAATGGAAGTCACATAACTATGATTGTACCTACTTTGGCTTAGGTCACTTTCCACAACAACCATCCGTATCCTAGCTGCTTCAAAATAGTTTATGCACAGCTAGAGTGCTGCAGATTCAACTTCTTAGACTAATATCATTGTAGAGAGTTCTTCAACGAATGAATAAAAATCAACAATATACATAATTTGATAATTTAGTGAAATTCTTATTTCTAGTATGATACCCAGGCAGGCATCTAGGTAGAGTATTCTCTTGAAGAAATACAAGTGGCAATATTGCCATCAGGTCATCCTTTTTAAAGTTTTGTAAGCAGGTCCCTTTTTTTTTTTGTGGATAATGTTTATAAAAAGCAGCTGATTACCTCACGAGTTAAATTTTGCCATCAAACTCAAAATATCAAAATTAATTAGATCTGCAATAGAATGAAGCTAACTGTTTCCGTGACGTCGAATGACGATATACTTTCTGTTGATGTACCTGATTCTCTTACTTTAGAGGATTTCAAGGCATATTTACAAGCAGAAACTGATATTGAACCTAAGAATCAAGTATTACAACACGAAGGAAACACGCTCAACAATGAGAATACGACCTTAAAAGAAATGGGGATTAAGGAGGGTGATTTGGTTATATTACTGAAGAAAGCTTCTAGCAACAGTGCGATATCTTCAGCTGCTCCAGAATCATCTCAGATAAACTCGCAAATTGAATATATGAGACAGCAATTTTTAAATGACCCTCAATCGAGCGACCAACTAAGAAATTCGAATCCTCAATTGCATTCAATCTTGAATGATCCTGAGGAATTCAGAAGGGCTATGACAAACCAATTGGAGCTGCTTCAACGAGGCTTTGCACCAAATGTCATGTCACCACATCAGCAAGAAGAATTGAAGAAATTGCAAGATAATCCAGATGATCCTGAATCTCAATCTAAAATATTAGAAATCATTAGACAAGAACAGATCGATGATAATATGAAATTAGCTTACGAGATATCTCCTGAGAGTTTTGCATCAGTTAACATGTTGTACATTAATATATCTGTGAATGGCCATAAAGTTCAAGCGTTTGTCGATACAGGCGCCCAGGCAACCATTATATCACCAGCATTGGCCGAAAAAATTGGAATATCAAGACTCATTGACCGAAGATTCCAAGGAGAAGCTAGGGGAGTCGGTTCTCAGAAAATCGAAGGAAAAATTCACAGTGTACCTATAAGCATAGGTGAATCTGAAATTCAAATTCCATGTTCTTTTATGGTTATCGACACTCAAGTTGATTTACTATTTGGACTCGACATGATGAGAAGGCACAAATGTGTAATAGATCTTCAAAGGGATGTCATTGTGGTAGGTGGTAATGTTGAGGCTAAATTATTACATGAATCAGAGATAGAAAGAAAAGCCTTTGGAGGAAGTGCAGCACCATCTGGTTTTGGAGGAAATATCTTTAGCGAAGGAGCAAATGTTCCTCCTGCAAATATAGCTCCTAGCTCCTCAAAGTTGTTAGCACGAAAGTCAGCTTCTGCGTCTGCGGCAGAGGCTGCTGTAAAGAGGAACAATACAGGTAACTCAAGCAATTCGCTGCATACGTTCAAGCAAGAGGATGTGAAGACGCTTGTAGGACTTGGATTTTCAAACAAAGAGGCCATTTTTGCTTTAGAGCAGACAAATGGGAATGTAGAACAAGCTGCATCATTATTATTTCAATAATGTTCACTAAAAATAGAGATAATAAATTAAATAAATTAAACTAATATGTTTCTATGGTTGTATAATCATTCATAATCATCGAATAAATTATTAAAAAAACTTCTAAAGTGAAAAGTGGACCCAACATCATCAATTTCCTTGACATCTGAATCATCAAGAGAAAACGTCGAGGCTTCCAAGGCTTGTCTAATCCTCTCTTCTTTTGATGAAGTTGTAATAGGGAGAATACCTTTTTGCAAAGTGTAAGCTAGAAGGATTTGGCTATCCGTCTTATGATACTTTTCAGCTAGCTCGGGAAGTAAGTTCTCAAGTGGATGTTCATTCCTTTCCACGCCATCTTTCTTCACTCTGAACAAGGGAGTGAGTGGTCCATACGCTTCTACTAAAATTTTGTGATCTCTACAGTACTGAACAATATCCTTACTTTGATTTTGTAAGTATGGATTAAACTCAATCTGATTGACCACTGGGTAGTATTCCGGAGAATCTGATACCTTGAAAGTTTCCTCTAAATGAGGTATTGCAAAATTCGATACGCCGATGTACCTCACTTTGCCATCCTTTTTTGCTTTTATCAATTCTTTCCAAGCAGATCCTATATTTTGTCCATGAGAGAGTTCAGTGTTGAAAAAAGGAAAATGGATGAGAACCAAGTCAATATAATCATTATCAAGATCCTTCAATGACCTATCAATAAAGTCCTCAGGTCCTTTTGATTCTGCAAGACGTTCTTTAAAGCCAGGGCCATATTTTGTAGTCACCCACAAGTCTTCTCTCTTTCGTCCACTTCTTTTGATAGCAGCTGCAACCTCAGGATGAGTGGTATAGACCTCCGCAGTATCAATGTGATTGTAGCCATTCTTCAATGCTAACAACAACTGCTCAACTAATTCCTCATCTAATGTGCCCCTTTCCTCTTCTGGTCTGAGTTTTTTCTTCCATTGCCATTTTGTACCAGTACCAGTCCCTACGGTTATAGGAGTACCTGATTTTGTCTTGAAATGACGAACCAAATCAATTGAGGTTCTATTAGCTCTCGTCATATTAATATTTATATCCCTGTTGAGATAAGTTGAGCAAAGGTGTTTGTTAGCTTTATATGTTGAAATGTGTTCCTTATCGATATCGCGATAAAGCCATAGAATTATGAGTCAAATACGCGGCGCGGCGCCATACATTGTGAAATATATTACATTAGGTCTTGCAGATAGAACATGTCCTTACGGTGGCTATTACATTCTGACATACTCAAAATATACGATTTAATGTGACTTTATTATACCCTCTCCGTCAATAAAGAAATTGTGTCGCAGGTTGTACACTAAGATAATAAAAAAAAAACATTAGATTTGTAAAATATAAAAAATTCTTAAATCCTTAAAGACCGTTTAAAGCCTCCTCCTCTTCGTCAGCAGTTCTATTCTTTAAAACTAAAGGTTTTCCAGTAATTCTAAAGTATAAGTCGTTGACATCATCAGTAGTGGTTTCGAAATGAGACGAAGCGTCATAACTCTTGCTAAGAAAGATGCCGTTTTCTGTACCGTCATTCTTTGGCTCATACAATTCGGCAATAGCCATCAAAGTGTCTAATCTAGGACCTAATAATTTAAAGGCCAGTTCAAGCTCTATATGAGGTGTCTCAGTCTCAATAATTGTAGAGACAATTGCTAAGAAGTAGCCTTTTGGAACAACGCAATGTACATCAGAGAGCACTGCAATGTAAATATCGTTCTTTCTTCCTACTTGGTTTTGTGGAATAATAATTTGAACAGAGTCTATATCGTTTGTGTTGGGAATTGGGTGATCCAATATGCACATGGCCCTAATGACTTTTTGACCTGTCTTTTTGACCTTATCTGGAAAGTATGTAGGATCTGCGATCACGATTGGAGCTTTAGCTGTGCCCTCTTTTGTCTTAACACCGGCGAAGTGATCACCATCGTACAAAACTTCATCAATTGGAGTGTCTAACATGTAAGTTCCTCCATAAATAGCTGACAACCTTGCAAAACCTTGAGGCAATTCACCCAATCCATACAATGGATAAATGTAAGGAGACTTTCCATATTTGGCAACTGATTCAGCGTACAATTTGATCCTTTCGTAGGTGGGACGCGCTGGTTCGTTTAAGTAGTCATCATTCGGCCACAATGCCATGGCATGGCCAATGAAGTCTTTCGTCCCATTTTCCAATCCAAAGTGAGTGTAAACATCATTCATCGTATTAGAATCAAGGTTCAAACCTTGATGGGTTGATGAAACATCTTCATCATACTTAGCAATAAATTCCAAAAACCTTTTCATTCTCCTCTTCTCAAAGATACCCATGAGAGAAGATTTGATTGCTTCCACTTCATTAGACGGGACCTTCGATATTCTTCCATTTCTGTAAACATAACTACCTCCAATCTGTTTAAATTCAATATATCTAGTAACTTCAGTATGAACTAAAATGTTCGTCAATTCTCCATTCGACATCAAGAATTTGGGAATCAAGTCGACACACCAATCTCTGTCTCTCCCCTTCAAGAACTCTGGTTTCTGAGAAGATGGCTTGAATTTAGAATACAATTGAGACAAATTTAACGATGCTGATTCTCCTCCATAGAAATCTTGACGGTCGATATGTAGAACTTTCTTGCCTTCAACAGATAAAAGCCCTGACAAGATACATTCTGTTAAGCCGGTACCTAAAACAATTACATCATAATTTTCATCCATCTTAGAATCAATAAATTAAATAATCATAACATATATATCAGGTATCGCAATTCTTAAATCGCCTGTAAATCCCTTTTTGTACACCTGAGCCCAAGAGAGATTGCTCAAGAAAAATAAATTTCAAAGTCATGTGATACATATAATGTATTATTCAAAACTTAGATTGAAGCTAAACATTGATATAAATTATTATAGATATGCAAGATCGGATCAAAATGGCAATACTGATTATTCATACTACATTGTGAAAGCCTTCTTTGCCTTTAGCTAAACCTGATTTAACAATTTTTGAGATTTGCGCAGGATCTGAAGTAATTTGGGTGAGATTTTGACAACCATCCTTTGTGACTAAGACATCATCTTCAATCCTAACGCCTCCGACATACCAATAGTTATCTAGGACCTTTTTGTTGATATATTTAGCCCTATCTTCGTCAGCCAAAATACTTTTAAGCAAAAACGGAGAGAAGTAAGCCCCCGGTTCATTTGTCACAACCATTCCCTCTTTAAGATCCCTTCTAATACGCAAGTACTGCAACAACGGGTTGGGATCTTCATAATTCGGATATCCTGCAACGTCGTGAGTATCCAATCCTAGCATGTGACCCAATCCATGTGGGAAGAATCCGCCCGAAATCTTAGATGCAAAAATCTCCTCCTTGGAGTATTTCGAGTCAAAGATACCTAATTTTAAAAACTCTTCAATTAAGACCTTATGGCAAGTCAAATGAATATCTTCCCAGCTTGCTCCTGGTTTAATCAAGTTCATTGCAGTCGTTTGCATCTTTAAAACTGTATTATATATTTCCAAATGTTCTTTGGTCCAGTCGCCATTGATTGGAAAGCATCTAGTGACATCACTAGTATAACAACTCCATTCCGTACCCGCATCAATCAAAATTGATCTCCTAGTTGGTGTTATATCTTCATCATTCTTAGTGTAATGAAGCGTGGAGCAATTAGTTCCGCTACAACATATAGGATCATACGATTGGCTCTTGGAACCCTGCCTTAACGCGTGATACATGAACTCAGCATGAATGTGTGTTTCGTTGGTTTCAATAGGAATTGCAGACATCACTGCAAAATGACATTTATCCGTAATCTTAGCAGTATATTTTAATAGTTCAATTTCGTACCAATCCTTAATTACACGAGATTCATCTAGTGCATAGAAGAAATCCTCATCACCTTCAATTAATCTTCTCGAAAACTTTTGATTCCATTTATTGATATCTGTGGTCAAAATTGATATTTCTTTCAAGTTTTGAATATCTTCACTCAATTTTGAGACATACTTTACTTTATCTACATCAAAAGTCTTAGAGGCCTCTTCCAAGCTCATGGGAAGTCCAGACCACATTACATCATCATAATCAATATCTGGCAAGTAAAGTATGAGTTCTTCCTTTACAGGGATATAAAGAAGATGAGAACCAGGAATGTTACATCCACTTAAGTAAAAAAAATATCTTCCTTGGCGAAAGACTTTGGTTTGATCAGTATGTGGATGCAATTCGATGCCCTCTCCTGACATGAAGAAGGCAACTTCAGATTTTGAGCTATTCCTATCTATAAGATGGGAATAAACTCTTTTGGCATGCTCCTTTGCTGGGTATTTCTTATCTTTCAATGAGTCAGGTCCTGTCACCATTATAGCTATATCTATTATACTTAATATTAATTAAATGTGCTTTGCTCAATTATTTATATTGATGCCGTTCACGACTCGACACCATGCAAATAAAAAGAATTGGCAATTAAATTTCTAACTTCTAAGCTCTTCGTTCTAAGACCTTTCGGAAAGTTTTCAACGAATGTTCTGCTTGTCTGTATCGCTCCAAACAGCTCTTGTCTAATTTGCAATACTTATCATAAATTGGTAGTTATAGTTCGTATTTGTTTTCTTATATGATTACTAGTCCTGCACATAATATATTAAATGTTCGATATTAAAACTAATTGCCACCACTAATATTGTACCCGCTCGATAGAATAATAATTCAATTTAATAGAACAACTAAATATGGAAAGACTTCAAAGGTTATTAGGTTCAGGAGCTGGATTAGGTGGAGCAGCTCCACCTCAGACTGATGGGCCCGCCATAGATAATGCTGAAACAGTTTACATATCATCATTAGCATTATTGAAAATGTTAAAGCATGGACGGGCTGGTGTTCCTATGGAAGTTATGGGACTAATGCTAGGTGAATTTGTAGACGAATTCACTATCCATGTTATAGATGTTTTTGCAATGCCACAATCAGGTACTGGAGTGTCAGTCGAAGCTGTTGACGATGTATTTCAAACACGAATGATGGACATGCTCAGACAAACTGGTAGAGATCAGATGGTTGTGGGATGGTATCATTCACACCCTGGATTTGGATGTTGGTTATCGTCTGTTGATGTTAATACTCAACAATCATTTGAACAATTGAACAAGAGGGCTGTTGCCGTGGTCATAGATCCAATTCAGTCTGTCAAAGGCAAAGTAGTAATAGATGCATTTAGAACTATTGACACCACCACGTTAATGATGGGACAAGAACCACGTCAATCCACTTCGAATGTTGGTCATTTGAATAAACCTTCTATACAAGCGTTGATTCATGGTTTAAACAGGCATTATTACTCCCTTAACATTGACTACCATAAAACGCCTTATGAAATTGGTATGCTTTTGAACTTACATAAAAAGAACTGGCAGTCTGGTTTGAAGATGGTTGACTATAACCAAAAAGAGCATGAGAATTTGGGTAATGCCGAGCAGATGGTGAAGATTGCAGAATTATACACTCAAAGAATCAGGGAAGAAAAAGAGCTCACAGAGGAGCAATTGGAGACAAGATATGTTGGAAAGCAAGATCCAAAGAAACATTTGCTCGAGACTTCAGAGAAATTAATCGAAGATAATATTTCATCCTTATTGACGGGTAACGTAAATAGCTTAGCGATTCAATAAGTTTTAATGCTACATTCAATGAAGTAAATTTTCTCATACTTATTTCTGTAGATTTCTCAAAGATTGTGGTCTCATTGATAAACTTAAATTCGGTCGCGAAACATCACATACAATCAAAAGTTCCTTTTCTTTCTTTGATGCTGACAACTTTTAATGGTCAAAAGCATAAGAAGCGGAAGCTTGATCGCATTTCAGCTGACGAAGATGGCTCAGAGGAAGAAGATCTTCCAGATTATATGAAAATTTCAGAAACGTACAATGATATTGAAGATCCTATCAACGACGAGCACTACCTTGAAACAATCGATAGACAAGCATTAGATTTTGATTTTGAGAGAATATGCTCAATTTCTCTATCCAGTGTGAATGTGTACTGCTGCTTAGTATGTGGAAAATACTTTCAAGGTCGGTCTATGTCATCCCATGCTTATAATCATTCTATAAATATGGATCACCATGTATTCGTAAATATGAACACTGAAAAGTTTTATGTTTTACCAAACAATTACGAAATTAAGTCTGCTCGGGCACTTAAATCATTGGCCGATGTCAAAAATCTCATGAATCCAACTTACAATCCAAATAGTGAGCTTCCTAAATTATCCTATACCTTGAACAACGAGCCGTATGATGTTGGATATGTTGGCTTGAACAACATTTCTTCAAACGACTACTTGAATGTCATTATTCAGTTATTGAGCCATATACCACCAATTAAAAACTTTTATCTCAACTTATCAAGTAAGGATAATTTGAGGGGACTGATGGCTAGGAAGTCTGAATTGAATTCCGAGTTTGGATTTCTAGTTCGAAAGATATGGTCAAGTCATTTGTATAAAAATCATGTTTCTCCACAAGTATTCTTACAATTGGTTTCAAGAGTTTCCAAGAAACATTTCTCATTGAACAAACAGGGCTCTCCCAAGCAATTTATGGTATGGTTAGTGAACCAGCTACACTCCCAAATGAGTAAAGTCGTGAAAAGTAAGGAAACCGTGTTTCTGAACTCTTGTCAAGGGAGAGTAGAAGTGACTAAAATAGCCATAGATCTGAAAGAGAAGGACAGTACCATTAAATTTAAGCTTGATGAATCATCTGTAACTAAGGGAATATCAAACTTTTGGATATTAAGTTTAGATGTCCCTAAAATATCAGTATTTACTAAGAAATCAATGATAACTGAAGTTTCCTTGATGTCCTTATTGAAGAAGTATGATGGTACTACCAAATCACAAAGCTCACCAAATGAAGTCAAGGTTTACAAACTTCTAGAGCCCTTGCCTCCTTACTTGTTTTTTCATATTGATAGAACATTGGAAGACACTTCTTCTGAAGGAAATTCAACAGTTGTGAAATATCCTGAGCTTTTAGATATGTCTTCGTACGTTGGATCTTCGCATTTAACAAATTACAGACTTCTTGCAAATATTAAACACTCTACTATTCCAGGACCTGATCTAAATAATGGCAATGGTAAGCACAAGTGGTCAATTGATTTGCGTAAAGACAATAATGATTGGCTTAATATTAATGATTTAGAGATAAAAGAATGCCATTATGAGTTATTATTTTTAGATGAAAGCTATATACAAGTATGGGAAAAGTTAGATATGAATTAAGACATAGTCTAACTTGACTTAACAAAATTCATCTTCCAATACTTTATAACAATAATCAACATAATTTTGATACGTAGAAAGAATATTTCCAAGTTTCGTATCACGAAGTAGTGTGTCAATTATAACAACAAATCCAATGATCTTCAATTCAACAACTTTGAAATCTTCTGACGCATTTTTGGAATAAGCAATCAAAGAACCAAAGTCCCTCTTAAAGAGCTTTAAATTTCTGTCGTATAGGATCTCCATTGCGTGTCTATTGGTCTCTTCGGATATAGTCCAGCGATCAAGTTTAAGTGACCTATTCACAAACAATGTGGGGTGTCTTATTTTAAAAGAATTCCATTTAGGTATCAGAGAAAATATATTAATAGCTTCTAAACGTGAAATAGCTTCAACTGCTTTCAATTCCTTATCTACTTTAAATATAGATAATAATGTGTCTTCTGTGATCTCTTCCGTTAAAAGACATAATATCCACAAGTCATATAATTGCTGGTCAATCATCTCATTTAATAAATAGTGCTCTGTATTATTTTTTATGTTATTCAGTTCAATGGACTTTCTAATTGCAGGGTATGTTTTTATGCTTCTGGACTCCTTTAAATCTTCGATTAGTATTGGTAGTTGTAAGTCTGGTGAAGCATTGAATGACATGGCCATAATTGAGCTAGCTGAAGAGTTTTGATCTTGTTTAGTGGATGGCAATCTTAAATTGTTTTTGTAGCAGAGTATGAGTGAATGGCCAAATGAAACAGGATCAGACGGTATTAAAATTGATTGGTTCCCAATATTCAACTCAATTACATTATGGACGCCAATTGTAAAACTATTTCCATTATTAACTTGTGTTTCAGATTTAAAATGAAATCTATTTGCCGCATCAGTGACTGAACTGGGTTCCATGTCATACACCCTCAAGGGGAACGTATCAAAAACCTTTGCGATAACTTTTGGAATCTGGACCATACCTGGGGTATATGAGTCCGCACTTAATTTAAAAAAAAAAAATTTTAATGCTATTTAATCCGAGTACTTACAATTGTAAAGATAGCGATTGAGTATTTTTGAAATGATCAAATCTTTAATTAAGAGATAATCAAAAAGCGTATTGAAATCAAAGGTATCTTTGCTATAAACTTATTTCTGCTAATTTAAATAGTTCAAATCTATATAGTGCCAGAATGACGAGACTTCGCAATCATTAAACACCTATAAAGCCTATCAAACATTAATCATCATCATCTGGAACCAAATCAATGGATAAGTCATACCACGTTGTATTTGCGAACTTGCATTCACTTTGTCCACAGTTATTAAAGCCTATCTTTTCATAAAATGGGATCAATTCTTTATGGGCAATGAGGACAACTTTATCTCCCAAATCTTGATTTGACAATTTTTGGATGTAGTCGTGCATCAATAGAGTTCCCAAGTTCTTTCCATGCCATTCAGGATCAATCACCAAAGAATGAATTCCAATTATCCGTGAATGTTCAATATGGCCAGCTTCGGGGTTATCCTTAGATGGAAGTTCCATAGACGAGTCTGTAATGCTCATTGATGATATCTTAGTTGCAATTATTTGTCCAATTAGAGTTTCTTTCGTCACTGATGACTTAATAGGCAATTCTTCAATATCATCATTGTCATCGTTTTCAGGCACGTTATCGGCCTTTCTCTCTTTCAGAAGCTTTTCAGCAACCTCAGGAAGATTGATTGCATTATACTTGTATTCGTATTCTCTGATGAATAGTCCAGAACACAACTCCGGGCATACAGTCAACCGGTACCTTAATTTTTCTTTCGTGCATCTTTCTTTCTCACTGAAACCCTTTTTTTCTAATTCAACACATTGATCGAGATCTTCAACAGTCAAGGGTCTGATTGATAAATTTGGAGGAAAATCAGACATCTTTGATCTCCTTGTCACACTCGAATTATTTCAACCTCTTTCTTGTAACATGAATAGCATGTCCGCTTTTGATTTTTTAATTCACGCAACTACAAACGACATTTAGAGAGACTGCGACATTTTATTTACAATTACTCTAGACTATTCAAATCGACATTCAGAACTTCGTCAGAATTGATTATCTTTTCACCCACCAGCCATAAGTGTACAATATTATCATCCGCTACAGAACCAAGTGTCCATTCTTTGAAGGGGCACCAATTAAGATCCATTACTGCACCTGTATGGCCGGCATGCATCATAAAAAGCTCTGGGCAACCATCTTCAGCATCCTCTTGTATCTGTTCTTCTCCTATTCTTGTAATATCCCATAAAATTAAACGACGGTCTTGCGAGCCTGATGCTATGATTCCATCTTTATGCGGACTAAATTCTAAGCACGTAATTGAATCAGAATGACCCATCATTGTATGTAAATACCCATCAGAACTATTATCGTTTGATGATAGTTGTCGAATATCTATGAGACTAACATTAGAGTTTGCATTACCCAACACAGCAAGGTTGCCTGAAAATGGGGAGAAGGCCAAAGAATTAATCCCGTTAGAGTCTTTACTGTAGAACTTTAAGGAAGGTCTGGATGGTTCTCGTATATCAAACAAATAAAAATATTTATCGTCAGACACACTTCCAAAGAGATTCTGATCCGTGCTATGCCATTTGGCATCATTTACAATATCTCCATGTGACTTATTCTGGAATACCTGAGCTGGCTTGTCACTCACATCAGTAAGGACTATAGTGTGATCATCAGAGGCCGTTAACAAATATCCTTTTTTATAGCGATTCCAAGAAAGACCGTATCCGTTATCTTCATGCGGGCGAAAGTGCATCAAATTCAGCTTTTCTTGTTCCTTCAAAGAGTAAATATCAATTTCCCCATGGCCATTAATGGTTCCTAATATTGATGGGTCTTGAGGTAAGTATCGAGCCCTATTAATTTCGTAATTGTTCTCAAACTTTCTGGTGATCTTTATTCTAGATGTAACTTTTTTATCATTATTTTGTGTACCTGAGGGCAAACTTGTAGACGCAATTTTGAGAAAGTTCGTATCTTCTCCTGAAGTATGGGTCCCTAGTAATAGCTTACAGTCGAGCACTCCTTCTTCTTCTGTATAATTGGGTAACCACTCGATAGTTAATGATGGCCATGTTAGAGCTGTTTCACTGACAAACTCATACATATAACGACAATTCTTTCGCCACAACTGGTATTCCTCTTTAATTGAAAGCTCCGTCTCGGGACTTCCCTCCACCTCTTCTGCTTGCATCTTTTCAGTTCGATTGGTGATACAATACAATGTTTTCAATTCGAATTTATTTTTCGTTTTTAATACGAAGCGCGGCGCGACCACATTTCTCTATAATGATAAGGTGAAAAGTTTAATTATTGTCTATACAATACTAGAGTTTGGAAGACTGGAGCGTCTGTCGACTCCGTCAATCTCAAGATAATCATGCGAGTGGGCTTGAATGTCATTTTCATAAAAGTCTATCACTTTCAATGCATCGGTGATGTGTGCAAAATATGGTTGTGAAGGTCCCTCGGCGAGGTTATATATACCAGAAGCTTCTGCTGAATCTAATGAAAGAGGGTTAGGTCCTACTGGATTATCGATGGACGAAGAGACCCCACTTCCTCTTCTCTTTATGCGCAAACGAGCTATCATGTCGTTCGTTTCGTAGTATTTCAATTCGTTTAAATCCTTGATTAAAAGGTCAGTGATACCAGAACGCTCTAGTCTCAACCTTAATTTTTTATTTACGGGCACCCTTACGAAGAATGAGTGAATATGTCTTTCCCTGTAAGACTGAAGTAAATTCAATAAAATTTGAGCCGCAGATGAATCGAGCTCAACCATCCCATCCATATCAAATATAATATATTTTGTCATAGAGCTTGAGCGTTTCCTCTTAGAAGCAGGATGAGCCTTGGTAGACCCAAACATCTCAACTCGCTTTAGTCGAGTCGTCAAGTCACTGGTATTCGTAAACGTCAATGGCTCAGGGACCTTAATTACCAAGCATCCTTCTATTTCTTCAAGAACATCAGTATTCAAGCAAGTGAATGAATCATCATGAAAAATATTCAAGTTCTTTCTATAAATATTGGGCTTTTCAATCTGATTTTGAGATCCGAATGCGAGAGGCGATTCCGGCGATGAACTAGGTGACTCAATGGGCAAGCTTGATGGATGAACGTCGGCATCTGCAAAATTATTTGTACCAGGATATCTTCCCAAGATTTGAATTCTAGATTCGGTTGAGTTTTTTATGACTCTGATCAACAGATATATTAAGCCAACTGCTATACCTGCTTCCATTGAAAAAAAGAGAGTAAATACCACAGTGATCCCAAATGTAACTAGCTCATTATACCCTTTATTTCTCCAATGAAACAATAGCTCATACGGGGCTTCCTCAATCAACAGGATCCCTATGATTCCACTAATAACACTGAGAATGCATTTTGGAATGAAACGTAAACAACCACTCAAAAAAAATGTTGTGAGCAAGGTGAGGAGGCCCATTATAGCACCCAGTAATGTGCTTTTTGCAGCGATCGCATTAATCTTAGATCTTCCATAGCCACCAAAGGCTGGTAAAGATCCGAATATAGAACCCACAATATTGATTGACCCTAGTGCAACCAACTCTCTATTTGATGATATCGGAATATCAAAACTTGATCCCAACGATTTCGCTGCAATTGCAGATTCAAAAAAACCTAACATCGCACATGAGAATCCAGCAGGACTCAATGTCCTAATCAATGATAAGCTTTTAGATGAAATAGGGTTATAAAATGATAATGAACCTTCGTTTTTAATTTTCCCAATGATTTCAATTCCTCTATCGTTCCATTCGAATAAATACGACATATAGGTAGAAACTATTAAAACAATCAAAATTTCGGGTATGATCGCAATTCGTCTTTCGTAAATGGGATAGCTTCTCGTACCGAAAGCTTTTCCCAACCTCGAAAGCAATATAGTTATAAATGCAATAATGCTAATCTTGAAAGTTAAGGGATCGTATTTCTTATAATTGTGAAGTAGGAAGACAAATTTATCAAATGGTGAGTGTATGTCCATAGCGTCCGGATCATTTATTATACCTTTGAGCAATTTTGATAATCCCAACATTTCCACAGATGAGTTGATAAGCATCACTATGCCCACGCTGCTGATAAAACCCTTTAATAAGCAAGCACACAAAACATTATCTAAGAACCCAAATCTTCCTAGGCCAAACCCCAATAAGGAAGCCCCACTTACAAAAGTGATCGCAACAAGACATTCAACAGCATCAAAACTTTCCTTCTTGTGATGGTGAAGAAAAGGCTCCACAGCCTGACCTACTATCAACAGAATAGGTCCCTCGGGGCCCACTATCATTTGAGGGACACTACCAAATATCATATACATCAAAGGAGAAATCCCTAGCGAGAGCAAGCCACATATAAGTGGTACTCTCGCTAATGATGTAGCATAGGACATAGCCAATGGAAGCTGAAAAAATACTAATGTAAGACCACCAATCACATCACCAGTTAAGTATTCAAAACTGTACAATTTCATCCAGGAAATGCACGGAATGTAATATGGTATTATATCCTTCCACTCCAAGTCTTCCATGGCCTTAGCAGTACCTGGAATATAGCCACCTGTAGAAAGCCTACGGTCATCGTCATTTGTGCCGTAGCCTCTGTAAGTTATAGATTTTGCATCATCTTCATCGTTAGCAAAAGAGCCTAAAGATGAGCCTGCGATCACACTGTGCCTCAAACTACTTCTATGGGAGCTAGAATCAGCGCCTATTCCTCGATCACTGTCTAATAGAGGCCCCCTCTCATTGCTTGTGACTCTTTGACTCGATATGTGCCGAAAGGGACCTATTGAGCTTTTACTTGAGTCGTCATAATTCTTTGAGAATGAGCTCCCCGATCCCTCTGTAGAAGTTCTAAAGTTGCCCATGACCCAATAGATGATATGCAAATAGGGATTGTCTACCGAAACTGACCGTATATTTCATAGTTTGAATATGGAATTATAAATCAAACCATATTTGAGCACGAGTATACTGCATACATTGTATTGTTATTCAAAATTATGTTAATCCTAATTCAAAGATAAGATTGGGACATAGTAATCCTTTAGAAAGTATTCTCACAAATTAAAACTAACTTAATGTCTCTAGGAAATTCACTGAGTCCCAAATGCTAATAATCGATTAGTTCAGGAATCACTTCAATAGAACATATGTTAGCCTCACAATTTTAGACAGTAAACATTCAATTTTTAGCACCTTCGGCCAGTTGAGATCTTGCTTCTAACTTTATAATTGAGAAAAGAGATTGAAGGTTGTAGAAATGACACAACTTCTATATCAAAAGGGCCATGAAGCTTAGAGCTAAGCTCCCCGAGAACGGTGATATCACGTGATTCATTTTTCAACTTTTTTTCACCATGCTTCAAAAAGTTGTCTGTACTATAGCAAGAACTTCAGAAGCTACAGGTACTCAACACAATAAATATGATAACTAGGTCAATTAGTAAAAGGTTTTTCTCTTACACAAGGTCTGCTTTGAATACTCTTGCCCTTATTGAGAGTAGTGGATCTGAAGTCACCCCAGCATCTTTATCGGCAATTAGTGCTGCGTCAAAGCTTGGGGATCCCATTATTGCGCTTGTGGTAGGATCAGAAGGTAGATCAGTGGCAACTAGGGTTACAAATATTCCTCAAGTATCAAAGGTTTTACTTGCCAAAGATGCTAATTATAATCATTATATTGCCGAAGATGTGGCCCCTTTGATCAAAGATATAATGGAGAAAAATTCAGAGATCAAACACTTTATTATTCCAAATTCTGCGGCAGGAAAATCAATTCTTCCAAGGGTTGGGGCTTTGTTGGATGTTCAGCCAATATCAGATGTTATTAAAGTTATTTCAAAGAATGAGTTTGTGAGACCTATATATGCTGGAAATGCGTTGGCTACAGTTAAATCAAACGATAAATTGATATTAGCATCAATCAGAGGATCTTCTTTCCCACCAGCAGAAACAGAAGGGGGTAAGGCTACTGTTGAAGAGATAACAAGTACAAGCGCAAGTCCTGAACACAAGGCTGAGTTTGTTTCTGAAAACCTCGTAAAATCTGAAAGACCAGAGCTTGGGTCAGCATCTATAGTAGTTGCAGGGGGAAGAGGATTAAAGAACAAAGAAACATTTGACAGGTTGATTGACCCTCTAGCCACTAAACTTCACGCTGCTATAGGCGCTTCAAGAGCAGCTGTTGATTCTGGCTTTTGCGATAACTCTTTACAAGTAGGCCAAACAGGGAAAATCGTTGCCCCTGACTTATACTTGGCCATCGGTATCTCTGGAGCAATTCAGCATTTAGCTGGTATGAAAGATTCCAAGCTCATAGCAGCTATTAATAAAGATCCTGACGCTCCTATATTTAAGCTTGCTGATGTTGGTTTGGTTGCAGATCTAGAAGAAGCAATACCCGAGCTAACATCCAAAATATAATCTTCATCCACCGGCACTTAAGTCATAAGAATAGCAATTTATAGGTATATTTTATAGCTTCTTTTATACGTGACAGTAGTGCTGCTATTTAGCACGTGATACATAATAGATGTATGTGAACAACTATTTATCTGTCTCCGCTGACTGTTAATTAACTATACTATCGGCACAGTTTTCCTAGTATTATATGAATGAGATATGAGTAGTGATTCACAGGCACCAATCTTAGATAAGGAGGAGATTCTTTCCACTACTTCTTCTTCTTCATCTTTTGTACCCATTGATCAGCATCAAGTTCAAAGCGCCATTCAAGTTATTGGCGAAGATAAATCTTTTAATGAAGATATCCTTGAGTATATTAACAAAAGTACCCCTTCAACAATCCAGAATGATTATCATATTATCTCGGTATTCGGTTCACAGTCTACGGGTAAGTCAACGTTGTTAAATAAATTATTTAATACGAATTTTGATGTCATGGACGAAAGCAGCAGACAGCAAACAACGAAAGGTATTTGGATGGCGCATTCACCTGTTGTTTCGACGACAAAATCTTCAAGTGAATGTCAGGAAAATGTGTTTGTTATGGACGTGGAAGGTACTGATGGTAGGGAGCGTGGAGAAGATCAGGATTTTGAAAGGAAAGCTGCTCTTTTTGCAATGGCGACGTCAGAGATCTTAATAATTAATATCTGGGAACACCAGATCGGTCTATACCAGGGTGCAAACTTGGGACTTCTTAAGACGGTCTTCGAAGTTAATTTGTCTTTGTTTGGAAAGTCGAAGTTAACAAAGAATGACCATAAAATTTTATTGTTGTTTGTAATTAGAGACCATATTGGAACAACGCCAAAAGACAACTTGACATCTACTTTGACTCAAGATCTCCACAGAATGTGGGAAAATTTAAGTAAACCTTCTGAATTGGAACATTTGGCGTTTGAAGATTTTTTCGATATTAACTTCCATACATTACGTCATAAGGTTTTACAACCTGATCTATTCATCAAAGACATTAAATTATTAGGTGACAGACTCAATACCGAAGATGAACTATTTAAGCCTTATTATCATCATAACATTCCTATCGACGGGTGGACAATTTATGCCCAAAATTGCTGGAATCAAATTGATAATAATAGAGACTTGGATTTACCGACTCAGCAAATTCTTGTAGCCAAATTTAAATGTCAAGAAATTCTTAATTCATTGTATGAAGAATTTGAGAAAAAATATAATGAATTGTTGTTGCAATCTTCCAAGCTTGACCTGGAAACTGATGTTGATTACGAACAAATTGGGTTACACTTGAAAGACTTACGTTCTGAAGTTCTAGAGGATTATGATTCATTATCTTCGAGGTATAATAAAAATGTGTATCAAGAGATGCGTACAGATTTACTCAACAAATTGGACGAAAAATTCAAAGAAATTACCGAAATATATGCCAATCATTTGATAGGCAAATTGAAAAATGACTTTGACAATGAACTCCTGAACACGAAGGGAAAAAGCTTGAAAGAAGAGTCGGTTAAATTTACTTTGTTAGCTAACAGGTCATTTCAAGAGCTTACTGAACTATTGTCATTGGACGGAATATTATCATTTGATGAATACCAAAGGACTTTGAACGAACAATTAACAACATCTATTGAAAGGCAACAGACAACTGAGTTGGAAAATATCATAAACAAGTCATTAAAAAAACTTAGGACAGCATTAACAAGAGTTCTCCAGAAAGAACTTGCCAGACCTGACGAAAAGAGTTGGGATAAAGTTTTGGCAGAATTTAATAAGTTTACAGTCGAAGCTTTTAAAAAATACGAAAAAGATGGGGAGTATGATTTTGGGCTAGGTACTCAACATGATATCAATTCTGAAAAAGTATCTTTATTCAATTTTAGGTCGTGGGTTTTGTTTCATGATATCATTCACGCCACGATTCAGAAAGATACAGTCTTGACTTTATTGAAAGATCGATTCGACGATATATTTAGATATGACGAGAATGGATTACCAAAGTTCTATGAAAATGCATTCCAATTAGATCAGGCTTTTGGTGAATCGAGAGATTTCGCTTTAAAAGTATTGCCAATTTTATCCATCGCTCGTTTAAGCGATGGATCCGAAATAATTCCTAAGTGTGACATCTTCGATAGGGACGGAAGAAAAAAGTACTTGGGGGTCAATGATTCGGCTGAAAGTGATAGTGAAGAGGATGAAGAGAGTCAAGAATGCTTTTCTCAGATTCTTTCCGAACAGACTAAGGCCGAAATCATCTCGAAATTCAAGAAAGAAATCGATGCGCGTTACATTGAAACGAAAAGGTCGATAGTGCAACATGTCACACGCATCCCAACTTACATTTATCTTGTAATCCTTTTACTTGGGTGGAACGAATTTATGGCTGTAATAAGAAACCCCTTTTTCTTTTCTCTCTTATTGATACTAGGCGCTGGTGTCTACATATTGTATCAAATGAACTTAATTGGTCCAGCCACGGCAGTCTTGCAGAGACTAATTGATGACGGGATAGCCATAGGAAAAGATAAACTCAGAGAGTTTGTTTTTGATAATCACGAATTCCATGCTGGAAATTTAAGTAAGATTTCTAAGTCGCATAATGAGGAGAAAGAAGCTACTGTGGTGAAAGGCTCCTAATATGTGCCATTTAGTTAGATGTTATAGTGTTGCGTTTTTGCGATGTTACATTATGTAGACTGTAACATTTTTCTCGCGACACAAAATACATGAAACCATGTCGCTAAACCTCTAAATGTAACATTTTGATAATGGTAAACTGGATGCGTATTGGCAGGCGTAGAGCATAAAAGCATTCTTGTGGATCCTAATGGGAGATGGATATAAAAATTTAGGAATTGCTACTTGTTGGATAATACTCAACATCTTAAGTTTTCGGGATTAAGCTAGGGATAGAATCACAGTCCAAAATCTTAATAGTCCTCAATAGCTTCTCATATGAAGGGCTCCGAAATAAAATTTGATGGCCCTATAAAAGTTCCAGTCCTTGAAAAGGGACCGGAACAGACAATGAAGTTCTTAGATAAAATTAATGATACGGTCGTTGATATCATACTGTTATCACGCGACAAAGAAACTCCCTCAGAAGACACTATTTCACCAGTCACCCAAAACTCGTTAAGCTCTTTGAGTTCTCTGAGTTCAGATGAAGACTCTGAGCGTTTTGAAGCAGCCATTACTGGCTTCACTAAATCTCTAAATAATGGGATTATGAAAAGGCATTCCGACTTATTGGTCGAAGATTTCAAAGAGGCACTCCAGCAGAATTCCAGAATGTCAATGTTACCAAATCATAACATCCTGCCCACGGGTAGGGAACATGGTAATTATTTAGCAATAGACTTGGGTGGGTCTACGTTAAGAGTCGCTCTTATCATGATCGATCCATCGCTGGCATGCGAAAACAACTTTAATCGAATCCACACTCTCGTTGAAAAGAAGTGGTTGGTTGACAACAACTTCAAGGTTATGGATTATGACTTCATAAGATGGATTGGTGCAAAAGTATCAGAAACTCTTAATTCACAAACCCTTCTCGCTCCAAGAAACAACACGATTAATGTGGGTGTCACTTGGTCATTTCCTTTAGAAATGGTCTCTCACAATTCAGGCAAAATTGTACATGTAAGTAAAGGCTACGAGGTTTCCCCTGAGATTTTTCAGAAAGACTTGAAAATGTTGCTTGAGACAGTGTTAGCTAATGACTTTGATATAAGCATCGATGTAAAAGCAATTATTAACGACTCTTTGGCAGTCTATGCAGCGGGGACTTTTTATGATAGCTATACAAAACTTGCCATTGTTTTGGGCACCGGCTTGAACTTGTGCTATTCATTACCAACTGCAGAAATACCTCCTCAAAAATCTTTAGGAAAAGAGTCAGCCCTATACAACGTTGAACTTTCACTTTTCGGGCAACATTTATTAGAAGATTTTTCAACAAAATACGATCTGCTAATTGATAATAGGTTTAGTTTAGTGGATTCTTTTCATTTTAAGTCTTATATGACGACTGATCCAATTTCTCAGTCCATATTTCAGCCCTCGGAACTTATGACAAGTGGTAGGTATTTGCCAGAGTTAACGAGATTGGTCTTGATTGATATGATTGATGCTGGTGAATTATTCAAGGATATTAAGAATTTGAAAAGACTTTACGAACCTTATGATGGTTTAACTGGTCGAATGCTATGCTACATTGATGAAAATAATAGCTTCTCGTCCATAAAGCAGATCTTGCATGAAGAGTATAATTGGCCACTTGAACAAATAAGTGTTCTGGATATAGTCAAGCTCAAAGACTTAGTAAACAGCGTTATTCAAAGAGCTGCTTTTATTGTTGCGACTATGATCGTTTCTTCGATCAAGTTAATAAAATATCATAATAAGAACGAAAATTATGATCATGTCATGGTTAGCTCTGTGGGATCAGTATTGGAATATTTTAATCGCTACAGAAACCTTATTACCGAGTGGATTAATAAGAATGAAGACATCGTGGACATGGGATTGACAGTGGAGTTCATGCACATTGAGAATAGTTCAATAGTGGGAGCTGCAGTTGCTGCAGCTTACTATCTGTAACTTTCATTTGCATTATAGTTTATGCATACATACTTCTTTATATTTATAAAATACCTTTACATTGAATTCTTTGTATTCTGAAAATTATTCACCTGACATTAAAGCCAGCTTCAAAAACAAAATTATTAGGAAATATCTTACGAATAGCTAAACTTTGTTAATATAGTATTATACTATCCTATTAGTGTTTCTCTATCTATTCTTAAAAAACTCAAGAAAATGCAAATCACAATAAGGGTCTTAGAATTACATTTTTGACTTCAACCCAGCTGCCTCGGTATCACATACTATAACAACATTGGGATGCCCTTGAAGATACGTCGAAGGAAACTTTGCATTGTCTTTTTCCCCATTCATCGTGACGTCCAATGCAAACTTCTTATTTGCTCCAAGAACAATAATCGCTATTTCGTCCGAATTATCCAAGATAGTTGAAATACCTACAGAAAGAGCAAACTTCGGTACTTTATTGGTATCATTGCCGAAGAATCTAGAGTTGGCTTTTATAGTTGAGTCAACCAATGTTACCTTTCTGGTTTTTGAATTCCTGGTAGATCCTGCTTCATTGAATGCGACATGCCCCTCAGGACCCAATCCACCTAGAAATAAATTTATCCTGCCGTAAGATTTAATCTTTTTCTCATAATCTGCGCATTCCTTTTCAACATCGCTTGTTAATCCGTTCAAAATATTAATATTTTCTTTTGGGATGTCAACATGGTTAAAAAACTTGTTGTACATGAAATAGTGATAACTCTGTGGGTTAGATGGAGGTAAAGACAAGTATTCATCCATATTAAAAGTCACGACATTCTTGAAGGAAATCCTACCCATCTTATAAGCCTCAATTAACTTAGAATATATGCCTTCTGGAGACGATCCAGTTGGCAAACCCAATACAAAGGGCTTACTTGTCTTAGCCTCATGAGTCTTAATTTGCTTAATTATATATTCTGCTAAGTAAGATGAAGCATCATCGGTGGATGAAAATATGGCCTGTCTCATTCCTGTCTGCTTGTACTAGGGAAGCCAAAAATGTGAAATGTTGAAATATTTCATTGGTAGTTATATCAGCTATAAGTAGATTACAAAAAGCGTGTAACACTTATTCAGTTTACGCAATGTAACGTTACTAGGTGCGAAACATTTCTTTTTTTTATTAAGTTCGGTCAAAATGTAACCTGTGTTACGGTAATTTTCTCCGATTGCAACAATTAGGAAGGCATGCATTCGGTTAATATTCATTTATAAGAAGTAAATTCTTCTTGAGCAATGTTAAGAGATTCGAGGCTAAAGAGATGTCGTATACCAGATTTACCAACTGTGACTTGTGTGATAACGGCAAGATCTATAAAAATAAAGACTTGTTTATCGACACTAACACTGGAAAAATCGTAAGTGAACCCAGTTCCGGAAATGTCAAGATAGTGGATCTTCAAGGAGGAATATTAGCACCTGGTTTCATAGATATTCAAAATAATGGAATATATGGTTTGAACTTTTCAAATTTGAACAGCACTTCTACTGAGCAAGATATCAAAGAGTTCAAGGAATTTTATAGAGATGCTATGAGAAAATATTTAACCACTGGAGTGACTGCAATGTGTCCCACGGTAACTTCCAGCTTCCCAGAAGTATATGAAAAGGTGCTTCCTCTCTATAAAAGCTCACGCTTAAATGATGCTACCGACTCTTTGGGAGCACATGTTGAAGGTCCTTTCATCAGTAAGAACAAAAAGGGATGTCATCCGGTTGAGACAATCATAGACGCAAAAGAAGGAACTGAGAAGGTCTTTGATGTTTATGGGGGAGACGAGAATCTTACAGAGAATGTTTGTATCTTGACTGCTGCACCTGAATTACCTGGAGTACTTGAGACAATACCTATTGTTAAAGATAAAAATATCGTTTTCTCTATAGGACATACAATGACTGATTATAAAACTGGTTTAAAAGCTGTTCAAAACGGCGCAACTATGATCACCCACTTATATAATGCTATGCCACAGCCACATCATAGAGACGTTGGAGTTCTCGGTTTAATAACCTCCCCAGTTCCTGATATGACTCCATATTTTGGTTTAATTTGTGATGGTGTTCATGCTGATCCATCGATGGTAGTAGTTGCGTATAGGTCGGCCCCTGAGAAATGTATCTTAGTTACTGATGCAATGCATTTGATAGGATTACCTGATGGGTTATATAAATGGGACAGCCAATATATCGAAAAGAATGGCTCTAGGTTGTATCTAAAAGGCACAAAAACATTAGCTGGTGCTGCTACTACTTTGCCACAGTGTGTTAGAAACCTAATGTTATGGGGTCATATACCTTTAGCTGAAGCCGTTAAAACAGTTACTAATACCCCCGCAAAGAGTATCGGACTCGAGAAAGAAAGAGGATTCTTGAATGAAGGCTGCAATGCTGATCTTGTTGTCCTTGACGAACAATGTTACGTAAAGAAGGTTTACAAATTAGGAACTGAGGTTGTTTCAACTGATGAAACGCAGCCTCTGGCCCTTATAGCATCATTATAGAATTGCTTAGACTCTTGATAGTTATTTAAATCCACTTAACCTTAGCACAAAGCACGCGCTTATTTGTTACTTAATATTTCACTTCTAAATTAAATATTAGAGTTCATGTACAGCTACTATAGCAATTTGTTGTCTTTTTCATTCTATTCTTATTTATTCTACTCCTATTTATGGTTCTAGTAGCTTGTCTTTTAGCTTTTGCTGGTTGATTTTGCACCCTAACATTTTTCCGCGTTTTCGGGAGGAGGAGTCGGACTCTTACGAGCGATCTTTAGGTCGTTTAAATTTGCTTGAAATACTTAAAGTCAACTATATTATAAATCTACACTTTATAGGGCCACTTTTGATCAAGGCTCCTTAAAGATTTGGCAAATTTTCTGTCAATGGCCAAAGATAACTCTCTTAGGATACCTGAAAAGAATATTCACGGAGTAGGGGATTTTAAAGATAATAAAGCAGATTCTAGTGTGGGCAACCATGTTAGAGAGCCAGCAAACAATTCTAGAAATTTTATTTCAGGAGACAACACAGAGAGGGCCCCATCGCCATTTGGCCCTTCAGCTGCTGTGGATTCAATGCCAGGAAAGAGCCGTAATATCATGTCAGAACCTCAAGATTTTGGAACTGCAATTTTGGATGCACCGTTAGATACATCCTCTGGAAAGAGTAGTCGTGGTTCTCCAGCAAGAACAAATGAAACATTTACGGACAATATCTCTCATCATCAAAGTAGGAGGTCGGCGTCTAATGGCATCCTCAGTTCAATTTTAAACGCGGCACATAATGCAATGTCATTCAACCTGGAAGAAGATCAAACTTCTGGGAAGAAAGAGCATACATTCTCGCTGAAGTTGGATTCATTGTTGAAGCCAAAATCTGAAAAGACAATTCCAGCTCCTCCAAATGCCTCTGAGGATGATTCTAAAGCTGAAGATAATGAACTCAAATCCTCGGCATCAAATGTTCAATTCGAATCGGTGCGAGAATCGCCTATAAACACTTTGGGTTATGGAGATCTTTCGCTTGATCATTTCGATCAAGAGCGCAATCTCAAGAAGAATGGTTCTATAAGACATAGCAGAAAGAACCTTTCATCTCCAAATCGTTCTACGGAAAACCTTCACGATCAAAAGAGGTCTGTAAGCCCTGATATTGTGAATCGCCAGATGCCTCCAAATAACCAATTGGCTGTATCTGGAAACGGTGATTCCAAGAGAATACATAGGCTGTCTGTGACTGGGGCATTAGATAGAATCAAGAGCCAAAATACTGACAAAATCGCTGATTCTGAGAGTGACCCTAGTATGGTTCTTAGCGATGTTGACGACCAAGTCGAAGATTTTGATTACTCTAATATCCAATTTGCTTCAGATAAGCGAAACAAAGAATTCCACCAGATTTTCAAGCAATTGCCTTCCAATGAGAAACTCATTGAGGATTATAGTTGTGCGATTTCAAAAGATATATTGGTTCAAGGGAGGATGTATTTGAGTGAGCATTTTATTTGCTTTAATTCAAACATTCTAGGTTGGGTAACAAATTTGATGATACCATTACAAGAAGTTATCCAGATAGAGAAAAAGTTTACGGCGGTGCTATTTCCTAACGGGATAGTTATAAGAACATTGCACCATAAATATGTATTTGCTACTCTTTTGAGTAGGGATACAAGCTTTGGTATGATAACAAATGTTTGGCACAATGTTTTAGGAGAGAATACTGACTCTGAAATAAATAAGGTTATATCTTCCAAAAAGAGAAAAAGGGGAGAATCGAGGTCAACTGTATCGAAATCCATTTCAAATGATCTTGATAGCGAAACTGAGAGTCAAGAAAGTGATGATACTGATACAGTAAGCTCTTTATCGCTCGATATGGATGATACTAATAATGCGGATGACGTTGACGTTGACGAAGATACAGCTGATATCGACGATGAAGATGACGATGATGATGAGAATAATGATGACGAAGCTTTTGCTGCTAATGATTCCAGTAATATCCGTGATAAGGACAAAGGCGAGTCTGGAGCAAAAGAGAACGGCAAGGGTACCTTCAATGGATTACCGTTATTGGGCCCCCAATTTCATGCTCCAACAACTATCGACTATCAAAAACAATCTAATGAAACTGTTGTTAGTGACGAAATACTAAAGGCTCCCGTCGGTGCTATTTTCTCGATTCTTTTTGGTGCCGATAAATCCAAATACATTAAAATTCTAAAAAACCAAAAAAATTACGATATTTCGGAGAGCAACATTTCTGAGCTATCTATGAAAAAAAAAGAGAGAAATTATACATATATAAAGCCTTTGTATGGTCCAATAGGTCCGAAACTGACTAAATGTTTAATAACAGACAAACTCCTACACTTTGATCTTGATGATTATATACTAGTTGAGCAATCTACATCCACACCTGATGTCCCAAGTGGAAATGTGTTTAAAGTTAGAACAAAAATTTACTTGACCTGGGCAGAAAACAACAGCTCTAGAATGTACGTTTTGACTACTGTTGAATGGTCTGGAAAGTCTTGGATTAAAGGTGCAATTGAGAAAGGTAGTATTGAAGGTCAAAAAGATTCCATGAAAATTATGATCGACTCGTTAAATGATCTCATAAATAGCACAGGAAATGGAACATCTAAATCAATCAAGAAAAAGTCTAAGAGAAAAAAGAGCTTTAAAGCTGATTCTGCGCCTCAGTTGAAAGCACCAGAAAACCCTCAAGACCTACCAATTACCACTCAATTATCTAACTTGATGGAAAAGATTGGTGAGTTGATATCTATTCCATACGTTAGTAATCGTATGACGGGAATTTTTATTCTGATGCTAGCATTTATTGTCATTCTTAAGATGAATACATTCCTCTTTGGATCCGGCAATTCAAACGTAAGTATACTTCCGGAGAGTCATACCATATCTAACATCGAGATAAACAACCATAAGTACATGGTTGTGTCATCCGTGGATGCAAACTTTGCGAATGTTGATGCGAGACTTGAGAGTGAGGCTAATATATGGGATTGGGTAAGGAATACAAGTGATGGAAAACTTCAGATATCGAGTGAATCTTCTTCCCATCTCAAGAGATATTCTAATCAAGAGATTGAGGAAATTGTTCGTCTTACACAAATGAAGCTAGACGAACTAAGCAATAACTACAATCTTCAGTTTTAGCTACAAATCAATACTACTATTCGATAATTGATATACGCATTTTATAATTTAAATAGTGACCTAATTTAACGACACAGCATTTAGATAATTCAAAATATTAAATTACTGCCTATTTTAAGTCTTTATTAAGGGACAACCGTTTTGCAATCTTTGTTGCTATTAAGATTTGCAATGATTAGCTAATAACATTGTTTTGGTTTTGTGTCATATTTAGTATAATTGGGTCCTTTCGTTCTTGCAGTCTTCTGCTAAATGGCGCTGGAACTGCAACTGACGACCGCTGGCTGTAGAAAAAAAAACAAGGACCACAATATTTACAACAGGAAGCAGAAGCATTGGATTCATCAGTTGGAAACAGTGAATAGGACCTGTTATCATTAGAAGCTAACTTGGGACTTCGTAGTAATACTAAAGATGTTTAAATCGCTAGATCCTCAAGACATTGCGAACGCCAATGGTAGCAGTATTACGAAGCCAGAAGCTGCACAAAACATAGTGGATGATGTTAATGGAGGCATTTCACCGTCAAGCTGTGTGACTAATGATGTTCTCCAACAAAGAGTTACGAGGAAGGAGCAGAGCTTGGAAGATATTAAAAACCAATGTTCCGAGTTAATCAGCGAATTAGAGTACGTGAATTTTTACTAGGAGAGTCTGTGATAATAGTTATACTAACAATTTTAGCTCTGATGAAGACCCCGAAGCCATTGTGAAAAAGCATATTAGTCAATTGAAAAAGTACAATGAGTTGAAAGATATTGCACTAGGGCTTGTCACGATGATTGCAGACCAGAGGAAGTTAAGAACAACAGATATACTAGAAGAAATGAGGGTAGAAATTGGTGATGATTAATCGCTAGTGTATATTTTTGGCCAAACTATATTACGTTCTTTAATTATAATTTTGTGGTGCTATTTTTAAGCTTATGTTCTAAATCGCTTCTACATTTGTTGGTCACATTAAAGTTGCATTGGTAATAAATTTTCAAACGACTGTCGTACCCTTATTGTTATAGGACTACCTGCGATTTTAAAGAGACCTGAAAGATCTTTGGGTAATCGTTGGGTAACAGCTGCCCGAAAATGAAGAGTAAACATGTACCAGATGAAAGAGAAAGCATTGCCGCATCAATTTTTCTTAATTGCTGGTAGTCGAATAAGAAATGAATAATAAAAAAAAAAAAGGTATAGCTGTTACGCTATGCACAAATGCAAATAGTATAAGCAGTATTTTTATAGTGTTATTTTATAGAAGGGATCCCTTAAGGGAGGATATATATGCGTACGTAATCAAGTGCAATTCGTGTAGTGTTGCAAATGAAAAAGTTGATGTGACATTATGCGACATTATTCTAAGGTGTACTGTGGCTAATTTAAAACTTTTGAAAAGCTACGTAATTTATGATCTAGCTGAGGTATTTAGTGGTTAACAAGAACGCTATGCGATTATGAGATTAGGCTTCATATATATATTGGTCTTCTCTATACTGCTTCTTCTCTGTTCGGGAAGACCCCGACTAGAAAAGATAGCGACGGAGGCGCTACTGGGTCAAATTCAAGAGAGTAAACATGACATGACCCAGAAGAGAGAACCTTCAAACATTTTTCCAATGGATCTTAGGTCAATAAAGGACTGGAAGTTGACAGATCTATTACTAGTAAGTGACATAGATGGCAATTTACATGGCGTGAGCAGAAGTAGTGGAACATTATTATGGACCTTGCCCATAGATGAACCGCTCGTTTCTATTCAGACTAACGAAACAACGTCAAGTGCATTTAAGAACAATTCCAATATTATATGGCTCGTTGAGCCCTATGCGGATGGCCATTTATATTATTTTTCGCCTAATTATGGTTTAAATAAGCTCCCTTCATCAATTAAAGAACTTGTTCTGGAATCTCCCTTTTCGTTAAGTGGAGATGATAAAATATACACAGGCAATAGAAAGACATCCCTCTATAAGGTTAATATTCACACGGGTGAAGTGAAGTCGTCTTTTGGAAATAATGATAGAGAATGTCCCCTTCCTAATATGCATCATAATGGGCCAAAATTTGAAGCTGACGATACAATTATGATTGGTCAGACAACATATGAGTTGATGATTCACTCCAAAGAGAATGCTAATATAGTTTGGAATGTCACTTATAACGAATGGGGTCCAAATAAGATTGACAACGATTTAATAATACAAAACCATCAGAGTAAAGATGATATATATTTTACCCCATTTCATGATAAATCACTTTTGGCTGTCAATAAGAACATAGGGTCTCCTGTGTGGATTAGCAAATTACCTTCGTTAACTGTTAACGTTTTTGATGTATTCAATAATCTTAACTCACCCGAACACATTTTGTTGCCTCATCCATTGAAGGTATTGAATGAAGCTCAAATTGAAAACGATAAATATTCAGAAAACAATAATCTTGTATTTGTAAACAAGACTGCGGACGAAAAAGATTGGTTTGCCATGAGTTTTGATAACTATCCAACTTTGGTCAAAAGTGCACCCATATCCAATTATCAATTGTCTCTTTACAACTTACAGAACAGCATTCCAATAGATGTCAATTATATCAGGAACTTCGATCTTTCGGAGGCACGTAAAGAAGATGTTGAGAATTTGGTATGTGGAGTACATAAGATATTCCCTCTATCTAGTGAAACAATGTATCAACCTGTTTCGAGGTTTGAATCGCCTACTAAATTTAAAGAAATAACTGACGGAAGAGATAGCCAGGATAATGAGCATAACAGAAAAGGAAATCTTCCTACTATTTTCGAAGGCATCCAGTTTCCAAATGAAGTTTCCTTAATTGAATCCCAAGTGACTGAATCTCTTCTTTTAGATAATCCATCGAATGACTCTTATTTGGATGGAATGCATAGAGAAAAGAGTGGCATATTTTCTAGCTTGAGATTTGTGATTTTAGGACTAGGGTTTTTTATTTTGGCGGTTAAATATTTTCTCGGCTACAACAATGTGTATATTAACCTTGGAATAGAATTTAGGGCTGATAGGAAGAAAAAACCATCCGAAAATGCTGATAATGGTGAAACGAAAAGACAAGTCAAGTTCGTTGTAAGTTCCAATGGCAGCAAGGATCAGACGAACATAGCTCCAGATCAGGAGGACGAAATTATTACAGCGCTGGATTTCAGCCTTGAAAACTATGAACAAGTGACTCATCAGAGGTCTCCACCGCTGCCATCGCCTTCAGAAAGTAACCTGAGAGAAATAAAGGATAAGGAAAGTATCAACTATGGCGAAACATCGGACTCCAGAGATTCGCTAGATGAAAAGCCTGACAAAGTCATTGAAGATGACTCCTTTGCAAAGAAAAAAAGAAAACGTGGAAGTAGAGGAGGAAAAAGAAGTGGAAAGAAACTCAATAAGCATAAGATCGCCGATGTCAGTAGTGATGGAGATTTCGAAGTAGTGGAAGATGAAAGAAATTTTTCGAAAGGCAAGGATGTCAAAGAATTAGCAAAAAACTTACAAATGAAGAAAAATTTGATAATTTCTGATAAAATTTTAGGCTATGGTTCCCATGGTACAATTGTATACGAAGGCGTCTTTGAAAGTCGACCAGTAGCAATCAAAAGAATGCTCTTAGATTTCTATGAGATAGCAAACCACGAAGTGAACCTACTTCAGGAGAGTGATTACCACCCAAATGTTATTAGATATTTCTGTTCGCAAACGAGTGAATCTGATAAATTTCTTTATATTGCTTTGGAACTTTGTCTGTGTACAGTTGAAGACTTATTTGAAAAATCTAAGTACTTAAACATTTTGAATTGCAGTAGAATAGATTACAGGAATATGTTGCTTCAGTTAGCAAAAGGGCTCGATTATTTGCATTCATTGAAAATTGTCCATCGAGACTTGAAACCTCAAAATATCTTAGTTGCAGATTTCAAGAAGAATGACATATCTAATCTAAGGTTATTAGTGTCAGATTTTGGACTATGCAAAAAGCTAGATGTCGATCAGTCTTCATTTAGAGCAACGACTAACCAAGCAGCACTGGGTACGTCAGGGTGGAGGGCACCTGAGCTATTATTGAATCATGATTTATCTGAGCTCTCTCCCAGTACGATCTCATCAAATGGTTCAAGCTCCAAGTTCTCAGTTGTTACTCCGTCCAGCACTCGAAGATTAACCAAGGCTATAGATATATTTTCCATGGGATGTGTTTTTTTCTACATTTTGTCTGGGGGACTGCACCCATTTGGGGACAGGTACTTGAGAGAAGGTAACATAATGAAAGGTGAATTTGACATTTCGGAACTTTCAAAGAAAGGTATCAAGAGCTACGTTGAAGCTTCTGATCTCATATCTTCCATGATCAGCTTTGACCCAATGTCAAGACCAAGCACTATACGCATAATGAAACATCCTTATTTTTGGTCTGACAATAAAAAGCTTGAATTTTTGTTGAAAGTAAGTGACAGAATCGAAATCGAACGAAAGCATATATTCAGTCAAATATTAGTGGATTTAGAACTGCATGCTTTGAAGATCCATAACGGAAACTGGTATGAAAAATTTAATGTCAAATTTATGGATAATTTGAGCAAATATAGAAAGTATGAGTCATCAAAATTGATGGATTTGTTGAGAGTTATTAGAAATAAATACCACCATTTCGGTGATATGCCTTTTGAATTGCAAGAGCAAATGCGACCGTTGCCTGAAGGCTTCTACGGGTATTTTAATGAGAGATTTCCCCACTTACTAATGGAAATATATTTTGTAATTGAAAAGAATTTGAAACATGAACACATGTTCGAAAGCTTTTTTTAATGATGCCTATGACGATTAATATACACAATGAAACTTTACATCTATATATTTGGTATAATACTATGCCATGAAACTGTATTTTCACCCAAAGTATGACTTTTGCTAGTTTTTCAACCTTTGCGTTTTGTCAGTTTATTCGATTTTTTAACTCTATTTTTGCTCTTTTTCACCTGCAATGTTGCTGGAGTCAGATTATTATCTTCGTCTTCAAATTTGGTATGAACTCCTTTGAAACTCGAAGAACTTACTGCGGGTTCCGACATATTACTTCTATAAGCAGCAGCACCACCTCCATTAGCTGTTTTTCCCAAAGCATTTCTGAGAAATTCTTTAGCTTGCTCTGAGCTCTGCTCTTTACTGCTTTCTTCCTTGGTTTTGTTCTGTTCTAAATCTTTTAATCTCTTCATGTTTGACTTAACTCTGGCCAACTCTCTTAAAATTGGATGTTCGTCAGTAGAAACTCCTATTGTTTTGAGATATGAAAATATCAATGACATCAAAACATAGCTGTAATTATTATAAGTTCTAATCCTTTCAATTGTGTTAGATTTGCTCTCTGCGATATCATCTAATGACTTCTTTGTAATAGACTCTAACGATTCGTCCAACTGATCAACAGATGTATCTAGGGTTACCAAAAGAGCTTTTATACTATCTATATTCTCCATATTTTTAAATCCTCTTGTAGTGCTATAGTATTAAATAAATATGATATAAATGTATTATTGATGCTCATTGCAAGATATCATAAAATAAAAAAATAAAAAAAAAATCTTTTGAAGAAAAAATAAGACTTATACACTTAAAGCTAAGAAGGTGGAGTGGACTCAAATATTAGCCATTACTTGTAATCGGAGAAGTTTGACATGTCATCAACGCGATTAAATCGAGATATTTTAACAGGAGGGAAGAAGTATGCTCAGAAACAAGCCAATAAATATGGTGTTGATGAAGTTGCTTTCGATCCTGAGGCTCGTAAGGAATATTTGACAGGGTTCCATAAGAGAAAATTACAGAGACAAAAGAAGGCCCAAGAACATAACAAAGAGCAGGAGCGCCTTGCTAGAATTGAAGAAAGGAAAAAGGTAAGAGACGAACGGAAGAAAGATTTTGAGAACCAGTTACACCAGCTCCAAGATGCTGCCCATAGAATAGCCGATATAGGTACAACTGGTCAAGATTCAAATGAGGAAATAAATCTCGATCGCAGAGAGACGCAATTTGAAGAACTTAAAAGTAGGAAGCAGGAGACACCGGAATCTGACGATAATCAAGACCAAGATTCAGATGATGACAGCAAACAACCAAACGGAATATTGAGACATAAGGAAGTCTATAAGCTAGATGAGGATGGAGCGTCTTACTTTGGGCAAGATACAGCTGTTGATGACGAAACAGTTGTTACCGTTGACTCTTTGGACAACCCAGCTTTCTCTGGTGTTCAAAATATCAGCATAGAAGCTGCTGCAAAACTCAACAATGTCAACTTAAATATTTCTGATAAGGTATTAGACGATTCAATAAAGAGAGCGAAAAGTTATGCTGTCGTTTGCGGCGTCTCAAAGCCATCATTTAAGGACAAGATTAAAAAGAAAAAGAAGTTCAGGTATCTATCAAAGGCTGAAAGGAGAGACAATGCTCGAAAACAAAAGATTAAGAATAGGGCTAAAAGACCTTAAGAAGACAATCAAATGGTACTGATCGATATTCAACAACTTGGAGAAGAAAAATAAAGATAAAAATGCTTTGTATGTCCTGCATGTACTCTCTGCGGGTAACAAGTTAGCCATCTCTGTTGAAAAATTTCTACATCTTAAAAAATAACTTTGGCCGTCTCATCTTTTTACGTAGTGGACTCTGAACATTCTAATTAAAGGGTATGTACGAAAGAAGTAACGAGAAATTTGATGATAGGAATTTTCCACACTGATGACACGATGTCGCCCCAAACGGAGGATCCTTTTCAGGACTATGACCGATTCGATATTATGCCAAACACACTGAAAATTCTGAAACTGGAATTCTACATTGAACTTCTTATTTAATTCTTTTCTTTTAAATGTCTCAACTAACAATCTCGCAGATTAGAAATATAAAAAAATGAACTTAGGATATAGAATAGTCTAGAATTCCATAAATTAATGAATACACAAACTTATGATTAGGAGCTTGATAAGTTATATGATCCACTTTTGCTATATAGGATGTTCTGGTTGCAGGCTAGTGATGTTTTCCATGCTAATCATGAATACTTATGATTACGAACAAAAAAAATCGTAGATACCTCTGGTATCGCGTCTGAAGCCTTTCACAACAGATAATATCCTTGCATAGTATGTCTGGGTGCCATGTAATTGTAACTTTTTGCCCTGTGACGAGACATCTCTTTTCCTTTTAACTGGCCCCTGGCACGTGATATTTGTTTTTAATCTCGATGTACATGAAGAGTGAGACAAAATTCTATGCTGGAAAGAATAGAAAGTGTAGGCATCTAAGAGCCCGCTGAATTATGAATGAGCAAGGAGAGACGGAGAGATTGTTATTTGATGACCTTATCCCATTGCAATTTAGAATTCTTTTTTTGATACAGCTAGGGGCGTTATTATGGTATGTCACTATTCATTTCTGCTCAAAGTACTATAAGATCAATGTTTTACATTTATTAGGATTATCATACTCGCCAAACAATCTCCATTTAGATAGAGAGTATCCTAATACAGGAGAGCATCATTCCGTAGTTCCCGCTGAGCTCAAAGAGAATCAAACTTTGCTCGCCGGAGTGTGGAATAATTTCATCAGAATATCGGTAGTCAATATCATAAGCTTCATAATATCTAAAATTATTGAGTCTTGCATTGATCTTCACAAAAGAGAGAATAGCATTACCGTAAGGCTCTTGTTTAATATGATACCCTTTTGCGCTCTATTGTTCAATCTACATGAATTGTTTTTCAAGTCAAGGCATGCAATCGGCCTGAATAGAGCCTATACCACAGTGAAACGAATAATGATGGGCAAAATAAATCATGCATACTTGCGTACGAATGACATATTGATCTCAGATACACTAACTTCCTACTCTAAAGTATTGAATGATCTACTTTTATGCATTTGGAATGTTTTCTACGGTTTTAACTCTCCTTATGATATAAGATTTGAGGCATTAATACTATGTATTCCCACGTTGATAAGGATGAAGCAATGCTGGATAGAATATTCACGTACGAAATACTTACAGCATTGTTTAAACTTACTAAAATACACAACGGCTCTTGGTCCCATAATTATCAACATGCTACTTAAACAGAAGTTGGCCACTTTTAAGCACGACAATCCAGAAAAGGTTGATCAGGACTATATTCTCAATGCACTTAGTAAGCTCAATACATGGTGGTATGTATGTTCTGTGATTAATTCATCTTATTCATTTATTTGGGACGTTAAAATGGATTGGGGTTTTCAAGCATTTGATATCTTTGAAAAGCATACGACAACTTTTACCCTTTTGCGACCAGGCCACCAACTAGTATATAGAAATAACTGGATCTACTACCCAATAATTTTGATTGATTTTTTGTTGAGATATATTTGGATTTTAAAGCTATTTATTGTGAGAGAATTTGAACACACGACTCCAACTTATTTATCAAGTATATCCACCTTTTTGTTCGGCTACGATGCCTTCTCATTCGGATATGCTCTTATTGAGCTCCTAGAAATATTAAGAAGATGGTTGTGGTGTATACTCAAACTAGAAGCAGACTTTATTAAACTACAAAGAGCCCACAGCATAGAGGATATTTCATTGGTACAGCTCAATAGATAAATATGTATTGAACTACTTTATAGGTTTATGAACTTGACGATAAATCTACATCTGAATTCTCATGAAAGCATCATGTTTGTTAAACTAAATATTCTAGCATATATTTGCCTTATACTTCAGTCTGATTCAATCTTTATCCATAATATACGCTTACCATTCCATAAAAGACTCATTGATTGTTTTCAAGCCACTTCTGAGAAGCCGTTCTCCATGCTAAGTCTGCCTTAGGGCTGATTCTGTTTTCGCTGGCCCACTTGTATTTTAAGGGTGATTTTATGGTCATATATAAAATTAAAACCGACGACATCGTAGCAATAGCCGCAAAACTCAACTTAGGAGCATGAGCCATCTTGCAACTTCTTGATTTATTATCTTCGAGGTATATTTAACAAGCTACTCCAACAGTTTCTATATAAAGTAGAAATCAAATAGTTAATTTTTGGTTGGTTAAAACTAAGTCACCTGACTTTCAGTTTTTGCGTTTCAAAAATTACAGACATAAGCAACAATGACGAACATCAAAGGAACTATGCAAAGATATCAGTCTTTTTTAACCAATCTCTGGGTTTTCATAACTATCAAGCTGTAGCCATACGATGTTTTCACATCCCGATACTTGATGTGAAAGTCTAATATAATTGGCTGCGCATTCATAAGACTATTTTGCCTCAATGTACCTTTGTGAAGAGCTAAAAGGAAACAAGCATTACTCAATAAATCTAGAGATAGATAATATCTTATACTGCTACTTGTATTGATCTAATGTTCTTACCTTATAATTTTAAATATTAGAAGTTTTTGCAAGAATATTGATTCCTTATGTAAGTGCTTTGTCAGCAGTATAATTTTCAAATTTTTGTGAAAACTTTACCGTTGAAGAATAAGCTTTTTAAAGTTGAATTGCATAGTTGTAACGGACTTCTAAATTACATAAGTAAACATGTTCAGAAGGACGATTAATAGAAAGAATGCGTTTTTAAATCTAGGCGTTGGGCGCCTGATGTATCATGTTCCCAGAGCCGACAAAAGTTTGAAGACAGAATATAATACTACCACTGATTATGGTAGTTACAAAAATAATATTTTCACGCATAGGTTACCAGAATCAACAGCACAACAAAGTCCGCCTTTAGTTGCATTGCATGCAAGATTAAACTTGTCTCCTTTATACTCACTTTCTACCCTTTCCCAAGCATTGAATTTAGATAAGTTTGATAATGGTCTAGCAAATAATTTTGGCTTAAATACTTTGGGTAAAACCTTGTTGTCTTACTATGTATCAGAACACTTGTTGGTACGGTACCCTAGGTTGCCTATACCAGTACATAATGCTGCTGTGGACGCATATATGGGTGTTGAAATCCTTTCAGAGATTGGAAGGTCTTGGGGTATTGAAGTTGATAATACTAAAAAGTTAGATAAATACTTGAGTCAAGAATCCGAATTCATTCGTTATGGAAAGTTAAGGTTCCTTTCTGAGGAAGCGAAAGAACCTCAAGAGGAGGGAGTTGCTGAATTATCTGAAGAAGAAATTACGCTGATTCAACACGCTCCTGGCTTTTATTTATCCAAAGAATCAAATGCATATGCCTCTGCAGTACGCTCAATAATCGGTGGCTTATATACACATGTTGGAGAGAACGTAACGAAAGAGTTTATCCATGACCATATATTGTCCAGAAAGTTATCTTTAGATAAAATGTTCCAATTCAGTAAGCCAACAAGAGAGCTTGCAAGAATATGTGAAAAGTTAGGTTTTACTGAGCCTTTGCAAATTAGATTACTTGCGGAGACAGGGAGATTATCGAGTCATGCAGTTTTTGTCGCTGGAGCCTTCTCAGGTAGTGACAAATTGGGCGAAGGTGTAGGTTCATCTTTGCAAGAAGCTAAAACGAGAGCAGTTGTTGATGCCTTGTTGTCATACTATTTGTACACTCCAGTGAGTGAGGATGGTAGTCCTGTAAAGTTGCCTAGCGACAAAGATTATAAGCTCGAAGGCATTGTTGGCATAGGCGATGTAGCCATTTAATCAATTTAGTCAAATCAATTGTATATATCGTGTAAATAAGAAAATGGTTTAGTTTTCATGCACTAGTGTAAAGATAGACTTCTTTGGTTCATTTTTATTATGTTTTTCTAATTATTTTTAAGTGGTTAATTAAACATGTACATTATCATTTTTCTACAAAATTTGCATCCAAATTTAAAAATTGATTTTTTCACTGATGAATGTAGAAATTCAATATGTAGAAACAATCAGCTTTCTTCCGCCAAAGAGCTATTAAAGGAGTTGGCTTCGGTGTCTTTCTACTTCTACTAACTGGTCTATGTTACACTTAGTAGTAGTGGCCAAAGCAAATAATGGCGAGAATCGGAGTCAAAATTAAAGTATTGAGGATGAGAAAAAAATTTTACTATATACAAAAAGAGCGATGTAACAGCCTTACAAACTTAGATTAATTTAAACTTTATAGAAAGTAACTGATCATGTCATCTCAAAAGGGACTTGATATACTTGTCATTGGTAATGGTGGGAGAGAACATGCGATAGTGTGGAAATTATCGCAGTCACCTCTTGTTCAACATATATACGTTGCCCCAGGTAATGGAGGAACAGCCATTAACTCGAAAGTTACCAACATCCCTGAGTTATCAGGATCCCCTAAACATTTCAGCGAGTTGCAAAAGTTTGCTGTGGAGAATGGAATTGGTTTAGTGATTCCAGGCCCTGAGCAGCCTCTTGTTGATGGAATTACTTCTGTCTTTACAAAAGTGGGTATTCCAGTATTCGGTCCATCATCCAAGGCCGCTTTATTAGAGGGATCCAAAGCTTTCTCAAAGTTATTCATGGAGAAGCATGATATTCCAACAGCAAAGTTCAAGAACTTTACATCTGTAGAGGATGCAAGGAAGCATATTGAATCAATAGACTATAAGATCGTGTTGAAAGCTGATGGAATCGCTGGTGGTAAAGGCGTTCTAATCCCAGAAACAAAAGAAGAAGCACTTGCTGGATTAAATGAGATAATGGTTGATAAAAGCTTTGGTGACGCGGGTAATGAAATTGTGATCGAAGAGTATTTGGAAGGAGACGAATTGTCAATTTTAACAATTAGTGACGGTTACCTGTACTTCAATCTACCAGCTGCTCAAGATCACAAAAGAATAGGTGATGGAGATAAGGGCTTGAATACGGGAGGGATGGGTGCTTATGCACCTGCTCCTATCGCTACCCCTGATGTCTTAAATAAAATCAATCGTCAAGTAATCGAGCCAACAATCCTGGCTATGAGAAAAGATGGATTTCCAATGGTTGGTGTTCTTTTTACAGGAATTATGTTGAGTTCAGCTAAGGAGCCGAAGGTGTTAGAGTATAATGTGAGATTTGGTGATCCGGAGACTCAAACGGTCTTGCCATTATTGACCGAAGATACTGACTTAGCTGAAGTTATGTTAGCAGCCGCAGAGCACAGACTTGACTCCGTAAAAATTGAAACCAGAGCCAACATGTTCTCAACAACTGTCGTTATGGCAGCCGATGGATATCCAGAGACTTATGCTAAAGGGAATGTTATTACCATCAAAGAGCCCTTGCCTCAAGATACTTACATATTTCATGCTGGAACCGTCGAAAAGAATGGCGAAATACTAACTGCTGGTGGAAGAGTCATTGCTGCAACGGCAGTCGCAAATAGCTTAAAGCAATCAGTTGAGAGAGCTTATGTCGGGGTTGATCATGTATCTTTCACAGGCAAATATAACCGTAAGGATATTGCTCACAGGGCATTTAGAGAGGCAAGTAAATTAAAAAAAGGTGTGACGTATGCTGATGCTGGAGTCTCAGTAGACAATGGAAATTTATTAGTCGATCAAATCAAATCAAAAGTTAAATCAACTGCGAGATTAGGTGCAGACTCCGATATTGGTGGTTTTGGTGGACTCTTTGATTTGAAGAAGGCAGGGTACAATACCGATGACACACTCTTAGTGGCAGCTACGGACGGTGTTGGTACTAAACTAAGGATTGCTCAAATGATGAATATACACAACACCGTAGGTATCGATCTAGTAGCAATGAATGTTAATGATTTAGTTGTCCAGGGAGCAGAACCTTTGATGTTTTTGGACTATTTTGCGACTGGAAAGTTGGATATAAATGTTGCAGCCAATTTCGTTGATGGAGTGGCAGATGGATGCATCCAAGCAGGTTGTGCCTTGGTTGGTGGAGAGACATCTGAAATGCCTGGAATGTATGATGTTGGTCATTACGACACTAATGGAACGGCAGTGGGTGCAGTGTTGAAGAATGAAATATTACCGAAAACTAATTTGATATCAGATGGCGATATTCTTGTGGGTTTGAAATCAGATGGACTTCATTCTAATGGATTTTCTCTTGTTCGCCATATTATAGAATCTTCTGAGTATGAATACAACTCTAAAGCTCCATGGGCAAGTAATGGTGAAACAATCGGTGAGGAAGTATTAATTCCCACAAGAATTTACGTTAAGCAATTATTGAAACCAATTAGGAAGAATCTTATTTTAGGTTTGGCTCACATCACAGGTGGTGGTCTTGTTGAGAATGTTCCAAGAGCTCTTCCCTCTCATCTCCAAGCGAAGATTGACGGAAGTACGTGGACCGTTCCTGAAATATTCAAGTGGTTTGGTAAAGAAGGAAATGTTCCGATAAGTGATTTATTGAAAACGTTTAACTTGGGTATAGGAATGGTAATTATAGTGAAACCTGAAGCGGTCAAAGAGCTCTTGCAAGTACTTCGGAACGAGAAAGAGGATCCCGTGGTAATAGGTCAATTAGTAAAGAGAGATGCAGGCTCCCCTCAATGTGTGGTTGAAAACTTAGATAATTTGTACTAGTTTATTAACAGTAGCTTATGTTTTTAGAGAGTTTCACACGTATTGTGATAGAGTTTTGTGATAGTAATCAAGAGACTGAGTAAGTTAAGGTTCGGTATGCCTTTTTTGTCGCAGTATCTCTTATTTTACCGTAATGGGCCTCACCTCATCTCATGTGACTTAAGGATTAGTAATTTTTCTGGACTTATTCCATTTCAGAGAAACCATAGACAACATTAGAGTGCAAAAGGTAACGAGAGCCTAGCTTATAGCTCCAACGAACCAAATAATCGGCTCAAATTAAAGAGTCAAATTGAAAGGGGGCTCCGACATTTTGAGATCATCCGTTTAAGTCATTCTTGTTTAGGCTAATATACACTGAACCTCTTAAAGAGACGCAAGTGGATCAAGTACTTGGAACAAGTTATTTAGAAATTCAAAGTAAAAGATCAAGAGAATTCATTTCGCAGAAACTCAACCTAGAGTTAATAGTAAATTTTGGACCATTAAGAACGGAACAGTTCATAGATTGACTTCGAGATGGGATTGCTTTCTCTTGGGACTCCCCTAGATTGGCATGAGTCCAAGAAATATAATGAGCATGTGAGGAACAATGGTATTATACAGTTGATCAACATTTTTAAACAGCACAAGTCTAGAGATAATGATTTGTTTTATTGGGGAGATGAGGTAGAGTATATGCTTGTTAAAATCAATGAAATAGAAAAGCGTGCGTGCTTGTCTATCGACTGTGATTATATATTGTACGACCTTAATGCAGAGGAAAAGTCGTTGCATAAAGCAACGGAGAACAATATATCATTTCATCCTGAATATGGTAGATATATGATTGAGGCGACACCTGCTAAACCCTATGATGGGAATTCCTTGGATGACTATTTATATGTCGAACAGAATATGATGAAACGCAGAGACATAAGTCAAGGCGAGCTTCCCGATAATGTCAGGCCATTGACAATAACCAGTTTCCCAAGAATGGGTTGTGGTAACTTCACATCTCTTCCGTCTAAGCCAATAGGACCAGCATCGCAATCTTTGTTTCTACCAGATGAAATTATCAATAGACATGTAAGGTTTCCCACTTTAACGGCAAATATTAGAAAGAGACGTGGGTCAAAAGTTGCTATAAATCTTCCTTTGTATCCCGATGTTTATACTAAGTTGCTAGATGACTCAATCGTTAAAAGAGACCTTTTTAAAAGCGATGAGGAACCATTTATTGGTGCTGCGGAGCCAGGTCATGTTTACATGGATTCTATGGGATTTGGGATGGGATCCTCCTGCTTGCAAGTCACTGTACAAGCGAAGAATATTGTTGAAGCCAGATACTTGTATGATTCGCTCGCTTCGATCACCCCAATCATGCTTAGTCTAACAGCAGCAGCTCCTATTTTCAAAGGATATTTGGTGAACCAGGACGTGAGATGGAATGTGATTAGTGGCGCTGTCGATGATAGAACTTTTATAGAAAGAGCGGTGCACCCCTATCCACATTATAATCCATTTGGAGGTCTTGACATTGACAAAGCGGACATTAACAAAACAGATTATACTGTAAACTCTTATGGGGATTACAAGAACATGAAGACGAGAGACGGTAAACCAATTCAAAAGATACCAAAATCACGGTACGATTCTATTGACTCTTACCTCGGAGATACTGATTATGGCACATCTTATTTCAAAGAGTCCTACAACGACTTGAGGTCTCCAATTAATAAAAAAGTCTATGATACGCTCTTGAACACAGGGAATTTTGACCCTATTTTAGCGCAGCACTTTGCTCACTTGTTCATTAGGGATCCTCTCGTAATATTTAGTGAGAGAATCAATCAAGATAATGAATTGGAAAATGACCATTTCGAAAATATTCAATCAACAAACTGGCAAACTTTGAGGTTCAAACCACCTGCGTTATACAGACCCGAAGAGGATCTACTGACAACTCCTGGATGGAGAGTTGAGTTTCGTCCAATGGAAATTCAATTAACTGATTTTGAAAATGCCGCTTACGCAGTCTTTATTGTATTGGTGTCAAAAGCGATCCTTAAATTCAAGCCAGATTTTTACATCCCGATCCTGAAGATAGATGAAAACATGGGAACAGCTCACCGCGTCGATAGTGTCAAAACTGAATCATTTTGGTTCAAATCATATAGCCATTGCAATTTAAAAAATAATGAGTTTATCGGTTATGATTTGAGCTGGTTTGATAGATATCTCTCTGAAGGAAATGATGCTTTAGATCACGATAAGGTTTACATTAATGGCTACCTGAATGGCTCGGACTCTTCTAACAAGCCCTCATGTAACGAGTTGCTATATTCAATCAATGATGTTATTAACGGAAATGAGTCATTCCCGGGATTACTTAGACTTGTGATCAAGTTCGTAGCTACTGAACTCACACCACATGATCATACCTGCCACTCGAAACTGTTGGCTGAGAAATTACTCCGAATCAAAAGTTATTTAATGGTCATTTCACAGAGAGCAAGTGGAAAGATTCCAACAACTGCCCGTTGGATACGTGACAAAGTATTATCCTCTCCACATTACTCTCAGGACTCTAAGGTGAATGAGAAATTAAACTACGACCTCATGAAAGATGCTGCCGCGCTTTCAGAGTGCCTTGACGTAGAATTGCACAACTCTCTTCTCGGAGAAGAAATAACTGATTATTTATATAAAAATTAGACTATCACTTTAATAACATATTTAGCGGGGGTCTCCCACGTATCTTTAAAAGCATGTCAAGGAATTTGTAACTATCAGTTTTATAGATAAAAGAGATTCACATAATAAATTTGCAACTATAGCTAAATCTACACTACAAATACAAATAAGAATTCATTTCTGACGAAAGCGTATCTTAAATATATATATATATATACCATATATGTAAGATAATCAATTCGAGACAAGTGAAAGCAGCTATTTGATTAGAATGAAGTTTTGTTGAATTTTAGACTAAAAAACGCTTTTATTGCCAAGACTTGGGCAACTTGTTAGCTGAAAACAACCAATATCAAGTGCCAACCAAGAATCTACTTTCTCTCGGTCTCCAGAGTACCATGTGAGTAGGAATTTTCATTCTTACTTTGTTCTCCTATCAAATCTTCTTTTTCAACCTTGTGAGGTGGAAGTTTAGCGATTTCAGGGAAGTCTCTTTCAGCTTCTTCAATTAAGTCGTCTTTGTGTGTTTCTGGTGCCTTTGACATATTGCTTAGATTCTACTTAGATTCTACTTGGATTCCTCTAGAAATGCTGTCACCATCATACAAGTCGATTTAAATACTGGCGCCGGATGCAAATGGTGGCATTCAGGGGTTAGTTGCTGCATTACCCGAACTCCCGTGGGTTCCTGCTAATCGAGATTATTAGGATTTCCCGAGTGACCCACGGTCCTTTGATAATAAAATGGAATGACAGTAAGATCCGGATGGTGCTACGTAGTGGCTTGTTAAGACTAAAGGGATGACGCTAACGTATCAAATAGCGTTGATAAAAAACATTGAGGAAGTCAAATTATTGGAGAGAGCATATCAATTGGCTAGATTTAGTAAAGAATTTTGAATGTTCTGTTACTATAAACTAAGGGTCGTATTTAACACCTTGATGTATTCCTTTTACTGACTTAAGAGACGTTGTCTGGTGCTGTTGTATGTAAGCTCACAATAGTTTCTAGAGGAATCCATCCATAAAATTATATAAATAGATAATGTCAACTGTCAATCATAAGACAGGGGCTTACGTAAAATCGCGCAGGCTCATAGGGTCCCTGTTTACTGAGCAATCTGGCATGATCGTGCTAATGCTCGGGAGTGCATATGAGCATTCCAAGTTGACAAAAAAACACGTCTAAAGGTCATCAACAATATGAAAGGCTCGTAGTCAGCTCATATTATACCAAGTAAATTTTGATAGAGATGGGAATCATGGATAATTTGAAGGCATTTATGCATTCTATAACGACTGAGGATCATTATGCTTCGTATGATTCTCCTTATAAGAGTTCTCTGGAGGGCGGCGGCAATGTGGTAGGCGGCAATCTGAACTCCAGAAGTAGTGAGCTCAATAGACTTGCAACGATAAATTCGTCAAGTCAATCTTTAGTTGGACAGGAGGCTAATGGAGTGGGAGGCAATGTTGGTTATAGACCAGGTTTGAGATCCTCTAATTTGAACTCATCGTCAGAGTTACCATTGCAGACATTTGATGCGTCAGGACAACCCCCTCTTCCATCAATCGATTCAATGTGGGACAGACTTGAAAGCTGGTTAGATGAAGAGTATCCAGAGTTAGGAGACAATTTGAATGATGGCGCTACTACTGCGGATTTGAATGAGTTCGAGAATGATTTAGGAAGTGGTCCTTTACCAGTTGAATTTAGACAATTTTATAAAAGGCACGATGGACAATTCAGTGGTGGAAATCCAACTGGATTAATATTCGGACTAGAACTTTTAGACTTAGAAAGTATCGTTGGAGAGCATGCTATTTGGGGAAAGGTTGCTCAACGTTTGGAGAAGCAGCAATACATGGTTCAAAACAAGCAATTAAATAAGGAAGGATCTTCATCATCAGATGCCCAAATCAACTCGAATTCAAATTCTTTTATTTCTCACCAGAGATCTATTCCCCCGAACTCGATCCAATCGTGTTATGTTCACAGGGGTTGGATTCCTATTATTAAGGATGATTGCGGTAACTTGATCGCTTTGGATATTGCTCCAGGTTCAGCAGGAAAATGGGGTCAGATAATTATTTTCGGTAGAGAATTTGATACCAAATTGGTTGTTGCTCAATCTTTTCAAGAGTTCGTTTTTGATTTCGTTAGTGATCTCGAGAATGGAAATTTTGAGATAGATCAAAGTAATACTAATGATGCCTATGGCTTTTTAGAAAATTCCAGGGATGATGACTACATGATTGGAGCAGAAGAGGATGGTCAAGGCGAACTTACGTTTTATGATAGAGATAATAAAGAATTTGGCAAGGGAATAGATTCCAGAAGATTAACTTATTTGGAGGTTTTGAAAAGGAGGGCATTAAAGAAATACGGCTTGTCAAATGATTATTCTACCTCGTTTGTCCCTCAAAGAATGCGTATGAAAATACAAGCTGAACCTGGGGCCAAACCAGGTGTCCCAGTTGGAAATACTTCCAGCCAGCCAAAGAATAATTCGGCCCCATTGATAAAACTCGAGAGCACTACAGATGTATCACTTCCAAAGGAAACTCTTATTGATCAAGAAGATACGAGCAAGAAGCCTATACCTAAGAGTACGACAATAGCCGAAGTTAAAGACAGCGCGAAAGAAGCTACTCATAATGAAAAGGCTCTGCAAGCTGAAAAGGTAACTACAGAGCCTCCTAAAGAAAGTAAGGACTCGAATGAATCTGAAGCAAAGGAAACACCAGAAGTTAAAGATCAGCTGGTGATTGAATCTAAAGAGAAAGACCACTCAGCAGAGGAACAGGAAACAGTCAATGAAAACAAAGAAGTGGATTCAGTATCTACTGGATTGAAAGATGTGGAGTTATAAATTTCAAATTCTTTTATATATCAAGCCAAAAAAGAAAAAAAATATTCAACTTCTTGTCTTCATAATCCAAGCTCTTTATCAAATATATATCTCAATTTTTGTGTAACACATAAATTAATAGTTAACAAATAAAAAACAAACACCTCAGCGATAAGAATAGAGTTAAGGAAATGGACTCCTCCGGTTATTGGGATCATAATAGTACAAGAGATGTATCAGAAGAACTCCCAAATAACTCAAATTCCGTACATCTTCACAACACATCATCATTAATTGCCATTGCAACATCGCCGCAACATCAGGTTCAAACTCAAGGAATTATACCTGAAGGAGAATTAATAGATTCGATAGCATCTGCCTCTGCATCTGACAATAACTACCTAGTAAATGAAGATGGTGGCGAAAATCTTGAAGACTTGAGTACAAATATGGACTCGAATGTTACCTCAGCATTGGATCAGCCTACATTAGAACAAGTACAACGAGTTTATTATGCGAAAGGTCTAGATGAGTTGGAAAGTTTACAGTTACTTGACATATCACCTTTAGCGAATTGGAAATTGTCTTCTTTTAAGCAAGGATTTGGTTTAGCACAATTAAGAGATGATTCACCCGATAGTTTCTGGCAGTCCGATGGTAGCAATGGCACTAATAATACTTCGAACAATGCAATATCCAACAGCCAACTAAGTAATCCACATTCAATAACTATTCAATTTTCGAAAAAGGTAAGCATTGAAAGAATTTCAATATTTACAAACTTTTCATTGGATGAAAGCTATACTCCCTCAAAGATCAAAATTATGGCTGGAAGCTCCGATGGATGGGATTTAAGTGAGGTATGTACGGTGAATTTTAATAAACCTATAGGGTGGTCGCATATTATTTTTAACGGCATAAGAAATGATGGGGTATTAAAATGCTTCATAGTTAAAATCATAATTTTAGCAAATCATCAGGATGGAAAGGACTCGCATATCAGGGCAATAAGATGTTTTGGAAGAAGGTCCACTATATCTAAGCATCCCATTCGATCATCTCCTGGTTTTTTGCATGATAATAGATCAATCAACCTTTCAGGCTCAGGACTTCTGCTTGACGATATGGAAGAAATTGATACAGAAAATTCAAAAAGTGAAGTCATGGTTGACAAGGAAACAGATAAAGTGCTTGAGAATGTCACTGAAGTCCTTGGCTTCAATTCAGGATTCCAAAGTTTGGAGTTGAAAAGTACGTCTTCGATAAGGTGAAGTTGCTTTTACTACTATGAGTAAATGTAATATTTGATTAGCTATTGACTGTCTATTTTCAAGGAAAAATCAACAATGCCGCATCCTTGATGAACCGAAGAAGTAGAGTATATATCAATATCATTGCATAAAAAGTCACTGAGATTTTGTAAGGTTAATCCTCCGGAGCATTCTAAAAGAAACGATTTCAGCATGCCCCTGTAATGTTTCTTAAGAGACTGCGCAACAATTTGAAGTTCGGGGCCTTTAAAATTATCTAACATGATAACATCGGCCCCAGCATTAATAGCCTCTCGAGCATCGGCTTCGGAACTAACTTCAACTTCAACTTTGATTGCAAATCCACATACTTTTCTGGCACTTTCTACGGCATTAGTTATACTACCAGTGGAAGTTATATGATTATCCTTCAACATTACCATTGAGCTTAAATCAAATCTATGCGAATCAATTCCTCCTACAAGCATCGAGTACTTCTCTAGCTGCCTCAATCCAGGTGTAGTTTTCCTAGTACCTGCAATGATGCCACGATATCCGCATTCTCTTGCAAGCTTTTTCGTCTTGAAAGATTGTGTTGCAATACCGGATGACCTTGATAACAAATTCAACGCTGTTCTTTCGGCCAATAATATTTTGTTAGCTGGTCCTGTCACTGTTGCAATTACAATTTTACCTCCTCGCAAGACTATCTCTTCGCTTGTGACGTATGTACCTTCTCTAAAGTGCCACTGGACATCCAAATCGCATTGCTTGAAAACTTCGGACGCAAATGGTACTCCACATATCAATCCTTCTTGCTTCATGTAGAGAGATGCTGTTTCATCCTTGTTACCAACTACATAAGCACCAAAGTCGAAAGAGGGAACGTCCTCCGTTAAGTAGTCAGTGATGTTCTGCTTCCATTTACCACTCAGTGGTAATAAATTAGCGTAATCAGATGCCATAGTTCCTTCCAGTAAGAATATATATATATTCGAAAATTTTCGTCTCCACTCTTAAAACTTTGTAACGCGAAAGTGAATTTTAATGAGAGTATTTTAAATAGTATAAACTTCGACAACACTACTATATGAAAAGGGACATTTCCCAGTTATTATCACTGAATGGTCAACAAGTACTGTCAATAGGGAAACATGGTGTAAGAAAAGAGAGGAAAGTTCAAGCTTTATTGAAGTTTCCTTCAACATCCTTGATAACGACTGCAACAACATGCAAAACATGTGGAATGACTTATGTCCATAGTATTCACAAGGAGAAACAACTTCATGAAAAGTACCATGTTAACTTCATGAACGGTGTACCATGGACCACCTTAGAGACCGAAAAAGTAATTCAAATCGTTACAATTATGAAGGAAACGGTAAAACATACACACGTCTTTGACAAAGATACGGTTGGAGTAACCACAATGCAAGCGAAGATATTAATAATCGATAAGAAAAACAAAAAGCAGGTGAAAAAGACCGAAGAGCTAATTGACATGGTAAATCGAGAATTGAATGCCTCAGATGACTCTAAAGCGTGGAGAAAAGAGAATCTTGAGCTTGGTAAAGCATTTGTTATAATAATTGACGAAAGAGCTATTGGTATATGTACTACAGATCCCATTAAGGATGTCGAAAGACAGAGCAGGTGGTTGGTTCATAGAACACAAACCATTGTTCCAAATCAGATAAATAAGCTGATTCAAGTAGGTGTTTCAAGGATCTGGATAGCTCCACGATGGCGAAGATGTGGACTTGCAATTAAACTACTTGATGTGGTGCTAAAAAATTTAGTATATGGTATTGCTTTGAGTAGACGGAATATTGGGTTTAGTCAACCAAGTCATTTTGGAGGTCTATTGGCAAAAACGTTTTGTGGGGTTGAGCATAAGAGTGGTGAAACATTAATACCGATATACTTAGAAGAATAGTGACAAGCTATCTATTCAGTGATCAAAGTCTCGCCTCCAGTTACGTTAACGATATTTTCGACATAGCTGTACACGGATGCCGTCAATCCACCACTTACTGCAACCTTCAAATACCTTGGAAATGCACCTCGAAATAAGGATTTAAAGCCTTGATTCATAAACAACTTATAAGCTGTACTTAACGAGTCTTTATAAATGACTTTTCCGTTCTTCAGTTGTATATGTGTCTTAACAACATCAATTGGTTGAGTAGCAGCAATAACCGCAAATGATGATACCAAATGTAAGCCAATCAGCTGGATCGCGGTATGTTTACCCCCGAACCAGTTCACTTCTTTGCTACCACCTACTGGATCGATTAATTGACTAGTAGCATTATAACTCGATAGCCAAACAGAGGATATCGCCATTTGGCGAAATATTGTTACAAAACTACCAGCAAAAAAGCCCTGGGGTCCTTTCAATGAATATATTTCACGACATGTTCCGACCAATGACAACGAAGGGCTTTTGTTGTACTTACTTTTCAAAGAATCTTTCTTAGGTTGCTTTGAAGAATGAAACCTTGAAGGTTGTCGACCATAATACTGTGCAACAACTTCAGAAGTCCAATACGCATGAGGTGATACGTATTGCTTTTTGAAAATATTTTGGGAAGTCTTATGGTGTTTATTTGCAACACTTGTGCCGGTGATGTCATATATAGCATCCTTCTCCTTAGTTCTAATAAGTTCATTATGTAGAGTCATATTTTGAATCATAGCAATTTTTATATTTTCGAAAGGAATTATCCAAAGACTTTCTATAAGTCCACTCATTGCACCAGCAATGACGATCCTAGGTGCTGTCGTTTTTTGAACAAGTTTTCCATCCTTTACATGGGTTTCTATGGACATGAATTTTGACAGCCAGTTATACAGAATTAACCTAGCACAACTTTTCAAAACATTTCCTGTCACCAATGCACTGCTTCCTTTCATAATTTGACTTAGACTACTAGGAAAGTTTCCCGGAATATTATACCTGGTCATTTTCAGTGGATTATTCAACTGCTGCTGAGTCTTTATACAATCAAATGGATAGGTAAATGTAGATGTCACTGCTGCCGCAGTTGACCCAGATATCAAAGCTGTTAATAAGCTCTCTCCAGCTTGCAGCTGTGACATAATTATTGCTGTTGTATCGCTATTGCCCTACTCTTACTAGTAAAGGCTCTTTCGCTAGATAAAAGATTCATATTTTGTTCGCATTTTATATATTTTTAATGTTTACAGTATCAAACAAACAAAACACATAATTCAGTAAATGATTAGGATCTCTCTTATTCATGTTGACTAAAAAAGATATAGAAACCCATGGAGGACTGAATAATCATACATTTAGTGCAACAGAACCTTCCACTCCCAAATCTCGAGTAATAAACACGGATCAGAGGGTATCTTCTTCAGCAACCACTAAACCACGATATGCGAATGAAGTACATTTACCTCCCTTACAACTACCATTACTCACTAAGAAGCTATCACTTGGAGTGAGTAATTCATTACCAGGGTCATCTAGGAGACCCAAATCTAGACCAGGAAGCTCTCAGGGGAACAGAAGGTTCAGTGACATATTGACTCCAACTAGAAGTAGAAGTGATGCTAATGAAATAGGAAAAAATTTAAGACGACGATCTTCAATGATAAAGACAGCGACAGGGGAAGTTACATATGATCCCAATTACGTTGGACCTATTACCATCGACTACTTGAAGTTTTTTTGCCGAGTTTCTGTGAAGGAGAAGGAGCGCAATTCAGAGAATGAAGAGAATGGAGAGAGCAGCGACGAGAAAGCAGAACGAGCAACATACGTGGCCGAGGATGAGAAACATCTTTCAAGGAATGCATCTCCTCCAAATGAAAGACTCATTGATTTTGACCACTCATTACCACTTCCTTCTGAGGAGGATTACTTCAAATCACCACAGATAGCTGCCGAACAGTCTTTCCCGTCACTCGGTGTATCTAACAATGATCAACATTCATTAGCTAATGATCAGAAGAAAGATAAGACTAATCAAGGTTCTTATTTGGAGAGAATATTGCAGGCACGGAAAGAAAAAGCTAGGGCAGCTATCAACGAAGCACCTAAAACGGGCACAGTCTATCATGAAATAACGAATACTACAGAGGATACTGGCGGAGAAAAGGATGTTTTGTATGACGGTAATATACAACGAGAGACCCAAGAGGTAGATGAACTTTTTTATATGGAACAAGTTCCAGGCATTGACTCTGATCCCCTCACTAATGCTGACGTTGCTGACTCTAATCATAATAATCAAAACACCACAACTGATGAGCATAATCAAAGTCCTGCAATTGGTGGTAAATCTGGGGTTCCATCAACACAAATTGACACCTATAGTGAACAATTTGAAGAACTCCAACAAATCAATCAACCTTTTGAAAAAAATGATACCCATAATGAAAGTTTTCAAGAACCCGAACAAAGCCAACATCTTTTTGAAGAATTAGACAACATTCCGGATGTAATTGAAGAAGAGTTCACTTTACAGAATGCAGACTACGAAAGTTTTGGAGACAATCAAGAAGAAATGATGGATGAAGGTGATGAAATCAACCCGGAGCCTAATGACAATGCATATGTTTTAGATCTGAACTGGGAGTCATTCGCACCGCCAGTCTTAAAGGAAGAAACTAATCGATTTCTCCCAGAAACCACTCAGAATAACCCATTGCCATTAAATATGGTGAAGCGAGTTGTGAAAACACTTCGCTTATCCCTGGTGTCTAATGAACAGAAAGATCAACAAAATGCTTCAAAGAAAAAAGTGAAACAATATACCCCTGAGGTATATAATTTGATTCAAAAGTGCTCAGACGAACTTTTGCAGAACGTTGTATCAGATTTGGAAGCTTATTCCACCCATAGGACGAATGGAAAAGGAGGTTCAATCAACATTAAGGATACATTATTGTATTTGAGTAGAATTAAATTTGGAAGACAGAAACTGTTTCAACGAAGCACGGTAGATGAGGTTTCGATGATTGCTCAAGAATTCTTACCCCTAGAATTACTCATAGCTCTTAACAATGACTTAGATCCATTTAGCAAAAGCAAGATAAAGCACAATTTGGATTACGAATCCAGTGATCCTAGTGACTCGGACTCTGCTGGAGAAATTTCCCACAAAATCAGACGCTTACAAACTTTTAGTGATAGCGAGACTGAGTGATTTCTATTGTATCATATGTATATTAGTGACTATTTACATTTCCTGTCTTTTACAATTAGCCTTCTCTTTGTAATGCAAGTTCATTTTGATTACTCCGGACTAATTTAAAAAGCTCAAAAATTGCGGCCGGCGTGACTCCTTGTATCCTTCTAGCCTGACCTAAGGTTTTGGGTTGAATTGTGTTTAGTAAATGACAAGCCTCATAAGAAATCTTTAGATTTCCCTCGTTCGTATAATTGTAGTTTATGGGTAGAAGTAAGTTTTCATCTGCCTGGTATGCTCTTAAATGTGCTTCTTCCTTCTTAATCCAAGGATCATAAGTGCTTTCGATATTGATGCGTTTTATTAATCTTTCGCTAATATTATCATAAAATTCAGGCAACTTTTCGGTGTTAGTTAACTTATTGAGATGCGGAAGCAAAGAAGAAAGAGTTATTCCTTTGTATGACAATAGTTTCCAGCCATCAATAACAGCCAATTGTTTAACCGTCAGATCAGTATCTTCATAAACGGGAGCCCATCTTGATCCAGCAAGTGAGATTGACTTCAAATGCTGTTTTATCAGCTCAAGCCTATCGTTTTCTTCCGTGAATTTTGCAAACCTTTCTTCGCCGACAACACCTAATTCATAACCTTTCTTTGTCAATCTTTTATCTGCATTGTCTGACCTTATCGATATTCGAAATTCAGAACGAGATGTAAACATTCTATAAGGTTCTTCCACACCTTTAGTAATGAGATCATCGATGAGCACACCTATATATCCATCAGATCTAAGAAGCTCAAGAGGGGCTCTTTTCATAGAAGAGAGCCCGGCATTTATTCCAGCTATGCATCCCTGCGCTGCCGCTTCTTCGTAGCCCGTAGTCCCATTTATCTGACCAGCTAGGTATAAACCATTAACTAATTTTGTTTCTAAAGTCACCTTTAGCTCTCTTGGATCAATGTAATCGTATTCAACCCCATAACCAGGCTGAACCATTTTCACTTTTTCACATCCAGGAATCATCTTCACCATTTTTTCCTGAATATCCTCCGGCATGGTACAAGAAATTCCGTTAGGATAGACCAAGTCTGTATCCAATCCTTCTGGTTCTAGCCATATTAAATGTGACAATTTCTGAGGAAATTTAATAATCTTCGATTCTATAGAAGGACAATACCTCGGCCCCTTGACTGTTTCTCTTATATGAATTGATTTATCTAAGTTCTCAGCGATCAACCTATGGAAATCTGGAGTGGTTGCGGTAATGTAGCACTGCACCAAACTCTCTTGAAGTGAAACATTGTCATTACTATACGACATGGGTTCAGGCGGATAGTCAGATGGTTGTGGCTCCAAGTTTGAATAATCGATTGTTTTGGCAGATAACCTCGGTGGAGTTCCAGTCTTTAGTCGTCCAAGTCTAAATCCAGCCTCACGCAAAGTTTCAGATAAGCCATAAGTTGCATTCTCTCCTATTCTTCCTGACGGGAAGGCTTTTAAACCAATATGGATCTCACCACCCAAAAACGTCCCAGTCGTGACTACAACTTTTGAGCACTTAATTATATTCCCATCGCCAAGTATGACGCCTTTGACTTGACCATGTACTCTTCCTGATGTGTCCGTGTTTTCATCTGACCGTTCAATTATAATGTCTTCCACTTGGGCTTCAAGTACCGATAAATTTGGATAATTCAATATCTCTTGCTGCATTTCGCTCAAGTATATCTTCCTATCAATTTGAGCTCGAGGTCCATGCACAGCTGCGCCCTTCGATGCATTAAGGATTTTGAAGTGGATTCCTGCTTTGTCTGTTATTCTTGCTGCAACTCCATCTAAGGCATCAACCTCGCGTAGCAAAGTACCCTTTCCAACACCACCCATAGATGGGTTACAGGATGCCGTCCCTATTTTGTCAATATGGGGAGTGATTAATAAAGTCGTAGCCCCAGATCGTGCTGAGCCTGTGGCAGCTTCACAGCCGGCATGTCCTCCACCTATTACAACTACCGGATGCTCTTTCAATTCCAGTAACCTCTTTTTCAAGCCATCATCTAAAGTAAGACTTCTCTTTTGTAGAGGCTTAATTTGTGAATGAAATAGGGATTTAGAGCATCTTTTGACCGCTCTGAACATAGTTGCCTATAAGAGGGTAATTTTTGTCGTTACTGATTGTTTTATTTTTCACTGAGCTCATCGAGATATATATTTTTCAAACTATAAGAATTGACTAATTTAAAGGAAAGCATAAAAAGAGTACAAAATGATTCAAAAATCAACTGCTGTGGGAGGAGATGACTTGGATGATGGTTTGGAATATGAAATACAATACTCTGATGGAGAAACTGAACAGCCGAAGGTATTTTCGGAAGATGAAGACAAAATCACACCTTTAGAAAATGACCAGAAGGTAGAAGTCCTCGAAAATGAAGGAAAAAGAAAGAGAAACAAGCAAAAGCCTAGCTCTTTGCAAAACAAGAAGAAACAGAAAATGGAAATTGATGTTGAAAAGAAAAGAACACTTTCCAAAGAATCATCTACAGATTTAATTGCAGACGAAATCAACTCTAAAATTCGTCGAAGAGAACCTGATTTGTCAGCTTTAGAGTTATCGGAACGATACTTCAGTAAATCGGATTTTCGGTCTACATCAGATTTTATTGAAGAACCAAGAAACCTCGATAATTTGGCGAAATTTATAAATCTTAGGTTTAAGAATATGCTTGTACCAGATAAGAAGAAGAAGAAAAAGTCAAACGAAAAAAGGCCAGACTCAGAGAAGGTTGTAATTGAATCTGATCTGAATGAGAGAAGATTTATAACAATTCTTTCAATGTCAGCCATCAGAGTATGCGATACTTACCGTGTAACTCGTGAGCTTACTGGATCATCTATCAAATTGATTAATAAGAATAAACTATCTTCAGATTTATCTATTTTAAAAGATACAAAAGCTAGGATATTATGCTCTACTCCAGGTAGACTATCGAAAGTGCTCAACAGTGAAAATCTGACATTAAAAGGAAATGAAATAAAAATCATTATTGTGGACAGTACTTACTTAGACAAAAAATGTCAAAATGTTTGGGATTTAAAAGAAACTGCTGATGTTTTGAAAAATTTGACAAAAGGGGGCTCTAAGATATACTTATATTAGCATGTTTATCATTTATTGTACATTATTATTATTTTATAGATTAAAAAAAAGTCTCCTACTAAAAATTAATTCACCAGTAAGGGTAAGTACATATCTCTTGTAGAATTGTAATGTTCCGATACTCCTTTTAGTACTTCTCTTACTGTACTTTCTTCTAACGTACTTTCAAGATATGAGTTAATGCAATCTTTCAATTCTGATACATAAATATTGTTGATATCAGGCATTTCTGAACTAACAAAGTGTAATAGAAATATGAAATTTGTGAAAATTAATTTCAACGTTTTACTTTCCAACTTTGAATTGTCTACTATACTCCCAGTCTCGTTCTCAACTTCATCTGAAAACACTTGAGTGTCACCTGATTTTAATTCACTTGAATTTGTTATGGTTTTAAACTTTTCTAATATCCTTTGTACTAAGTTGTCTATAATCCACTTATTTTTAATTTCAATAAAGGCCGAATTAATACTTTTGTTTGTATATAAATTTTCAAAGTACAACTTTGGTGATTCAGTATCAAAAAATTCCTTAGTTAGATCAAAAAGGATAGAAGTGAGCTCCAAGGATGGTCGCATTGAAAAGTCTTCCACCGAAAAACTGTTGTCTCCAAACAGTCTTTGAACAAATGACTCAAAAGCTCCAGAAAATGATGAGTTTGGAGCTATTGTAAAAATTTGGTTGAAGATATCCGTAATAAACGTATCCAAAAGTTTGAGTGACTCTTCAGTATTACTTGAGAAAGTGTTGTGATTCATAGACAATACCTTTTCTTTTAACAAAGTCGCAACGTTCAATGAATAGCACAAAGTTGTTATGCTTTCTTCTTCTGTCGATTGGAATGACTCCTTTGTCTCTTTTATGAAACGTAGTAAAGAGACCCAGAACTTTTCATTCAAGATAACTGACAATTTCGAGAACTCATCTAAAATTGAATCTCTTGAAAAGCCTTGCAACTGGAAAGTTTCTAAAGAGCTGTCCTTAGAAGACGAGTGTTTCAAAAGATTGCCCAAGCAGTTTGTTGATGTTATACTTCTTGATTGTGCGTTAAAATTGATAATATGACAAAATTCAACATAGTCATTGAACCAAATATCGATTGCTTTACATAATGGATCTCCTGAAACGGAGTTCGATGATGAAGTAACCATTTTTAAATATTGATCTAAGTTTCTGTCGATCATTTCAATCATGTTATTCGAAAAGAGTTTATACCCCATAGAATTAATTTCCTTAACATTCAAAGGTACTGCTTCATGAACTTTTGATATAATCAGACCATTTGGATCCGAAATATGATCAAAATGAGATTCACAAATCCTTTTAGTCTCATTTACGACTTCAAAAAGTATTTTATTTAAAAATTCTCTCTCATTGAGGAGTGAAATCAAATGCAGAGTTGAATCGTTTGCTTGACAAACATGTGACAACCTGTTCAAACAAACAATAACGTTATGAAGTACAACATATGCTTTCGAGATATCATGCAAAGAACCAGTCCCAATGCTAATTAAATATTGAAAAGAATTGAACAATAAATCGAGAAAACCTTCCAATTCTTGTCTAGAAGATCCAAATTGTTTAACAATTTTGTAACTGTAAGGTTCTTGATCAAATATTATTATGTCTTCCCCTAACCATTCCTCAAAGCCTATAATTTCAGATGACTTGCTTGCTTCTGTAAGCGAAATTAAATTATTTATCAATTCACTACTCTCATTCTGGAAGTACGATGTCACATAGTCACAGGTATTCTCAACAAATCTAAAAACCTTGAAAAAATCAAGATTTATACTTTTCAATGAGAAGAATTTGCTCAAAATAGCTTTTAAATAGTTTAACCTCAAACGAATGAATTGGTCACTTACCTTATTAATATTGTTCATTTCTTCGTTATTCCTATTCAAAATGATATATGCCGTGAGGTAGTTTACTATTGGTAATTTGTTTTTGTTGAAGATAGAGATATGATCTTTGCTATAATCATCATCTGTACCGAGTTCCTCATCCGTGTCTTCGTCCATATAGTCATTACCTTCCTCCTCAGCGAGATCGTAATTCCAGTCACTTTCTATGATATCGGAGTCGCTAATTATATCTTTAGATAGAAGTCTCTGACTCGTTCTGAAGTAATCACTATTGTTAGAATACGTGGCATTTTTTGACACGTTATACCTTGCCATTTCAAATTCCAAATATTTTAAAAAATTATTTTTAAATGATAAAAATTTCTTATTCGTTGCAGGATTCGATTTTAGCAAGCCTTTGAATGTTATCTCTGTAGTATAATATATTTTTGCATAGTATACCAACATTGAGGTTCTCTTTAGCGGACTTTCCAAATCAGACGAAAGTTTCAAATCAAATTTCAACAAACAGCCATTTAAAATATTGTTCAAAATTGTGATTTTTTCCTTATTCTTGACTTCAGCTGCATTATGGGACCTGACAGTCTCGTTGAATTTCGAATAACCGTCTAATTTATCAAACTTCACAAAGTCTGTTCTTTCGTATGAGAGCTCTGACAACTTGCCATGAAGGCTTTGATTTGTCTGATACATTCCATCGATTTCCTCTGCTATTTTTATGAGATCCCTATATTTCAAACCTACCAAATGGTGTAAGTTTTCTTGACTCAAAGAAACCTTTGATCTATACTCATGTTTCAATTTGCGTATATTGGAAATTGGCAACTTTCTAAATATGTCATCAACCAGATTTAGTGATTCATTAGCATTCCAATCATCAATTCCGCTTGCAACTCCACTCATTTTGGGAAACTTCGAATTTGACTATTTTGATTTTGCTTTAAAGAAGTTGTGTGAAAGTAAACTATTGTATTTCGATACTGAGTCCTATATAAACTGCAAAATACAAACTGTAATATACCCACACAAGACCCCACAACCTTCAGCTGGCCGTTTACACCCCAAATTTTACAAACTTCGACCGATATACTTTCGTATTTTCTACTAATTTACTCATATTCAATCTCATAATTCATAAGGCATATATAAGGTTAGACAGTCAAGCTTTGCTCATTGCTAAACTTCAAACATAAAAAAGTGGCCGAAATCGGAGCTCGAATTAGTGAAAAGTTCACAATTCCGAGACCACCATTTCTACTTTGAGCAGAGTGATTGAAGAAAACAAAAACTAAAAGACTCTGTAGTTTGCAACCTCAACGCAGTTATTTCTTAAATTAAATCGAAGCTGTCTTAATAAACATTTAGATAGGGATTAGTTTATCATCTGGGTCCACAGCAGATATATTCGTCGAAAATTATCAACTTTTTAAATAAGAAGAGAGTTATTTATTGACAGAAGTCAACGAGCTTGAAGTTTAAGGAAAAACGGTAGCACAGATCAAGACTCCGTGAAACTGCTACTTTCAAAGAGGAAAAGCATACTCACAGAAAATTTAACATACAGATGACTTCGTTACATAATCCTGTTGGAGAGGCATCGAGTACATATCAGGAACCAGCTGGGGCATCTAGCTACTATAGTGTACCGCACCTGCACCAGCCAATGATGGATAATTCTATAGCGAGCTCAAATCAAGCTACTCCTTATTATGAGCAGCGACAAATTAATGACAATCAGTCTTCTGTCACACCTAATCAAGGCTACTACAACGATCAGCCAACATATGAATCACATCAACAAAGTCCAGCGAACGATGTGCAGCAGTCTTCAACTACTGAGCAGCCATTTTACGTCAACGCAAAACAATATCATCGTATCTTGAAAAGACGTATAGCGAGGGCAAAGTTAGAAGAGAATTTAAAAATAGCTAGAACCAGAAAACCATACTTACACGAATCAAGGCATAAGCATGCAATGAGAAGGCCAAGAGGTCAAGGTGGTAGGTTCTTGACGGCAGCTGAGATCGCAGAAAAGGAAAGACAGGAAAAGTTGAAAGAGCTCGAGGATAAAAAAAATGAAGAAACGAATTCTAAGGACCCAAACTTGAATGACGAAGAACAGACAACAATAAATGATAAATCTTATGCTATCAAGAGTGAGCAGAAGGATTCAAGTAGCTTTGATCGCGGGCCCAATAATGGTGAGGATGATTCCATTTTTCAAAATTTGATTAATGAAACAGGGAATAATGAAGATTGATTATTAAGTAGGTATCCTTTTACTTCTTTTATGTGTTTGACCTATCTTTAAATGAATTCTAAATCTATTACAGTTCAATCTGTATACTTTGAATATATGTAGAATAGTGATCTTTATTTAGATAAAAATTGAAATCTCTAGTTCCATGAGAGTTATAAACCTATTGTTTTCAAGACTTGCTGACTCTCGCTGCTTATATGACTGAGAGCTTCCATATTATTTAATTTTTTGATATTTGATACCACACCTAGCTTGATCGCATCTTGATCATTATTCTTTATATTAGGTAATGGGTCAAATGGTTTGACTTGAATCGAAATAATCTTGGAGTAACTGGATCCGAATGCTGCACTTTCAAAGTCTACATCACTGCCATTAAAATTATTACCTGTAACCAATTCAGATTTACCCAAGCCCCCCAAAGTTGCAATATTGATGCATAGCTGCTCTAAGGTGGGAACCATTAAACTTGTATAACTGCCTTGAGTAAAATGTTGTGAAAGTAACAACTCAGAAAGTCCTAGCACTGATATCTTTTTATCCTGAAGGTTGGCTAAACTACTCGTCGTTGGTAGAATAAAGCTATTGAAAATTTGGGGAAATACGCCCTGTTGGACGGAATCTATGAAATTAATCGCAAAATCAGCATTCAATTCAGGTGTTATCGTCAGATTTAAAGGCAGGCAACAGATGAAACAAATAAATACAACAAACCTTTTAACATACTTTTCAGTTCTGGAATTTTTCAACCTTGTTAAAAGAAGTAGAGCTATTTGGTTCAAATATGTCTGTAAACTCACAAGTGGTATAGCCATCAATATGGATTGCAACAAGTCGAACCCATGTGAGTCATGAGCTTTAGACGCGATAAGTTTTTGGAAAACTCCTAGCAAAGGTGTTAGTCCTTGCTCACTATTCACAAAGACAGCTGGCTCCTGTTCCAATATAGCTATTAATAGCCTTGTTACTGCAGGGACGTTTCCACGAAACTCCCAAATTGCAGGAGATAATAGAGGCTTGATTAATTGCTGATAACTTAAAGGTAATGGTTGGGAATTCGGATATAATTCCAACATGAACGCCATTATTTGAAAGGTATAGGGAACAAATTCTTGAACATCTTCGTTTAATATATCTAGCAAGTTGGGTAAAAAATTATCAATATACTTTGAAATCCTTTGTTTATCGTCATTGCCATACTTGATTATCAAACCCAATGACTCAAATATATAGTGAGAGAACTTGGGATTCGAAGGATTTCTCGATATTATCTTCAAAATCCGAAGCAACTGTGAAGCAATTGCAAACTTGAATGACTCTTCAATCAGATCTTCAACGGTCGTCAAAACCCTCATGACACATTTCATAAGAAATTCATTTTCAGCTAGCTTTTCTGGAGATTGTTCTTTAGACAATATAAGCAGAAAAAGACTATTCAAAAGCTCTTGCACATATGGTTTAATATCTGATTTCAGAAAAACTGCTTGATGATCATTAAAATTTGTCATTGAGAATAGTTTCTCTATAGTAATTGCTGAATATGTGTATACGACTTGATTCTCATCTTGAAGATGCTGAATTAAAAGCGGAATCGTAGTTATAAGTTGCTCTTTTGTTAATTGGTTCCGAAAACTGAGGATGTACTTGATTGCATCTGCTCTTAAAATAGGATGAGTTGCTTGATTTTCGACCAAGTAACTAGCAATATTTTCACTAAAGAATTTTACAACATCAACCAAAACATTTGTCGAGGTAACACCACTGTTCGTCACTGTTCCTTTAGCTGCCAACGAGCTGAAAAGATAGATGGCCATATTCTTATTCCTCCAATCAGCATGTGATAAGAACGATTCAACATAGCTCATTACGATATTCGTAAGAAGTTCGGTATTCACCTCTTTCAATTCTCTTAAAAAGTCGGTTGCCGATTTTCTCCTCGAATCAAAATCGGATCCTTCCAAATCAGACCTCACGAAATTAATTGGGTCATCTTCAAATAGCTCTTCGTCTACTTCTCTAAAGTAAATATTTGGAAGTATAATTTTTTCGGTAATTTGTTTGAGTGAGTCTTCATTTTTAAATAAAGGTTGATATTTCAGCATCTTGGTAACTGAGGTAAGAAACCCTAGAGCCTTCACAACCAAAAGATCGAACTTTTGTTGTTTGGTAACATAATCGTTTATCAATTTCCAAACTGACATAATGAAGTTTTCGATAAGGGGATCAAAGACATCAGCATATCTTGTAACATATAATGAGATCAATTCCAAAATTGATGTTTTTATTTTAATCAAGACATCAATTTCGTCATCTTCTTCTGGGTCCGTAATTAACGGACTCTCAAATATCAAATATTTATGTATCAATTCCATACCATTCATCATATTATCTTCAAAAAATTCAGGGATATCCTGACAGTTCAAATCATAGTATATTTGAACTAATGAAAGCAAATTATCAAAATAAATTGTTAATGAAGCTTTGTTGTTTAAGTTTTCTTGGATGAGCTGGTCAGTTCTATTCAATAATGCTAAAAATGGTTGAGCAAATTTGTCCAAAACAAGTTTTATCTCTAAAAATAGTTCATCAGATCTAAATAATGGTCTCCATTTTTTAAAGATAGAATGTGCAACTATCAACAAACCTTTATTAGAAACAAAATCATCCAACGATAACTTCGATACCAAGTCATCAATTAAATTGCCCCAGTTATGCGGAAAGTCACTCTCAGCAATGATTGAAATTGATTCACCGATCTGTATTTGCAATTGACTAGGAAGTTTCATCATTAGATCAAGAATTTGAAGTTTGACTTGATTAACGTCATTAATAGGTAATAAATAGTTTCCATCTTCATCAATCCATTTTCTTTTAATTAAATTCTTGAAAAACAATGCTCCTGCCAATCTAGTTGATGGTTCTATATTCGTTGATGCAATGACATGTAACAAGTCGATAGAAAAGCCTGGCTGACTTTCCATAGATCTAAGTAATGATTCTGCCTGCTTCGCATGTTGTGGCAAAATAGATTGTTCCAAGTATTTTGGGATTAACTCTAAATTGTTATCTGTCATTCTGCTATGACCTAACGAGAAGTTATGGGAACTAACCAGTATACTTGAAATTCACAGAACCGCTCTACGTGATGTTTTGAAAAAAAAAAAATAAAGATACGATGTCAGCTTTGTGCAACTTCTTCTGAGTACTGTCCAACAGTGATATAAACCACCAAAATTCTAAGTATATAAAGACAAATCGAGTCTAACAATTGAGAATGTAGTAAGCTTTATTCAAGTCTTAAATAAAAATTATAATAAGGAAAGCAGTAGATATGAAACACCTATAATCTCTATATTCTTACTTATTTTGATTATTGAATACACCAGTCACAACATATGTGAGCATCCAATATCTTGACAAGAGCACTTATTTTGAAGATGTTGGAAGTTGTTGTGAATTTTCTTTTTGCTGTTTTTGTTTGGAAACAGTGTAAACTAATCCAGCCGCAAAACCAACGAAAATTGATGAAATCGACCAAAAGTTCTTGGGAGCATCAAAAAAGATCAATCCAGACAAAGCAATTGGCAATTTGTTTAAGGCACCAACCATTGAATAGGTTGTTGAAGATGTCACTCTAACACACCAAGCTGAACAATATGAAATAGCTACAGACGATGCACCAGAAAAGATCATCGAAATGATTGTCTTATTTCTGGTTTCCGGGGGGAAAGTTGCTGCTAAGTTGGCAGGAGACCAATCTTCAACAGCAAAGGTGAGGATCAACAATATTGGAATGGATAATAAATTATTGTAGTACATGGTATCAAAATCCTTGAAATTAGTCAACTTTATTCTCTTTCTCATGATCAAAACAAAAGCAGCAGAAGCAAAACAGTTGGCGAACATCCAGAAGTAGCCTAAGAAAAACTCTGCGTCATTATCAACCACACCTGTAGCAGAACTGGAGTTTGCTGCACTAGAGTCACCGTAACATGCGATCACTGAAGACAATACCATGAGCAAAAATGATCCCAAAGCCATGGACGTGACTTTACCGCCAAACCATAACACTTCTCCATAAGCAATCAAGATGATGGTCAAGTTCTTGAAGATAGTATAAACCGGGATAGCTAAATACTGCAAAGCCTTGGACGATGTGTAAATCATAGCAACCAACAAAAACGCAATTGGAGACCATTTCTTTGCCTCATCCTTGTTAAACTGTCTATATGTAATAACACCAAATGCCTTGAGAGTTCCGATGGTCACAATACAAACGATCGACTGAACAGCCAACATTAAAAAGTTAAGTTTGAAATCTTTTGACAACACATATTTGTTTGTCACTGTCATCAAAATAGAAGATATACAGTAAGATACAATAGATATGGGTGGTGAGTTTACCAACGAACCCGCTGAGCTTGCTGCGTAAGACGATTTCTCCATTCCTTTCAACTTCCTTTGTGCTAGATAGATCACTTGTCCGATTAAATAAATCAGTAATAATCCCATTCAACGGAGCGAAAAGTAAACTTTTCTTTATATTTTCTCACTGAGACTGAGGAACAGGAACAGCAAAACACCAGCGATAACTGCACTGAGACAATCTCGCAAACCATCACTCGTGTTTTGTGTAACGATTTGTTGCATTCATTCTTTGTCTACTTGCATTGTGCCCCCAATCCCACTGCTCGGATTAGCTATGGGCAGGCGGAGCACACGGTCGTCGGTAATTTTACCCGGCGCAGAGCCTAACGGCTCTCAGGCACCGTCAACAGGGAGATTAATCCGACTACGAAATGTTAGCGCCTTACTGAGGTCCGGTGGTGCGGACTCGGAGCCATAACGCGACTGGTGTATTAAGACTAAATTTAATTATACTATTTTTAATTACTTTTCATAGTCACCTCTATTGTATATGCTGATGTCGACCTCTGCCTTGACATCGATGACGTCGGCTGCATCGATGCATGCGTCCACACTGAGACCTTTTAAAGATCTGTCTCTAAGGCGCTGATTCTGTGCTCTAATCTTTTCGAGCTCCTGGAGATAGTTGTCTTCAACTCCGGTAATGTAGTCCCCAGTGAAAACACCAACTTCAAAGTGAGTGACCTTATCGCTCTTGCAACAGTCAATTAAATCATCAAGCTCCTGGTAGAAGACCTCATCGGCACCAATGACCCTGGCGATTTCCTTTTCATCTCTGTTGAACCCTACTAGAGCCTTGGTATCAGCAAGATCAATACCGTAAATATGATTGAATCTAATTGGTGGGGCGCAAGAGGCAAAGTAGACTTTTTTTGCTCCAGCCTCTCTTGCCATGGCTACAATTTCCTTCGAAGTTGTACCTCTAACAATGGAATCATCAATAAGCAAGACACTGCGGTCCTTGAATTCAGACTCCATCGCATTCAATTTTCTTCTGACAGATGATCTTCTTTCTTGCTGATCTGGCATGATGAAAGTTCTTCCAATATATCTATTTTTGACAAAACCTTCACGATAGGGCAACTTCATAGTAACTGCACACTGGATTGCAGAAGTACGCGAGGTATCAGGAACCGGTATTATAACGTCAATGTCTTTAACGTCTATGGATCGTGTAATTTTCTTTGCTAGTTTCTCTCCCATATCAATTCTTGATCTGTAAACAGACACCCCATCCAATACTGAATCTGGACGAGCAAAGTACACATACTCAAATATATCTGGGGCAAACACATTTGGTTCGACTACTTGACAAAACTCGGGTTCTTGACCAGTTGAAGAATTTTTTGGTATTATTACAACCTCTCCCGGGTTTATATCCCTGAATTTCTTGAACCCATGAGCAACTAAGACTACCGACTCAGATGCTAGCATGTAATCTTTTTTACCATCAGGTTTGACCCTTTCTCCAAATAATAACGGCCTGATACCATTAGGATCACGAAACCCGATTATTCCAAAACCTGCAAGCATAGCGACACATGCATATGCACCTCTGACCATTTCCATGGTACCTTTGATTGCGGCAAAAACATCTTGGTTGTTGACTCTTGACTTATTGAACTCCTCCAACTTCGACGCAAAAATATTTAACAACAATTCTGAATCAGAATCAGTATTGATATGACGGTGAACAACTTCATCCAAATACTTTCTCAAGTCGAGTGAATTCACTAAGTTACCATTGTGACTTAAAGCTATTCCGTAAGGTGAATTGACATAAAAGGGTTGTGCCTCACTACCTGCTGAAGACCCAGCAGTTGGGTAGCGCAAGTGGGTGATACCCATATTACCAACTAAGTTCATCATTCTTCCTTGAGTAAACACATCCCTTGCCATTCCATTACCTTTACATTGATAAAACCTTCCTTTAGATCCACATGTTACCATACCAGCTGCATCCTGGCCACGATGCTGGAGATACATCGCACCTTCAAACAACTCAGGAGCTGCATTTTTAGTTGGATCATCTAGTACTACTCCTAGTATTCCACACATGTAGCGACAAAATTTAATAGAATTTTATACTTTCCCGGTTAAAGATTTGCGTGAGAACAAATTTTAATCTTCCAAATGATTAATTTAATAACAAAAACCTGGAAGCTGTAAATAAGTTACGATTCACTTTTCAAAATCAAAGCGAGGACTATTACAATTTTATCTCCTTTGAAATTTATTACTTTCTGTTACTTTAAAAATTTTCAACTGGTAAAAGATGAGATACCAGATATTCTCCTGTATATAACTGAAAACTCATTTTTTATCAAATATAAACGTTTGAATCTACATCAGTATGTGAAAAAAAAAAAAAAAAAATTAAATTGAATAAAATTAAGTATTGGCTGTACGTAATGGAAAGTTTTATAAGCTTCTAGTAAACAACCAGGTAATAATGGTAAAGATAAAATCTTTTGAAGTTAGCACGCCGTATTAATTTCAAATGATGAACAGAAGTTAATAAAAATCTATAATATAAGAACCAGAGAAGACCCTAACAAGGGGATTCCATCATGAACATTTTATTTTAGCCGCCTTGACTTCGTAAATCGTAAGTGTCCGAGAGCGATCCCCAAGACAATAAAAGAGGCATCTATTACTGGAAATCACAAACCTGATTGAAAACCTTAAGCTTCAATAGAATAACAGTTTTCTTTTTTTCTTTTTCTTCTTTTTTTTTTCTTCTTTTTTGATATAATATTTGAAGACTCCTTATATAGGATCTTAGTTAAAACAAGTATAAAAACAAAATGGTCTCAATATCATAATTTATGAAAGTTCACTGGTATGGTTGTGGCTGCTGATATTGGCCATTGAACGATTGCGGATATCCATTAAATTGCGGTGGGTATTGTTGTTGGAATTGCGGCGGGTAGCCGTTGAAGTGAGGTGGCACTCCTGGAGCCGGTTGCTGCTGAGCTGGTACTTGAGGCAATTGATGAGACGGCGCTTGCGAAGTTACTTGTTGTTGACTTGGTTGCGAGCTCACTTCAGGTTGGCCCTTATAGTGATAACCTTTTTTGTGAATAGTCTCATTTCCTTTGGGTAACTCGTCAATTCTGAAGGGTCTAGGCACTGCATCTTCATTTTCCGCAACATACAATGACTTGTCTATAGTGGCAGGAATGGGCTTGATCTCGGTACCCAATTCTTGTTCAATCTTATACAAAGAATAACGATCATTCCAGCTCATCAAATTAATAGCCAAACCCAAATGCCCAAACCTACCAGAACGACCAATTCTATGTAAATATGTTTCGGCTGTCTTGGGAAAGTCAAAATTAATGACGACGTTCACGGCTTGTATATCAATACCTCTAGTCAACAAATCAGAACAAACCAAATTACGCACTTTACCTTGTCTAAATTCATGAAAGACTTTGTTTCTTGCTTGCTGAGGCATTTTAGCATGGGAGTAATAACAAGAGTATCCTAATTCAGTGATCTTTTTTGCTAGCAATTCTACTCTATTAGTAGAATTACAAAATATTATAGATTGGTTAATTTGCAATTTGCTGAACAAGGTATTCAAGCAGTGTAACTTTTGTTTCTCTTCCACAAAGGCATAAAATTGAGAGATACCTCTAAGGGTAAGCTCATCCATCAAGTTAATTTCATACGGCTTAGTTAAATGCTTATCCATAAAAGCTTTCACTGCTAAAGGAAAAGTTGCTGAAAACAATAAAGATTGTCTATTCTTAGGAAAGAAAACTAAAATCTGTTCAATAATACTCTTGAATTCCCTTGACAACATCTTATCAGCTTCATCCATGACAAACATTGGGCATTCTGACAAATCTGCAACTTTTCTAGAAGCTAAATCTAAGATTCTTCCAGGAGTGCCAACTAATACGTGTACAGGTTCGTTCAACCTCATGATATCATCTCTCAAAGATGTCCCACCAGTGGTAACCATGCACTGAATACCTAAGTGCTTTCCTAAAGTCCTAACAACTTGGGAAGTTTGTAACGCCAACTCTCTTGTTGGAACCAAGATAAGAGCCTGAATTTTATTGATCTTAGGTTTAATTTGTTGTAAAGATGGAATGACGAAAGAAGCAGTCTTACCTGTTCCATTTTTTGCTCTTGCTAAGATATCTCTTCCAGTTAAAGCCATTGGAATTGATTCTTCTTGAATGGGAGAAGGTTTTTCAAATCCAGCCTCAAATATGCCCATAAGCAACTCTCTCTTTAAGTTGAAATCTTCAAAGGATTTTCCCTTTGTCTTCAAAACATCTTCTGTTTGGGGTCTGGTATCCTTTTTAGGAAGGTTCAACTCTTCTTTCCAATTACTGATAAATGTTAGTAGCAAATTCAACCTAACCTCAAGCCAAAATATAAGTTTGTACATACATGTCAGACATTACAGTTCTCTAATTAGTCTTTCGTTTTTCTCTACTATTTCTTTAAAACGCTTGTTTTACAAAATGCATCTAACAATTAAATTTCAAAATAATGCGTTCTGAAATACTTTCACCTTTATGTCTTTTGCTATATATTTGAGTTCTTACGTTAGTTAAGTTATCGATATCGAAAGTAGCTTTACGACTTTCGAAAAAATTTCGTGCGTTCGGTAACATACACGCCCCAAGCCCCAATTACATTAGCTCTAAGATTCAGAAGAGAGAACAGAAGATCAGACATTTAGAGAAATATGAAAAAGAACAGAAAGGAATAGAATGAAGCTGGGAAAGAGAAATCAATAGAAAGTGGCGAAAAGTGATCAATATAGTCAGCTAAATAACAATTTCACTCAGATCGAACACTATAACTCTTGATTCAGTTCTTATCTTTAGTTTTAAATTTTCAATCTCTTACCTGACGATAAGAAAAAGATGGTGCTAGACTCAGGTGATACATTTATCAAAGAGTGGTCAGCATTTCATCTGTAGATATGAAGTATCCCTGCTTATTTCGCTGTGACATAGAGAAAATAAGTAGTCCCAGTTGTTTGATCCAAATTCAAGGGCATATGAACTAATCGAGTGTAGTATTTAGTTCAAGTAAAAAGAATCAAATCAAATATACAATCTCGGGTTGTAGCTTAAAGAATCAATTGAATTCTTGATTGATATTTAGAGGTTAAAATAATATAAATTGGGTTCTGCACTTAGAGGCTCATCAAATCCTACACATCAGATTGGCTTTTTTTTTTTTAAGATTTTGCTGCAGACCTACAATACACCTAATTCAGAGACACAATCTCGAAGGAAATGAAGTTATCCGCCGAGGGAATCAATGAAATCCAAAAAGATGCCACGAGAATAAGAAATATTTGTATTTTGGCTCATGTGGATCATGGTAAAACTTCTTTGAGTGACTCTCTTCTTGCCACCAATGGAATTATATCTCAGAGAATGGCAGGCAAGGTCAGATATTTGGATTCAAGAGAAGATGAGCAAACTCGTGGAATTACTATGGAGGCATCTGCCATATCATTGTACTTTAAAGTATTGAGGAGGCAAAAAGAATCTGAAGATACCGAAACTAAAGAGTATTTAGTTAACTTAATTGATTCGCCAGGTCACATCGACTTCTCATCTGAAGTTTCCACTGCTTCTAGGCTTTGTGATGGTGCGGTGGTTTTGGTAGATGTTGTCGAAGGAGTATGTTCGCAAACCGTTAACGTTTTAAGGCAGTGTTGGGTTGATAAACTAAAGCCCCTCTTGGTTCTCAACAAGATTGATAGATTAATAACAGAGTGGAAATTGACTCCAGCAGAGGCATATGAACATTTAAGAAGGATAATAGAGCAAGTCAATTCTGTTATTGGCTTATTTTATTCTGGAGAAAGAATGGAAGATGATATGATATGGAGAGAGAAAGGAGAGCTCGACGAGTTTGTAGAAAAGGATGACGAGGACATTTATTTTAATCCTGAAAAGAATAACGTGATATTTGCTTCTGCAGTTGATGGCTGGGCATTTTCTGTAAACACATTTGCCAGGATATACCTGACTAAGTTAGGTTTTTCCCAAACTGTGTTATCTAAAACTTTATGGGGAGACTTCTATCTAGATATGAAAAACAAAAAGATAATTCCTGGGAACAAACTCAAAGCTGGAAGCTCTCTGAAGCATCTTTTTGTCACTCTCATTTTAGAGCAAATATGGTCCGTGTATCAATATTGTATATTGGAAAGGGATCAAACGAAGTTGGAAAAGATTATAACTAAGTTGGGATCTAAGGTGAGCTCAAGAGACTTAAGGTCAAAAGATCACAAAAATCTTTTGAACTCGATTATGTCTCAGTGGATTCCATTGAGCCATGCAGTTCTAGGGGCAGTCATCGATTATCTTCCTGATCCGAGGGCTGCGCAGCTGGAGAGAATAGATAAAATTTTAGATCAATGTTATTTTGATCTTATAGAGGATAAGGAAAAAGAGACACTTTTGAATTCTTCATTAATTGATTCTCTAAGATACTGTAAATCGGCGAGTCCGGATTTAAATACCGTTGCGTATGTTTCTAAACTAATCTCAATACCTGCTGACGAGCTACCAAAAGATGCAGGTAAAGGAAGTGTACTAACTCAGGAGGAATTAATAGAAAGAGGAAAAATCGCTAGAGAATTGGCTAGAAAAGCGTCTCAAATCACGGCTGACTCATTAAATTCAAATGATGAATTAGCAAATCCTCCTTCTAGTAGCAATCCCTTTCAATTTGAATATGAGGAGGACTTTGAGGATGATGATGATGATGATGACGATAAAGAGAATGTGGATGACACAAATAATGAGGTTTTGGTTGCATTCACTAGGGTTTATTCAGGATCCTTATCGCGTGGGCAAAAAATTACAGTCGTAGGCCCAAAATACAATTCATCATTACCCAAAGATGACCCTACTAACGAGCAGCAAGTTTTCCATGATATTGAAATTCAAGATTTGTTTGTTATTATGGGAAGGGATCTTTTGAGAGTAGATTATGTTCCAGCAGGAAATATAATAGGTGTTGTTGGGTTAGAAAAAGTTGTGCTTAAGAATGCGACGTTATATTCTGAAAGGGATGTTGAAATGCCCTACATAAATTTTTCCTCGGCTTCTACGTTAATCCATAACAAACCTATCATGAAGATTGCTATTGAACCTAATAACCCAATTAAATTAAGTAAATTGGAAAAAGGTCTCGACTTGCTTGCAAGAGCTGATCCAGTTTTTGAGTGGTATGTCGATGATGAATCGGGGGAGTTGATTGTATGTGTCGCAGGAGAGCTCCATTTAGAAAGATGCCTTAAGGATTTACAAGAAAGATTTGCTAAAGGCTGTGACGTGGTTGTTAAAGAACCCGTTATCCCATTCAGAGAAGGTATCGCAAATGATAAGGTTGAAAATAGTAGCATTGCTAATCTGGATCCATTACATGAAGGAATTGATGTGGATATAGATGTAGTACCTTTACCAGAAGAAGTTGTTCGGTTCCTAATTGATAATGAGAGCACTATTTCCTCCATAGCAGATTCTAGACGAGAGCTGCCATCTGAATTGGTGTCTTTAAAGGAAAGTTTAGTAAGAGTATTGAAGGCCAGCGAATTTAAGTTCAACTTTAAGGATCTGGAGCATCTTGTCAATAAGATTATAGCTTTTGGACCAAAGAGATATGGACCAAATATTTTTGTTGAAAGCGATGATCTTAATCTCTTTAAATGCATCTTTGATGATAAAAAGCATGAGAGAAAATTTGAATACGAAACAAGCATAATAAATGGCTTCCAGCTTGCAACAAACGAGGGGCCCTTAGCATCTGAACCTCTTCAGGGAGTATTGGTGATATTAAAGTCCTGTGAAACATCAGATAGTAATGCAATCGACAAGTCAAATAATTTTTCAGGTCGATTGATGACTTATACTCGGGACCTCATACACAAAGTTTTCCTAAGAAAATCTCCTCGTTTCTTGTTGGCAATGTACACTTGTGAAATTCAAGCCTCCTCAGAGGTTTTGGGTAAAGTTTATGCCGTTGTACAAAGAAGAGGTGGCTCCATTATTTCAGAAGAAATGAAAGAAGGAACTCCTTTCTTTACGGTAGAAGCTAGGATCCCTGTTGTTGAGGCATTTGGATTTTCGGAGGATATTAGGAAGAAGACTTCAGGAGCAGCTTCGCCGCAATTGATCTTCGACGGTTTTGATGTATTAAATATTGATCCATTTTGGGTTCCTCATACTGAAGAAGAACTTGAAGAGTTGGGAGAATTTGCCGAGCGTGAAAATATTGCACGCCGCTATATGAATACCATAAGGAGACGTAAAGGGTTGTTCGTGGACGAGAAAATTATCAGTAACGCTGAGAAGCAAAGGACATTGAAGAAAGATTAGTAACTATTATTTAGATTTTTATCTCATCAATATTTACTTTTGTGTAATATAAATATATCAATAATTTTGATGCTTCATATCAATAGTTAAAATCTCCAGTAGATAGTAAGAATTAATGGTCTAAAACAAAGAACTTTTCATTTAGTGTGTTTTTGAGAATCCTGTATCAGCAGTCTTGATGGATCACTAGATCCTATAAATACCATGACCACACCGATTCCATTGGACAAAACTTCATCGGACTTACCCAAAAGACTCATCAGTAAGGTTTCAAAGAATTATGAGAGGTGGCTGCAGCATATTAACGATCAGTTTGAACGTGACGAAAGAACTAAAGGTTCTAGAGACAAAAATTTGACCCAAGGAAAGATATCGGAACCCATATTTGATTACAGCTTGCTCGAAGAATTAGAGAAAGCGTCTAATGAGTTCAGCAATAAACTTGACTTGTTAAAAAAATTAGATCCAGAAAAGGTACTGCCTTCTAATTCATCTAAGAATTTGGCTCCAGATAAGACGAATATAGTGAGTCTGAAACATAAAAAAGCTCATCATTTTTCGGACAAAACGTTGAATCACTTTGAGATTGAAATTCTACGCGACAAGATTTATGACATGATTAAATCTGAAAACTTGGGAGATAATCCGGTACAGCGCTACTCAACAGAAGATGGTTTTTCGTTGTATGGAACCAAAGACGAAGAAGGTTTGTATCACGAAAACGCCAATTCATGTTCTGATAATGACAATGATGATAATGAAGTGGAGCCTCATTTAGGCGATAGATGCCCCATATTTCCAAACTCGCAGCATCACATTGAATTAGAACTCAGTTCCTGTGCTTGCTGTGACCATTCTGATTCTGATCATGGAAGTGCTCATTATGGAGACGATAATGATGCCATAGAAGGAAATGGGCCATCCTGCGATTTCACATTCGAGTATGATCATAAAGGTAACCTAATTTCCTCATATGACAACGTGGAAAAGAACCTTCGCTTGTTAAATATAGCCTCGAATAATGAAAAGAGTGCCAAAGCCGAACACTCGACACCTGTTCAAATGAGGAAACCCATAGATCAAGGCTTACGGAGAAGCGATAGGAAGAATAAAAATAAGAAGAAAGACAAGATAGAATCTAAGTCTTATTCAGGTTTGTTTCAACCATGTTGTTTGTTCTGCGAATACGAAGCCATTTTTGGAAGCAAACCTCGTCAGTTGATCAAGATTTACGATGCAAAGATCAAGAAGGAACAAAAGAGAAGAAATGAGTTCAAAATGAAGCTTGATCATTCTAAACGGAAAGCACTTGAACGACAAAGGCGTTTGAAAGAACTAGATGAGCACCATCTGCATCCTAACTGACATGACCCTTAACTACTGAAGGTGTTCTCATAATTAATAACAATATAGCAGAAATAGACTTGAGAAGTTTTCTATTGGGAAGCTTTTCTTGTATAAGTAAACTACCATGATTCGTAGAATTCAAGGTATATTCTCTTCGGTCACATGTAATCCTCAAAAAATTCGGCATTTATGTTTCACGAAAACAGCTTGGAAAACAAAGAAAACTGGTGGGCAGCAATTAAATCATAATGAACGAGAATTAAGCCTAATTCGATAAGTCGCTACTGAAAATTAGGTGTAAGAGTATATAAGCCTTAAATGTTTAATAGAAGTGCAACTACCACCCCAGGGCCATCAAAGGGTAAGCATGAGCTTTCGAACGGTTCTTTTACGTGGGTAAAAGACTGGTATTCCCCAGATTCAAATGAGAGTACCAACGAATCAATCCCTTCGACTGTCAAGCTTAAAGGATGGTTGAAAGTAAATCGAGAAGAAAAGTCTACGAATTCCGTGAGAATCAACAACGATGATACCTTGAATTTGCTGGACTGGAAATACTATACTGAAGTGCCTACGGAGGAAAATGAGGTGAAAGTAGAAGAAACAGATAAAAATGAAGCTGGTGATTCCTCAAAAAGCGAATTGGTCAATGCTATCTCTATGAATAAAGAAGAGGGACAAATATCTGGTCTAGGGGGTAGTACATGAAATGCCGATTTATGTGTTCTTCATTAATGTTACATGCTATGTTATATTAATATTGTATTAAATTAAATTGACAAAAGCAATCGCTTCTCTTGCAGATGTTGTAGCTTTCATCAATTCATGGCTTTTATTTTGGTCCCAAACCTCACCAACAAGGAAATTTTGGTCTTCAGTATTTTTTTCTGAAGACTGTAAATTTCTTTTAATGTGTTTTAGCCTATACATTTCTTTGGGATTCCCCAGCGACGCAAATATCATTAGTAAAGTATTTTTAGGTAATGATGAACTTATCTTGATTAGTCTCAGATTTAAGTTTTCAAATAATTTGGTTTTGTCTACTTCTTCTTCGAATAAAAGTCCATCATAATTGCTCGGTATTCTGGACCACCCGTAATTAAATTCCAATTCCCTCAATCTCATCATTACTATCTCGGAAGACTTGATCTCTTTCGCGAGTATATCTGTCGCCTGATCGTCATTAGTTACATTAACTTTTTTCAAGTATTCTGAGTTCGAAGATTCATCTTTAGTACAGTATTCAAGCAATGTGGCATTTACTACTCGTTCTGAAGATGTATCAGCATTTAATTTGCTAAACAACGAAACTTCGTTGACAAATTTTCCAAATAGCTTGCCCCTTTCAAGTTTGAGCTTCACTAAATCGAGGCAAGCTCTAGCATCTTCTACTGAAGAATGGCCATCTCCCAGAGCTTCACCCTGTTGGATTAGTCTATTAAGATATTTTTCTGCTAGCCATCTTAAAGACGGTTTCAGAGGTGGACCTCTTGGGTGTTCATACAAAACAGCAGTGTCTATTACGTTCAAGTGTATAATTTTTAAAGCATTTAAATCAGAATTCAAGGAGTGACCAATTAAAATATCATTACTCGCTACCGAGTCTAAAATTTTATTCCTAACATCATGAAAAGACGTGGTAGCACCTTTCAATATGTCTTCAGTTATCCCAGAGTACTTTGTTTTATAGTCGATTATTTCCTCAGAAGGCTGGACCAAATCATCAAAAACTACACCATTCTCATCTAGTAAAGAAACTCTAGTAACCACATCTCCATTTGAGGAAAGACAAAATTCACAATCTAAAGCAAATGTTTTCATCAGGCGATCAATATCTTTTGTGGTTAGCCATTTATCAGAATCATGAATATCATGAGGGGGGTAATTATATTCTTCCATTTGCTCTCTGGATAGTAAGATATCTGAAATCTCAATATCTTGCTTAATCAGTTTCAAACGTGCTCTCTCTTTTTTGCTAAGTGGGACATTCGTTAGAGCATTAAAAGCAGAATAGAGTGAATCTTTACTTCCAGGGCTTTGCATGGGAATAATTTCACCGAAAATATTGTAAAAAAATGACAACTGTTCATTCCTACAAAAACTTTTCATGGATACGGATCTCAAGTCTTTATTGGATGAACTGTCACTAGAAAAATCTTCAAAACGCAATCCTGGGATACTGCAATAGACGATTTTCTTAATTTCATGTGGTGATTCTAAATTTGCCCATTTAGGTGGGTTCTTTCCCAGAAAAATATAGCTGATGAGTCCTCTGAAATCAGGAATTGTTATTTTCTTCTGGTTTATTTGATCATCTATTATAGAAAAAGAAGGCTCTTTTGATACTTTTATTTTTTTCCGCATTTCCTATTTTTTCGAATAGCAAAGCCATTAGTTATATCCGTACATGAGTCTTTTATAATGCAATATGTAGATCATGAATAAGAAGATAAGCTTTGACAAATTCACAGAGTTTTTCACTTGGTTTATATGCAGGTCGATAATGCAATTATTGTAGACTACCAATACTATATAGATCAGTTCTTCTGAGCTGCTTCCAAAATCATTTCAAACGTAATATCACCCAGGGGTACTGTAGCTTCAGATGCTTTAGTCTCGGACTCACCGATGAAGGTAAGAAGATCATTATAATCATCTGTGTAATTCAAAAAGGCAGAATATATATCATCGAGTTTTTTAAAGTCGTCTTCGGAACTTAAGATCTGTCTCTTACCCGAATATAAGGCTGATTTTGCTACAAGCATTATCTTCTTCCACGAATCCCAGCCTTCTGGGATATATATATCATACTTTGAACCCGCATTCGAATCTGAAGAGGAATTATCGTAGATCAGTTTGGGTTCGGTGCCTTGTTCAATTAATTCCATTGGTTCGTTTACAATCAAGTCAATTTTGGAAGAAGCTATCATTTTTCCCTTATGCTTTAATGTAAAAAATCTGAGATATTGCTGAACTGCGATACTATTGTCGGACAAGACATCTGGCTTTAAAAGAGCCGAATCAAGTATGACGTATAATTTAAACGGTTGAATAGTATCAAACTCGTGGGGCAATTCACTGACTATCACTTCAGATTCTGCCTCTTCATTTTGTATTGGGTGATTTGAAGGCTTTATATGATCTATCTGATGCTTCTGCCCATTGACCTCTTCTCCAATCTTTCGAAGAAAAGATAATACTTTAAAGAATTCTTTAAAGTTTTTGAAAATAACGATAGCGTGTATAATATTCTTACTTTGTTCAATCACTTGTTTCGTATACTCGCCAAAGAGTTCCAAATTACTTGCTACGTAAATGTTGCACTTATCAGTGGCGGAAAATTTGATTGCCAGTTCAGACGAAGCTTCAAATACTATTACTGTCTCCTTATCTAGCCTCTCTATATCAAATATTCTGGGTTTCATTTATATAATATTACTGAACATATTATTCTAGAGCCATCAATATAAATTAATATTTTGTGTTATTTTGGTTACATATGAGATTCTATGTTCGGTTGATATTACGCTCATACCATTTACTTCACCCAATATGAGCAAAAAAGATAATGATAGCAGAGAAGAAGAGGATAGAGAGGATAAAGTATACAATCAATATGCTAAAAATTCTGATATCCCTGATGAGCGGGTTATAGAATCCATTTTTGAAGAAAGAAAAACTGAACATGCTGATGATGCTATTGACTACGAAGATATTGATGAATTAGCGGATGAAAGCGACGACAGTGCTGGGGCAATCAATCAAAATGTGGGAAGAGATAGTGACTTTGAAGAAATGTTTGGCGAGGTTGATAATGATTTAAGTAATTTAGGGACAGGTATGGATGATGATAATCACATAACCCTAAATGAATTAGGCAGTAGTCATGGTCTAGTCGACGACGATGGCCTCAACAGCTTGGATATGGGAGAAATGTTTCACGATGAGTATAGTCATTTTTCTAATGGGAAGAGAGCTAAAGTGCTTTCTGAAGGAGAAAGAGAGCAGAAGAGACAAAAACTTAAAGCCCTCGTTGAAAAGATGGAAGAGAAGAAAAAAAATAGAACCATTGCATATTACTATCCAGATTTTTCGGTCAATAAGCCTTTTAACTTTCATTTACATCTACTTCCAGCTCCCAAGTATTATAAACCAATACCACCTCCAATATCTTTAAAAGATAATATTAAACCTTTAATTCCAACTAAGATAAGTTTAGAAGTTGACCTTGACGAACGAAAGCTTTTTAGATCTAAAAAGGCACTTGTAAATAAGCCAATTTTTGCCCCAGAGTCAAGATTGAACAGAATTATTGATATCTCCCCACTGGCAGTATCATTTATAGAGGGACTTGAAAGCAATGCGGATCATTTAAAGCCGCTTACTAAACCCATTGACTTTATTGAGAGGGATGCTGCTAGTGACAATATATTCTCTGACTTTTCAAAAGATTTAATACTATCGACGGCTGACTGGGATGATGACCAAATCATAAATGCCGGAGACGAAAGCTTCCCTCAAAAGAAAGTTGACGTAGAGGTAAGCAAATTGGATGATGATTATGAAGAGGATGAGGGTATATTCAATGGAAACATAAATGAGAAAAATTTCAGCTTAGATATGAACGATCCGAGCTTAATATTTATACCTGAAAAGAGGAGCAACAAATCTAAGGCTTTAATCCCAACTACGGATAAGCTTTTGGAACAAAAGTTTAATATTTCTAATGATTCTTACTACGAAATTTTGAAAACTAATTACAACACCAAGGTAAGAAGCCAACTTAGTAATTTAAATATAGAGCACTCTATTCCGGCTCTTCGGTTGCAAGCTCCATATTATAAGGTCAAATTGAATAAAACCGAATCGAGAGCTTTCCATAGACCGAATTTCGTCGTCAGACCTGGAACTCTAATGAGCTTCTCAAAGGTAAAGCTTCGTAAAAAGAAGAATGATCGTGGAAAGTCTCCACAAGAAACTTTCAGGAAGACGTCTGACCTATCTTTCGCGGATTCGGGTCCTATTGTAGGGATGGAATACTGTGAGGAATATCCTCAAATTTTGTCTAATTTTGGAATGTGCTCTAAATTAATCAATTACTATAGAAAGGAAAAAGAAGATGATTCTTCTAGACCAAAAGCTCAGCTCGGAGAAACTCATGTATTGGGCTTGCAGGACAGATCTCCATTTTGGAATTTTGGTGAGGTTGCTCCAGGTGACTTTATCCCTACCTTATACAACAACATGATAAGATCCCCTGTCTTCAAACATGATGTAAAAGAAACTGATTTTTTATTGATTCGGTCGCAAGGAGCGGGAAGTCACCAGCGCTACTTTCTTAGAAACATTAATCACATATTTGCGGTGGGAGATTTGTTTCCTGCTGTAGAAGTGCCGGCACCTCATTCAAGAAAAGTTACCAATACTTCAAAAAATAGGTTAAAAATGGTTGTTTTCAGAGCTATGAATAATAATAAAGAATCTAGGATTTCAGTTAAAGATATCTCACATCATTTTCCCGATCAGAATGACATGCAAAATCGTCAGAGATTAAAAGAATTTATGGAATATCAACGTCAAGGTGATGACCAGGGATATTGGAAAATTAAAAATACAGACATAGTTCCACTGGAGGACGATATTAGGAACATGATCACTCCTGAAGACGTTTGCATTTTGGACAGCATGCAATATGGACAGCAATGTCTTGAAGATACGAACATAGTTTTCGGTGATAACCCTGTAGACGATGTTATGAAAAAAGAAAAGAAAGCCAAGAAAGAAGAAAGTCAAGATTTAGAGGATACGGACAAAGAAAATGAAAAAGAAGTGGATAAGGAAAAAGAGAAAACAAAGGAGAAAGAAAAGCAGAAGCGATCAAGAGATACAGAAGTTACGGACATGGATATTGAGGAGGAAATTGCGCCATGGAACATGACACGTAATTTTATTACTGCAAATCAATCCAAGGCAATGCTACAGCTCAATGGTGAAGGTGATCCCAGTGGAATTGGCTTGGGATATTCATTTTTGCGTGCAACGCAAAAGAACAATTTCAAGCCATTGTTCCCTCCACCGAAGGAGCATGTGCCTAAAAACAGCACTGCCGCCTATCAACAGAAATTATATGATGCAGAAATAAAAAGGATTTGGTATTCTCAGAGAAGATCTTTGGTTGATCACGGCCCAGATTTCGATCTCAATGCTATTTATGAAGAATATAAGCCCATGAATCAGTATAAGTTTATGAAAGAAAAACTTAAGGAAGAAAGCAAGAATGACTCACCAAGAGTCTTAAGAATCAGCCGAAGATTTCGGGATGAAAATAATGTTCTTCAAAGACGCGTTGAAACAATAAGTGATCCTAGATTAATCAAAGCATATCTCAAACGTAAGAAGCAAATTGAAGATGATTTGATCAGAAATGCGGAAGTTGATGACATAATCCCCACAGATGACAAAGAATTGAATAAGATTCGCCGTAAAGCTTTGGAAGAAAAGTTGGCTAGCTTAGAAAAGAGAGCCAAGCAAAATAGAGGTCGGAAACCTTCAAAGGATGTTTTACATGCGGCTACTGCTGCCGGAGGTGTCGTAATTGATGCTAACACGGTAATGCTACCTGACGGATCTTATGCATTCGGTGGGAAAGGAATTGGTAAAGGAAAGAGTAAAACGAGAAGATGTGCTTCATGTGGCGCTTTTGGTCATATTAGAACAAAGAAAACATGTCCACTTTATTATCAAACAAACGGAGGTACAATTCCTGTGAGTAAGTTGGATAATACTATACCTATCCCTGAACTGATTACACTGAACTCGGGGTCGCCGGTTTCACGCCAATCTCCCACTGAATTTAGTAAGCAACCATCATCTGATGGGCTGCATACTTGATTGTGTTCGATATAAGTAACGAGACTTGGTATGTATATATAATAGACTATATATTGGTTTTCTACTCACCAATTAACTAGATGAATAGCTATATATATTCTATCAACTGTTATATCAATTGCGGTATCAATTGTCATCATTCATCATTAAATAATTGTGCTTTCTACATACATGAATAATATGTGAATTTTTCTTATTGCTCGCTCTAATACATTCTCACTCCTTCTCCAGCAGGAAGAATGGGTAAAAACTGACCAATTATTAGCATCGGTAGATCAAACAAATCCCTTTTTACAGTCCATACTGATGAGAATTCAATAAAGTCATTTTGATCATCATCGCTGATAGGCGAGCACGTCATCATAGCCCTTTCTGAATTTTTCATAAGTTTACATCTAGTAATTATTCGCAGATGAAGGTTACCAACCGCAACTGACTTGAATAGCTCAAAATATCTGACAATGGATTCGTCATCATACATTAGCTCTATAATGTAAGTTCTTTTCGATAGTATACTACTAAGGCTAAAGCCAAGTAAGCTTAGTAGGTCATCGGATATCGAAACAATTTCGCCTGTCCTTCTCCAAATAATAGTGGGTGAAGAATTGAGTTGCAGTAATCTTTCGTAGTCAAGTAATGACCTTTGGAAGGACATTTCAAGGAACTGTAAATCAAAAGGTTTTAATAACGACTTATGAGCAGAAATGAATGTAGGTCGGTAGCTTGCAATTAGCTTAAGTATAACTAAAAAGTTTCTTCGCTTACTCTGTCTATCTTCATCAGATAAGTGTTTTCCCAGGAATCTTTTTTTCAAAAAAGTGGTTAGCAGATGATATGATTGGGGGTAATCGAAGTTTATAATATTATTCGAATAAATATCTTGAACGGATTGATATAAATGATGACTGATTAAAGGTGAAATATACTCAGTGCTATTGATATCCATTGCTTTGTCTATAATTGGATTTTTCCCCGCAACTCCGTTTGAATGTTCATTGAATCCAAGGGATATAAAAGGTCTTGAATCTTTCATAGCTTTGCTCTTCGAGGAGTCTTGCGTCTTCATATTAGTGCTGAAGAATGTAGAAGATGGAGACACTGTGACCCCCACATTGTCAGAGTTACTTGTATTAGACGGAGATGGTGATGAAGGTTTTGAATGTAGAATTATGTCACCTAACTTCAAATATTCCTGACTTAAATAATTAGAATTAAACATATCGCCAAGTTCGTCGCTCATATTGATGTGACTATCATTGTTTTGAGACGTGGGATCTAAATACAAGATCTTATTCAATACTTGATCTGTCGTCTTCATCATGGGGACTTGTGGTGTAAGAAAATGATCATTTCTATTGCTTTTAATGTTAGTTACCTGAGTGTTGCTGTTTCCATTACCTGAATGTGCTGAGCTTTTGACCAGCGATTCTAGCTCGGATACATTTTCTTTGGATCCAAGCTCAATATTTGGCTTAATCTCTTTTTTTATCTTCAAGTACTTGGCCCTCTTTCTTGTCACGTCCTGGCACTGATCCCCGATATTTCTCTTCAAACAGTTCTGACATGGTCGTTCATTTGAACATTGAAGATGCTTGGAGTGACAAAACGTGCAGGCTCTTTGTGCTGGCTTTCGATTCTTCTTCTCAAGAGGGTTAAGTTTCTTGGTCATATTGAATCCTTCTTCGTCTGCCCCTCGGGGTTGCTACGAGCACTATTTGTGTGTCAGTTTTGTCTTAAACTCTTCAAAAAAAATCTGGGGTATCCTGATCAAGTGACCACTCTCCCTTGAATCCCCGGGACTCTTCGGCGGTTACCCCACTAGAGACCAAAGAGAACTATGCAGTCTTTTACTGCACGTACACCATATGCGGCAGAAATGAGACACACTAAGTTCACAATACACGTGAGAAAGTTGGTCGCCGAAAATTAGTCGCCTGACAGAGAGCACTTTCTAAGTGAAATTGTCCTGTTCATTGTTGTATGCTCGTGCGGAGTTAAATTAAGTAAGTCATAAGTACGGCTATTTTTGGTCCCCGAATAACGTCTTTAGCCTCTTGCATAATGTGAGAAGGTGGCAAGATATCGTTCTCTAGATAACGTTAAATCAGATTTTTTGTATCTACCGCCCTTGAAACAAGGCTTTTTGTTCCACTTTCTTCTTTGGCGGAAAATTCCCAATGTAAGCTCATGTAGTGAAATTCCTGCAGTCTCTTTTTATTCTGCGGTCGAGACGGACGGATGACATTTTGCATCTAGTTCCCGGTATTTTGATCAGCAGAAACTTTAGGTAGAGAAAGGACAACAAGAAAGAGAAAAAAAAAACCAAGAAGCACTACAGGGAAGGTGGTTAGACAGAAGGTTGAGAAAGCTGTCTAATTAGATAAATATGCTGTCTGTTATATATCGCGTCAAGTTCATTGTAAAGCCAATCTTTTTTATATACCATTTGTTGTATAGGATATTTTGGTCTGGATTGAATGGACGTAATATATTTCAGTTGGTCTTAAACTTTTCCATCAACTTTTCACCAGTATTCATATGGCTAATGATATTTAAGAATGCCGGATTGATTCCTAAAAGCATCAGGCCATCTATTCATGTTGAAGCTGCAATGAAGCTCGACGAGTTTATTTTTAACTTCAGGGATGTTCCCTTTGGTTCCGCCATTTCCTTCCTTATATTGTTGATGGTCTCCTACCTATTTTACAAGTTGATTTATTCCAAGAAGTGCCTGACATCTTATTACTATCAAAAAGAGATTTACGCTTTGAATAATAGACTGCCCCCCTCATCTTCTGAATCGAGTATTAGCACAATTTTAGACTTAGAGGAAAACTCGGAATATGAACTTTCTAATCTTCAAGAATTCGATTCTGGCTACTTATCACCTGCTCCTGGTGACTTTCAAGAAGATAGGCATATAGGGGATTTAGAATATTTTGCCACTTCGTCATACAATTCCATATCATCAAGTGCATCTTTAATTAGCAAAAAAATTTTACATCATATGAAACCAGGAAAGTCTTATAGGCCATATAATTGTTGGTATCTTGCGCCTCCGTTATTATTGGCGTTTAGTTGGCTTCTTCTCAATATTGCATATGTGTTAAAAGATAATATTAACTCAAAAAAAGACATCTTAGCATGGTTTTCCTATGTTATATGCCACTTTTTTGTCCCCCTTTTCACAGCCATTTGGCTCTATGTTTTCCACGCTCCAGGAGCATTGAAATTATTCTCATTTGGTCTCGGAATGCAAAACATCGCAGGGGTTTTGACCCACTTACTCTTTCCCACAGCGCCGCCCTGGTATATACATTTGGATGACAAAAACAAAACGGCTTCATATGACTTTCCTGGTTATGCCGCTGGATTAACTAGAGTCGATATGGCAATGGGCACTCACATGCATTCAAAGGGTTTCCATATGTCACCAATTGTGTTTGGTGCGGTTCCATCATTACATTCGGCCATGGCCACAATGGTATTTTTCTTCATCAGTTATTATTCACGCTGGAACATCCTCAAGGTCTTAGCATTATGCTTTGTCGTACTTCAGTGGTGGGCTACGATATACCTTGACCATCATTGGAGAGTAGACTTACTCATTGGAATGTTTTATTCGATCATAGCATACACCATTCTCTTCAGATCGAAAAGAGGCTTAAAAAAAGTTGATAGAGACTTTGTAAAAGCTAAACTTCGCTTCGACTTCAAGCGTGGTAGTACGATGGGTATGAGAACCTTCAGGAATACGAAATTGCAAAATTTCTTTGATCCTTTATCGTGAAGGTGATGGTCTATCTGGTACATGATTTTCTTTTACAAGAAAGTTTTGTTTCTAAGTATCATTTCCTAAAAACTGTCGCTGCATATCGAACGTCGTCAATCGCAATCGAGCACAGTACCGTTATTGGCATTGCCCTCACCCGCAAAAACGCTTTTTGACCCATCTCATCTCTTATCGATTCGGTTGTGCATATTGACATTCCTGGATATTATTCCACAGCCACTCCAGTGGTATGTATGGGCATATTGTTAAATGTTGCCTTAGGATATTATTGTTGACGCCCCGTCTTCAGTCGCGCTTGTACGCCTAGGAATATTGTCGGGGACATAGGCTTTGTTAGGATTATAGCCTCGTGAAGATTCGTGCATTATTCTACAAAAGCGCCCTGGCGAAAGCTCGCAAGACCTAATCAAAAAATCCGTAAATATATAGTTTCAACATTCCCGCCTAATTTTTTCCGTATCTTCAACATTCATTATATATCATTTGTTATTGCTGTTTTGCTATCTACACGGCAACATTGCTAACGAAACCGTCGACTGTTGCATCAGTTCCTGAAAAGTTTTCTTTTTCCTTTGTTTATTGCCATTGTTCCTGCATAGATAACAAGGCTTTTCAAATTTCACGAAGACTAGATTGAGCAGGGTCACACTACTTGCTACTTCTGGAGTACCAAGATTTATATAGAATTAAAAACCTAGCAACCCGTTAAAAAAACTGAGAAAAGCCTAATAGAAGACATATAGAGGAGCGAGTATCTTGAGCAGTGGTTTCTTATAGTATGATATTTCCCCGGATATATAATAAGAGATTAAAACATGGTGTACCTCTTGCGCTTACGGCTATCATAATAGTGGTTTCTTTAAACTCATATTTTACTACTAATCTTGACCAGTTTTTTTTGGAGCATGACGGTCTTTGCTTCAACAGAGAGTCCAGCTTCAACCCTAGAGAGACAACATATGCCATATTGTCATACTTGCATTCATTTCTCGATCTGGAGATCATTGATTATTCTCACATAGGAGACTCAAATGGTATATACTTTCATTGGGATGACTGGGTTGATTTGTCCCCTGCGTCGACGATCCTCGAACATTACAGAACGGAATACCCTGATGGGCAATGCGACTCGAATATTGAAAGCTTTACGAATGTAAACAGCTATTACATTGAGTCATATAATAAAAAGGTGTTGAGAGGGATGGCTGACTTGTATTGCAGAAAGGAGATACCAGAAAGGGTGCTTGTTTCCATGGATAACGGTATGGTTGACATACCTGTGATTGACAAAAAGAGATTAGGTCACATGCGCCTTCCTTCAAATGTTAAGAAGGACCAGCTTGTCGATGAGCTTCTGAAGGTGCAAACCTTGTTACCGCAGTCAAAGTTTAATGTGACATCCTATGACACGCTAAAACAAACTAAAGACGTTAACCCTGAAGACTTCATATTTAATCCTGATACAGAAGTTTTGAAGTTGAGGGAAAAAGCAAATAATGGCACAATCAGCAATTCTGACTTGACATACTTGCGCTTTTTAGAATATTCAACTGATTTGGTTGACAGAACTGACACTTACTTCAAATACCCATGGATTATTACGGATCTTATTCAGGGAAAGTCTCATCATTTTGCATATCCTTTTTTCAAAAGGTATGTAAGTAATAGAGAAAGGCAAAGTATTGTACATCATATGGTTCGAGCATGGTTTCAATTCGCTGAAGCCTACAATTATACAAGCTGGATAAACTATGGTTCACTTTTAGGTTGGGCCTACAATGGTGTCAACCTACCATGGGATACTGATGTTGATATTCAAATGCCAATACAGCAATTAGACAAGCTCGGAAGAAAATTCAACAAGACGATCGTGATTGAAAATCCAAGGTATGGTAATAGCAAATATTTTTTGGAAGTTGCTCCTACCTATGTAAAACAAGGAAATGGAAAAAATTTCATTGACGCACGATTTATCGACATCAATTCAGGACTTTATATTGATATATCTGCCTTGTCATATACTCATCATAAGCCACCCAGCAAAGCACTTGAGAACATACCTCCTAAAGAAAGATCAAAAGCTATGGTTGTCCATTGCAAGAACTGGAATTGGCATCCTTACGACGAATTATTTCCAATTAGACACACATACTTTGAGGGCGGGTCCGTCTACATTCCTAACAATGTTTCAAGTATATTATCTAGAAAGTATGGCAAAGGTTCTTATACAAATAAGCTTCATTTCCTAAATCACAATTATCAAAAAGATATCAATCTATGGGTTCCAGATGGTATCTGTGCCGACTCACCACCCATTGATAGGTTCGAAGTAGGAGATCGCAATAGCTTGTCTTTGAAAGGTGCATGCGATAATAGATATTTGCAGGACGAGTATAGTATAACTAGGGAATCTTCAGAAAGACATCTTAAGTTGAATGAAGATATTGATGCAAGCATCTCATATAGTGCAGATGTCCTCGGCGAGTTGCCTTTATTTCGTAAGGATGCCTGGGATTATTACAATGATATTAATGAGAACTTGGTCAAGGATGATTATTGGTATACTAGAGAAGAAATTGTAATTTAGGGTATTTCCAATAAATTAGCATTAATAAACTAGCATGAATTGTACGTTATAATTGTTTATCGATTAATCTATGTAGCTATGGGATACATTTGACATAATAGGGAAGTAAGTGCGACGATTAATTTTCCTCGTATAAATATAAAAATTTCATTCTTCCGTATCGTCTTTCAATTTCCCAACCCATAGACATGACTAGTGAGGTATTGGTCACTGGGGCTAGTGGCTTCATTTCTCAGCATATCGTTAAACTATTAATCGAACGTGGTTATAAAGTTATTGGGACTGTGAGGGATGATAATAAAGGAAAAAATTTAGTAGCAAATGTTGGATCAGACAACTTTTCTTACGAAGTGGTTCCGAATATAATTGAAGAAGGAGCTTTTGACAAAGCATTGTCATCTCATCCAAATGTTAAGTATTTATTACACACTGCCTCTCCTTTTTTTTATGATACCACCGATCCAGAGAAGGATTTAATCATTCCAGCTATAAAGGGCACCCAAAATATACTCAAGGCAGTCAAAGAGTATTGCAAGAATGTTGAGAGAGTTGTTATCACTTCTTCAGATGCAGCAATTTATTCTGCTGATGATGAACAAAACTCTTCCTTGAAGTTCGATGAAGCAAGCTGGAATAAAATATCCTACCAAGATGCTTTGAAAGACCCAATTGCCGCATACTATGGCGCAAAGTCGTTTGCTGAAAAGCTAGCTTGGGACTTTATGGAAAAGGAGAAACCAATATTCAAACTTACTGCTGTTAACCCAGTTTATGTTTTCGGCCCCCAAGCGTTCGACAGTGAAGTCAAAGAAAAATTAAATACTTCAAATGAGTTGATACATACCTTGATTAAACTTGGGCCCGACGATAAATTCGATAATGATAAGGGAGGCTTCATAGATGTTAGAGATGTTGCTCGGGGACATATTGCAGCTTTCGAATTAGAAACAACTGTCGGCAAGAGACTTTTTCTTACTAATGGTCACTTCAGCACCCAGATGATGCTTGACATCATAAATAAGAACTTTCCTTCATTGAAAGGTAATATTCCCACAGGAAATCCCGGTACAGGGCAAGAAGATATAAAAACTTTGGCTAAAGTGGATAATCAAAAGACTAGAGATATTTTGAAGTTCGAGTTCAGGTCATTGGAAGAAACTGTAATTGATACGGTAAGCCAATTGCTTGAAAAACTCTATTCTCAATAACGCAAATCGGATTGAATGTGAGCAATGCCTATCCTCTTGAGAATAACTGAACTACATTACCTAGATTAAGCGAAATATGTTGCTACCAATCTTTATCAAAATTATTTCATGGTACAAGAGTAATAATACTCGCATTATATCACTTCACGTTGATTTGTCGCTTGCAACTTGCATCGTGTTTTACAAACTTGTCTCTTTTATGGGCCTATCCGATTTTATATACATAAAGTATATGTTGATTTAGAAAATAGAAATTGAAAATTCAAGTCAGGAGCTAACCATGCTTCAAACCAATGTAAGGTACTTGAAGTACATTGCAGAATCTAATGCAGCTTTAAACTTAACTGTAACATAGCAACAATGAAACGGATTAAATAGAGCTCCGACAATAGTCATCAAGAATACGATCAGTTCTTTTGCATTACGGAGTGAGCTTAATAGCATATCGGCATCCTTTAGAAGGAAATTGGAGTAGACAGTGTGCAGTCTTTTATCGGTTCGTCTCCGCTCATGTGTCAGAATCATGGACTCATCAATATAGACTTCGTCTGGATTCGGTTCCGATTAGCGGATTGTTCGGTTCGAGACGGTATGCTTGATCGATAGCATGTAATTGCTTGAAACGTTAGATTTTAAATTGCGCTGCAGATATTACGGACAGAGCTGATTAGCTATAGCTATTTATGTTCATGACTAAGAGCTTGATTTCTATTGCTGGTATGATAGCAAGTTTATAAACTATATAAAGAAAACCTCAAATCATATCAATTATTTGGAGACATATACCGACATATTGTTCATTTGTTAAGAGTTTGAAATGTCGTTCCTGTTTATTAACACAAATGAGATTCTTAAAAAATTCCCTGATACAGCTGATACCTTATTAGTAGACTGTTATTTATCAGACCAACCAAACTGCAGCAGCAGAGTGTTCAGATTATACTCACGTATACCAAAACATTTTCATAGAACTTGTGATGAAACCTTATTCTTATTGAGTGGGAAGGCTGAATTTTATATTGGGGATGAAAAACCACGATACATTGAACCTGGCGAAATGGTTACATTTTTCAAAAACACAGTGCATGGTGTTAAAGCATTGAGCGATGAGCCAGTTGTATTTTTGTCGTTTGACACTCCCAGAAGAAATCCTGATGATGTATGCTTCGTGAATCCGGAAGAAACCAAGGGGGTCAAATTCATTTCCCACATAGAAAAATAATTAGTTTTTATTAGCTCCCAGTAATACACCCTGTTCTTCTCGCTATTTTGTTGCAAACTCCAATCAAGGTCTCTTCGTATTAATTCTCAAATGTAGAACCTTTGATACATTTAAAAATTGCAAGCTCCATGAATTCCTTTTAAAATAACATCCAAATTGAGCCTCCAGAAATAATTAACAATACGATAGCTGTCAAAGCTCCAGCTCCTGCTTTGTCTCTGGTGGTGATTTTAAGTTCGTTTGCGTTCTCTGTATCGTCTGAATCTGTTCCTGCATTCACATTGCTAATAGAGGAACCGCCATTAGATGAATTGTAGGGGGCAGGGAACTGTCTTACGATCGAGGCTAAAATAACCTCCAAGGCTGACATCTGTTCTCCTAAACCGTATACTCCATCCCATCCGCTGACGGACCAGTTTTCTCCACAAGTGATGCCATCTGTACCACCCGAACATGATTGTGCGGCAGCTGAAGCACTTGTATCTAGCCAATTTTGAATATCATCTGCAGTGCTGGGTGCAAGCATTTGAGTTAGTCCTAGACATCTTGCAAATAATGATCTAAATGTTCTTTGATCGTTATTGCAAGTGGTTGATGCACATGTCGATTCGGTCATTATAGAGTTATTGAAAAAATAAGATGATGCTTCTATGATCTCTTCCGTTCTAGTAAGCCAAACGTCATCATTTGAGTGATTGTAAAGGTATGCTGCGCCCGACATCATGATGCCATAGATATAGGACCATCTTTTTTTAGTCATATCAGTGCAATTTCCTGATATTTCAACGCCATCATACAATGCTATTTCATTATTACTATAATTGAGAAGACCAACTCCCTCTAACCAATTCCATACTTTTTCTGCTGTTTCAGCGTATGTATCATTGCCAGTATATCTTGCTAATCTTGCTGCTATGTGTAAAAGGCAGCCATTTGCGATCGTGTTTTTATAATTATAACCAGAGTTCCATGTGAAAATTTGCCATCTTAGACCTCCCAGGCAGTGGTCATCGTCCCAACGAGCATTCATGGTATTGTATACTGCTTGTGCCATTGAGAGCCAGCTATGAGAAGGATCAGTAAAATTTCTCTCGACCGCCTGCATCAATGCCATACCCCAAACACCTTGATCATCGTTTCCTTCTGTCATTGACTGATTTGCTGGAATATAGTCATAGTCGCTTCCAGCTTGGTGATACATACCATTATAGATCAAGTTTTTAAGTGTGTCATTGCTGGAATCGCAGAAAGTATAATAATCTATCAACCCACCAAATGCCTCACCAGCATTCCACCAGTAGTATGGCGCCGTAAACATGCCGACAGTGCCTCCATATTTAGTTCCCTCGTAATAATTAAACTCACCATCTACAACTTCCTTCGCAGCCGAGCAAACAGATTCTACATCTTCAGTGTCAATCAGGAGCCCTAACAGGGTGAATGCACAGAACAATATTTGAAGTACCAATGCTCCATATATCATCTCTTTCTTTAAATCCGTGCTCTTACTTAAGTTCGTGACATAAACCTCTGTTTGACAGTCGAATATTTACTTCAAAATTCCCATTATATATATACATATCTCACGATTTAGATACACAACACTGCGTTTATTATGACAAAGGTAAAAACAGAGCCTCCTTTATGTGCCATAAATATCTTCTTTTTTATAAAGAGGTTGAGGCATTTCAATTTTGACACCAAGCCTTGCGTCAATCGCTGCGGCCCGCGTAATTCGTGCGTTTCAGTTACTGCGCACTTAAAAAAAGACGATGATTAAACTTGAAATTAACTAAAAAAAAACAGCTTTAAGGAAGTTTCAATTCTGTTGAATTTTTTCCTTTGGAAATTAAAGCCGCTACATTCGCTCCAGCCAAAGCCGATGTTTCCATTGTGCTGATAAATTGCTCCATGATATTCAAATACCAAAGATTATCATCAACTTTAAAGTTACCAAATTCACTAATAGGTTTGAGCTTAGGATAGGATTTCCATATTTTTCTATGAATCCAGCTTAACTTAGAATATATGGGAAAAAGAGACTGCAACATTTCATCCGATATTTCTTTAGGAGAAAATATCTTGTATACATAATCTCCTGTTTCCTCAATGAAGTCGTTGACTGCAACAGAGAAGAAAGGTAAGCTCTCAGTGCCAATACCATCTTTTTCAGGCAATACTGTAGTAAGTACTGTTCGAGGAACTTTGCTTTTGTTTGTAGTATTGCCAAAGAAGTACTGTTCGCTCAAAGTTCCGTTCACCGCGAGAAGCGTAACATGCAACGTCACGTAGTCGGCAGTCTTCGGAGTTTGGGCTCCGCTAATCTCAATATCAGTCTGATCAAGAGGGGCTGCTATAATGACTTTATCAAAGTTGCTTGAGGCAGAATCTGAATTTGAAATATCAGTGTAGGTGACATTCCACGCATTTTTTGTTTTAGAAATCTTGGTTACTTCGGTATTGAGTTTGAGGGTTGAATTAGAATACGAAATGAATTTCTCAAAAATCTTCCAATTGCCTCCTTTGACCTGATATGCATTCTCTGCTGCAATGCTCACCAAAGCTCCAATCCCATGAATATCTTCTAGGTTTTGAGCATAGTTAACTCTTGATATTGACTGGATGAAATCAAAAGAATAAGAATCAGAAATACCTTTCTCTCGAAAAAAACTAAGTCCGCTAATGTTCGTTGCTTGAGAAAAATTGCTCTGAATTGTAACTTCAGTCAAGTTTGCAAATGGAAACTCCTTCTCGTAGTAGTACTCAATAAACGTGCCAATAAAACTTTTTGTTAAAAACAAACTTTTAATAGGTGATAAGCCATATTTTAGCAACAATTTTGCTTTGCTAAACCAAGTGTCACTCAATGTTAAAATAAACTCTGTTCCATTCCAAACTCCGATAGAATTCTGTATGCCATTCTGCTGCTTTTGAATCTGTTCTCCATACTTCCTAGTTTCGAGTCCAAATTCTTCAATAGATTTCATGAGAATCCTGTTGGCTGAGACAAATATAGACGCTCCTAGCTCCACGTACCAGGAGGAGTTATCATAGACATTAACCGTGGTGGATCTGCCACCAATATAGTTAGATTTCTCAAAGATTGTAATGTCATAGCTAGTATTTGCAAACCTTTGTAAGTAGTAAGCAGTCGCTGATCCTCCTGCGCCGCTACCAATTATTGCAATCTTCTCCTTAGGCTTTGTAGCTTCAACTAATCTATGTGTAAGTCCAATTATCTGCTGTTGCTTTTGAGACGTAGCTAGGAGGAAAAGGACAGAGAAAAAGAAAAAATGGAACGTGAACCTCAATTGCATTGTTTGGTCGCAATATCAAATGTTTCTATTAATCAACTTCAAGCATTGAAACTGCATCGTGTTTTTCTCTACAAAAATACACATTAGTGTGGATTTGCTCTATCCAGGAACATAGATAAGTAGATGATGTGATTAGCAATCGTGTGAAAACCAATTCAGATTTACACATATAGATATCTATGCAAAAGAGCATCACATAATTAATGTGCTATTTAAGCTAATTTAATGATCACTAGTAACGTCGCCTGTCTATAGTAGCTCTTTTCATTAGCTGCTCAAATTCAACGGTGAGTGGCTATCACTGAAAGAAAAATGTCTCCATAACTCGTGCATTGCTAGTCACGATCCGCTTGAGACAGAATTGAGTGAAAACTACCATTTCAATTCTTTTATTGTAGTATACCTTTATATGGCTGATTTAAGACTTTTAAATTCAGTCGGATTACTAATAGATTCTCTCGAGGCAGATAGTATCGACAGAAGTCTTGCAATTTAAACAGCAAATGGTAGCTTTTTCAATGCTGCTGATGCCTATTAAATGCTAGGAAAGTTCCCAAGATACCAATATCATAAGTTGCCTTCAAAACACCTGCTATGACGAACGAAATCCATTGGGAGTTATGATGTGTCAATATTCCAACGATAGAGGGCCCAACCACTTGAGCCAAAGTTTTAACAACATTCACCCAACCAAAGATAGCAGTTCTACTTTCAGGAGGTACTATAGTGGCAAGGAATACGTGCTTTGGTGCAACATCCATTGTTTGGGTCGATGCTCTTATAACAAGAATTGCCATAGTAAGAGATAAGGAATTGGGCAAAGGTACTAGAGCTAAAAGAATTGACGCTGGCAAGTGTGTCACAACCATCGTTACGACTGGCCCCAATCTCTTATTTAGTGAAGTGCCCAACAACGACATAAACCCACTTACTATTCCTGTGACAAAAAAAATTGAGCCTAGATATGTAGCCAGGGCATTGAACTTATACTTTATATAGTAAGATTGCCATGACATTGGGACCAAAGAAGATGCGAATGAGTCTAGAGCAAACAATAAAGATAATTTCGTAACAAGTACTAAAACTGACAGGTCCAAAGACGGCAAAAACTTCCACTGTTTCGAATGCTTCTTGTGGTCCTTCGAGGAAGTACCTGACAACAATTGTGAGGCCTCCGATGGCTCGCCTTCTCTTTCATTATCTATTTGACCTGACTCTTCGCTTGCGACCTCAGTCGACCACTCAACTTTATGAGAAAGGAAACATGATAAGACTAATGTCAATATGGAAAGCAATGTATATCCTAAAAAGACCATCTTGTAGCTCTTTATTAATGGATATTCTAAAACTTTATTACAGTAGTCAATCAATTTACCACTCAAAACAGAGCCCAAAGCAGCACAAAAGGTCCCCAAGAAAGTGTACCAAGCATAAACATCTGAGCGCTGTTCATATGGCGCGATGGAAGCAATAGAGCTTTGCTCCACTGACCTGAATGGTCCCACTTCACCACCACTTGGGGTTAATATACCAACGAACGCTACCACTGTAAGAATAAGTTTATTTTCAAGTGCAAAAAAACATACTCCTGTAAGCGACATCACAATAGAACTCAAAATTAAGACATTTTTTCTACCAATTCTATCTGCAGCAACGGCCAAAATGAAGCTCGATATTAAGTCCCCAACGAAAGTGATTGTCATAAAAAATCCAATGCTTTCTTCATCAAAACTTATCTCGTTCAAATAGAGCGCTAAAATTAACGACGTTGCTCCAAAACCAACTAATCTAATCATACGAAGACAAATGATGATAAACACATCACTACTTGACTTGACTAGTGTCTTGAGACCAATTTCGTCTCCAAACTTATATAACACAGCTCTGATATGCCCCATCTCTGCTATTTCCAATTTGATATAAGTCTTCAACTAATGACTTTTAGCACTTACACTATCTGAACTAAGCAAAAGAAAATTGAGCTAGTTACACGCTTAATTATAAATCCTTACAAAACGTTTAGTATGAGATACAAGGGTCGAAGAAACAGATAATCACAATAAAGGCAAGGTATATATAGAGCAGCAAATGAGCACTCGTATCGAGATGATTGTACATATACATAAATCGAATCAGATTAAATCGGTTACGGGCATTGGCAGGCAAACAATAGGAATTCTTTTCGGAAAACTCTATATCGCACCCAAAAATAGCCCAGCAATGTGCAATAGCTTATTTGTCGATTAAGCATATCCCTCTTTGGCACCTTCAACGATTTGATTTCATAGTAGGTATGAGTTTGAGCACTTTAGAATCTTTCCTATTACAGGACGAGTTACGACGTATATAATATTAAGAGATATGAAGTTCAGAGTAGTATAATACCACAACAGTGTAGGTTATATTTTCCTGCAGAAATCCGAACTTTGTCTGTTATTGGCGGAAGTCGGGACTAGGACTAACTAAATAAGTGAATATAGTTTCTGGGACTTCCGTATGTTTGTCAGCAATACGTCACTGGACGTCCAATAGATTTACTTTAGGGTTTGTCGTTACTGCGACGGCTGCGATATCGTTCCGATATAAGCTCTAATCGTTCCGAAATGTCAAATCGGTCCGCTGAATTCAAATCGGTGCCAAATATCATTGGCTGCCGTATGCCGTTTTATTGCATTTGCAGCAATTATGTAATGCAACTGTCTATATTTTGCCGTAAAGGGTTCCAAAACTTAATTTGAAGCCATGCGGGAGCTTCTGCGAGACATAGCTGAAAAGTACCCTTAATGATTGGAGGAAGGTAAAGAAAATTCCGAAGAACAAGGGAACATTTTCATTTGTCTGTACATATTGATCTGCAAGCTTTTTTTATCTGATTACGATCAGTACATCAAATATTTAAACTCTCCAAAAGATCTGGTAATAAGCCACATTGGGGACTTTTTTCAGTCAAAATGTCGATAGTTGAAAAGGATAAACGAGATGAGAATGATGTATCTTCAGCAGTTAGCTCTTACCAGGATCTCAACAGCCCAAAAGAAAAAGATGCGGTCAGCCAAATGCTAGAAAGCCAGGAATGCCTCTTATCGGGTTCTGAAGTGGTCGATATTAACGATGAAGACGTCAACGCTCTTCTTTTGCCGGAAGATGATAGCGCTCCCGCAAGTACATTGAGAATGTGGGTTATTGCGTTTGGAATCAGTGCTGTAATTGCAGGTGTCGATTCATTCTTCTCTATGAGGTATCCTACAATCAGCATTGGGTCTATTGTCTCACAGATTATTTCTTATCCCTTGGGAGTTTTGTGGTCTTATATAGTCCCAGCAATTTATGTTCCTCTTCCTTTTGGGTTGGGGTTCAATTTAAACCCAGGAAAGTTCAATCGAAAGGAACATGCCTGTATTTATTTATTTTCAAATCTAGTAATAAGTGCTGGATTAGTAAATAACTTAGTAGTTGAACAGTTCAAGTTCTTCGATAGAGACATAGGAATTGGGAGAATGATATTGTTTAATATGAGCTGCTATTTGATATCATTTGGTTGGTGCGGACTTGCAATGGACATTTTGGTGACACCAAGTGATCGTGTATGGCCAGGTATACTAAGTAACATTGCTTTATTTAAAGTATTACATTCTAATAGCAATCCTCCAGTGGGCAAGTGGAAAATTTCAGGTTACAAATTCTTCACTATCATATTTGCGGGATCTTTCGCATGGTATTGGCTTCCTGATCTATTAATGCCTTTTTTGAGCACTCTCGGTGCCTGGATAAGTTGGTGTAAGCCATCCAGTGCTGCATTGTCTCAGGTTTTCGGCGTCAAAACTGGACTTGGCTTATTTCCTTTAACACTAGACTGGACCCAAATAGCATCTCTTAATAATCCTTTAACAACACCTTTCTGGTCCGTTGGTTGCATATTTTTATCATTTGTTTTCTGGATATGGATTGTAATGCCGGGATTATACTACCAGAATCGCTGGCAAACAGCACATTTTCCCATTATGACGAATAATATATATGACACGAGTGGACAGGCTTACAATGCATCAAAAGTGGTTGACTCCAACTGGAAGTTAGATGTCAATAAGTTCAAAAAATATTCGCCCGTAATGTTACCAATTGCATTTTTACTAAGTTTGGCACTCGGGTTGGCTGCGTTTTCAGCAATGATGGTGCAGTTTCTTTTAAGGTTTCGCTCGGATGTAATTGAGCCAATCAGAAAGAGAAATTCTCAGCCAGATAGACATAATGCCATCATGTACAGATATAAGAAGTTTCATTGGTCTTTGTATCTGGCAGTCACGGCAATTGGCTTGGGGCTAGGTTTCGCATTTTGTGAGGGTTGGGATGATTCACAAATTCGTGCTCCAGGATTTATTGTTTCGATTGTTATTGGGGCCGTACTTTATCTTCCATTAGCATTGATAGAATCAAGGGCAAATATAACTGTCAGTTTACAATCTTTTTTTGAAATTATTTCTGCTTTTTGGTTTAAAGGACAGCCATTAACTTTGCTTTACTTTTATTGTTTTGGTTTTGCAACATTACAGCACTCCATGCATTCTGCACAAAGTGCAAAAGTTGGACATTATATGAGAGTTCCGCCTAGGGTTACTATGACTGTGTTGTTTTTTGCCGCTGTTTGGAGTTCATTAGTGAGCCCTTCAGTTGCTGGTTATGTTGTTAATCATATTAAAGATGTATGTTCCACGAACGCGAAAAATAACATGGTTTGTAGATCAACTAAAACTCAATTTAATACCCACTTAGTATGGGGTTTGTTCGGAAATAAGCTTTTCTCAGATGGAGGTCGCTATTCATGGGTTTTGTACTTTTTTTTAGTAGGAGCACTCATAAGCATTGTTCATTTTGCCATACTTTATTTTAGACCAAACAGTTTTGTTAAGCGACTCAGTCCTGTCTTATTGGTAGCTGGTGCATCAAATATTCCATCGGTCACAGGGTTCAATTTCTCAACTTGGTTCGTCGTTGCAGTAATATTTAATTTCTACATACGTCGCAGACACGTAGATTGGTGGAGAAAATATAACTTGGTGATGGCAATTGGCATAGACTGTGGGGTCGCAATTGCAGCCATTATTATCTATTTTTGCGTGGTTTACACAGGGGCATCTAGCCGTATTCAGTGGTGGGGTACCGAAGTTGCTAGCATAGGATGTGATTCCGAAGGTTGCCCACATTTGACAGGTACAATATCAGCACCAACTGGTTACTAAAGAGAAATGGCAATGACCTTGATGGTAAATACAGATGCGTTTGTCGACAAATAATTTAGTCAAGAATTTTCCTGTAAGAAGGTCAGTGCCCGTTTATCATTTAGAATGATACTATTATATAAATATCTAAATTGCAAAAAAATAATAACGAAAGTGAAAAAAAAAAATTTATTTTAGAGGAGCATGAAAGAAAGGCGAAGGTGTAGAAGCAAACTTGGAGCTGTTGGCATCTGTCATCATTCCATTAACTCCAATATTTAATTATTTGTGATTCGACAGAGTAACTTTGTAGGAAAGAAACCCAATTATTATTATTCACAATATTTTCTTTCTAGTCGTTGATATCTCTAATTCATAAATTATACCATTGAGGCTCTTTTGAAATTTCAACTACAATTGAACTGGTACATTTTTTCAAGAACAATTACCCTGATTGAGAACTAGTATGCTATGAAAGGACGATCTATCATTACATTACAGAGAAAATATATTACGAGAATGTGTCCTTACCTGGCTCTTCTCGTCGTCTTTCTCATCAGCTGCATTTATGGTTTCATATTCGGTGATATTTTGAGAAAGTTCTAATTCTTCGACAGCTCCCTCAGTATCAAGTATTCCTCTCCTATGAATGAGATACCATGTTAGGCCAATGAAAATGAAAGAAACTGCACACAATCCTATAGAGCAAGAGTATGAAACGCGATATGTAGGTCCAAATTTAGATTGATAGATTAATGGTCCAATGATTCCCATTAATTGGCAGCTACTATTGGTAGCACCTATCGCTAGTCCACTTGAAGAAGTACCTTTAACTACTCTTATTCTGTCTGGCCACATTATAGGAAACAAACTATTGGAAATTCCCGTGCTAAAATAAAATTGGTTAGTAATTAAGTCTAAGAAGAATTGGGTGCAAAAACCAAGTTGGGTTTTTATACTTACGCTATTATTAGCATAACATACTTTCCAACACTATTATTTATTGTTGCAAGTACGATATAACATATTAGTTGAATGAGTGACAATGTAAATGCCACTGGAAACGATTTGAGAAATCTTTTGTGAATCAAATTACCTAAAACGTTCAACAAAATGAAGCCAAATATAGTAGGCGGAAGTTGCATTAGTTGAGTGTTTGCAGTATCCGTGAATCCTAATTCATATACTATTGTCGGTAACACAAAAGAAATTCCCCATCCTCCAATTCCTTGGAAAAGCCATACACCAATATATGTGTAAAACGTTGGGTCTCGAAGAAGTACCTTTATAGTATCCCAATCGAAATACTTATCATCTTTTTTAGGGGAAGTCTTTGGGAGGTTGCTGAGAGCTACCTCTTTTTCTTCGCTAGTCAAAAACGAGCTTTCTTGAACGTAATTGGGAAGAAGAAAAATCTGAATGAATCCAAGTAAGATCGTCGGAATGCCCTCAAATATAAACACCCACCGCCAACCACTTAAACCCCTAGCACCATTCATGAACGAAATACCATATGCTAATAATCCACTAAAAGCACTGCTTAACATCCCAAAAGAGTAGAAAAGAGCTATTCTTTTAGGAAGCTCTCTTGGCTTGTAGAAGAAAGACATATGGTATAAAACAGTAGTATACCAAGATGCTTCAAAGAATCCTAAAAAAAATCTTGAGGCTATAATTCCGGAAAAATTAAAAGAAGTTGCTTGCAACATCGAAACGATTCCCCAGGAAATCATTATTCTTGTTTGCCATACTTTTGGTGAGAATTTCTTTGCAAGAAGAGTGAATGGAGCTTCAAAAATAAGATATGGGTAGTAGAATGCTGAAAGACACCATGCCCATTGAGAGGAACTTAAATTTCCAAGCTCTGTTTTAATATCATTTCCCTGTTCTGCATTGAGAATTGCAACATTCGAAATATTTCCCTTATTGATTTGAACAAGAATATATGAGACTGAATAAAGAACCAATACTCTATAGTCGATTTTCCTTAGTATTCTCTTGTAAGAAGTTGTTGTCTCTTCGAAATTATTGATCAGACTTGATTTTTGGCTATTTGTACTTATCTGGTCTGACAAGAAATATTCATTGGGCTTTTCGATCATTTTATAAGCTGTCTAACTGCCTACTTTCTATTAAAACGAAGTTTCCCTTCGTTTAAATTTGAATCATCAAGATTCAGAGAAGAGCATTTTCCATATTTAATAGGGTTTTTTTTTTTTATCAATCACATAAGAAAGTTCATTAAGATAATTAGTATTAGCCACAGTGTTAACCACTAAAATCATTCAGCGCCTGATAGCTGATTGAGAATAAAATAAAATTCCGTCTAGCATTGGGGAAATTATTTTAGAGCCACCACAGTTTTGTCAAAGGGCGATAACAAATACAGATCGAGAAATTCGCAACACGCGCACCTTATATATGTTTGAAATAATATCTAACCAAAAAAATACGTTTTGGAATATTGAAAATATGACATCTGTAGAGGGCCCCAAAAAATGGAAGGAGCCAGTTCCTACAAAATATGACTTGGACTGGGCTGATCTAAGTATTATTGACTTAAGTACATTTGACGAACCTGGAGGCAAGGAAAAGCTTGCAAGTGATCTTGAAAGAGCTGTAAAAAAAGACGGATTTTGGACTGTTGTAGGGACTGGAATATCAGAAAGTGAAATGCATGAGTTTTTTGGGCTTGGGCAGTATTTTTTTGATGGATACTCTGACGATGAGAAAAAGAAAATTGAAGTTGACTTTCTGCAAGGGAATTACTTCGGCTACAAGAAAAAAGGCAATAAGAATGTTTTCGGAACTTCAGTTAAAGATAATGTTGAGATTTTAAACATTGCAAAGTTTACAAAAGATGGTGAATTCAAAAAATACCATAAGCATAAATTCGTGCAAGATTATCATGAAGAACTTGAAACAGTTTCAAAAAGATCTTTTGAAGTGGTAAGAAAACTCCTTGTCCTTTTCGCAATCATACTAGAGCTTGACGAAAATTATTTTGTGGACAGACATTTGTATGATGATCCAAGTGATGACCATGTAAGGTTCATGAAGTATCACCCTCGATCTAAGGAAGATGATGCAAAAGTTGAAAATACTTGGTCTAGGGGACATACGGATTTCGGGAGTTTAACTTTGTTATACAATCAAGTGGTTTCTGGTCTTCAAATTAAATTATCAGATGGTCTGTGGAAATATGTTCCCCCTGTTAAAGGTGGAATCATTTGCAATATTGGAGATACGTTGAATTTTTGGAGTGGAGGTTATTTTAAATCAACTATTCATCGCGTTGTAAGACCTCCCCCGGATCAGGTGAATGCTCCCCGAATTGGTGCTTTCTACTTTGTGCGCCCTGGTGATAACGCACAAATCGAAATTGCACCTTCTCCTGTATTAAAAAGGTTAGGCTTATATAAGAAAACGCCGCCAGTGATAGGAACAGATTATGTAAGAGCAAGAGTAAAGAACTATCACGACACAAAGGAGTACTTGAAGCAGAACAACGTCAAATTTAAAGTTGGACAGTTTGAGATAGCAGATGGTTTCGATTAGGTGGTAACGAGACTATCTAATTGCGAGAAGAACCAGAGCTATAAAAAAAAATTGTATATGGAAGAGCTTAAATTCTTAATTAGCTCCAATGCACATTTGAAGGTTTCATTTTCCTATAGTCTAAATGCAAAAATACTGCACTAGGAATGTACCGAGGCATTGAACTCTTCTCATGTAGTCATTTAAAACTTATCGTCAATTGTATTGCATGATTTGTAGACAGTCTCAATTTAAGGTATCAAAAGACAACATTTTAAGACAAAGAAAATTCCAAAAAACTACAGCTCCATTGAAATCAAACTGGGACTGTTGATCCAAAATTAATTACAAACTAACGTGTATTAAAGAGTTTCATCCAGAGGAACTTAAGGTTAATTTAGTATCAAGATCTTCTCTCCTTCCAGAGTCCAAGTCGACTTCATGTATGTTTACCCACTTTGTCTTATTTACGAGCTTCAAAAAAAAGAAAAGTACAAAGAAGAATGGCAAAAGAATGTAGGCGTCGACGAAATTGCCAGCGTCGAAGGGCTTAAAATAGGACCATCCTTGAATCAAGCCAAGAAATATACTCAAAAGTAGACCAACCCAGGCAAGCCAAGGAAACCATAAGGCTCTATATGGTAACTCGTCGAGACTTCTCCCTTGAAGTTTCAATGCTTTCCTAAATCTTATTTGGAGGAAACAAACAGCTCCCCAGACAACAAAAACGGCAACACCAGATAAGTTGACAATATAATTATAAGCTTCAGCAGCACCAGTGCTTATATTCATCAACGATAATAATCCAAAAAGGTTCATTAAAATTACAGCATTATATGGAACACCATGCCTGTTAACTTTTCTAAGAATTTTGGGGGCAGAACCTTCGACCGCTAGGTTGACTATCGTTCTGGATCCAATGTATATGGAACTGTTAATTGCAGATATGCAAGTGATTAAGATAAAAGTGTTAATCAAATGTGCGCCCTGTGACCATCCTGCTCGTGCTAGTGCTATACTCATTGGTGATTTTAAGGTTTTTGTACCAGCCTCAAGCTCAGGTGCATTATATGGTACAGTTAGTCCATAACTTATTGCAACACCTAAATACACCAATAAAATTCTCCAGAAGGTCTGTCTAATTGCTTTCGGTAGAGCCTTGGAAGGGTTTTTACTTTCACTTGCGGCCAATGCTACGGACTCAGTACCAGAGTAAAAAGTAGAGGCAAACACGAAAGTATTTGCGAGCCCTTTGAATCCATGATTGAATGCCCCAGGGTCATTCCAGTAATGAAAACCGAAAGCCTTGGTTCCTTTCACCCCTCCAGCAACGTAAACAATGGAAAATATGTAGAATGCAACCAATCCGACTATCTTGAATAACGCTAGCCAATACTCGGCTTCCCCGAATGCCCCAACTCCTAAAAATTGAAAACCCAAGAAAAAAGCCCAAAATATTAGAACATATCCATAAAGGGGAACTTGAGGACCCCAGAATTGCATTATGGCAGCAACGGTATTGTATTCATTCGCTAACACTGCAATCCATATAATCGTATAGTACCATCCTAATGTACCACCGAAAGCACGATCCACAAGCTTGTTACCTAAGGTTGAAAATGCACCACCCGTAGGGTACATCGTCGATAATTCTCCTAAGGACTGCATCATCGCAAACGCTATTATCCCTAATATCATAAAACTGATCAACATACTGGCGGGACCATTCTCCAACGCCAAGGAAGCTCCAATTAAAATTCCAGGGCCAATGATTCCTGCTAGTGCAATCAACGAGAGGTGTCTATCTTTGAGTTTCCTTTTCAACTTGGTACTATCATCTACAACAGATACATCATAAGTCTCGAAGTCATTTATTTCAGTTTTATCAGCAGTTTTCTCCATTTTGTACCCCAAGTTAATCCATTCTTTCTACCATTAGTATCGATGCATTTTTATAGAAAATACAAACCTCATCTCTGATAACGCAATTTTGCCATCACGTGATTGTGAAATAGCCACACAAAAATTTCTCCTTAACGCCTTTCGATAAAAGTCGTGCGATTTCGTTCCCTCGATGCCATTCTTGTTGGTAATCATTCTTTAAGAACTATTAATCGTGCCTAAGAACAGACTTAGTAACTTAGGATTATAAATTTATATTTCATAGATTAAGCGATATATTCAGTGGCTCCTGGTAGCATTTTGTGGCAACCTTCAATCCACGAAAAAGGATTATTTTAAAAGTGCGGAGGCGTCGTCACATGCTTACAAGCTTATGCAGCTTATTGTAAGTCTATTTTCTTGGAAGAAAATATTTTAAAGGGTTATCGATGTTATCTTGCATATAATGTTTGGAAGGGACATAAGACGATCTCACTACAAGTTGTATGAAATATATTATTTGTTTCTTGTATCTATTTGTCTCAGCCCGTTAATCATTGCTTCTTTTTTCGTTTCTTTGGCATTAACTTCAAAATACGGCATTCAATTGATGATAAGTATGTACTGAAATGATGACATTCTCTTCTCTAATTGAAACAACTTCAATACGCTATATCTAATCCTTGATTAACCTTCATCGAATTCTCTTAATGAGCGACCTGATTTCTGGCCACTTAAAGAGACGATTTTAAAACTGAACTTGAATGCTAGGCATGTTAAGTTAATTTCGCCTAGTAATCTTGGCCAATCAGTTCAATTTTCTCAATTGTTCTTGTTGTATTGTTTAATTCGCTGCAAGAAGATTTTGTTGACCGTTTGATTCTGTAGCTAAGCTGGAGGGAGAATTCTGAGAAATATTGTCCCACTATGCTGAAATTATTATTTGTTTTATCATTTTCATGAAGCTCCGGAAAACTAGATGGCACAACTTCCAGGCCAATTTTGTTTCAGGTCAACAAAATCTTCACATTCATGATATCCGTCCAATAAGTCGAATGAAAAGGTTGAGGCATAAGCTGGTCCTATACATTTCAACGCATCATTATAAATTATATTCATTTGCTTAAGGTGCTCATTCGTATACACGGTCTTTTCAAAAAGTTCGTCTCCCGGACGCTTTTCATAAAACTCTCTTTCTTTAGTAGCATTTAAGTAGGACTTGTAAACCAGAGGCACAACGCCTGAATGATGGTACTCGTTGCAAAGTTTACTTACGCAATTTAAAAAAATGAGAATACATTTCTCAAGTTTTTGGACCACTGTTTCAAGATTTAAATGGATTGACTGCTTTTCGTCTGCATGATCATAAATATTTTCGAAATGGTACATGTGATATTTCAATCTAATGAATATCGCTATATTTATAAGATTTGCTCTGTGCAATATTTGTACGAAAGAAGAAATGAGAATCAAGACACCGACTGGACCACAAAAATTATTTGAATCTTCTGCGAGGGAAAGCAAAATTGGCAACATTTCACCCATGATGACGCATTGTGTCTTTTTTTCATAAAATAGCTTCAATTCCAGAATACTTCTACTTTCAAAGAAAAGGCATAAATGAACATATAATGGTAAAAGAAATGACCTTGTCGTTAAAATTAACTTAGCCTTGTATGTTTTGTTGTAGGTTTCCAATTCTGTAGAATCTAAAAAAGCAGGTGTCAAAAAGTCTCTCAAAAAACCAACACTCTTGAATGCCTCAATTTCAAAATTATTCATTAACTGTACGAAATCTGATACTTTTGTGCGTCCATTCACATCCAAAACTTTATTTATTATATCTGTTTTATATTTTACTAGAAAAGACAGATCCTTGAAATTTTGAAGGACAATTCTTTCCAAGGAGGACAGGGCATTCTTGCTTCCTTCTTCAAAATCCTCAACATCGCAAGGTTTTGTCGAGCAATAATTTCTGTTAATACATAAGACAGAACCCGATGAGCTGGCTTCCAATACGTCAAAAATCAGTAATATAGTCCAAATTTTCTTCCTTAATCTTTTTTCACGAATAGTATATCTTTGTGGTTCTCTATTCAATCCAAGTGAATATGCCATTTGAACAAGCATGCCCGTATTAATGCTATTATTTACCTTCTGATTAAATCCCTCTGCAATTTCTGGATCAATCCTTTGGTGAAGTCGCAAGCATAATGCGCACTGCAAGACAGGCAAGCTAACCCTCGATGTGAGATCATATCGCCTCAAAAACAAATTTGCAACATAGATAGCCTCATTGGTTATAGCATAACTCATATTACCAAAGTTCTTGTTATCCAAAATGCATAGTAAATAGCTGACACGTAAAATAACTAATAAACATCCTAAGTATGCAAAAGTTTCTTTATTTCTGATAACAGGATAAATCACTTCTCCATCAACATTTTCGTCGCCTATTATGTTAGATATTTCAACTCTGAAGTAATCCTCATCAAAAAAGGGCCAATATGCATATATATACCTGAAATATACTGTTATTAACTTCCATGTAATAGCTCTTGACGGCAAAATCGTCCGAATTACATGTAGTAAAGATTCAGTAGTCTCATATAAATGGCATGGATCTATGTCCTCTCGAGATTTCAAGCAGTCAAGGTCGTCTCGTACACTCGTATCGTTCTGTAAAAGACTCAATTTCTTATATCCCAACAACATGCGCATAGCTGGTTCTTTTTTCTCTATGAAGTCCCAAGATAAAGGCCCAAGACCCGTATCTGGAATATGTTCTCTGTCAAGTGGCGAACAGATACCATAAAAATTAATCGTTTCATCCGGACGGTCATAACGGTTTTTACCATTGACTTCTGATAATAGGTGTGAAATACCTTTGCTTCTCGATATAATCTTTTCACTGGTATCCTTTCGATATCCAATAGGAACCTTAAAGACTTGAAATCCTGAATCTTCAGATTGAAGCAATACGTTACTGCTCTCGTATACACATAGTTCAAGTGACTTATTCCTGATGCAAGCAGAGCATGGCTTGCGCTTATCACAACGAACTCTTCTTTCTCTGCATCTTCTGCAAGTTAAAGTTGGTCGTCTTTTTGTCATGCTTTGTAATTAGTTTTTTTATAAACGATTAAACTAATGTACATTGTGGTATATATATTGATCACGTGAAAGGAGATGTTATACTGTAGAGTTTGAAATCAGTTGATAATAGCCATAACAAAATAATTGGACATCAATCTAGAGATATCAGAGAGTGCAAGTGAAATGTAATAGAATGGCAAAGTAACAGAATTAGCGGAAATAAATATTTAAGTTACTCATATTAGAACTTAAACTTATATAAAAAGTCTGTGCAGTTTTCAGTACAAGGATTATTGTAGAAATTTAAGGGTTAATTCTTAAAAAGCATAATAAAACATGTGCTAGAATCATGAGTGCGCTTGGAGATCAATCGAACTTTCTTGAGGTACACGTAAATACTTATAATCTTTGTGGTGATTTTTCACTATTCTCGTTGTATCACTTTAGTGCCACTCTATTTTCTAATTTTAATCAAATTTGCGGAGTTAGGTAATAAACAGGGCCCATCGGACTGTATTTTCACTCTAAGTGTTCCGCTGGATCGGCATTAGTTGAAGCAATAAGTGCGGTTCTGAAAATAGACCTTATAGCCCTGGAAAGTGTCGAGAAAATGTCTGAGTCCTTCAGAGAAACTTCCATCCTATTTTACCTACTAGTCATCTATAAATATTTGATGTTACGTGTTATACAACTGCTATAGACTCCATGTATTATTTCTAACATTCCCGATCGCTCAAATCGGCGAATGAATCTCGAGCGAGCTTCCTATTTCGGAGGCTCGCTCGAGCTCTCGATCAAATTTTATCGTTGCGTCCTCTATCAATATAAAACAGAGTGTTTTCCATCTGTCATTGACCTTATGACCAGACTTTACTATTCCATTTGACTTCGGATAGATTTTAGCCTTCAACTTTTTAACTATTGAATAATTATGAATATCTTGGTTGTTTTTGGGGCAACCGGCCAACAAGGTGGTTCTGTCATCTCCCAAGTTCTTCAGGACAGTAATTTAGCCAAAAAGTTCAAGATTCGAGCAGTTACCAGAGATGCCTCAAAATCAAAAGCTAAGGCTCTTCAACTGAAGGGGATAGAAATCGTCACGGCTAACTTTAATGATGAAAGTTCCATGATACAAGCCATGAAAGGCGCGCACACGATTTTCGCAACTACCGTTACGGAACGCCTGAAAGACGGGAAAGAGCTTGAAATCGAACAAGGAAAAAAGCTTGCAGACGCAGCTATTAAAGTTGCTGCTCAATATTTGATATGGAGCTCATCAACAAACGTAAGCGAAATCACCAAGGGTAAACTTCGTCATGTCTCTCCCTTCGATGCGAAAGCAATTGTTGAAGAGTACATAACAGGATTACCTATCAAAAGTGCATTCTACATACCAGGATCATTCATGCAAAACTTCCTAGAAAATATGTCTCCCAAACCTCTCGGTGATGGTACTTACGGCATTTTTGGGATTGGGGAAAGTGATGTACAGGTCCCACTTATTGACATCGCTGCAGACACCGGTAAGTTTATCGCACCGATTCTTCTGGACCCTGAAAAGTTCGAGGGTAAAAAAATTGCAGCATACGATCGGATGTACACGCTAGAAGAAACTGCAAATATTATGTGCAAGATGAGTGGTAAGACAGTTAAATACGTAAAAGTTGATGAAGAAACCTATAAGTCATTTCTTCCTCCTCTGTTTGCTTTGGCAATTGTCGAAATGCTCAAATACGTTAAAGGTTATGGGTACTATGGAAGTAAGTCTTTTTCGACTGAAATGGTGACTCAGCTGGCGAGTGAGAAGCCTGTTAGTTTGGAGGAGTTCCTAGCCAAGCACCCGCTCAAACTTGAGTAGATCAAATTAATTGACTTTGAGTCTCATGAGATTACTTAAAAGCATGATTACTTTGTAAGGACCGAATTCCAAAATGACAACAGTTATGACAACAGTCATAGAAAAATAGCCCATATCTCACTAGACTAGACTCCGATATGAATATGAAGACAATTTAAAATGAAGAAATTCCACGTCGAACTGATTTACCACCTATAACCTTTTTTAGGCATTTTTGCTTCTCTTTGTTGATAATTTTATACTTTATACAAACCCTGCCAATTTTAAGGAGCAATGTAAAGATGATGTCCAAAACCTTTCTTACTATTTGCTATTTTTTTCATATCTTGAGCACTACAGCTCGATCCTCTTATGCACTGGTCGTACGTGTCTTGTGAGAAAGCGAGTACATGAGAAAAAGATGATGTTCGTTAGGGCATAGCATAATCTCTTTGATTCTCATAACTATGAAGAAAAGCTGAAGTTCTTATACTGGTCTAAATTATCCAGTCAAAATTCGCATAGTCAAATTTGCTAAGAAGGTGTTCAAAAGTTTTATTATTTCATGAGATAAATTCTTAAATGGGCTATCTTTTATCGCTCTTCTCTTGATATCGTCCATCCAGATTCCAATAATCAGTTTTCCACTATCTTTATCTCTTTTTTTTAATATGCTTTAGAAAAGGAATTGTTTGACCCTGTAGCCGATGACTACTAGAGGTCTTAAGCTTCTACGTCTGCAATGTATAATTTTCAAAAGTGCTCTCCAATCATATTGAACATCGTAATAAGCATTTGTTTATCTTTTCCTTTTCATGCTGCAATTTACTGATTTATATTAAAAGCATATAAAATGTTCTGATGATTCTTACATAAATAGTATCTCTTTATGCTATCCAAGAGAAAATATCGATCTATTGTGTTCTCATACTTTCCTCTTAGGGAATAAGTTTCCCGCGACCTTATCTGAATTTAGCGTGAAAGAATGTTAGATATAAGGACCTTACAGTACCCTATTTTACAAACTATTTGGGAGTCATTTAGATAAGATGCCAGAGGCACATGAAACCGTACCTAATATAGAGTCTTACAGTTTTGATGTCACTACTCAGACGACCCCAAATTCTAAGTTGCCTATTTTAGTATACAGAAACGTCTTAGATAAACATTTGGTAACCGGTGCTACCAAAAATAAAGAATACATTGATCATATGAACAGAGTTTTTATGAAAAATGGTTGGGAGGCATTAGTAAGTATAAGCAAATCTGATTGAAATCGCTATTTAGTATAAGTAACTAATAATCAGGGCGTTTTTCCTTGCATAACGAGAGCTCACTATCATCCCAATGTACATGAAGCGTACGCTGTGATTTCAGGGCAGTCTGATTTAATCCTTGGCTTAGACGTGAACTACAATCCTAGCAGTATGACACATGAAGACCTTAAAAAGCTCAGTTATTTAGAGCTATCCATTAAAGATGGTGATATCATAGTCATTCCTGCTGGTGTATCCCATTGCTCTAAACGGTATGATAAAGAGTACCGCTACGTGGGATTATATCCAATGAATGGTGAAAGGTGGAAATCTGTTTCGAGTACACAAGTTAAGGAGGCAAATGGTCACTATGATAATTCTAAGGATGTGATGGTTGCACAGAACGTTCCTCTTCCCATAGCTGACCCTATCTACAACAAAGGTGGTACTGGTACTCTACTCGAACTCTGGGGAGCTTCTTCATAATATTTTATTTTGCCTATTGGGCTCAAATTTGCTAAATTTTAATATCTTTATCATGTCCCATATTTAAAAAAGAAAAGATTAGGATGAGAAAGGTAAATGAATATTTTGACTTCAAAATGTAATCGTGTAGAGATAGACGGTGGTTTATCAAACCATGTATCTAATGTGCTCACCATGTTAAATATCCATCTAACTTTTATTATGTGTCGAGCAGTAACTTCGTATCAGTATGTCAATTAAAATTTTTTTTAATACTTTCAGCAACATTAGTTCCGAATACAACACATTCTAACAAGGAGTTTCCTCCTAACCTATTACCCCCATGAATACCACCGCTTATTTCACCAACAGCGTAGAGCCCATCAACAACATTATTATCGTTGTTTATTACTTTACCTTCCTCGTTAATTTTTATGCCTCCCATCGAAAAATGAAGAACAGGAGTTATCAATCCAACATAGAAGTGAGAGTTTTCAGGTGAGGGACATACTTTGCCAAAACTTTTGCGTCCAAAGCTATCATGTTGTCTTTCAATGTTATCATTATAACTATTCAAAGTCTGGTCAAGAGAATTCTTAATCAATTCTTTATTTACTCCAGATAAATCCAGAAGTAAATTGTAAACATCTGCAATTTTCAATTTCGACATTAGGCCCTTGGATACATAAAAGTCAATGTGATGGGGAGCTTTGAGATAATCGCTCTCGTTTAGCATAATAATAGCTACCGCTGAGTCACCTGCTATAGATAAAGTGTTGTTCGACAGGATTTTACAGCTTTGAAATATTGCAGTAGATACCTTATCTCTAGTAGTTAATTCATTTACAAATCGATTTCCTGATGGCGAAACAAGTATTGCTCCAATTCCACGAACAATTTCACCACACAAAAACTTCCATTTGTAATTCACTTCATCCTTTGTATGTGAATCGAAAGCTTTAATGAATCCCGTAGGATGAACCTGCACTTGATCCATCTGTATCAATTGAGCATCTACATCTCTTTCGGCAATCTTTTGGCCATCTCCTGTAGTCAATAGACTATTTGTCAGCGGAAGATCTAAAAGATCCGGTCTAAACTTCCTTATCAATGAGTCATTGCTTGCAAAATCAGCAGAGAATCCACCTGTTGCTAGTACAACGTAATCACCATAAATTTTTTCCTTATTATTAAGATTCTCATATTCAATCCCCACAACCTTTGTTTTATTTTCTGTAGCTAGAATTCGAACTAGACTAGAATTTTTTAGAATTGACAATGAAGTTCCACAGGAGCCTTTTGTGAACGTTTTCAAAGAATTAATAATCGAGGAAACAATATCATAGCCAGGAGGCAGTTTTCCTGACCCACAGTGGGTTCTAGGAAACGAGTGACCGCCAAGCTGATTCACTTTCAGTAAGTCTATATTAAGGTTAGGACCCGTTAGCCAATCAATTGCAAGCCTCGAGTTGTTCACGAGAATTTTTAAAAGCTCAACGTTAGATAGACCCTTCCCGGACCTTATGGAATCACTCAAAAATGCTCCTACTGAATCACCATGTATTCCGTTGGCAATCTGTTGCTTTGTTACAGATCCGTTGATTCCCGACGACGCTTTAATTGAATTCCCTCCTAGGCAATCGCCCTTCTCCAACATAATAACAGAAATCCCATGTTGCAATAGACGAAGAGCAGTTGTCAATCCTGCCAAACCGGTTCCGACAATTATTATCTTTTCTGATCCCATTCTGACCTCATCAAAGGAGATGTGTGTGAAAGGCTAAATCTCAGAAATCTGATAAGTGAATTTTTTTCAACAATAATCTGCAGGAGGTGTCTTGACATATCTTCCTTCTTTTATTTATCGACTTCTATTAAGAGAAAGGCAGCTAGAAGATCTAATCATTTTCTAACCTGGTGCTTTGAATGTCAAAGTCAAACAAAAGTCTATCAAGATAATTATATACAACTAAATTTATCAGCCTCTGCATCTTAAATAAGTACATCTTTGATTTGCTTTTATATTTTTGGCCAAACGAAAATGTGTGAAGGTCGTTTTCAAAAGGCTGCTTTCTTCATAGTTTGGAACTATACTCATTAATTTGTTTTTTCAAGTGATCACAAATTGGGCATAGCGAGTTAATCATTTTACAAAAGTACATAGAATCAGACGGATAACAAGCTGATGAGAACTTTTCGATAATAAAATAAATATATGCATTCCTTTCTATAAAATTTGCGATTATGGTAGATGCAACATTTTTGATTCTTCTGCATTTGAGAGTGCTGCTGTATATGCTAGGCACCATGTTAAACTTTGTCCATCATCAAGATATTTGGTTTTAAAATTCAGAGATGAGAAGAACTCATATGCACCCGATGGATTGAAAAGAGCCTCGTTCAATCGAAGAATTCCTGCCCAGTTACTCTGCACTTCGTCAACCCAGTACTTAATCTGGTTTTCCCATTCTTCTTTCACGAAGAACAGTCTTCTGATCAAAGAAGAAGCGGGAGTAATGGGTAACATGTGTATTCCATGAACATATTCGGGCCTATAATCTGGGTGACCAAAATATGTGTCGTAATTTATTTTGTTATCATGTAAAATCCCAGCAACTTTATTACCAATAAAATAGCTTGGTTCTATGGTGTTGTTTGACGCGTAAAGAAAATAGATATTCATTGATCTGCTCATTACCGCCAACATTAAATCCCCTCTAAGCTCCATTCTCTCGTCACCTGATACCTTGCCCCATAGTTTCATACCATAGGAGAAGTTATAATCCTCAGATGACGATTCTTCATTTTTACCATCTGGTGATGGGAATAGTCCACTAGCCCATGAATGACCATGAAACCAATCAAACATCCTGAAAGTTGGAAAATAAGTATCTCTAGATGATGGATTTGCAACATCTCTAATCAAAGAATTCACCCAATCTTTATTCTTTTCAACCCAATTACCACCGTATTGATTATCGACGTATCCAATAACCGCTGCTGCATGCACGAAGTATCCGTAGTGAAAATGATGGTCATTATAATAGCTTGAACCAAAATCAGCTAATGAGCCTTCTTCTTGATATGCCGTTGATGTCAAGCCTCCAAATTTTGTGTCGTACATTAATGGATAGTGTTGCCTATTATGCACATAGACCGCTATAACACCCTTCAATGTTTCTAATGTAGATTTTATAAGATCCTTATCACCAATTATATCATTGAGCACCAATAGTATGTATGCATATTTATCAAGTGCCTTTCCTGCAAAATATGTTGAATTTAAAGAGGTTACGGTTTCTTTGATATCAATTGCCAACTCTTTGTTAATTGCATTTCCAATCAAACGTAATTGCTCGGGTGAATAAAAGATTGGTTTCTTTTTTAATTGTGTCAACCAGGGTAAAAATTGCACATTTCTATCTAACGCTTCTCTCATTCTCAATTCGCTGGTGAGATAGCCATACATATTCCCCTTTGTTGTTGACGGAATGATGATTCCAGTATATGATGAATTTGTTGCTTCGTCAAATGAATAAATGTGATGAGGAAGAGTGAATATCATTGGTTTCCCTGACTTTGAGGAGCCTTTCAGAGAATATGTGAACCCATACTCGGCGGACTTTCCATCTTTAGCAGACGCAAAAAAATCGGAATGAGTCGTATATAAACCGGCTGCTTGATTATAGTATGAATCATAGTATGTAGAGCTAGGAGCCACTGCAAATTGAATTATCAATCCATCAACTGCACCTGAGCCTGTGATTGTATCCCAGCTAAGTCCTGTGAATTCGAAATTCTCATTGTTCGGAACAGTGATGTATGCCAAATATTCAACTGAATTGACAAGGGTAATTCTATATTTTGTAGTATTTGGCGACAAAGTTGAAGAAATCAATTTTGCCACAGCCTTTATCCCAACGCGTGAATGTATCTTGGGAATCAAATTTCCGTGGTAAATTGACGTTACAAATCCCATTCCCTGTACAACGGGTATCTCTATAAAATTATTCCTCTTCAGTTGGTCTTCATATAAAGTGACAAGAACCGACATCGCATTCAGTTCATTCAAAGTCATGAATAATTCCGAAGTAAAAGAATCTGCCGAAAAAATCAATTCTCCAGTATGTAATGGATTAGCGTAATAAGATTTTACAGTAGGGTTATTGGTATTGACAGTACCAGTATATCTGTACTGTGGAATGGAATGCTGTAGTTCAAAGCCGTAATAGTCTTTATTAGACAATGATAATCCGTAAGGGTAAGACCAAATCATGTCACTTTGATTGCCCAAAAAGAGATTAGCATAATATTTATTTGTCTGTAATTTGGGGGTTTCAGCAACACCCATGGGAATAGATACAGGTAATTCATATCTAGAGAAGACCTTAGGTACCTCATTTGTTGCTATGGGCTCGAGCAAGTTACCACTGAAACTATTATCCCTTGATGCGATGACTTTGTGGCGATATTCCTTGTAATTTTTGTTTAACTGCCTCTTAGTTACGAGCTTGCCAATAATATGAGGGTAAGATGTCGGTTTTATTTGTACTTTCTCTAGTAATGCTTCTTGAGCCAGTGAACTGGCTAGCCTCAAGCTAGTTGTACCCATCGAAACGCTTATTGACGACCCTCTGATTTTTGTATTTGCTGTAGTTTCGATAACAATTCCACGAGTTATTGTTTTTGTATGAACCAGATTTTCCAAATGGCTTGTGACATAACTTCCAGTATTATAGCTTAAGCTCGTCGTTGATACCACTGGATTTGTTGAAGTCAGTGATGAAGATGGAAAGGAGCTAGCCACAAATAATGTTGTCACGCTAGATCCAGCCTCCCTTTTTAATACTTGCCACTTTTTATTCCTTATTCTTTCACCCTTTGATTGAAGCACAAAGTCTCGTGTGACATCAGTAATATGGTTTTGATTGAGTGTCGTCTCATGCGATATTGTCCTTTCTATCTCCTTATATGTAGTTGTGAATTTAACACTATCAGTTGTTGTTTCAAAGGGTACTCCCAACCCATGTTCCGCTAGAAAAAGAGTCACCGCCATACATATTAGAAAAACGATTTGCATTTAATATATGACAGTAAGCTTATTGTCTGAAATTAATAACTATAATTGTCTTTCCATCAGAATTAATTCCGATGGAAGCGGAAATTTTTATAGACCTAATTCTTATACTGCCTGTCAAGGTATATATATTTTCAAGTGTGACGCCTTTCCACCTGTTATCATATTTTCCGAAGTCCGTTCAATTATTATTTGATTTCCTTAAGGTATGATTTCTCAGTAGTCGTATTAGTGTCAAATGTTTGAAAATATTGCACAATTTTTTCGCAGCAAAAAAATATTGTCGTATCTAAGGACGTCATGAATATTATTTAGCCGCATGAAATTGAGAGGCGGCTCAAATGTGCGATCATAAAGGAAGAAATGGGAAAAACCGTTATAATTCAAGTTCAAGCAAAGGCTTCAAGACTACTTTAGCTTGACCAAATATAAGAAGCTCACCTGTCGACTATAACATCATGAAGATCAGCCTCTTCTTGGTAACTTTGGAGCAAATAATTATCAAAAATTTTAGGACAATTAAAAAAAGACATACAAATTTCCTTTCTGCCCACTGTTGCCGTTTCTGGATTGAATCTAAACTCTTCTAGATTTTGCTGCATTAATTTTTTTAAAAATATTTCATAACTGTGAAATCGAGAAATGAGGTGAAAAAGGACTCTCGTAATAAAAGAAAAAAGCATATAAAGATCTGTATTTGCTTTACATTAGGTGTTTTTCGTAAGCGTTATCATAGCAATCGAAATGTTATTTACAAAGGGATTAGCTTTGAAAGCAATTTTTTTTTTCATTTTTTTAATGGTAGATGCTGATTTCACTGTCACACCTAGATCGGTAAAGGATAGCTACGTGAACGGAACATATGACGGAGAATTTCATGTCATTGGAGCTAAAAATTTCGAATCTGAAGCTTCAGAAATAAAGTACGTTTGCATCTGTCAGCCAATTCATGAAGATGTATCTACTCTTTCTTCAAGCTCTTCGGTCAGTAGCGAAATATCGTCGAATACTGAAGTAGAAACTGAGTCTTCTTCTACGCACTAAGGGGAGATTACATCGGCCAATTCAGAACCAGAAGTTCAAACGACTCCAACCTCGGCATACGAGGAGACGTCTCAAACGGGATCGCTTACGTCAAATTTAATAGGTGCTTCATCTGTTGTTTTGAGTACAGAATCTGTTATTTACTCGACAAGCTCAAGTCCAGTCGAAACAATTCTTAATTCAGGTACCGAATCGTACACTTCTGTTTATGCAGAATCCTCCTCTGTTGCAAGCTCCGCACCACCAAATTATATCACTAGTCTTCCGGAGAGTTATGAGTTGAGCACTATGACAGGAAGTGTAGAGCCTAGCTCAATTGAAGTGGTCACAATTGGATCAATTCAAGGTTCCTCAGTTGAATCGAGTTACAGTGCTTCAGTTGAGACTTCAATTGTCTCTGAAGAGAGCGGTTCGTCGTCAATCGTGCCTTCGATTCCAGTAGAATCAGAAGTACCAGTTTCTAGTCCTAGTGGAGAAAATGGTGGTGCACCCGCAGGGCCTTCTGTACCCATAGTGTCTCAGGATGGTGCATTTCCAGTGAGCCAAGTGTCATCTTCGTTATATTACCTCGCTATAATTTTGAGTTCACTTGCTCTTGGTTAAATTTTAGTGTATTTTATATTTGCACCACATTTAATTTTCTTTGATATTACCCCAAAAATTATACTCAGTACAAATATAATCTTGTAGCTCCTAATATCAAGCCTTAAGTACCAAACCCTTATTTCAATGAGTTTTTAAGCTCCATCTCTATGTCAGGAATTTAATTTTGAAGTTACTCTGCAGTTTTAATCGTGTCACGTGCTCCATCTTGTGGAGTTGAGTTTCTGTAGACTTCGCAGTGTATATTCGGAATCATTTAAGGAAAACTGTTCTTTCTTGAGCAATCTTGCTTTTTTATCCCTCATGGAATCTGACTGGAAGAGGCGCCCAAGGCAAGTTTGTACTTCATGCCAGCGAAAGAAAATAAAATGTGACAAATGCCGGCCTTGTTCACAGTGTGTTAAGGCTAAGAAAGAAAGTAGCTGTGTCTATCAAGATTGGTTGAATACGACGGTACCGAAAGCTCATTCTCCAGTTTCGCAAAAGAGAAGGAAAAACTCTTCTAATAATTTAAATAAGAAACCATGTGGCTCCATTTTGTCATTCGACTATACTCCCGAAGACTCTAGAGTTAGTTCTGACGACAATAAAATTCAAACTTCCACCAAAATGACTTTGATACCAACGGCCGAATTGGAAGAATTAAAACTGAGGCTTCAAGTGCTAGATGAAAGCTTGAAGAATTCAGGAATAACCAAGGTAACCTCCACAAAACAACCTATTAATCGTGTCATATCGAAGTACTCGTGGCTGGAAGAAGGTGAAATACCTACCCTCTGTCAAAATCCATTTGGCTCTAACAATGAAGAGATCAACTTTTATTCCAACTATTCCCCAATATATACGTATTACGAGTCTAGACGTATCAACTATGGACCATTTTCATGGTTCTCTTTCATGAGAAAGGATTCTTATTTATTGATACTTTGGGAAGACATGGTAAAGAGAAAGAGCGACGGCTTACAAAACGAGCTTCAAGAAAGCTCTACAGAAGATACTGAAATGATGGCATCATCATTTGAAAATGACAAAACTACCCATTCTGAAAAGGAATTTAAGAAAAGAGAATTAGAAAGTGAAGGAATAGCAGACACTATGTCTTATGATAGCATTCTAAAAGTGGGATTTCATGAAAGACTAAAAGATTTACCGGACAAAAATAGTTGGGCCTTGGGCTTGACATTTTTTGATGGACCTTTAAACAAGGAATTACAATTAATAGATCAAATTAGAGTCATATTACCGAAACAAAGAGTTATATGGAAGTTGTTGAATAGGTTTTTTTCCTGGTTATACCCCTTTATGCCTTTCTTGGATGAAAAAAGCTTCAGAACTGAAATTTCAAAGATCATTGGTCCAGAAGATTACTTGGATGCGAAGATTACGGATCTCAAAGTGAAAAAGAAGTTGGATTTGGCTCAAATAGGCATATTACTTATTGTGCTTCGCTTAACGTATTTCACTTTGTTTTGTAATAATAACTCGATAAATGAGATGAACTTGACAACTCAGGAATCTTCAGAGGAGGCACAAGAAATGAAGTACCTACTTTTAAATCCAATTAATATTAATTTCATTGATGTTGCGCAGTCCTGTTTATACCAGTTTAATTTATGGAAGAGAACTAATCTCACAGTGCTTCAGTGCGCTCTATTTTTCAAGTTGTATCACTTTTATGCCCCAGAGAGTGGGGACGGTGCTGACGATAGCGATTCGGAGCTATCTCATGTTTTATTAATTCATATGGCTTGTTCCATAGGATTAAATAGAGAGCCGACGAGCATCAAGAATTTAGAACAAGAGAGACGCACCTTTCATTTAGGAAGAAAGATATGGTTTATTTTAGTGTACTGGGACATTTATTATTCGTTCACTTTTGGATCACAATTACATACTAGCGCAACATGTTACGATACAGAATTACCTTCTTTCAGTGTTGATTCTGCAAACACATCAGATTTTCATCTCGAGGAACAAGTAGTAGAATCTTATCATTTTTACCATAAATTCTACTCCCACCTCAAAAAGTTAGTCAGCTTAATTTTGAAAGTTGGTAAACCTGTGAAGTTGAAGGATTTAACCTCTAAGTTGAGCTCCCTTGAAGAAATATGTCATGATATTTTTCAATCGCCTCAAGCAAACACAACAATAGGGGATATCTCTGTCGGATATGTGAGGAATTATCGATCTAAATTATGCCTTGATATCAAATGCTTCCTAATTTCACTTTACTTTCATCTCTGCTTATTTTATGAAGAAAAGAAGAATGAGGAATTATATTTCTTTTATTTGAAGAAAATGCTTTTGATGTCTACCAGTCAAATTATGCCACATTTTTTCTTATTGTTAGGAGGTGATATCTATTGTGATTTTATTGTTAATCCATCTGTTGAGATGGCAATACAAAAATCAAATCAGGTTCTTTTAGCAGTCCTCTTAAGAATAAGTTTCCTTCTTCAAAATTTAAAATTTGAAAATGATCATAATATGAAAATGCAAATGGACCAAAACTATAGACATTATTTTTTTAAACTTGGTGAATTAGCGGGCAAATTGAAGAAGTGTTCAGAGATAAGTATTGCCGCGAGTTCGAAAATTAGTAATCGCTATTACTATGCTTGGAGGATTACGAAAGCACAAAGGTTTTTGCACCAAGAGATATCTGATGAAAATTTTTATCTTGATAACTATGACAAAGGAAACGCATTATATTTCAATAAGTTGACTATATCACAAGTAAATGAGTTGATTGAAATTTGTGAAAATCCTATCAAAGATATTCTGAAACAAAGAATGTCAGTACTGGAGACTGAAGGCTTCGAGAGTAAAAATGCAGATAGGGCAGCAGTGGGCTCTTTAGATTTTCAAGATGGTATTCATCTGCCGTATTTTTCTTTTGAAAGTTATCCTACAAAAGATATTTATGATTCGAATTCTGTCTTCGATTTCAGTGGCCAAGATAATACGAATGTCGATAATCTCTGGGTTCAAACAATCGCAAAAAAGAACGGAATTAGTATTAATGACTCTTCTGCTAATGAGGTTGCTTTGAATGAATACTCAACGGAAAGCAATAACAATATATTTGAATTAAGCATGGCCTCGTCTTATGACATACTTGGAGAACTACCTCTTACAGAGATCTTTAGGCAAGCCGATAGTAATACTTCGAAAGGGAATTAATACACTTTGAATATTGGAACCAGATTTTGCTGCATAAAAAAAATGAGGCGTTAAAAGTCCGGCAAGAAGATCGCGACACAAGGGACATTTCAATTTATTTCGGTATAATTTCTCCAAAGGGTAATCATACCGATATCTCATCGGAATGATTTACAAAATAGGCAATGATATCGAACATCGGAGAAACTGCTGAAGTAAGTTACCTTAGTATCGCTGAGTTCACTGCACAACTTGATTAAAATTGAAGCGCAATTAGAATTTTTTTTCTATAAATGAAGCTGATTCTACCTTGGATCCAAGTTTTGTAAGCCGAGCGATGGGTATGATAGAAACTTTTTTAAGAGATAGTTTTGTTGGATATTTGTTGAAGAAGAGTTTTAATTGGAAGCATTGGAAATATCCTGAAGAAGATGAATCTTATGGTATCCCTGAGGCGTACAGAAACTATATTTGGAGTTTGAAAGGAGAAAAACCCTACCTTGATTCCGATGAGAATTTCGTGAATCCGTTGGAATCGGAGTACATTAAAGTGAGTTGGGATAATGAAAGCGATCCACAAAACCCACGGAATTGGCCATTAATACAAAAATGGGTATTTGTGTTGGAGATTTTGTTTCTCACATCCTCCGTATATATGGCTTCTTCGATCTATACCCCAGGAATCCCGGAACTTATGGAGGATCTCAAAATCGGACGAGTCTTAGCGACATTGCCCTTAACACTTTTCGTAATAGGATATGGCGTCGGCCCAATGATCCTTTCTCCGATGTCTGAGAATGCTATTCTCGGGCGAACATCGATTTACATAATTACTATTTTCGTATTTTTCATTTTGCTGATTCCAACTGCATTTGTTAAGAATATAGAGGGTTTGTGCATTTTACGGTTTCTCGGAGGATTTTTTGCTTCTCCTTGCTTAGCAACAGGTCCTGCATCTATTGGTGATATCTTTTCTTTGCCATATGCTCCCATGGTAATAGGCGTGTGGTCAATAGGAGTAATGAGTGCGCCTTCGCTAGGACCTTTATTGGGTGCTGCAGTGACATTAGCGGGCGGTTGGAGATGGACCTTTAAATATATTCTTATACAGACAGCAGTTGCATGTTTGCTTCTTGCTCTTTTTCTTCCTGAGACCTCCGAAAAGACTTTGTTACATAGAAAGGCACAAAGGTTAAGAGACTTGACATGTGACAGAAGGTTCTTAAGTGAGGGAGAATTAGAACTACAAGGACTAACTTTTATTGAGATATTGATTGATACATTATGGAGACCAATTGAAATTACTTTATTAGAACCAATGGTACTCGCAATTAATATATACCTTGGATTAATATACTCCATAGTGTATTTGTGGTTTGAAGCATACCCTATAGTATTTGGCGAAATGTACAAGTTCGGTCTTGTTACCACTGGTTTATCTTACCTCAGTATTGTCTTGGGAGGAGTATTTGGGGCATTAATATATATACCTTTGACTTATAAAAATTTTACAATTCCTTCCCTTAAAAGAGAAGACATTTCTCCGGAGTCAGTCTTATTCGTTGCTATAATTGGAGCAGTTCTCATGCCAGTAGGTATATTTATATTTGGATGGACTGCCAACCCACACATCCATTGGATAGTTCCCATAATTGGTGCCTGTATCTATTCCATAGGAGCTTTTTTGACATTCCAAGCCTTGTATCAGTATTTGAGTATGTCGTTTTGGAAGTACATGGCGTCTGCATTTGCTGGTAATGACTTGTTTCGTTCCGTGATGGCCGGAGCATTTCCTATATTTGGTAAACCTTTATTTTCGAATTTGTCTATTCCAGAATTCCCCGTCGCTTGGGGTTCAAGTCTTTTAGGCTTCATTTTGACTGGAATGATAAGCATTCCACTCTTATTTTATTTCAATGGGCTGAAAATGCGTGCGCGGTCTAAATATGCTTCTTAAGGTTAGAAAGCCGTTATGCGATTTGATGGGTTTACTTTTTATGAATAGAACTTATAGAATTAATGAATAAATACAGCTTGTTATCACTTCCAGATAGAACTTCTAGATTGAAAATAATCAACTTAAATCTTTAGGCAATGAGACAAAGAATATCATTTATTGATCTGTTGAAATTGTTGATAATTAAATGCTTATGCACTAGAACCGACTATTCATTATATTTGTAGGTTGAATATGGTTTTCGCCATTCTCTGAGGATCTTATAAATTTATTTCCCTGATTGGGCACTTTTAATATTTATTTTACTATTAAAAAAGCTGTAAAATTTTTTTCAATCTATGTTTTCAAGATAATCTTTCCAGCCTGGATTAAATTAAGGTAAAATAAATAAGTAAGAAACAGCTCCAGGTAACACAACTGGATCGAACAACTCATAGTCATCTAGAAGAAAAAAGTCCATCAAAGTTTTAACAAACCCCAAATTATAGTAGAAATGTATTTATATCTTGAGAGAAAATGATTTACTGCCACGTTCGGTTAAATTTCGTGAGACAATTTTCAACAAAAATACAAGCACACAAGATGCTGCGAGGATATATTCAATCAATTAATAAAATATTTGAACATTCTTTCTCAAAAACGAAACTGCTCAGTAGATTATCTTTTCATTAAAGTTTCTTCTTAGAAGTATTTCACGAAAGGAGATTTAAATTTAATATTGTGAAATATTCATTTCAAATTCTCAATTTATTAGTCCTAATAATTTGAAAGTGAACTATTTTGCAACAATATATACCCATATTATAAGCAATTTAACTAACAAATACTGGATTTGGTCAATCCCTATTCCGCATGCTATTTCGTCATTCTAATTTGTCTTTATTCCGCATAGCTTGTTCAATATATGATAAAGTCATAGAGTGATAAGGGAACCATATGAAACAATTTAAAACGATAAGACATCTTTTAAGAAGCACAAATACCCCTAGTATTTTTAGTTTGCAAGCTATCAATAGAAGGAATTTTGGAACTAAATTTGTATTACGCTTTTATAGGAATTTTATTTGATATATATTCAATTTTTCAAACGCAGTTCACACAATTCTCTCCATCTCTGTGCTTCCATTTTCCACCATCTTGCTTCGAAAAGAGAAGAGGATAGCTCTTTTTCAAGCTCCCTGACCCTTTCATCGAGTATTTCGACTTCTTTTTGTCGTCTTTCACGATACCTTCTAGCGGCCAATGTATTTTTCACACGCTTTCTATCTATTTGTTCCACTTTTGTTCCATGAACTGAGTATTTTACGTAGTCCCTGCGCTTTCGCTTCTCTAATCTCCGTCGAACATCAGTAATTCCATTTATTGATGACGGTGAAAAACTTGAGTTGCGAGACGAATCATCACTATTCAGCATAAACTTCCCTGATTGATCTATCCATACTAAATTCTTATGTTCCACTTCTAGCGATTTTCCGGTTTTAAAAACAGATGAGTTGGTGATATCTTTCTCCTGGTCATTAGTAACAGTAAGCAGTGACAAGCCAGATATAGATGAGTTCAGAGCAGTTACTCTTTGGGATCCATCCATTTCACTTGAAGATTCTGAAGAGTGAGCCCAATTGAAGTTGAACGAGCAGTCATTCAATGGCTCAGTAGGAGCACAGGAATTATGAGAATCGTCATTTTCAACGAGATCATTAGTGCTGAAGAAAGTAGATCCAAAATCTGATAGACATTCTTGTGATGGTACTTGCACAAAGTTGTTCTCCCATGATAAATCTGAAATTAAAGCTGTTAGTTAGTTGCGCCGGTACTTATATGAATGCCGACGCTCAATTTCACTAAAATATTAGCACTCTAGTGCTTTGTTTTTTTTTTAAATAATATGTTCTATCACAGCTCTAGAACCCAGGATCTCTCTGCAATTTAAATGCCGACGATAACTCGACTCCCTTTCCGCTTTTGGAAAATGAGTAATAATTGCTAATACAATGATGTGTTTTACGCTAAGAAAAATATGAAGAGCATTTTTCAGACTTTGATAATGCATAAAGATCTCACTCTTCCCCCCTTTGGCAATCTTGACTTCTTCAAAAAGATAGAACTGTCTGTGTCCTTGTTCATAGCAACTGATAAGTGCAACCCAAGATGATTCTCTAACATAAATATCTCACCGTGGATGTTAATACTTCTACTAAAAGTGATTATTTTTTATCATATTATCTAATGCTTTTCCCCTTTAAGATCAACAGTACCCTATGTTTAGCTCTTAATAAATATTTGCCAAAAGGATTTCCAAGCTTAATCACAATAAAGCATCTATAAGTTGAAAAAATATTTCATATAGTATCGATTTCCTTTCACCTTAATGCATTAAATACTGTTATACAGGTGGCCAGACTAATCTCTTTTAGTTTAATCATTTTGGTTTTGTTGCAACTCTTAATCTTTAAAGTAAGTTTGAAAACTAAAAATGCTGAGCCCAAGAAATATACTCCAATATTTGAATTATAGAATCATGGTAAATTGTATGAAGCGGTATTTTGAATTAGATTTGTGTTCCGCCGCGTCGTTTCTAATCTTGATTGAACCCTTTATGTGTTTCGTAGTGCGACGTATTTAATTCAGTCTTGAAATATTTTACTAGTTGAACATCTTTAACACCTTTCAAATATTTGAGAGCAATTCTCAAGGTAGTCAGAGTCTTCCGATTTGTTTGAACGACAATTTCTAATTGCATTAATATTTTCAATAATTCTACTAAAAGGTTACAATGAAAGAATCTGTTTGATTTAAGGCTAAGAAAGTTCCTAAAATGATATTTGAAAGACCGAGGGAGAAGTTCTTTAATATAGCAATCATATAATCAATTCAGTTTTTTTTCTTAACATAGACTATTTCTTTATACCAGAAAGTATAAAATTGTATTGTCTGGAAATATTTCATCTGAGATCCGATCCTTAGGTTTTAAATTTTCAGTATTTCCACGATGGCTTGTTTGGGTTAAACAAAGAGTGTTACTAAGATTGATAAGTATGCGAATAGTTTCTGGATAGCGGTAGTCTTATAAAAATGAATAGCCTCTCCTTTAGAGGACTTACTTGTGCTTGTAGCTGTGACACTATCTAGTTTGTCAACAACAGAATACCCTGCTTCTTCGATCCAGCTGTTTAATTTCGAAGCTGAAATATTTGAATCAAAGGTTGATGAATTAGACATAAATACGATGGCATTTCCATCCTTATCGAATACGACGCCCCCTTTCATGGTTCCCTCTGTATCACGCGTCAAATGTCCATCGGCTTGAAGTCCATTTTCGATGTCACCAGTTCCTTGGTAATCGTGAACAGTTGAGTATAAGTCGTTAGCCTCCGTAGTATTCATAATTTCAAAAATATCAAACTCACCACAACCTGATCGCCAACATGAACAATTAACATTCAGTGCATATTGAGAAGTTCTAGGAATGTGTGCGTTTAGTAACCATATTGCAGGCATGTTGTAATTTGAAGTATCCTCATCCTTCTCTGATTCCGTTGGCATCTTAAACTCAAAAAGAAACATCTTAATTTTCCCATAGTAACCATGATATGCTGGTATTCCGGATCTATAAACACCGCAGTCATTATCGAATCCAGACGAATCACAAGAAATATTTGAAAATATAACGTATTCCTCGTTAGAGGATATTTGAGCATCTTGACTCAACACAGTCGACTCTTTGGCCTCGCTTGTTCCATTCGAGCCTGCATAAGTTAATGCTTTCCCAAGACATGGAGAATCTGTACCTGCTTTAGTCAAGAAAGTTACATTTTCCGACGTCGAAGAAGAGGCCCCATAATAAGCTCTTCTTTCCCAACTCCCTGATGAATTGTCCCCGACCAAAAAATTTTCTGAAGTGAAATACCCAAACAGACTTAACACTAAGGGGCCTCTGAAATGAACAGATACTTCTTCATTAAATGGAGCATTTGAACCCGAAAAACTTGTTGTATCGTCGCTCAATTCGCAAGTACATTTGTCTGATGTTACGTCAGAAAGTTCCTTTACTAGTTGGTAGGTTCCTGAAAACCCAAGGTTTTCAAATTTAATAACGGAATAAGAAGAAGATCCTGATGATGAATCAGATCTATCTTTCAAGCTTAAATCGAAACTTTGGGAAACATGTTTCACACTTTTTGCAACTTTTTGACCGGTGACAACTATTGCAGCGAAATAGCAGAAAGATAAGAATATAGAGATATGCATTTAGCAGATGTATGTCTTTTCAGAATCTTTGACCTTTCAAAAATTTTGAAGATAATCTTCCCTTTTATATTGTTTCTTGAAAACAAGGCTTGTAAGATAAGAGTGATATTAACTGAAATTGATATGCAGTGCGACATCACCAAATTAAAATTGTTTCACGGGTTCAGGAAGTATTGAGCCGAGAGAAGACTGCAAAAATAAATGTGCAGTTTGGACACACATTCAATAAATATTAGAACTGTTAGAAATCTTGCCCTAATGTTTTCCAAAATCTATGGTTGAAGATTTTACCCAATAGCAGATATATGTAGTGAAAAGTTATGTAACAGGGAATTGCAGGATACGCTTCTACTGCTCAGCTTCTCAACTTTTTCAAATAGATAAATAAGAGAATCTTATAACTTTTGTTTGTTCACTGTTTGATCGTAAACATTACCGCCACTGAAAAAACCCACCAGCTGTTCAGACCAATAATAGCATGGTGTAAAAATATTAAGAACCGTTGGAGGCAACCGAGTCCTCAGCAAAAAGGTCAAGATTAATGCTCCGAAATTTATTATTCCTTACAAATAAAAGGTGTCTTGCTTCTTTTCTTCATGTCAGCTTGAATTTCATTTAATTGATAGGTATCCATTTGATCTTTTATACTGTAACGAGAGGACTGCTCAATTACTTATTAATAAGACAATCGTCGAATAAATCATGCCTGGTTGAGCTATGGACTCTCCTGCACCCAGTCAGTAAAAGTTAATAATAGAGAAAAAAGCTCCAGGTTGAAAATCCAAGGGAATTACTATGCTTTTGGCTTATCTTCTTGACTAGGACATTCAGGCTGTATAAAAGTGGTACCTAAAATACTCGACAAATCTCTCAAGGTTCATTAGGTGCGGAGGAGATGTTGAACTTCTGTATGTGATATCAGCGTCATGGAGAAGTCATCTGTCTTGTCAGCAGTAACCAAAATATATGTCATTTATATTATTTTTTGATGCGTTCGCACAGATAATTCATTTTGCAAAATTTCAAATCACTTTTAACGATTTCTATTATCTAAATAATTACTCATGAAAGAGGCTTTTATATTTGTAAATACATATCCTTGCAGGTCCTATTCAGTTCTACATAATTTGTCTATTTCATCACTTGATCAAAACCATGTTCGCTTCAGAAACATTTAAGCTCATAAATTTTTTCATTACCCTGCAGACTCAAAAACCTAAAAACCTATCTCTAATTCTGCATATATATAGTACACGCTTATCATATTTCATTCTCTCACTTGTTAAAAACACAATGCCACGATTGATAACAACGGAGTCATAAAACTTCTTTTGGCTCTCTTTTGTAAATGGAATTGTGTGACTCTCAAAAATGGTAGCTGTAACTATTTCTCAACAAAACTTGAAAAGAAACCAAAGATTATTAATAGCAGCCACAGTGGCTCATTTCTGCTATGATATAAATTGGCTGCAAAGAACATGGGAAAACTCTAATCTCGCTAATATTAATAAAATATGTCACCCTCTCAAGAAATTCAAAATCTCAAGAAACACGATTCTTTGGAAGAAGCCATTCTGAGTCTTATTTGCTTATCAAATAAAAAGAATGAACTCAAATCTTCCTATAAAGGGGGGTTTTCGGATTCATTTGTAGAAAAGTTGCCCCCGTCTACAAGATTAAGATATGACAGATATGATGTTGATTTATCCGAAGGGTATCCTGCAAGGCCACTGACGGAAGAGATTCCGGTATTTCTTGACGAGGCCGTTGCGATTAGAAATGAAGAACTACCGTACATTGAAAGAGCAAAAATTGCTGACCCAGACAAAAAGGCTTTGCTTGGTTCAGCAAAAGATGTTATACACTTGACGAAGCACATTGGTACAGAGATAGTGGGATTGCAGTTAAAGGATTTAACTGATCAACAAAAGGATGAACTTGCTCTTTTGATTGCTGAACGTGTGGTGGTGTTTTTCAGAAATCAAGATTTATCTCCACAAAAACAGTACGAGTTGGGAAGTTATTGGGGTAACGTAGAGAAACACGCTCAGGCTGCACATGTCCCAGGGATTCGGGGAATTACTGTTATTTGGCCCGATTTTCAATTAAAGCAAGGTTTAAATGCCAATTTTAAGAATCCTGCTGGAGGGTGGCATACAGACTTGACCCATGAATTACAAACTCCAGGCATAACTCATTTGCATAACGATGCTATTCCTAAAGTCGGAGGTGATACCGCGTGGGCTTCAGGATACGCTGCCTATGACAAGTTGTCGCCAGCTTTTCAGAAGTTTTTGGAGGGTAAGGATGGCGTCTACATATCTGCTCACGAATATATTGATCGGAATGATCCTTTAAAAGGAAGGAAAAGAATTGAAAGAGAGCACCCAATTATTAGAACAAATCCTGCAACCGGCTGGAAGTCATTGTTCGTAAATCGGTCTATGACAAGAAGAATCGTAGGTTTAGAGCCAGAAGAATCGAAGGTAATTTTAGAATATCTATTTGGAATCTTTGAGAAGAATTTAGATATCCAAGTTCGTTTTAAATGGCAACCAACTGAGGAAGGCTTGGGTACTTCTGCCTTATGGGATAACAGAGTAAGCCAACATTTTGCCATATGGGATTATGAAGCAAAAGAACCAAGGCATGGTACCAGAGTATCCTCTTTGGCTGAAATACCATATTTTGATCCTTCATCAAAATCACAAAGAGAATCATTAGGTTTAGATTGACTGATAAGTTAATTCCAGGTTCTTTTTTGAGTAAGTGTACGTCATTATTGTATGGTAAATAATTTATGAAATGTGTTTGAAGTATGTGTTGTCAAAGTAAGCAAGTAGATAGTTTGTATTTCTAGAAAATATCACCTTATTAAGTGTATAATGACCCTGAATAAACTTCACGAAATTTGTTTGCGTGTCGTATTATGGGTTGAAAAGAGTTTTTATATTTTTATATTATAACAAATTCTCGGATCTGATGCACATTCCACATCTAGCTAATGAGGAAATGAAAAAGTAGATGTTCTCAAGTAGATAGTACTGCTCTTAGCTGGAATTTCTTCTTGAGATTTTGGCTCCAGTTTTGGAAATTTTGCTTTGTCGATGGCTCTTCTTTACAAGAAATGATAAATTGTTTTCGCAGCCAATCTTTGATTTGAAAAAAAAAAAATTGATCTTCCATTTTTTTTCTTTCCTACTAACTTTTCTTTTTCCTAGCTTGAAAATGCACCCTTGGGATTAGCCAAATTAAATTTTAATTGAACTAATTGAGCTTCTTTTGTTATCATCTTCATTGAAAATCCTTACATAAGCAAACTTAAACCTTTCTATTGAATACAAATTAAAATCAGATAAATCTTCATTTTCATTACTTGATTTTTATCTTTAGGGTAACTTTCAAGCTGTCAAAAGAAATTCCTTTCACTAAAAGACGTGGTTAAAAAACAAAATGGAAACACCTTTTTAAACGACGAATGAAGCACCTCTCATCAAAATCACAATATAAATCTTCACATCCTTGCTCTTTATTTTTAATTTGAAGAATCTTCGTAATGGAGCCAGCTGCCGTATTGTTTTTTTCTCTATTGGTGGTGGAGAACGAAAAACGACAAAGTCATACTCTGTGCAGATTACATATTTAGCTGACATTTTATTTTTCTACTGAAAATTTAAAGATATGAAAGTACGATCCAAAAGATACGATTCAATTTCCACTTCATACTTCTTCTATTGAATTTTGCGGAGCTTCTAGATCTCGCTAAAAAGGAACGAGTTGCTATAGAGATACTGTAGAGATACTGTAGAGAGATATAGGTTGTTCTTTTGAATTTGGTCGTTCTGCTGGAGTCAAATTTTATCCCACCCCCCATGCTTCATATCATCCGCCATATAAATAATGTTGAATCAAAATTAGAATTTATCGGATCAAATTCCGTTTTATTATCTTCACTTTTTAACACAATTCAAATGCCACAATTATGACGCTAACATAATAAGTGTAACCAATTTGTGTATTAGGAGAACATTTGAATGTTATGTACTAAACTGTTAGGTGTCCAGATGGAAACAGAGCTTTCAGATGTTGTTTAAAAATTTTGATGTATGATGAGCAAAATTCGAAACCAGGAGGACCGATCGGTTTTTTTTTTTTCAAGAAAGGACTGTGGCTTGCTCTTTATTATCAGACTACAGACAACAAAGAACTTATATAAGAAACTACAATTTCTTGAAATGCTAAAGCACGACAGCCAAAAAGGTAAGCATGTTGAAACTTCAAGAATATCTTCCACATGAGAGGATGGTAATTGAAACGGAAGACGAATTAGAGAAACAAGGAAACCCGTTAATTAGTCACCAAAACACGGAACCTCTTGCACATAAAAATAAAGGAAAGAGAAACATATGGAGTTTCTTTGATGAATATGAATATCGAACAAGCAAACCAAGAAAATTTAAATTTAACTTCAGGAAAGAATCTTCTTCAGCAGAAAAAAAATTGATTCTTAAATTAGATATACTTATTACTCTTTATGGCTTGGTTGGATACTGGTGTAAATTTTTCGATAGCAGCAATTTAAGCAACGCATATGTTTCTGGCTTAAAGGAAGACATTGGAATGAAGGGAAATGATTTGATTGATACCCAAGTCATTTATGGCGTTGGAGCTATTATCTTTACGTTACCTTTCATATACATTCTACCCAGATTTTCGCCTCCATATGTCCTACTTATTGGAGAGTTTATTTGGTCCACATTTACCTTAGCAACTGCAGGAGTCACAAATGTCAAAGCTTTGAAAGCTTTTCGATTTATTATAGGAGCAGCGGAAACATCTTTTTTCCCTGTCATTCATTATTCTTTCTCTTCATGGTAAGTACCATTTTTCATCAATCATTTTGAGATACTAACGGGATAGGTTTAAACCTCACGAAATTTCGAAAAGAGCAGGATTATTTTACATTGGTCAATATTTAGGAGTTCTAACATCTGGATTACTTCAAGGTTCAATCTTTGAGCTGCTTGATGGTGTCAATGGATTACCTGGGTGGAGATGGGTATTCATCATTAATGGAATAATGTCATACGCAATCTGTCTACTTGGGTTCTTTTCTCTTCCTGGAACTCCCTTTAAATGCTATTCTCTTTTTTTGACTGATTATGATATAAAATTGGCACGAAAGAGGATGCGGATAAATGGTACCGATGATGGCCTTAATCTAACAGGCTTCTTAGATAAGGAAATTTGGTTGAAAATGTTAAAATCCTGGCATTTCTGGGTTTTCGCAGTGGGCAACATTGGTGGATTTAACTCCTCTAATTCTTCATCTGGATCTTTTGCTCTATGGCTTAAATCTTTGAATAGGTACTCAGTCGAAGAGCTCAATAATTTAACTGCTATTCCTCCTGCCTTAGGTATTATATGGCTTATCATAACAACCTTTGGTGCGGATTTTTCAAGGAAGCGTTTTCTTATGATTATTTTTGCTCAATTGATGAATTTCATTGGTAATGTGATTTTGACAATATGGGACGTAAACGAGAAAGCAAAATGGTTTGCTTTTTACTTTAGTTATTGGGCTTGGTCGCAAAGTTCTGTGTTTTATCCTTTAATGAATGATATTTTAAGGAACGATGTGAACTTGAGATCCATAGAGTGGGTCATTTCATATATCATCGGTCTTCAGTCTTATACTTGGATTTCTGCAATAGTCTGGCAAACCGAAGAAGCTCCCAGTTTTCGCAAAGGTTTTACAACAGCAGCAGTCATGGGTATCGTCCAAGCTGTCTCAATGCTCATTGGATTATACTTTTACAAGAAAGATGAGAAACAGAAATCACTAGCTGAAGGAACTGAAGTCTATAACTCCATGAGTGAGTATGAAACAGATATTAATTACGAAAATGTAGAAAGTTCAGAAAAAGGTGTTGATTCAAAGGCTGTCACTGAATCTTAGCTCCCACAAGATATCACATTTATGAACGTGGCTTCAGACTAGTTTGAATTTAGTATTTAGCTGATATGTTTTTGCTGAGAGAGAAGCAGTCTTAAAAAAAGATTTTTTTATTTTATTTTGTATTTTTAAGTTTATCGTTTGCATAATTTTAAAGTTTTCGGATATCATCATTCGCCGACTCCAGGATGGGATTTAGTTCTATTCAAGAAAATAGAGTATCTTAATGGTTTGGTCTCCCAATGTGATTATTTAAATAAGGACCTTAACATATTGTGGCTTCGGATGGAAAATTAATTTCCGAAAAAAAGAAAATTTCTTCGAACATCTGCCAAATCAAAATAATGCCTGATTCATCATCACGCTTCTCTCCACGGCATTTAGAATTCTTTTTACCCCTGAAAAAGTCGTTGGCCACATTCTAGTGCTTTCAGTTGTAAATAACACCCAAGCTGCTTGAAATTCTTAAAACCGTTGAAATCGCATAGAAATAAAAAATTGAAAATTATATTACATAGCAATTCCTGTATTGTGGGATGATTGCTGCAAATTACTCAAACAGTACATTAATTTAAATTAAACTAGTTAATTACCTTATCTGTCACTATATTAAAATTTTGAGCGTTCTAGCTCAAGGTTTACATCTGTAACATCGGCAAGCTTCTCATGCTTGTGAACAAGTACATTCATATAATAAGATAAGGGAATCTGCACCACAGTCAAAATCAACGATACAATATAAGCTGCTTTGTAGTAGGGATATTGCTTATCTGTACTCCAAAGAATGATTGTAGCCCATATTAGGTTGGCAATGGCCGACGCCTGAGCAACTCCAATGGTAAACTTGCTTTCAAATTCTGATCTTCTCAAGAATTCTTGGGACCAAGTTAGCATAATGGGTCCATAAACCCAACTTATACCACTGATCATGTATCCAATCCAAATACATGTTTCATTAACATATATAAGCAAAAAGATACATGAAACAAGGTTGAAAGCTAATGCTATCTGTAAGGCTAAATATCTTCCTTTCCAATCAGAGAGCCATCCAAGCAAAAGAGTACCAACTAGGGCCACCGCTTGTGCTGAAGTTGGTATATTATTAATCTCAGCAACACTGTACTTTCCTAAAGACTGAATATACAAAGTAAAGTAACCCATTGCATTAGTAAAGATCATATAGCTGGTGTATGAGAAAATCAAAACATAAAAGGGCCAGTCTAGAATCATTGTCTTAACTTCTGAAAGCTTGAAACCATGGAACTGAACTCTATCACGCCTATACCTTTTGGCCGCAAAATTTTTTTCTTCATCAGTGAGCCAAAAGGAAAACTTGTTTGGCTTCAAAGGATTATCAGGGATAGCAATGAGCCCAAAAAGAGATAATGGTATTGTTATGGCTCCACAAACTATGAATAGCCATTGCCATCCAGCCTAAAATGTTAGTATATTACCTTCAAACTTCTAAGAATGTATCAATTACTCACAAATCCACTATTTCCATCTAAGTTGGTATAAATCCCCGCTTGCAAATAACCTGAGAACTGGTAAAAGTTAGTATGTGATTTAAATTGCCTTTTGAAAGAATTACTTACCATACTTGCAACATTGGAAGCTGCATATAAAATGCAAGCTCTTTTGCTTAGTGATGTTGCATCGTACCAGTTACTTAACAATGAAAGGGCACCCATGTAAAAAGGAGACTCAAAAAATCCTATTAAAAATCTGATTGCATATAGCTGATTCACATTAGTAACTCTCGAAGTACAAAAGGTTAAGATTGCCCATATCATTTCAGCACAAGGAAACCATATTGATGGTCGAATTTTCAAAATAAGGATTTGGGAAGGTATCACTCCTACTACGTATCCTGCTTCCCATAAAGACATAACATAATTATAATCATCCCCCGTTATCCCAATATCTTCTTTCATTCCTGAGACGTACGCATTTGTAAAGTTGTTGGCATCGAGTAATCTAATGAAATACCCATAGCTAGTAAGTTAGTATGCTTTTCCCATATAATTTTAAAAAACTTTGTCTTACCATCCCCAAGTCAATAAAAATAGGTCTAATTTCTGGATATATTTCTTTTCTTCTTTCGATCTGGGTCCATCCCAAATAAATTCCAAGAATCTGGTCCACCTGCTCTTTTTGTTTTCTGCTTTCTCCACCTCTTCAGAGTTCGCGGAAGAAATTGTTTTCTTCTCTGGCGCACTGACGTCTGTCAAACTTTGATTAACTGACATTCCCAAGTTTATCTTAATATTAAAAGATTTGTCGTGTTCTAATTTCAACCAAGTTAGTGATTATATAAATTAAAAGCATTTATATCATATGTACTATACCACAATCGGATAAAATATTCCTTTGGTAAGAGTACTTTTGAATGGATTATAAGTTCCGCTGTGGCTTTTTGGATTGCATATGAATTGCACAATTCACTATCAAACATGAGAAATCAAATATGGGCTGTAATAAAGAGCTGTAAAACTATAAATACTGGATGTTAACAGATCATGGAGAAAGAACGAGAGAAGAGATGTATTTATATGTATACCTGAACATACACAGATGACGAAAGAAGACTATAACTACGTATATTATTCTGACTCACCAGAGGTCTTACATAGTATTGATCAATGGAATAAGTTAAACGATTCAAAACAAAAAGAAGTCAAAGGTCATTTGCCAGAAAATTGGCCCGAAAAGTTAAGTGGTCCTCATCTCTGGACGGGAGAAGATTTGAAAGAAAGACCTGATAAATACAGATATATTTTAAGCGAAGAAGACAAGAGCGAAGTGTGGAAAGCTGTTGAATCTTTTAAAAAATCTGGCTTGAGTTTAGCAGCTGTAAGTAAAGAGAATTTCACTCTACCCCAACTTGGCAAAACATTAGAAAACTTTGCTGAGGATCTCTACAACGGAACTGGGGTTCGTTTAATAAGGGGATTAAACATTGATGACTATGATGAAAAGGGTAAAATCATTGCATACTTAGGGATAAGCTCTTTCATAGGAGATATTAGAGATGCTCAAGGCTTGAATAGAGCACTCACACATATCAAATCAATCGAACATATTGCAAAAGGTGAACGGGCACCAATAGGTGTGAGTCAACAAACAACTGATGCACAAATGTTTCATAATGACTTTGGTGGCGATATTGTTTCATTATTTGTTCTTAGTACGCCACTAAGCGGTGGTGAATCATTGGTAAGTTCCACATATGCTATTTATAATGAGCTAGCTCACGTAAGACCTGATATTTTAAGTACGTTGTCCACACCTAGAGCGTTTAAATGGAGGGAAGCTCCAGAAGGAAGTCCATTATTATATTACAAGGATGACACATTTATAACCAGTTTCTCTACAAGGTATTTTATTGGATATGGTGAGCTACCGAGGGATGAAAATTATCCCCTCATCAACGAGAATCAAAGAGATGCTTTAGGAGGTTTCAATGCAATTGCTTATAAACATTCTTTATCGAGTGAATTTCAAAAGGGTGACATAGAATATGTAAACAATATTTTCACTCAACACTGCAGAAAAGGATTTACTGAAAACGAAGATAATAGAAGACACTTGGTGAGGTTGTGGTTGAGAAATTCGAAGTTCACCAACTCTATTAAATTACCTGAGAGGTTACTCGAGAAAAAAATACAAAATTTTCCGGTTCAATATGATCAAGAGATCCCTTTAAATGAGGTTGAAGAAGATGCTATTAAATTAAGAAACAACGCGACTTCTATCGATAAGTTTTATTCTAAACCTAAATAATTCTTCTTTCTATATTTTAGGCACATTAAAGTTCTTTCTTTAAGCAATTATTATTTTTATCTAGCAGTCGCAATGTAAGAACCGTCTTTGAAAATCAATTTCCCTCGAAGTAAATTAAAAAAAAGTGTTTTCAAAGCCGTTTCTCCAGAAACAAAATCGTCAAAATGCTTGAAGTAGTCGTCGCCCAAAGGGTAAGGTCTCTCGAAAGGGAAAAATGGCACAATTTTGTCAATATATTGATTCTTTATGCCTTCATTTGAAAACATGTGAAAAACGTTAGTATCCCCAGTGAGTGAAACCCTGGCATCTTCCCATTCGTACTGCTCTTTTTCTGAAGGAAGTTTCTTGGCGTTAGACCAAATACCCGCAATAGCAGCTGCCTGAGCTTCAAAGCTTGTAAAAAGTTGGACAGTTTGAATTATTCCAACAAATGCGAGTGTTGGATCATCTATCTTGAAGATATTATAATATAGATTTTTAACTCTGGAATTGTTTGCGGGAGCTGCTTTATTCTCTGGGACTGATAGAGTGAGAAAATTTTCTTCAAAAAAGGGATAATGATAATGATACCCTGTTGTCAACAAAACAAAATCGAAATCCCGGACTTTCGATCCATCCTCAAACTCTATCTCTTTATTGTTAGGTATAAATTTTTTTATGGGAGGTTTAACTTTGAATTCTTCAGATCGAATGATATCGTTCATCCATTCTAATTTCTCATCTCTTAAGCGCCGAGATAAAATAAAATCTTTTGACACAGGTTTGATATATTGTGTTAGACCAAGTCCACTAATTGAGCTACCGACAAGTACGACTTTCTTGTCCCTGAATTTTTCGTGACCCCTAAAAAACTTTGAATGAATGACTGAGCTAGGATACTTAATCGCATATTCTTTGAGACCTTCGATATATGGTATATATGGTACATTATAATGGCCATTAGCAACCACGATGGCATCAAAAGTTTCTTCATACCAGTCAACTTTTTTCAAATTCTTATTTCCATGCTTCAATGCAAGATGCCATTCACCGTCCCTCTTTGTTATTTTTCTTACCTCGGTATTGTATCTAATATACTTTTCTAATGAGCTTTTCTCTATAAAGTTCTCAATGTAAGCATTTAATTGATGGTGCATTATAAAAGGATTAATTGGACTTGTATCATCAACTAACTCGTGGTCCATAGATGAGAATCGCGTATATCTCTTTGGCACATTTGTAAAAAGATAACTGAATAAAGCACTTCCATCCCATGATAACCGCAGCTCGAATATATTGGACTCAATCCCTTTGTTTTCTGTAGGGCTATTTTTTTCTTCTTCGTGGTTTGGTGTATTAGGTTGCAAGGTTGCAGCTTTAAAGTATTCCTCGAATTTTGTGATTTCCTCTAAAGGTACCTGAGAGTCAGATTTCGAATCTATTTTACACCATACGCCCCCAGGACCGGACTTCTGCTCAAACACTACAATTTTCTCGAAAGCTATCTCCAGAGCTTCTACGCTTCCAAAGGTACTTGTACCCTCTTTTGAAGTATGAAGAAATTCATACAAGGCAGCTAGTCCGGATGGTCCAGCTCCTATAATCGCAACTGATTTGATATTGAAAGTCATGTAGTTTAAATTAAAATTCTACTGAAAAATACTAGAATTATATAGTGACTCCACAGTATGCCTTGATTCGAAATAAATTACAACGATTTCGCAACCGGAATATAATTTCCATAGTATTTAGTTATACAATTCTGGAAATAAATAGGACCATGAGCTAATATTACTATCTAAAATGTCCAACGACTTAAAATCAATGTCTTTCTTAAATAAATCATCGATGTCAATAATACTGTCAGCTGTGCTTGGTGTGGCTATATTGTAGTTATCCATAAAATTCTCTGGATTGAAATCTAGAAGACATTTTTCTCTGTGGTCACTTGGGTAGGACCTCACAACTTTCGATTTATTGAATATTTCATTGTAATAAATTGGCCACTTATTTCTTATCTTTGTTAAAATTATACTGAAAGCTCTGGAAGCTATTTTCCAATCTTTCGAAGCATTCTTTAATACTATGAGCAAATATTCAAAAGTGACCAGGGTTTCCTCGGAACCTGAAAACCCTAAAGTTTTCTCGGATGATATGAAATAATTCAAGGACAAAATAACGATGTAAATAATTGTAAGTGATAAATATTTGAAGGACCCCGTCTTGTTATGAAAAGCATTGAGGGAAATATAGACATCATCAATGCAATCTTCTACTATATCTGCCGAAGAAGAAAGTGAATTTTTGATTTCAAGGGAAAACATACTCATGTTTGCCTGTAGGGATGAAAATGGCTTATTGAAACAGAGTATTATCAAATAATAGTAATATTTGAAGGACATCCTTGTAAGATCATGTCCATGCAATTTTAACTCGCTTTTATTCCATCTAACAACAGATGCAACATCTACCTTCCATTTCATTAATTTGACATTAATGTTATTCAATTTACTAGTTTTAAGAGCAACATTTAATCTTTTCATTTTATCGTCCTTAGTCCCATTAAAAATGTTGATATTCTCCATAAGCTTTTCCAGAAGTATGCTTAGTTCTATCATTTTCATCAATGTAAATTCAATATTTAGAGATGTGCAATCTGACATTAGAGGGGCAGGCAGTTGCTCTTGGTTCAAGATGCTTAAGCCCAAATTCTCAGGCACTTTTAAAGTTACTGCACGGCCAAGTAATATGCTGTTGTAATGGTCGTAAATAAAACATCCCCAATATAGTCTATTTTCAGAATTAAGAACTATCCCATCTTTACTGATACCATCGAACTTTTGCAAAAAATGATCGAATTCTAGGTGAAACCCCATCCTGAATGCCAAACCAGAAAGCATCCAACAGCTAGAGTCATTGTAACCATTATCATAAATAGAGAGGCATAGCAATGATTTCACAGTTGTAGCAGAAGGTTGAAGAGACATTTCAGAAAAAATCATCAGCTTAGCTTTCAAATAAAACTCCCTGGACTTTTCTTGAACATCAACTTCGTTGGCAAGCAATGCACCTAAAGCGCATATTGCGTATACTAGCTCTTCTGAGCAATACGTTCCAACGCCTTGATCAGTCTCTGAAAGGAACTCATGTAAGAACGAATCTTTTTCAATTAGATACTGGGCATCGAAATACTGCCACTTGAAAAAGTTTTCAACAGAACGCATTACTGTTATATCGCTTCTAAGGTTTCGAAATACTCTGTGGAGTTGTTCAGAATTTATCAATAACTTAGCGTTTGGAGGATCCAGGTTCCCAAACATTACATCCTTGCCATATGGCTCCATACCCTCCATGCTCTTATCGTAAAATTTGTCCTCATTATCATTACCCTTAGCCAAATCCTTTACGGAATCCGGAATGTCGATGTCGTTCGAATTAGAGATGCTTTTATATTTTATTAATTGTGAAAGGATATTTTGAAGAGTGTTAACTTGACACTCTAGGGTCTTCACATAAAGGTTTTTATATCTTTTTTTCCGGCCATCATCATTGGTGTTGGCTTTCTCGCATTCAGCATTAGCTCCTTGACAATTATTACATGGCAGGTTTGAATCACACCTAATCTTTCTTACTCTGCAGCGAGTGCATGCAATGGTGCACTTTGAATCCGACCTCTTATTACTCCCTTTTAAAAGCTTATCAACTTTCTGCCGCATATATTATCTTCTGATGAATTATTCTTTTCACTAAAGATTTCTCTTCAGGAATTTTTAACTAAATACTGATGCCACAGCTATGTAAAATTCCGAACCACACTCTTTTTCTAAAAAAATATTCATGGATCTACTTTTTGGAAGTATACTTCACCATGACATTTGATACAACAATCGTAAAGAAAACTCAAGATATTGATCGAGTAAATGAAGTTTTAGTCAGCGCATTCAAAGATGTAGGCACTTCTCGTCTTTTCGTCCGAAGATTACACAAGATTCCTGACACACATTTGGAACTTGATGAGAAGTTATTTGACTTCAGGGACAGATTATCCTATCACTTAAAACAAGGAGGGATCATATTAGAATCAAATGACTTCAATGCCATTGCCATATGGTATTCTCCTGATGTGAAATTCGAGCCATTTGCCTCGCCGGATGAACAAACAAGGCCAGCGATAGTAGAAAAATTCTATAATTCATCACTTGATGCAAAACACAATTATTTCAAAGATAATAGGTTCTGGTATTTGAATACACTTGCTAGAAATAAAAATCAAGAACCTATAAAGGGAGCTATTTCTGTAATAATTGATCCTGTGGTTAAAGAATGCAAACTGAAAAGTATCCCCATATATGTTGAGGCAATTTCGGAACATGCAAAGGAAATATACCTACACTATGGGTTTGAAATAATTAGAACCTTGACTTTAGGAAAGGCGCAGGTGGATCGCCAGGGTATACCTGCGAGAAATGGAGAAGGAGTTAATGTATACTTTATGGTCCTCAAATGTTCCTAGTTCGGTACGTGACCATATTGACTTGATACCTTCCTATGTCTTACAAACAATTTCAAAACATTGATAGGAAGAGTTCAATATATATAAGTCAAATGTATTAATTGTGACCCAAGAGGATAGAATAGATAAGAAATTGAAAATGAAGATCTACTTTAAAATCGTTCAAGGAAACAAATCGCCAAAAGCTTTTTATGGTGCATCACTATCCGACCTTTTCTCAAATCGGGGCTATGTATAGAATATTTTGTAGTTTATACCAACTTGGACACTCTGGAGATTTATCAAAAACAGTTAACAATTTTTTGAACTAACATCCTTTGCTGGCTTTGAAGCTCTAATTCTTAAAAAAGTGGAAAATTTTAGATAAAACAGAATTCAACACTTTCCATATTATCTTAGGAGAAAAATCTTAAGACTCGTCGTCAATATTAAAAGTAGGCGAAAAGATCATAAGACAATAAAAGAGACAATGAGTATAAACTTGCGTGATTGGGGAATTGGGGAACTTTATTTTAAAAAGAAATATAAGACGAAATATATGCGTCTGCAAGAGATTGTCTGTAGCTAAAGAATACTCTGCGACTCAAGCATAGGCTGTCACGTATAGTACGATTATACGATATTTAAAAAGAAGAATTACGCCTATAATAAATGTATTATATTCATATTATCAAGAAATTGAAACAGGCTGTTACGAAAAATCTGCTTTTATTCTGAAGTCTATCAGTCCTACTCAAGATCAATAACCCATGCAGCTGTAAGTCACCAATTTCATCGCATATTCTTAAATCTGCATATTAACCGTATTCTTTTTTAGTAAGTTTTATCTTTGAAGATTGACCCTTTTGATCGAGACAAGCCATTGGAAAATCCGGACCAACAACTCACTCAAATCAAGCAGACTCTGGTCCCTCAATGAGCTTTGATAGTTCTAAAGTATAAAGTTTTTAAATGAAAATTAACAATCGGCACTTGTATAAAAAACACTTGATCTTTCTGACTCCTCTTGTAAGTCTATCTTCCTCGTTCAGTTACAATAGCTCTGTTTGAACCGTATCAAAGAATTCCTGTGCCATAAAAGGTTTTTTCTTTCAAAGCAAGTGATTTATCTGCAATGTAATTCAAACCTGAAACTTCGTTGCAACCAACGCCCACCAATTGTTCCCGGCATCATTTCAAGAGCCTTATCTGCTCCTCTGTTGTAATAAGCTTAGAGTAAGCAAAAGCCAATGTTGCATATACTACAGCAGATACTTGCTTGGCAGGCACAGTAATATTACCGAACGTTAAATCTCTTGTAGCTACAGCGTCAGATATCACAGTGACCTTATAACCTTTTTCAGAAGCAGCTCTAACGGTACCTTGAACACAAATATGTGCCATTGCACCCACAACAATGAGGTTGCTGATTTTTTTCTCTTCCAAAATCAGCTCTAAATTAGTCCCGATAAAAGAATTGGGTTCGTTTTTAGTGAGAACAATTTCACCAGGTAGGTTCTTAACTTTGTCGTTAATCTGAGAACCCTCAGTACCTCTTCCAAAAAAAGGGGCATCTTTCGGATCACCAGGGAACTCATGACGAATATTAATAATGAGGTATTCATCTTTCGCTTTCCTAATCCGATGCAAAAGAGTAGCGACATTCTCAGCAGCCTCATTAATCCCCACCAAGGGAAATTTTCCTCCCTCAAAGTAATCGTTTTGAATATCAATTATAATAAAAGCAGTCTTAGACATTAGTATTCACTTCATTAATTAATTATCAGCTATATGGACAAAATTTTAATAATGCTAGTTCATAAAACAGAGTTCACTCTTTTCCGACGAACCCAGGTAATACTTATGATGATTCGTAAATGTGCAATTTGCCGGTATATAAAGAAGCTCAGTCATGCGTTATTTCACACTTCGGACTTTGTAGCATTACAGCTTCACATGAACCGTGAATTGCAAATTTTCAGTAAGGAAAGAGGAGTTTACAGAGTCAGTGGAGTATTTGCGCCATAAGTTTGTTGCTTATACATCTGATTCTTTCATAATCTTTTATTATAGTTTTACTTGCCAAAACAGATGGTCCATAGTCCGTCCTTTAGCCGTCTTCCGAGATTTGTTTTGGAACTGAGCATAGATGTACGCTAATCTCATTTTAATTTCTTGTATTTTTTTTTATTCCACACTGAATGATCACCAGACTCCGATCTAAGAGCTTTCGCAAATAATTTGATTGCTATAATTTTCAACGGATCGAAGTTTCCAAATTGGTTGTATATTGAAATTTAGGCTTATAATTCATTTAATAAATACCATAAGCATGCAATTGTTATTTCTCATATTGAGTATCTGGAAAATTTGTATTAATCTAAATGGAAGAAAAAGCTGCAAATAGTGAATTACTGGTACTGTATTTAAGAGACATATATACGTTTCAGAGTGCTAGTGCTATGATATATAATGAGATAGGAAAGCAGGATCTCAAAGAAATGATCGAGATTCGGGAATATTATCGCTGGGTATCAGTAACCCTCATTGGAGTCAATTAAGACTATATCGTTTTCAAGAATCTGATGGTTAGATTCTTTGGAAATCTACTTCTCCTATTGAAGTTATAAATATCTGTAGTGTAATAGGTCAACCTTTTTTACAATTAAGTCATTAAAGAGGACCCTTTCTTATACTTTTATGTGATGATCCGAAAATTTTGAAAGAATAAGAGAAGCTATTGTTCGACAGAGAGATATAATTAGTCGTACCACTCAATGTTAGTATAATTTTTATTGAGCATTCTTAATTTGCCGCACTTATCGCAGTAGTGCCCGCGAATCAAAATATCTATTTAGCCGCCAGAACTTTTTTTTCGCCCCGAATTCGGTAATATTTTATTTTGCGCGCTAAGCTGTTATAAGTTCTGATAAGCTATTTATTTACTTGAACGTAAAGAATACATGACAATCAAGGTAGTCACAGTTTATAGGAAATGCAAGAGATACCTACCTACCAAAAAGCAATTATTGTTGAGACATTGGGTGAGAATCCTAAGGTAAAGCTCGTCTCAGATTATCCCGTTCCCGTGCCCCAGAAAGGAGAGTTACTTGTAAGATTGACTAGTTCTGGAATATGTCACAGTGATATTTCTGTTTTAAATGGCCATTGGGGCTTTTTCCAAACGTCTAAGGTAGGCGGTCATGAAGGAGTCGGATTCATTGTCAAGCTCGGGGAGGGTGTCGACGCTAAAGCGTTTCCATTGGGTACGAAAGTGGGCGTTTCCTTGATTTCCAACCCATGTCGAAATTGTTATGCATGTGGGTTGACTGATGGGGAGGTGTTTTGCAAGAATTCATCATTCTACGGTACCGATATTGATGGCACATGGCAACAATACGTCATAATAAAAGAATCTTATGTCATTCTTTTGCCAGAGAATTTGACAATAGAACAGATGTACTACATTGGACCGATGCTCTGTGGCGGTGTTACTGCTTACAAGGCGATAAAAGCATCTGAAAAACATAAGGGTCAAACAATAGTGATTACTGGTGCTGGAGGAGGATTAGGTTCGTTTGGTATTCAATACGCCAAGGCAATGTCTCTAAGAGTCATTGCAGTTGATAGTGGAGAAGAAAAGAAGAGGTTTACTCAAAGTCTTGGAGCAGACATTTTTATAGATTATGAAAATAGTGATGTTCCGTCTAAAGTCCTCGAGGCTACTGATATGAGGGGGGCAGATGCAGCAATTATGTTTGCCCCCAATGAAAAATCATACAACGAGTCCGTTGATTATCTTGCTTTACAAGGAGTTCTTGTCTGTGTAGGAATTCCCAGAGTTGATTCGAAATTTAAATTTTCACCTTCAAAATTGATATACGCTGGAAAAAAAGTTATTGGTTCTTTCATTGGCACCAGAAGTGATATTATTGAGGCTATCAAATATTTTACAAATGGACAAGTCAAACCATCGGTAGAAGTCAAATCAATGGATGATATTCAAGAACTTTTAGAACAAATGCTGGCTGGTTTCATTCAAGGAAGAATAGTTCTTGACTTGAATTAATCCCAGACTTTATATTTCGACTTAAAATGTTACGTTTTCTATCTCAGCTGTGTTATATGGCACATCAAAGCTCCTAAAGCCGTTATTGCCCAGTTGTTTATTTTTACCCCTTCACCTTCTCAGGTTCTGTTTATAGTACCTAAGATCTATAGTAAAGCACAACGAATTTAAAATGCTAAATATCTTTCTGATATTCTTTTTCTCTGAAGCGGTACGGGAAAGAAATAGGCCAAGTATCATAAGACACGAGGAACTAACACTCAATGGAATGTATCTTAATTCCTTTATGATTCATCCACATTTTCTTGAACAATCGGTATATAGGAGAATAGTGATAGATTGATGGTCCTCTCGATTAAAATCATAAACGCACTCACAGTAATATTAGATGCTCCCAAGTTACATTTCAAGGACATGCAGTGCCCAAAGATCCTGTGCTCTTCTGCAGACTGTACTTTAAGCAGTAATTTTTCTTTTTCTTTGGGTTCAACCGATGTTGCTGCATTAATCCCTCCAAAGGAAGTATTCATTGAATAAAGTATTAGCCTTTATGTAATTACTGTCATTACAGTCAACACATCTTAGGAGCCATATTATCTCAGGCCATATTATCTTTTTCATTATCTCAAAAGAATGCAATGTGCAGACCAAGTGCTTCATTATATATGGAATCTCACTATAATTATAAATTGGGGTACTCAACCCATGCCTTGACTTTAAGAAAAAAAATTTAAAGGTGAAAGAATAGCTTAAGTCTTCAAGAAAGCATGAAAATAGCTGTGCAATGGCTAAGATGCCTGTCGACAATCATTCCACCGAAGTAATGGATTTTTTGATAGAACTTTTATTTTCAAGCAATTATAACACAGATGAGGAAGAACTTGACTTTTCTGTGTTTAATGATAATTCTAAGGCAGGAGATGATGCTGATGAGGAAGAAAAACCACAATGAATGCCTCCGAAGCTGGTAAAAGATCTCTAAATGAGTAATTTTATTATGCAGGAATATTAAACTCCATATTGAAAAATACATACTATTCCTATATGTCAATTGGCTACACCCTATACGCTCAGCAAGGCATATTTTGGACAATAGGTAATAATTATGATAATTTGACTTTTGCACGCAACACTTATATAATGCTATTTCCCTTATACAAAATAGGAAAACCTCCTTTCAGCCTCTCAATTCATGTATATCTTAATGATACTAGCTTTTGCAGCCACAATGAAATTCATTTTTATTTCCTTTTGGAATGTCTCCAGGACTTATATGCATATCTTAAAACCAACAGGTAAAGCGACCTATGTCGTTTAATGAATCTATGAACAAGCCTTAACGTAGCTTGTGAAGTATACACAAACGTCAATCATTTCTGTATATATAGGACATCATCTTTTCAAAATATATTACCAACTAGTAAACTTCAGTCTTTTTCGTCAAAAATTGAATTACCAGCTCTGCCAATTATTCGGGATTGCAAGAATGCTTTCTTTTAGATTGGTAACCTTCTCGTGTGGAAAAGACAAAGGTATTACAAATAAACCTACAAATGTGCCTACAAATATATTAATTCCGACGGCTTTAGCTTTCGCTGCCCAGCATCTAATTCCTAACTCCGAACTCCCAATTTTCTAGTTCCGTTTTATTTCAACAAGATATTCTGCGAAGTATAAAAGGTAATAGAGAAAATCTAATTGAATCATCACTTGGAGCATCCATTTTAATCAGTTAAAATGAAGCTCTTCGTTACAGGTGGCACAGGTTTTATCGGGACTGGTTTTGTAAAGGAAGCTGTTGCCAATGGACATCAAATACTTGGACTTGCCAGATCGGACGATTCAGCTGTAGCACTCGAAGCTGCTGGAGCAGAAGTTATTCGCGGAGACTTGGAAGATCTTGATGTATTAAGAGAAGGTTCAAAGGAATCGGAGGGAGTAGTTCATCTTGGCTTCATCCATGATTTTGCAAACTATCAAAATTCTATGGAAATAGACCGAAGAGCTGTAAAGGCTATGCTTGAGATTCTAGAGGGCACTGATAAGTTCTTTGCCAACACGGGCGGTCTCCTTTCATTTCCTACTAAAAATGGAGAGGTCGCTGATGAGTCCACCAAAATAGCATATGAGGATGGTGCCTCTCTGATTCGTAAGCTTACAGAACGGCTCGCGTTGTCCTACATCGACAAGGGAGTGCGAGTTGTGTCTGTGAGGTTAGCTCCTACAGTTCATGGTAAGGGTGATCATGCTTTTATCCCTCGTTTATTGGACAACGCAAAGAATAATAGCAAGTCTTATTATGTTGGTGATGGCGATAATGTGTGGCCAGCAGTACATCGTGATGATGCTGCAGTGCTTTACAGGTTGGCTGCAGAAAAGGCGCCTGCAGGGTCCACACTTCATGCTGCAGCAGAAGTGGTCTCAACCAAGAAAATTGCAATGGCAATTTCAAAAGCTGCAAGTGTCCCTGTTGGCTCAATTAGCTCAAATCAGGCGACAGAAAAATTGGGATTCCTTGGAACCTTTTTTCAGGTAAACGCCGACGTATCGAGCGAAAAAACCAAAAATCTTTTGGGATGGGCTCCAACTGGACTTGACCTCTTATCTGACATTAATGAGAACTACTAGCCTATTAGTTAGGACAATTATGCCAATTTTTATGATGTTTTTATTGCTGATGGATTGTATTTCCTTCTTTCTAATGTCGAAATTTTCCGGAATATCTCTTTCGCTAAAATGCAATGTTTAATTGTTTCGGATTTTGCAAGACTTAACCTAAATTTGAAATAACTTTCTATCTATCGGATTCAAAATGATCAAACGATTTATCCAAGTTTCGGAGAGAGATTTTCGCATATAACCAAGAACACCATCAATTTTATACAATTGATGTCTTTTTCATCCGCTCGACTCATGTGTTCATCTCTGTTTCTTATAGTTACCTTTGCTTGCCGGTAGAGGAATTAGTAACTGTATTACTTCTTTTTCCATTATAATTTGAAGAAATCTTTCAAAAACAATCTTCAGTTCATAATACTCTGTAATTATCTCAATCATCAATAACTCGCTTTTGAAAATGTATTAAAGGTTATAAAGCCCTAACAATAGCGATGAAAGATTGTTAGTTGTAATCTCTTTATAAACTCTTTGCTAAATTCAAATTACTAAATTTGAACAAGAGAAACGCAAGAGAAGAGGTAACATGTGAAGTACTTAGATGATTTAAAGACGGTTTACCGTAGTTCACGAACAATAGCGTATGGCCAAAAGATTCGCAACAGTTTATTGGACTATTTTACAGAATTGGTGGCTAAAAGCTAGTTGACTTTCCTTGAAGAACAAGAGATGAGTAAGGTTTAAATAGTAACCTCCCTGCGACACACCCACACCCACTACTTTAGATTCTGTCATCATTTTCATTAAACGATAACTCAGTCGTCTTCTCGAAATCAATTGGTGAAGGCTCAAACTAGACTCTTATTCTTGGACCTCGAAATGAGATCACGCCCAATATAGAAAAGTATTAAATAATTTTTATAGGATTTCAAACCGATAATTATCAAGGAGAAAGTATCATCTTATAATGCTATAATGGTGGAGTCCGATACCCAATTGCCACCTGAAATAAAAACGGTTTCATGTACCATCTATGCCTCAATTCACACTCAAGATGTTTAAAACGCACTTTCTACTCTAGAGGGCCCCTTTACACTATGTGTTTGATTGAAAATACATTTTGCAACAAGAGCAAGTTGTTGCTCTTTTGGGTACTTCCGACAAGTCTTTTCCGTCTCACATATACGCGAGAACAGGGCATGAAATTCGAATGTATCCACGCTAACGGAGATAAGATATAAGTATTACCATCCAGTGAGAGAATTTGTGGCAAATATAAAAAACTTTGAATATGTAAGGTGCAACTCCTTTTTCACTTTTCATAGAGCGAAAAATCTCCTAAGGTCATTCAATATGAATCTAGATTTTTACACTGTTAAAGTTCGGAACTATGAGTATGACACTGACACCGAATCCGCGACCAACCGAACAATTGCTTGAAACTCTCAACTATGTAACTTCGAATCTTGATTTTTACTTTAGGTTTATAAATGGAGGTGAATTTTATGGGGCTGAGGACGCTAATTTGAAGCTCTTGAAAAAATTTGTTGATGCTAATATGCCAGAGTTTAATCGTAGTCTAGTTATTAGTATCAAAGGAAGTTTGGATCTTACTGCTTTCACCATAAGCAGCTCCAAGGAGGAAGTCTCTCGTTCAATTGAAAATATCATATCTCATTTTCCTAAAGATCTTTCTTTGAGACCCAAAATTATCTTCGAACCTTGTAGGGTCGATCCAAAAGTTCCATATGAGGAGACTATTGGGTGTGTTACAGCATACGTCAAGGCAGGCAAAATCGACCGTGTTTCTATTTCGAAGTTGTTGCTGAATCTATCAGAAAGGCTGTTGGGGTTTTCCCTATATTTATAGAGTTGGAGATATCACTAATGTGTCAAGATTTGATTTTTAACGGGGATTTGGTGCCTGCTTCCGAGCTTGGTATCCCAGTTATTGCTTATTCTCCACTTTGTAGAGGATATTTGACTGATTCAGCTGCCGAAAAAGGAGAAGATTTCTTTAAAGAAATGGCTAAAAACGATTTCAGAAGGCTCTTGGGTAAATTAAAGAGAATGTATCTCAGAATATGAAATTAGTTAAACACCTATATGAGTTTGCCCATGATGTAAAGAAAACGTCTTTAGAGTCATTAGCTTTGTCGTGGATACTTGCAATATCTGAGCGAAAGCAATACGAAGGAATCAACAATGTAACAAAAATCATTCCAATTCCTTCAAGATCTAAGAATGAAAGGATAAAAAAGAACTTTACTGAATTAGTGGGATTGACTGATGATGACCTTTCTAAGATCAAGGGGTATCCACTGAAGTTAAAGGCTTAATGTATAGTAAGGCACTTCTGCACTATGAGTTTGCTTAAAGAGCTTGCGGCTATTTTCTATACCTAAACTCAGAATAACTTCTTTTCGTGCAATATAATGGTATTTTCCTTGGTAGGAAATTAGCGGAACTGAAGTTTATAAAATGATAGCATGGTGTATATTATCGCTGACTTTTTTAAAACCATGGTAAAGAGTATATAGTTTCTCTTTAGTTTTAAAATAATTAATAACTAACAATGATAGAAGTGTATGCTGCTATGGCGTTGAATTCTCTGTTGTTTCAGGATGGTTGGGATTCTATGGCGGCAAAAATTCTGTGAGCGATATCTCAAGAGGTAAGATATTTTTGATCTTGCATGTCTTTTCATATTATGTTCTGACCTTATTAACATTAAATACGAAGTTCACCTTTTTGACTCTCACTGTTGTGTTATTGATATCAACAATATTTATGTAAAACGAGACATTCTTAAGAACATGAGGTAATACAATACTCCGTGCATGTCCACTTCAAGAAGCAAAATAACATCTTAGCAAGATTAGCCCTCACTATAGTATTATCCATATCGAACTCCTTTTTTATAATGAAGTAGTTGAATGAACATAAACAATACACATGGTAGTTTAACTGAAGTTTTTCTTCAAGGTGGACCAGAGCAGGTTTTCTTTTCAAAATCTGTACTATTTCCTATACGATCTAATGCAAAACAGATAAAATGTAATCTAGTATTCCATTTTGTTTTGATATCTTTGACCTAATTAAAAACTTTATTCAACTTAAACGATGAAATAAAAAGGGAATGGATATTCAGTGTCTTAGATATTGATTTTTATTAGGGTCGGCTCATATATACTTGGTGGCTATAGAGATGGTGGTGGTCTATATACAAAAGCTTTTCAAAAATAAAATTTATTGAGAGTGGTCTGGTGATCAGGTTTGTTGATAGCAAAGGCTGGCATTTTTAGCTTTCTAAATGAGCTCTTTGTAGTTCTAATTGATAATCCAATCAGATAATATTGCCCTCAAAATATTTATTTTTTTAAAAGGTTCTGTAACTGCTCAATCGATTCCTTAATTTGCAGCCCATTAGCTTCGGTTAATTCTTTTTCGTTGATTTCATGAGAAAGGACCATCTCTCTCGTCAAAGCGATCTTAGGGCTTGTCTTGGTAAGATGCATGCCAAATCCATCCCCAAGCACTTTATGGAGTTGCTCATTGCTGCTTGAGCCCCCATGTCCGCCAAATGTCACAATTGTTGCCGGCTTTTGTGTAAATTCTTTGTACAAGACGTCAAAGGCGTGCTTCAATGCCCCAGGATAGCCATAATTGTATTCAGGTGAGACTACAATGAAGCCATCAGCCAGCTTAACCTTATTGCTCCATGAGATTACCTGCTCATTTGTATAGCCACCAAGTTTAGGAATCCCCTCTTCAGCATCAAAGGGGATTTTCAAGTTCTTGACATCAATAATTTCGAGGTTGTTTTCGCCAAATATTTCTTTTGCAGTTGCTGCCACTAAGTTCGCGATAGAGGGACTTAGTCTCAACTTTCTTGCACTTCCAACAATTAATAGGATTTTCGGGGCCATACTTAATTTAAATTCTTATTCTTTTAAAATAGGTCTCATATATTGATAGAAGGTTGTACTTAAATACATTCCAAGATTTTAGCCCTGAATATTTTAAAATCAGTATCAAATACTATTTTTACTAAAACACGGAAAAAAGATGCGGAATGATTTTGTCAGCGCGAGACACCTAATGCAGTCGTCAGGGATACACGGAGAAAAGATGCGGAATCCTTTATTTGTTTTTACCATCAGATCCACCAATGCATATCTTAAGGGACTTGCGAGAGAGTGGAGAGCCGAGATGTTTGCCAATTGTTAAAGTCTTTTGATGATCAAATAGATAAAAGATCTAGAGAATGTGTCATAATTGACTGATAAAAATCGTGTTGTCAACAAGATCATGTCCTCCCTACAGGCTGCAATCTGTTGGTGGAACTCGACGCTTTATTGAATTTGAAATTCTTCCATACTAAGAGTAAAAAAAAATACTAACACTATTGAGTTAGTGGCATTTTCTTTGGATGAGCAAGGTTGAAACTTCCCTGTTGAGGATTTCACTTCATCCGTTGCGAAAAGAAGCATTCCGATAGATAGACAAATGTGTATGCTGGGTACATAAGCATAGGTAAGGCTTTCTAGATCTAATACATCGAATCCTTCTAAGTAGTAAAGGAAAAACTTGATTCTAGCTAAGGAGGGCATCTCAGTCGATCACCGAAACGGCCTGCGGCTTTAATTGGAGCTCATAGGATCCCGCTGACCCAATTGATGAAAAGCGTGGCACGGAAATAACAGCTCGGAGGTGAACAGTTGTCCGACTTGAAACATGGATAACATGCTTATTGAAACTGAAATAAAGTTCTCAATTGTTTCGTAGCTATATTTTTTACCATCATTTATAACATGCATTCATAAGGGAATGAAAGCGATTTTTCATCTCAAAAGTGCGTTTTCAAGTTTATTTTGGCTTATTGAGCTCGTTTCCCAATTAGTTATTCTTCGGATTTTGGCTGTCGCTCTCTTTTCGACGAAGGTATATTCTCATCACAGGAGAAGAATTGATGCCGCAGGCCATTATTGCTGTATGAATCTCGATTAGAAAAGGTTGAGCCGAGAAAGGTACAACTGTAAAGAGAAAATGGGGCCTATTATTTAAAAATAGCAGATATGGGCAATCTATATTAAAGTTGAGCCCCATATCAGTGCATCTATGTATAATTTCCTACAGAAAGTGATTGTAACAATGTTATTGGATCTGTATAAGGCCGAAAGTATCTTGAACATGCCCAGAAGGACTATGTGATTCGCATAATGCCAATGTAATTGATATGCTAGATGTTGAAGAGCTCTCTTTGAATGAGCTACAATCCAAATGAGGGCATTTCGTGATGTTTGCCTGTCCGAAAATCTTTACCATCACTTTTGGGCATTCAAAGTGCTCTTTTGTCTTTTCTTTTGAGAAAGTGTTATTTTTGCGAACCCATTTCAGGACCGGTGGTGGTGGTGTTACCTTCGCTAACATTTTTGGGAACCGGTGGCTTGGTGGCATGGACGGTGTCAAGAGAGGTGCAAGAGATTTTTTAGTATGCAGAACTTGTTTAATATACAGTATTAGTTCATTGACCAATAATATAACAATATATTTTGAGCACGTGATCTGACTCTCCTAACATTCTTGGTGTCTGGGGAGGGTGTCTAAAGAGGTGGCACAAAGCAATATCCATCCACTCCAACCGGTCGCGAAATATGTAACAAATATTTAACAAAGCAAGTGCCACCAAAAACTCATCGAACAATCAAATACTCTAATGATGAAATCAAAGATATATGTTCTCGCTCTATTTACTGCTATATCCTTCTTTGCGATGGTTTCAGTATGGTTTAATGATACTAATTGGTTGTTATGCTTTAACGGAAAACCAGCATATTATAGATCCTTATCAGTGATGCCTGATGATCAAGTGGTGATTGGGGAATTCATTAATCCAAAAAATGAAAGTATAGTTTATACTGTGGAGACATCGTCCAATGATCAAGCAACAATTATCCAGCGGTGTAAATGAGGCTATTAATACCCATGCTGGTGTTATACCGGATAACTTCACTTACTATTTTGCGAATGCGCGCCTAGTTCACAATGACATAGTAAAGCACGCAAAGCACCAAAGCTTGAAAGTGGAACTGACGATAAACTACACGTAATAGTCAAATATGGGACACATGAATTGGGTACTGCTATCGGTAATATTGTGTCGGTGATAGTGGTTAATGTTGCAGGAATGTACATAAATGATTAAATAAATGGTGCAAAAGGTGGATCAGAATGCGTTGAGGCTTCTCGGATAATACCCATAGGGAAGACCTGAGAATACGCTGCCGGGATATGTAACACTGCCACCTGCGCTATGGGTAATAATAAATGCAAGACTACTGTTCTGGAGTCCCATTTAGAGAGTGGCTTTAAATAGGAGGACAATGCTATAGATAATCATCCTTATGTTGACTCTTATAAAGCTGGGTTGAGTCATTCATTCTTATGAATAAAATACCAGCCAAGCATTCAATCATTTGTAGCGAGAGGGTTCCCTTGCATTAAGAAAGTGTTAACTAAGACAAAATTTAAGCCACTTGAAGATAGTTTTTTAACTAGTGAAAATTCAATTCTTCCCGTAGTTCCTGTTACTAGATATAATGGTATTTTTAATTTATTACTGTGTATTGTAATACAATTTCGATTTTTGCAGTGACTGAAAAATATTTAGAGACAAATGTTTCACTTTACGATCTTTAAAACTTCCGGCTCTGATAAATGATGCGTGGGTCTCTATAGACCTAAAACTTAAAATGTTTACTGAATTTTGAATATAAGCTTTCGAATTAACCCCAGATTGTTGAAAGAAAGTAATTCGATTATAGATATTCATTATTTTCTTAAATTAGTAAAAGCGAGAAGCACCCTTTCCCAAATATTTGTCATATTTAGGACTCTAAGGGTTGAGTTTAGCTTTCATTATTACCACATCATTGGATCCAGAGGCGCTTTCATCAGTAGATTTAGAGTTACATACGAATGCAATTAGAGCAGAAAAAAAAATGCAATATATGGAGCTAGTTATTTCAGTCTCAACGGTTGCCTGAATATTCAAAAATTTCATCGATCGAAAACTCAAGAGTCATTCCAACTCTTTTTAGTTATACTCTTTTTAGTTATAAAATCTCTTGATTTTATTTTCAAGTAATTTCCTTGTAGCAGGCCAGTATTGAAGTGGGGCATAGACCTTATTAGATTTAACCGAAACAATATAAAACTTCTGAAAGAGCATTAAACATGTATACCTTGAAAAGAAAGATCATCTAGAGGTGACTGTAACATCTTCATAAATGATCTCCCCATCATCGCCTTTTGAAGTTTCTAAAAGCCGCAATTTCTTAATTCTTCTCGTTTGCTTTTCAACGTCGATCGTCAAATACCAGGTTACTACTAAAGAGACAAGTGCTAAACCAAGAAACATCAATGAAATTCCATATGGTAGAGTATATCTAGGCGCATATTCACTTCTGAAAAGTTGAGGCCCAATTATTCCACCAATTTGTGCCCATGCATTCGAGAAAGCAAAAGAAAACATAACCTCTGTTGAGCCAATTAAAGATTGTTGCAACCAAGAAGTTAAGACGGAGCCATCAGCTGATGATACCATCGTGGCAACACAGATGAAGGCATAGAGAGCAGCTTTATTGGTAATCACAGTTAGACAAATAAACGACGGAATAGCAAGTGATAAAGAAAGAAGAACAATATAAGGCTTTGGTATATAACCTCTATCCGAAATCCAAGAAAAAAAGATTCCAGAAATAATAGCTAAGGCTGCCGGTGGTATTGATATTAATTGAGCCTGATTTGTTGTTGTGAATCCAAAACTTTGAACTATTGTTGGCAACCAAAATGATAAACCATATCCACCCAAATTTTGGAACATCTTAAGACACGTGAAGCTGTATGTCAAGGGCCTTTTTAGTGCTCGCTCAATATCTTTTCTACTAAAATCCATGTCACTTGCCCTGGGCGAATTTATCGGTAGTCTGGCCATTATAAATTCTCTTTCTTCTTGTGTTAAGAATTTGGCATCACTAGGAAAATTAGGCAAGAATATTAGTAAAAGAAAAGAGCATAAAATAGTGACTAGGCCTTCTATTAGAAAAACCCATTGCCAACCACTAAGTCCAGCTTTTGTGTCAGCAAATTGAAATCCATAAGTTATAAATGCAGTTAAAATGCTAGAAAACTGACCCAATACGCCTAAAAATGCCATTCTAACAGTAATTTCGTCCGGTCTATACCAATATGTGAGTTGGCACAACGCACCTGGAAACATACCTGCTTCAAACATTCCTAGAAGAAACCTTAAGGACAATAATCCTGCTTTATTTTTAACAGCAGCATGACATGCCAATGAGGATCCCCATAAAAATGCGATTCTAAATTGATGGATACGTGGTGTTGACTTTTTGAGAATCAACGTCGAAGGGATCTCGAATAGAATAAATGGAATGGTATAGATAGTACTTACCCATGCCCAATCGTTGACTGACATGTTAAGTTCACTTAAAATGTTTGTGCTAGCACCTACATTCATAGTCTTGACAAAACCAGCATTATTAACATCCAAATTTTTGCATAAATAGAGTAATATCAACAAAGGCATTAATCTAAGATCAATTCTTCTAAGTAATTTTTTCTCATACGCATAGCCAAACTTATCTCTGGCGGCATGCAATGTTTCATCATAGCCTTTAATTTGATCTTCCTCGAAGGAATAATCAGCCAACTTCTCCTTTAAACTAACCATTTCGCTTTCACAGTAGGATGATTTTTATTTGATAAAAAGAAGCTAGAAGAGACCCTATTTGTATAAATTCTTTTACTAGTACTGCTCAAGTTATTTGAAAAATAATTATGTGTTACCGTTCAGGTAAAAATCCACAATTAATACATTTCATAACGCCACAGTTGATTTCAAACTATTAGAGCAGTCAATACACCACCATTGTATATTGTTCGTTTAATTTTAAGCTATAATAGTGAAATAATAATGCATTAGATCTATTTCGAAAGCCGCGCATTATTTATTCGAATACGAATACTTCGCTCAATTTTCGCAGATTATAATGAGAACCAGATTGACAGCAAAGCAAAAGGATTCAAAAAGAAAAATTTCTCCCTCTTTGAAATTCATGAGCTACAATTATAAAACTCTAATTAGATTTTTGTTACTCCCTTAGATCACTAACTCTTAGAAATGCCGCCACACTAATACGCATGTACGCTATTATATATTTGCTGGTGCCAAGAACCACAATTTTCAACGTTCCGATAATACGAAGAACATTTTAATGTTATACATGCAAATTCGTTAGATCTGTCTCCTAAAAGGACAATCCAGCCGCATTCGGTTTTTGAAAACACCATAATAACACGTACATCCATTATTGGAGATTTTTTGATGATAAAAGCCACAGCTCCTTTATAGTTTCTCCTAACAAAGATAAAGTTAACGTTAAAACATGCAGAAACGTTAAATCTCCACATAAAAGAACTGACAATCCGTATTTCAGGCCTGACAACAGAAACTCAGAAAAAAAAAATTTTTTATTCTTCAATCTGTGCACTCGTAACAGGTAGAATATAGCTTTTTTAGTCTCCAATGGTCAGTCTACTAGATATCGAAGCTTTAATTGACAAATTAACAATTTTGGAAAAAGCTCAATTGATAGGAGGCATAGACAGATGGCATACTGTTCCTCTTCCGAGTCTAAATATTCCTTCGATTAGGTTTTCTGATGGTCCAAATGGAGTTAGGGGTACGTCATATTTTCCAGGAATTGCATCCGCCTGCTTTCCTTGTGGGACAGCTTTGGGGGCTACGTGGGATAAAGCACTATTGTATGATGCTGGTAAGCTAATGGCAGTTGAAGCAAAGCATAAAAGTGCACATGTTATCCTAGGCCCTACGGTGAATATTCAGAGATCTCCTCTCGGAGGTAGAGGCTATGAGTCCTATTCTGAGGATCCAGTCCTATCTGGATTGGAAGCCGCTGCTGTCATCAGCGGTATTCAAAGCGAAGACATTGGAGCTTGCATTAAACATTATGTTTGTAATGAAATCGAGGATGAAAGAATCGCCATTAACATTAACATCAGCGAGCGCGCTTTGAGAGAAATTTATCTAAAACCTTTCATGTTAGCTATAAAGTATTCTAATCCAGCTGTTATAATGACGTCATACTCCAAGGTTAATGGAATACACGTATCGCAAAATAGAAAATTATTGATTGATTTGCTACGAATTGAATATGGCTGGGACGGTACGATAATTTCGGATTGGTATGGGACATACGACACTAACTTATCAATCCAGAATGGTCTAGATCTTGAAATGCCCGGCCCCCCAAAAACAAGGTTACCACATCAAATTTTTCTTAAAGTCAAGTCAAATGAAATTCACATTGATCATTTAAACGAGAGAGTAAGAAATGTTTTAAAACTAATCAATTTTACAAAAAAATCTAAAATTACAGAGCAGGGCCCACAGGACGAAAAAAATAATACCCGAGAAACTGCAAAAAAGTTGAGGCTTTACAGTTCAGATGGTATTGTATTGTTGAAAAATCAAAATGATATCTTGCCTTTATCACGGAGAGAGAAAATTGCAATTATTGGTCCTAATGCGAAAAACACATCAGCTCACGGTGGAGGGTCTGCAGCCTTGAACTCTTATTATACTGTAACCCCGTATGATGGCCTTAGTGAAAAGTTGCCCTACGAACCGCAATATACAGTAGGTGCGTATTCCCATAAGCTTTTACCTCCTCTAGGTATCAAAATGACCAGGGAAGATGGGCTGCAAGGTTACGATTGTAAAGTATATCTTGAGCCTTCAAGTGTTGTTAACAGAACATTGATAGACCATTTGTCTTTGACTAATTCATATCTCAGACTACCAGACTATAAAAATAATAAAGTACCAGAGAATAATATCTTCTTTATGGATATAGAAGGATTTTTTATTCCTAATCATGATGATTATTATGAGTTTGGTCTCACTGTTGTTGGAACTGCTCAGCTATTTATCGATGGCAAACTAGTAGTTGATAATAAAACAAAACAAAAAAAGGGCGATTCTTTCTATAATACTGGGACAGTAGAGGAGAGAGGAAAAAAGTACTTAAAAAAAGGGCAACAGTACACAATCAAGATTGAATTCGGTAGTGGCCCAACATCAAGTTTATCACAAACTACAGAGTCCCTAAGTGATGCTGGAGGAGCGATAGCCTTTGGTGGGTGCAGAGTGATTGATGCTGAAAAAGAAATTCAAAATGCAGTTCAAATTGCAAAAAACAACGATAAAGTGATAGTTATTATTGGTTTGTCTAGAGAATGGGAAAGCGAAGGCTATGATAGATCAAGCATGGAGCTTCCGGGCTTCACCTGTACCCTTGTTAATGAAGTTCTGAAGGCCAATAAAAACATTATCGTAGTTAATCAGTCTGGTACTCCTGTAGATCTACCATTCATTGAAAATATTTCTGCATTTGTTCAACATTGGTTCAGCGGTAACGAGGGAGGAATGCTCTAGCAGATGTTTTGTTTGGCGATGTGAACCCGAGTGGAAAACTACCCTTAACGTTCCCAAAGAAAGTTCAGCATACTCCTTCTTATTTGAACTTCAAGTCAGATAGAGGTCAAGTTAATTATGGAGAAGGGGTTTTTGTAGGTTATAGATACTATGAAGCTATTAGCCAAGAAGCTCTCTTTCCTTTTGGGTTTGGCTTAAGTTATACGAAATTCAAGCTTCTCGATTTAAAATTGAAACAGATCTCAAAAAATCAAATTATAGCTTCTGTAACACTTGAGAACATTGGATTAAGAGATGGTAAAGAAGTCATTCAAGTTTACGTGCGTCAAGAGAATACTACAGTGAGTAGGCCACCGAAGGAATTGAAAAATTTTGAAAAAGTCTTTATCAGAAAGGGTGAAACGAAGACAGTCAACATCGATGTCGATATAAAACTAGCAACCTCCTTCTGGGATGATTATGCTAATAAATGGATCAGTGAAGCTGGGGAATATAAGGTTTTAGTTGGTAACAGTAGTGAAAACATTAAATTGCTCGAAACTTTTATCGTTGAGAAAGACTCATTTAGTCTTGGCCTATAATTCCGACCAAGAATGTACTCCTTTACAATATTAATAGACTTTATCGACTTATTAACCAATAATGTTGCGTTATTTATCTGCGTGATTCGATTCTCTCAGCATTCTTGGTGCTACCTTCACTAACACTTTTGGGAACCCGTGGCCGGTGTCAAAGATGGTGTCAAGAGATTTTTTAGTATGCAGAGCTTAGACAATATACAGTATTCATCTATTGACCAATCATATCGCAGTAACTTAGAGGCACGTGATCTGGTCCTCCTAACATTCTTGGTGTCTTGGGGAACGGTGTCAAGAGAGGTGTCAAGAGAAGTATCAAGAGAGGTGACAAGAGAGGTGGCAAGGGAACTTCTTAGACACCGCCCTAAACACCACTCTTGACACTTCCCTAGACACTTCCCTTGACGCCGCTTTTTTTTTGGCTTTTCTTTTTTCTATTGTTCTGGTTTCCTTTGTGGGAATCCTAATTTTAAGGGGGTGACTTACTTACTCCCTCATCATCCCCCCCACCACTTCTTCTTCTTCCGACTTCTTTAACGCTTTTCTCTAGTCTTATCTCAGTAATTACTGTACCAAGGTTGAATAGGGTCGTTCATAGTGAAGATCTCCATGTGAGAGGGAAATGGACGCTCTTGGACTGATTACTGCTGATGAAATTTTGGAATCTTATGGGGATGGATTTCAAATCGATATCATCAACTCTGAGCCAAAGTATACTCCTGAAGAATATGATTCAAAGTATGAAAGACAGTTTTCATATGATTTCAGAGAACCTTTCTTCAATAAAGTAGTCCCTACATACAACGTTTTTGTAAAATTCTTTGTCATACTCGGAGCCAAATAGAATGTTCTCCTTTACCGTCGTGCTCTGGATCCAAGGGGTACCGCTGAATAAAAGCGATCCATTTATAATGAGCTTTCCATCAATTCGTTTCATAAAGCCTGCCATTGCGCTCGAAAGAGATGACTTTCCTGAACCGATCAGCCCCGTAATGACAACAAACTCGCCTTTCTTGATATCTAGATTTAGATTCTTCAATCCTTCAAAGGTGTTTCCTTCGGAAGAAGTATTATCCGATGACCAGTTACCGGGGGACTGTATTGTCTCCTTTGTTTTGAAATTCGTCATCACTTTGTTCAAAACATTTTCATCAGAGATTTGAACTTCTTCCTGCTTTATATCATTAGGGGGGCATTTCTGGATCCTCTTTTCATTCATTTTGTCTTTCTTATTGTTTTTAATTTCTCCTTCATCAACTTTTGCTTCTTCGATGTCATTGCGATTCACAGCATCCCACTCAAAATAGGCAAGTCTCATTACAAGAGCTAAGCTCTGCTTTTCTATTGTCTCCAGATTATCTGACTCGTCGTCATCAGGAAATTTGGAATCTTCTTCTCTGGCTGCTAAGAATTCCCCTACTCTAGATAAACCTAAAAATGTGTCAGATCCAGCTGCAACAGCAATAGGAACAATATTGAGCTCCTGGCTCAAAATATTGAATAATGAAAGCGAAGCAAAGATTTTTGACGGATCCCTACTACCCCCGACAGCGTACCACACTAAAAAGGACGCCATTGAAGTGAACAATGTCGTATTCATAGCTAAAGAAAAGAGTACGTGTATAATGATCTGCATTTTGTATACAACGTTCATTTCTTTTCTTCTTGCATGGGATATATAGTCAAGATAAGGAGGCTCCCAGGAGAAAAATTTAATGATCTTCAAATTAATTAGCACCTCCTTGATTGTGTCGACCCTTGAATCTGTGAATAAATTAGCTTGCTTCCTCAAGGTGAAGAGAGAAACGGCAATCACTCCCATGAAAATGAAAAATGCAACCAACACAGCAAGACCGACCAAGGATGCCGAGCCAATATAGACCAACAAAATAGCAATCGATACCCCAATTGGGACAGGGGATGCAATCAAAAAGGGCTGAAAATGAAAACCAAACTCAACTCTGGATAAATCAGCTCCCATAATTAATGTTATCTTGGAGACTGGGAACTTGATTCTCGACTGTTCACTCAATTTGTATGATTTTCTCAACATGACTCTGGTCAATACTGCTTTGGTTTGGATACCAGCCACCATGGCTCTGTAGAAGCTGTGGTTCAAGAACACTCCTGAAATGAACAACAAAATAGTCGTGCCGATCGCGTAGCCGATTCCATCACCAACATTATTATTGAGCCCCAATGCGTGTTTTTCAACGAATTGAATCAACTTCCTAGTAAGTAAGGGCCCACAAGTCTAAGCTAGCTGACTGATCATCATGTAAATGCATGCCCATGTGTACTGTCGTCTAAAAGTATAAAGAATTGCGAACAACGTTGCCCATTTCGACGGATTGAAGTCTATATCAGTTCTGGTCAAATTCTCTTCTAAATCCTTCATTTTTTTCGCATTTTCATAAACCCTCGAACGCTCTCTCTCAATTTGATTGCTAAAATGATAATCAAAACGTTCAGCTAGGGCCTCTACTTTAAGTTCGTCGGTCAAGTAGAACAAATCGCTGGACTCTAAAGTTCTCTTGTAACCGACATTTAATACTGGAATGAGCCACCAGAAGAAAAGCCTCAAAAAAATGTTGGAGGTATCCACGGTGAAAGATTTCCTTTCTTCCTCTTTAGTGATAAGTGGAACCTTCTTCGCTAAAAATGGCGTTAAAAACCGTTTCTGTAGTTCGGGATCCTCCAACCTCAAACCTATCCGTTCCTCGCTCATTCCCGTAAAAAGAATTTGAAACAGCATAGAAAAATCTCCAATGAGAAAGTCAGCAGAGACTTGGATTTACCCTATCAAAGCGTTAAAACAATTCAGCCAGGATTCATCTCTTAAGTAGAAATAAGAAATTTGCCATCAAAGTGCTTAGCCGCACGCTACGTCCCAAGCGGCACAGTTAGTCGCAACTCTATCACACGGCTTTTAGTACACTATGATTTCTTCCACTATGCTACGATATGATACGATCAGTGGCGGGCATTCTTGTCTTAGATATTCAAATATAAATGTATCTGGGAAGTAGTTGCGGCTTGAAAGCTCATATTATGAAGATTCGTCGAGGACTGGCTCTAGATTTGGTTGCGTTTAGAATGAATTTGCCCCCTATCGTCCTACATCCGCAAGATACGTGATCATGCCACGCTTTTCTTTCCAGTTCCCGACATCATCCTTGATATCATCCTTCACACAATCCCTTATTTTGATGAGCAATATCATAGTACTAATTACTTATCTAAGCATCGATTTTTTGAGCAAAAACTTTGGTCGAGAACACGAAGATCCGATAGCAAGGAATTCAGGGCCCTCATATGATTGTCAAAGTCCGGGGAAGGTTGACGTTCACATGAAAAATAAATTAAGTTCTGCTAATCTCTTTCATGATTAATTCTTTTTCAGCCAGCCCGATTTTAAAGTTCAATGCTTCAAGAGTATAGAAAACCTTTCAGATACATTGACTTCGAAGCAATATGAGGCGATGAGTTGAATCAGTTTCTGTCAAATTTGTGTCAGCTTTTTTGGTTATTCCACAATAAAGTATCATTTTGTTTAGGAACTTGAGGTATCGCACCTGGAATGCTGTGACCTAGAATTATCTCTCTTGGCATGGTTTGTCTTTTTGGACCTATTGGTATCTTTCATTAAACCTTTGATATACCATTAGCACAATTTTGCAACTTGATGCCATTGGCATCGTCATCGTTGTCTTTTTTGAAATTTCTTGTGTTTGACCTGCTACTCTTATAAATTTTACATGATAAGCAAATGATGGCAATATGGGGATGTGAAAGGAAGGCAATCCTTATTCAAATGAGTAGTCATGTAGGCTTCTTTAAACTGTACTTCTTCAAATTTTTCAAGTTTCTTTATTGCCTTCTCAAATATATACTCTACGGAACCCAAAATTATTCCAATACGCTATCAAGTCCGCAACTGTCTTTCGGCGTTACCTACTTTGAATGAATTATTGGCGTCATTTAAATTCAAGTCAAATGCAGATAATAAATAGGTGTGAGTCACGTGAGATAGGAGTAACATCACATTGTGAAGCTATAGTATTTTGAATAAGAAGGAAGCGATTCAAGGGCCCCTTCTAAAGGTTACGATTTGAGTATTAAAAACATCAGCCAATGACTATGTGTTAGTATTTAGGCTAATTATCTGCTAGTGATTCTTTAATATGTAGGATGAATGAAAAAATATGGTAATAGTAGTGTATGCATGAAGCATAATATGCTTCATAGTTGATGAGCAAGGAGCACGTAAGAGGAAAGCAGTCTTAACAGAATAATTCAGCTTACGATATCACGGTTAGAATTTTTAGTTTTGATGAGGCTGTTCCGAGTATATTATTGTCAAGCTATGAACCATGTGCTGATGATGAGTTAGAGTCGTACATAACACAGCATTTTCGCAAGTTGAAGAGTATCCTAAGGGCACAGACCGATGTGCTCCAGTGTTGTCGTTAGTTATGAATCTATTGTTCGTGTTTAGATATTCTTGAATAGTATTGGGTTCTCAAGGATTTTCACTAAGTTTTATCCATTGTATGCTTCAAAAATGTTAAAATAATATCCAATGGTTTTCACTATTGTGATAGAGCCTTCAGGACAATTTTTGAGAGAATTATATATCGGTCTTCTAATGTTGTGGGCCCTTTAGCTTTATCTGTTCGTTCTTTGGTACCCCCCTCTCTGTCCACATTAAATATCTTGATTCACTATTGGTTTGATTGTGCTCCCGTATTCTCTAAGTTTCCAAATATTATTATCAAGAGTTTGATACAGTATTTTACTAGGGACTGTCACAATACAAATACCTTCATTGGCATCGATTTTATTTGAAAAGAACAAAAACTTAGCTCTGGAATGTGTCTAATAATAACAATAACTAAAATAAAGATTAGAATTTTTCTATTTTTGAAATTCTGAGGAGTAATAAAATACTTTTCAAATTAGGGTGAAACATCTATAGGCGCTTAAGCGTTTTTTTATGTGCCAATCTGGAGAGTATGACAAGCTGATTTCTCGTCAAAGAGACATAATGTCCCCATTTAGCAAGCCCTTTGCAAAATATTTGAGTTAATTCAAAATGATCCAGGACTCCGCATAAACAATTGCTATAACTTCCTACTTTTCTTTTCATGCTTTTATTGAATACGGGCTGGACGAATGTCAGACTTAGAGCTGGGTACCGTAAAAATTCTGCGTGGTGTGCATATGAAGCTGCATTGATTATATAAGCGCACATTTAGCTCCGAATAGTTTGTATTGACATAAAACAAGAATTAAATTAAGGAGGCCCTTTACCTGTGTGAGGTACCATTTAAAGGAGCAAGATATCAGATGTTTCTCATAAAATAAGATATTGCAAAAATATGTCGGCCAAGAAAGTAACATCAGAATTTGACCATCAAGAACTTAAAACTAGTGATGTACATTTTGATAGTTCATCAGCTTCGTCAGAAGAATCACTTATGGAGCCATCTCGGAGACAATTTGTGCTATGAAATCAACACGTCAACGGAAATATTACCATCTTCACTTCTGAAGATTCGGCTTCGAATTATGATGCGTTTAAGGAATTAACCCCGGATCAAGGGAATTTCAATAACATATTAGAACTTCAGAAACAAGGCTTAGGAATACCGCTTCTAAAGGTAAAATTCCATTACTTTGACGACAAATATGCTTCAGTATTGAAATATACTACACCTCAAGGAGACGCCCTCTTTGAAGAAAAGAGTGATAATCACGAAATATGTACCATACGGAAGAAGTTGTTCAGTTCCTATGTCAGATATGAATTCCAATTTGACTTCAATGATCATAAAAGATTCACGATCTCTTTTTTCATGCACTATAAGCTATCAATCGGGGATACTACACCATTCCCAGACGGAAATTCTTTCAGATGGATACATTCAGAATACCATGAATTGTGGCTGAAATATTCTTATTCTTTATTCTTGATAGATGAAGATGATTTGTCTATGGTCGAAAACATGGATCAAGTAAGTGGAAAGTTAGATCCAAGAAATGAATTGGTGCAGGGCAATATTTTAAATCTTTTCAAGTTCCGTTCGAGAAAGGTGAAAGATAGCTTCATTCCAAACGTGAAGCTAGGTTCTTTGAATTATTCCAAAAGAAAATCTCTCGGGTCTTACCAGAGAACTGCAAAATTCTTTTTACGAAGTCTCGAGGAAGCTCGAAATCTTGAAAGTACACTTTCGGTAAATGATGGTGACTTGATGTTATTATGTATCTCAAGTATATTAAAGAGACATGAAGATAAGAGGAAAAAGCGGAGGTACAGAATGCCAACAATAGCCGGTGCGGGTAGCGGTAGCTGAAGAAAAGTGATTGCTCCTTAACAAGACTGTTTCTGAAATTGAATATTAAGGAAAAATATTGTCTCTCTAATATATTGAAGATGAACCCTATACATCTGTAAGAATAATAGATAAAGATCTTTATTCTAATCTCTTACGTATAAACGCATCAGCTTGCTTTTTTATATTGTGAACCGATCTTTGATGGAGGTATATTTCCCAGACCTCCTCTCTGCTTTTATAGATTTACGCTACCAGTAGTCTTGACATTGACTCTGATAGGTAATACGAGAAATGTTTCTCATCTATATTTACTGAGAGGTTGCCATGAAGTATTCAGAACGTGACTGGCCAAGTGGCGTAATATATGTGCGGTGATGTTAATAAGATCGACTTAAAATGTCGTACGGTTACAGTAAGCTGAAATTTATGTTGGTTTATCGTGTCGACCAAAGCCATCTAACTCTTATTGTAGCAACTGACAAAGGAATCAAAGTGGACAATGTTGTCGCGGGTGACAAAGTACCTCTGGGGCGGCCATTTCCAGCTCAATCTTTAAAGAACGTGGTGGATCTTTCCCTAGAGGACGCTAGTCCTTGTGTCAAGGTCGATGACACTTGGCCCGGTATTCTTGAGGGACACCGTGCAGGTATGTGGACGGTTGCACTTACGTGCTCAGGCAACTACATGGGCCTTTCATACAAAGAGTTTAAAGCATTATCGGATCTGGAGTTAAAAGAAAAGAGAGCCCATGTTGAAAGGGTTTTTCAAAAATCCAAGCCACATTATTTGATTGGGAAAATTGCTGAATTACCAAGAGTGATAGAAGACATAAATAGAAAGATGAAGAAGCGTGAGGTTCCTCAGACTCTATAAGTATTTAATAGAAATCCATCTGGATAAATGCATTTAAAATTATTTTAGATAAATAGGGAGACTTAAGTTGATCTGAAATCAAACACTAGTATTCAAGTTTTCTAAGTGAACAATCTTCGTTTTGGTTCCGATGCTTGGTGTTCAGAATAGTTTTCGATGAAGTTTCAAATTTTCACTACCTAAAATTATATAGCTGTCCAAATTTTGAAATAAAAGTCCATAATACAACAATAAGATTACCAAATAGAGATTTTAACTCTTCTAATCTCTTTGTATACACTCATCGGTTTGCTATTTACTATTTATGTCTTTTATTGGCGGTTTTGCGAAGGAAGTATCTTCCCTACAATAGGAAGGGAGAATGGTTGAATTTACGTTTCACAAGTAATCAGGTGATGTTATGTTTATGACTTTATGTGCAATAGATATAACCCTGGTTCGTCTTCATTATGCTTCTATTTAGTGACATTATTATGAAACCTTGGGTTCTGTCTATAGGAATTTTTTCTCTAGAATATCCTTCTTGTTCTTCTTGTGGTATAAAGTTTTTTGTATGAGCTGGAGGATATAGATACTGGTTTTAAATTGAAATACTAATTGCTCGATCTTGCTCGCGAGTAATTTTCCTGCCTCTTCAATGATACATGGATATGATTCGTTTCAACGATCAAAAATATTGCTGCTGTTGATAGAGTTAGTTCTTTTAGGATGCTGTGTCAAAGAAATAATTAGAACCACTATGTGTCCTGGAATCTAACTTATCAGCAGTAACAGCAGACCCGGCCAGCACTATCTATTCTTAATTCGCCACAAACCGATGTTATGTTCACCGTCTAGTCCATCAAATAATAACGAGTATGCCGATATTTCAGGAAAAACATTTTGGCTTCTGCCACCTGATTACCAGTGTACATGTCGTCCATAGCTTCGTATTTATCAGCTTTTTCACACCCCAACCTCGAATCCTTAGCTTTAATCGTGTACCAGTTAACATTCCACAAATCTAACCTCTTATCTAGGCGCCTTATAATATCAGTTGTCATAGTCGCTTCATTTGACCGCAAAAACCGGTATATATCTCTCGATATATTTATTCCATTGGATAACATTACATCATCACCTTGAGTATCATGGTAGTGCATCAACAATACTCCTGATTCATTAGGAGTCTTTCCTTTCAAAACGTCAAAATCAATGTAATAGTCCGTGTTGCTCGTGTTAGTAATATAGTATGCAGACACAATCTTCGTTAATCCATCCGTGAGATCGCGTTTACCAAATGTGTTATCAGAAATTCATTGGGTAACGTTGACGTAGTTGAGTTCAGGATATGTATCACTGTAGTGATATTCAGTAAAGGTTTGGTTTTCAAGTATCCTTTATCCAGACTGTTCTCCAGTCCTGCTTTGTATGCTCCCTCAATAAATGAAAAGAGAAGGAATACAGCAACTGCGGCTATGTGGGAATCACTATCACTTAATCTTCCTACAAGAGTGGTAAATATTACGTATGTACATGTTAGACCGCAACCTGTTTCTCAATTCTTTCGTATCAGCCATAATTTAGACAATTCTGCCTAGACTATTCCTTTCCATCCTCGTTTCTGAGTTAGTAATTCAGTCGTTCATCGAGTTTAAACACTGGATTTGCAAAAGGAGACAATTCCTTATTTTCTGAATACGAGTGCTTAGATTTCTTATCATCCATCACAACTATTCCAACACAGAGAAAGCCAAGAATAGCAATACAGCTTAATAATACGAAAATATGGGGCCAATAGGAGTTCCTGATCCTTTTGCAAAAGACAAGGATCGGAGACTTAGAGATTGGCAGATAATTCAAAAACAAATTACTGCAACATAACGTATCACTGCCAATATCTTAAGTTTGTCTAAAAGTCTTAATGGAGCAAAAACCAAGAATTTATTTTATCTTAAAAGGTGCCGAGTCACTACAAATACTGAATTATAGCCAATAATAACCGCTGATATTTCGTGAGAGAATTTTAACTAGATTTTATAGAAATCCATATGTTCATTTTGACCAATGAGGCGTCGTTCCTGAGATGACAATAAAGGTTGATCAGATGAGGATATAAAAATGGAACATTTGCTATTTTGAAAATAAAGGTTGAATTCGCCAATGGAAAGGTGATAATATCGAAAGTAGAAAATCGTATTCAGAAAATTGCCCCATCAAAATCTTTTCTATTAATCCATAACAGAAGATGAGTTAGTAAGCAATGGTACCATCCCAATAACTTTTCAAATCTTTTGCCCTGAGTGTCATCTGCCATCCAGTTGTAGTTTCTATCTCATTCAAGAGGTTTAATATCGTTTCATGTTCTTCATCACTACTTAATAGTTTTCCTGCAATCCACAAGGGCTGGACGGCGTTATTCCAACAGCCGCTAGTTATTTGTTAGTATATAACAATATAATATGATTATTCATACTTACTGATTGTGGTTGTGTATACTTATTGCACATATCTGCTTTGCATGCCATATCGTAGATTTCTATTAGAAAATGTTAGTATCATCAAGCACCCACTAATTGGAAATATCATACTTACTACGCCATACGAAGGAATTATTTTGTAACCTCTGGGCTTATTCTGAATCAATAGTATGATAGACATATGATATAGCTGATTTGCCGAAATTGCAGGCCCATTTAAGAAGAGAATACCTGGAAATGGTTTCTCTTCATATTCAAGAATGGGTCTCAACTGAACTGGACGGTTAATATACCAATCAATAACTTCATTCCACAAAATTTGCCATTCCTCCTCAAAAGATTTGGTTTCCTTAGCTATCAAGTTCAAAACTCTTCCGCACAAGAAAACGATGTAATTGGAGTACATATCTTCAGAGTTCATTCTCAAAAACTGCTCTTTCAGCTCACCGATTGAAATATCTCTTCCTATCCAGTACTCTGATTCACATATGGTAGATTGCTCAGCAATGACAGCAGAATTGACATCCATCCTTGCGTAACACCAAAATAAAGCTCTTTCGAATCCGTCACTGAAACCATGAATATTATGAGCCTTGAACTGAGCACAACATCCTTCTAAATGATGTCTCCACTCATCTGGTGCCGATGACATCATCTCGAATACACATAATATCACACAGGAGCTAATCATCGCTTTGTCCATAGTTTTATCAACAGTGGGGATTAGTTGTCTCAATGATTCTTGATAAAGCCTTATGGTGAGCTCAGGCTCATAATTACTAGTAACTTGCTCCTTTTGGCGAGACGAAATCGCATATAAGGCATATAGTAACGCGTTATTAGTTTGGGCAAGTTCTGGTATCTTTCTTCCAAATTGTTTCGATATATCAAACATATCTAGCCAAGGTGCAATTTCATATAAATAGTTCTTTAGTAAATTCAACTTTTCAGAGGAAGATAAAGATGGCTTCTCGTGCTTAAAGCTATCCAAAATTTCACTCATTTTGCTTTTATTCTCTGTTTTCAGAACTATGTTCCACATACTATCTTTGTTGACAAAATCTGATTCATTTAAGTAATTTGTCAGACTTCTTCCTGCTATAGGGTTAGGGTCAAATGAATGTAATATGTTATTGAATTCAGCGGTTATTGTAAAATCGTTATTCATATCAGGAGCAGAAACTACGTTGGTAAACATGTAGTCTCGTAATGTATTATTAAGATTCTTATAATGCAAAAAGGGAGTCATTATTGAATCTGGCGATAAAGCAGGGATAGTATTGGTCTCAATAGCCAGCGGTGGCCCTCGGAGAGTTTCTACACTTCTTGATGTATCTCTTTGCGGCAATTTTTCGGCAACATTAGTAAATTTCGAATGACTACTACTCCCTAATTTGGCACTTTCAACCTCCTGAAACAATATATATTCCGTTCTCTGGCTAGCTCCATGTGAACCAAAATTGGCAACACCGTCTTTGGCATCGTTTACATTCAATAACAGATTTAACGATATTTTACTAGGTGTTTTCTCATTTACTCTTGGCAGAAGATTGGCAATTGTAGTATATGATACAGGCAGATTCTTACTCTTGGAACCCTCATTTAAATTATTCGATCCTTCATTTTCATAAAATGCAGTTGAGTCGAGTGGAGAATAGTCACTTGTAGCATTTCCACAACATTGAACGTCATCATTATTCACATCTGCTTCTGAAAATGGTGGATCTCTTGATCCTTTTAACACTTCTGAAGTCAAACCCTTTTTTGCCAACTGCATTCCTTTGTCGGTATTTGATTCTCGGTGTGACATTCTATCACCAATAATATTCTTCGACTTGGTATTTTTAAAACAAATGGGAAAATTGTTCTTTGGAATTTCAATGCTCAAGCTATCTTTGTTGTTTAAATCATCCTTTCCATGCTCACTATTGCTTTCTTTTGAATCTCGCCTCAATCTGCCCCGTCTTATCCCTGTAATACTTTTGATAGAATTTTTATTAAACCTACCATAATTGATGGGCCATTCACAAATTTCGTTATTTTTTACACACAATCCACACGAAGGTTTACCCTCGTCACATTTCTTGTGCTTTTTGCGACAATTTAGACATCCAGTTCTTACTCTTGTAATTTCCCTCATGTATCATTCACCCTTGTATCATGACTCGTATTGATGTAAAACATGGTGTCGACATTCAATATAAATATTTTTTTTTTCTGCATTTTGAATTACCTTACCCCACACAGCAAATCAATACAAGGATCCTGTATATCAGTTATTCTATAGCTTACGAATCATATACATTCTCTGAACAGCTAGAAAAAAGAGATCAAATATATAAAAGAGAGATATTAAAACTAAAAATTTTTTAATTTAAATCTTGAAATTCATTTCTTATGTCGGCATCCACTAGCCACTGAGAATAATACTTCTCTATTTTTTCAGCTATTCTGTTTGCATTAAAACCGAAGTATTCATACACAAGGCTACCAGGAAGCGATTTACCATATCTAAGCATATTAACACCAGCAGAAGCATACCTCTCCCAGCCTTGGGGTGCATATGCTTCAATAACTACAGTAGGTAATTTTCCTCGCTGCAATAGTGATCGCTTATATTCTAGGGACTGTTCCTCGAAAAGCCTCAGACAAGGAAAAGAAATGACCCTTGATTTGATGCCTTTTTGATTCAATATTTCTGCTGTCTTCATAGCAAACAACATTTCAGCACCTGTTCCAATTATGTTAATAGACAGGTTGTCTACATCTTGAAAGACATATGCACCACGTTTAACTAGATGCCTCATTGAATTATTAGGGAATTGGGTAAGATTATGTCTCGAAAGTGATATTATCGAAGGTCCATTTTTATTTTCAATAGCGATTTCCCAAGCTCCTGCGGTTTCTTCAGAGTCGCATGGGCGAATATAGAGAAGATTAGGCATAGCCCTGTATAAGGCAGTAAGGGCAATGGGCTGGTGTGTTGGTCCATCTTCTCCCATCCCAATTGAATCATGAGTGGCCACATGAATCACTTGTAAGTGAGCGAGAGAACCATATCTCACAGCAGGGGCTGCGTAAAGATAAAACATGAAGAAGGAGGATGTGATAGGAATGAAAGTTCCTTTGCCGAAAGCTGCAATACCATTCGCAATTGCAGCCATAGCGTGCTCACGAACGCCATAATGAATATATCTTCCTGAGTAGTTACCATTTATTCCGCAATTCGTTTTAATTCTAGGATTTTGAAAGTCTACCTTACCATTCCAGCTCAAGTTCACAGATGGTGATAAATCTGCTGTGCCCACCATGATTGTGTTAATTTCTTTAAAAATTGGATTAGAAATGAAGCCGCTAGATTTCCTTGAAGCAGTAGGAATATGAGGAAATGATTTCGGGATTAATTGCTTCCATGCTGAATCCAATTCTCCCTTAATACGCCCATCAAACTCTTTTGCTAACTCAGGGTAAGCATTTCTGTAATTATGAATCAATTTTCCCCATTCTTGGGTTAAATTATCTCCTTTATCTTTGAGATCTGAAAAGAAATCATAAACAATGTCCGGAATAAAATATTTATCCTCTGGACAGATATCATTAGCCAAATGTAACTTATCTACCTCTTCCTGCCCAAAAGCGGAACCATGCGCTTCTGCTTGCCCCTCAACTGAAGTACCAGTTCCAATCACAGTATGAACATTAATGAATGTTGGTTTGATATCAGAATTTCTAGCTGTTTTTAAAGCTTCCACAATTTTTTCGACATTATAGGACCCATCTTCGACATCTATAACATTCCAATTACAAGCTAAAAATTTGTCGCGAATTCTCTCTGTATTTGTGAGATCAACAGATCCGTCGCAAGTAATCTGATTATTATCGTAGATAACGGTTAAATTGTTGAGGCCCAAGTGTCCTGCGAGAGAGATTGCTTCTAATGCAACACCTTCTTGTAAGCAAGCGTCCCCCACCATACAAAATGTATGATTATCAACAACTGAAAAATTGGGTCTATTGTATGTTGCCTGCAAATTCTTCGAAGCAATAGCTAATCCTACAGCATTTGCTATACCTTGGCCCAAGGGTCCTGTGGTGACTTCAATTGCAGGATGTTCATTTTCAGGATGTCCAGGACAATATGAATTTAAATCGGATGAATGATAGGTCTTTAGTTGTTCCATGGTCATGTGTTTATACCCAACTAAGTGGTGAAAGGCATACTGGAACAAGCAGGTATGACCATTTGATAAAACAAATCTATCCCTATTAAAATACTCCGGGTCATTTGGTGAGAATCGTAATACATACTTCCATAAGGCTATACCAATTGCAGCCATGTCCATAGCTCCACCTGGGTGACCTCCATTAAATTGCTGAACTAAATCTGCAATAAGAACGTGAAAGATTTTCAAGATGTAAATATGTATGTCATTTCGGTTAGTTATTGTATTGTTTGATTTATATGATAACGTCATTATTTATATTAGGTTTGCTAGTCTTTTTTGCTATAACTGACTACTCGACACTTCATTTCACTTTTCTTCTTGGCTTTTACTTCGTCTTCACGTTATACTTATAATAAATTTTATATCCGATTAGTCTCATTTCGAGATTCGTTGCATACCAATTCCTCAAAATGTCTTACCTAGATTTAGATCATATTTGCGGCAAATATTTCCACTTTCAGAAGTTACATCTTAGTTAACTTTTACGAACATTCATGCTTGAAGATCAACTCTGGGGGCAAAAATACGCGCAGAGTGGAGTAGATAGTATTATAAGATATAAAATGCGTCGCCAACCCTACATTTTGAAAATACTTCTAATATACTTACTATTCAAATCTAAATAACTGCATTGACTCTTAAAAAAATGACATTTGAAAATAACATTGCTCTTCAGACCACCTCTGACCACAACATCGAAATTGTAAATGTGTCTATTGGGCACCCTGATAAAGGTCAAGTATTAATTCACGTGAGGGCAACGGGAATTTGCGGTTCAGATATTCATTTCTGGAAAACTGGTGCAATTGGTGAGTTGAAAGTGTTGGGCAACTGTACATTGGGGCACGAGGCAGCAGGTGATATTGTAGGAGTCGGAGAGGGTGTAAGAGACGTTCAAGTGGGAGATCGTGTTGCTATAGAGCCTGGAATTCCCTGTGGCAACTGCTTTTTGTGCACCGGAGGGAACTATAATTTGTGTAAGGATGTGCAGTTTATCGGCGTGTATCCATATCATGGCTCAATGCAAAAGTATTTGATTCATGATGCCAAGTTCATCCATAAACTTCCAGATAAGCTAAGTTATGAAGAAGGTGCATTGGCTGAACCGGTTTCAGTAGCATATCATGGCATCCAGAGAGCAGAACTTGAGCTTGGTAGTGGTGTGTTCATAGCTGGAGCTGGCCCAATAGGATTAGCAGCACTATTATTGGCTAGCAGTCTGGGTGCTTGCCCTATCGTTATAAGCGATGTAAATGCTTCCAGACTTGAATTTGCGAAAAGATTAGTTCCTTCTGTAAAGACTTACCAAATTAATCCCAAGATAAAAGATACAGAAAACGCAGCAGAAATAAGAAAGTGCTTTGGGAAAGATGAAATCGATGCACCAGCATTTACTTTAGAGTGTACTGGTATTGAATCCAGTATTATTACAGGAGCGTACGTAACTAGAAGATCAGGGACACTAACGCTCATTGGAGTTGGAAAAGATACTATCAATAACTTTCCCTTCATGCATCTATCTTTGGCTGAGATTGATGTTAAATTTATTAATAGATACCATGATTCATGGCCCATTGTTATAAAATTAATGGATCAAGGTATTATTGATGTTAGACCCCTTATTACTCATCGTTTTTCTCTTAGTGAATCTATTACAGCAATGAATGTTGCATCAGATCCTTCAGTACACAGTATCAAAGTAATCATTGAAGACAATTGACATAGCTGTTATGACTATGAAACCCTATAGATTATCAGATTAATGTAATTTTATGAAATCCATTGAGTGGCCTTTGTAGTCAATCGTTTGTCGTATTGTAGACCCACTATATTAATTTGTGACTTTACTAGTGAATATACTGTGAATACTGTTGTATTTTCTAAAAGCTAACAAAATATGACGGAAGAAAAATAGTAAACTTTTACTTCTGAAATGCAAAAGACTATTACAAGCTTTACTAATTGGTAAAAAATTTCAAATTTTTGGTGATATAAAATACAGACTTAAATTTTTCACTACGGAAAACCTTAAAATCGTAGCCTACCAATTTAGAGCTTTTTAGACAACTTCAACGTGTTCCAATGCCGGGTCCTTCTCATTTGCAGTTGATGTTTGGGATGAGTTATCTGGAAGCTTCATTCTCAACGAGTCAGTATTTACTAAACCCATGAATATAGTTCTGTTGTCGCAGAAAAGCTGATCAATGGCTTCCAAAGTGAGTCCCTTTGTTTCTGGGAAAAAGAAATAAAACATAAAGACAAACGAAAAGTTTGTGCAAGTAAAGATCAAATACGCCTTCCATTTGAGTCTTGTTATTATTGTTGGAGTAATTTCGACAACGAAAAAATTCCACAACCAATTGGCCGAAATCCCGATTGCTGTTCCTTTGGCTCTCACATGCAAAGGAAGAATTTCAGGAACAATCACCCAAGGAATACAATTTCCAGAGGCACCGAATACCAATTGGTAAATGAAAAAGAAAGCAACAGCGGCAGCACCGGTGCTCTTCTGGAGATCAGGGTTACTTTGAAAGCTTAAAAGTATGGAGATCATAAGCATTGAAATACCACAACCGAAGTAGCCGTAGACTAGAGGTAATCTTCTTCCAAGTTTGTCAGCAAATAATGAAGGAACAATAGATCCAATCGTAAAGCATATTTCAGACACACCTCCAAGAATCATGGCTAAGTTTCTCTCAAGGCCGACATTGTGAATTAAAACTGTAGTAATATAGTAATTTATCAAATTTACGCCTCCCATTTGCTGAGCAAACATTGACATATATGCTAGGATGACTCTTGTTCTGGTCCGAGGCTTGTCTGGCTTGAAGAGCCTTTTCCATGTGTAAGAGCCTTCTTCTGTCTCTAAAAGCATAGCTTCCTCTATTTCCTCATAAGCTGAAACTATTTCAGGATCAGTTTCAGGTTTTCCTAAGACATAGGATAATATCTGCCTCGCTTCTTCTTTTCTCCCCTTGAAGAAACAGTATCTCGGAGATTCAGGAACTGTAAAAGTGAGGGCTAATACACCAAGAGCAAAAATAATCTGCGTAGCTATTGGCAATCTCCAATTTATTGGACCAGCAACAAAAGATAGTCCATAGTCAAGCCAATATGCATATACCAAGCCAATACCCACAAATAAAGCTTCTGAACATACCAAACGACCTCTAGAGGTAGGCCTTGATAGCTCAGCTTGGTACATAGGGACAGAGCTGGTCTCCATGCCTGTTCCTAATCCAGTAATAAATCTTCCTATCATTAAATGAGGAACAGAAAAAGCGCTTGTTTGAAGAGCTACACCTATTATTATTACCACCATTGATACTGCGATTGTCCTCCTTCTTCCCAAGGAATCTCCTGTGAAATAGTTGAGAATACACCCAAAAAAACATCCTAATGTATAAATAGAAACAATAATTCCTAAAAAAGTGGATCCTGGATTCCCAAATTGATTTAAGAAGTCATCTCCATTTATTAAGTTACCAACGATCCCCTGCTCAATTCCAAAAAGTATGAATGCCAATTCACAAGTAAAAGTGACAGCTAAACTTGCATGTTTTCCACTATTCCAAACTTTAAAGTACTTCATATTTCAAAGTTATCAAAGCTATTGTTTGGAAAATTGCATGTAAGCCGCCAGGCCCCTTTCATTTACTTATATAACACCAAACTTCCTTTTGTTATTACTTCTCATTTTTTAAACTACGTATAATTCCTGTTCGTGAATCGATGGGGTTCAAAAAGCCATATATTACCCCACATTTTTGTGTCGGCTATTATCTCTTAAAATGTACAACTATATACGCATTCTACTAGGAAGGTCCTTCTACCTCAACAACGAAATTAAAATAAGGGAAACCTTCTATTAAGCAACTTAATCTCTGGGGTTTCTTCTCTTTATCGCTTAAATGATATGAATATAGCCAATGCCCTCTGTAATAAGGTCGACGAGAGATAGTGATAAACGTATCTGCAAGTGAAGAATCACGTTTCCTATACGGAAATACTGACCCTGGCGACGACTGTTCAAGTTGCAAAATCATAGCTAGGGTTTTAGGCATAGATGCAATTGACTTCATTAATGATGGTACAAAAATTGTTTCTCATGGAAATGAAGAATGTTAAGAGATGCACATTATTCACTTGTTGAAAGATAAAATCACAAAAAGTGCCTCCTGAGAAGATAATGTACTAATAGATGTATTTTAGACAATTTCCTAGTTAGTTCTCACGTATCAACATATTTTCTCCTCGAATTGTGACATTTTGATTTTCTAGATCCTTAGTTTCATTACATAAAAATCAGCTCGTTCTGGCCAAATAGGTCGTAATTCGGGAACTGAGAGAAAAGACAGATTAGATAAGCTGCAATATTCAAACATCGTGAGATGTACGATGCCGCTAAGGAGAAGATTAAAGTAACTAGGATATCTGTATCACTAGAGCTGCTTAAAATACTTAGGTAGTCCTCTCAAGAGTGAAGTATAACTAAGTTGTACAGACCTCGTCAAGTCAACAATATTCGAGATTTATTGCAAGTTGCATTTGATAAATCCAGCAAAGTCAAAATAGGTAAGTCCTTTCACATTTGAATTGAAGAGAGGGTTATTTCTGTTTTCTCAACGTTCTACAGTAATAATATTACCCCATGTAATAAGCTCAGCCAAGCTCGGCGTTAGTTAATTCCAGTCGAGAATCAGCTTACTTTTCTATGTGAATTGTTCCTTAGCAGCTCGCGTGGAAATGATAACTAATACTCCCCCCCCTTCCCTCAAAGGACTTTTGAGAAATTACCTATTTAGTGTCTTTGCTCCCTAGTAGCTGCGACTAATATTGCCTAATTAAGCTTGTTCTAAAGTTCTGACTTGTGTATGTGAGAACACAAAAAATAAAGAGAAAGCAAATGTCAACATAAATGAGAATTTTAGAACGTATTTAAATAGAATAGATGTTAGTGATTCATGATATTCTTCATCGTAATTTTATTAGTCGTGATACTAGAGAAAACGATAGTTATTATTTTGCAACATGTCCTCTCAAACCATCAGAATGGCGTCTGGATATAACTTCCCTTTAGTTGGTCTTGGATTGTGGAAAGTACCGAGAGATAAAACCGCCGATCTTGTATATAAAGCAATAAAGAGTGGATACAGACATTTCGACAGTGCTTACGATTATCACAATGAAAAGGAAGCAGGTGAAGGAATTAGAAATGCAATAGAAGATGATCTTGTAACAAGAGAGGATATATTTATCACCACAAAACTCTGGAACAACTACCATGCGAAAGATCACGCATTAAAAATGGCTAAATATCAGAATGACACATGGGGGTTGGGGTATATTGATTTATATTTGATTCATTTCCCCATTGCATTAAAGTATGTCAATCCAAAAGAAATTGAGTTCCCATCCTGGTGGTGCGATAAGAATAGAAGTTTAGTTGAAACAGAGAGGGTCCCAATGAGAGAAACCTGGGAAGCGCTCGAATCCTTAGTCGACCTTGGAATTGTGAGATCAATTGGTGTATCAAATTGTCTGGCTCAGACTATTTATGATATTCAAACTTATAATAGATATCCAATTTCCTCCCTCCAAATTGAACACCATCCGTACTTAGTACAGCCCAATTTAATCAAATTTGCTCAGGAAAAAAATATATCTGTTGTTGGGTACTCCTCATTTGGGCCACAATCTTTCTTAGGGTTACCCGAAAAGTTTTCCGAAAGAGCCAAGAATGTGACAAATTTATTTTCAAATGAAGTTATCGTGTCAATTGCTGCTAAACATAACAGGTCTCCTGCTCAAATATTATTACGGTGGGCCACTCAAAATAATATAGCAGTGATCCCGAATGCTCTGATCAAGACTTATTTGGAGCAAAATATATGCTTGGATTTCGATTTGACTGAAAAGGAAATTGAACTCATCAATAATTTGGACCTTAATTTAAGGTTCAACGACCCTGGGTTCTTCTTGAAGGATCAATATGCATTAAATCTTTTTGAGTAGCTGATTGTTAGATTAATAGCTTGCTTTATTATGAATTGTTATAACGGAATCGTCACGAGTAGATGTGAATTTAATCTGTGATCTCAAATAATAACACGATATTGAAATGCTCTTGATATATATAAATGATTTGATCTTTGTATTTTTATGCAATAAAATAAGCCAATAAAAAAGGCGGTAAATCTTCTTTTCATTTCTTAGCAGACATAGATCTAAGTGAAGATTGATTTAAGCGACACAAAATACAGACCGCTTAAATCATTCATTTTCTAACTAGTTACTGCCAAAATATCAAGTGCTATAGTTGGAAAATATCGCTGTTTTCTCTTAAGACTAATGAATATGTATGTACAGCTCTCTTTAAAAAAGAGATGATGTTGCAAAATCGTGGTCAAAAGCATTGAAAATTTCTTGAGCAAAGTTATTTCTATGTTGTACAATCTGTGGCCAAAAGTTTCTGTATAGGTTGTGTACAGCTCCTTCTGTACCTATTAAGAGGATGTTTTCAGTTCTGAGTTTTGCCAAATAGACTGCCAATTCTAGCATAAAAGATGGGGTCATATTTGGTATTAACGGAGATTAACGTAACAGGTGGGCACTTTTTTGGGAACATCCATTTCAAAGGTATTAAAGATTCATGAATCCAGTCATCAGTATCATCTAATACTACATTAATTCCTCCTTCTGAAAGAATTTTGCCTACTCTTGTGCCTAATTCTTTACTACCGCTGATTCCATTTCTCTTTTGCAACCCAGGCGATGGGGATTCATTCCCGGAGGTTCTTTAATGAAAATATGAACTAAATCCTCACCAGGCTTTTCCTAATGTGCCCCTAGAATCACTATGCCTTTAACATTCCTCTTTTCCGCATTCCTACCTTGCTCTTCCCAATCCTTGCTCACTACTGATTTTTCATCAAGCATCATGGTGGAACCATGCGAAACAAATATTATCGGAAATGCCTTGTCGTCTTTCATTATGTACTGAATCTTAAGTCATAAATGAATTATAAATGAATTTGTTCATATTTTCAAGTTTTTATAGATGCAAAATTCGGATTCGGAACAAGTGGCAAAATTTATCACTTGCCCTCAATTAACTATAGCTGTGGGGAAAAGCCTTTTAGAAGAAGATGGCAATAGTTTGCAAGTTCCTTAAATAGTTCTATATGAATCACTTGAGAACATGGTATTGTTGGGGAATATATGAATGATGAGTTGCACAAAATCATGAAGATGAAATGTCATACCACCTGTTTTACATTAGGATCACATGTTTTGAAATAAAGTAATTTTGTGAGTATACGAAGCTAGGAGGATGGGGAGCTAATCTTTCACCTCTATATATTGACCATTTTTTTGCTTGTTCTTAGTCAGACTTGAGATAGTTGAAGTCTAACCAATTGTGAAAAAGTGCAAACATTTATACATACATATTTTATACATCATTTTAACAATGTTCATGATATTTGAGGACGAGGTTCATTAAATGGAGGAGTATATCGATACTAGTATTAGTCTTAAGGATTAAAAGTCAGATACCTAGACATTTTTACAATTTAGGATATATAGAAATGTTGCAATTATGCTAATTAATTAAGCCGTATGAGAAACATCGAATCCGTTTGCTGTATCGCTATTTTCGTCATTTGGTGGTTCTTGGCTAGCCGCTTCTTGTATGGCAAGCTGTTGGAATGCCTTTTGCTCGAAAAGACTTTCAAAGAGTGCAGCGTAACCAAATTTAGATTTTGTTCTCAATTTAGCACCGAATTCCTTGAAAAGGAAAGGTACTGGAACCATTGCTAATGAGATGAAAGCAAACAAAGAAGTGGCCCATTCGATATGTAATTTAGGGTACATTTGTACAGTGAATAATGGAAACACTGAAACCAATAAATAGCGTAAGAGGTTATTTGCTGCTATAGCAGATGCAAGAGTAGCTGGTGGATACGACATAGAGAGTAATAAATGACAGAAAGGAAGATTAAGAACAATCCAAAACCAAAAGGTAAACCAGCCGCAATAGGAGCCATCCAATGGACAGATATCGTTCTACCTGTCCATGCCAACCAGAATAATGCTATTGGCAAACTGACAGCACCGATTTCAGCAGAAAACAATTTTGATTCAGGTGCCCTTAGGATAAGGTTGCCATTTTCATCTCTCTTGCCTCTGTTATCATCGGGGTTTCTAGGGCTGTATACTTTCTTAAAGAAATATAAATGTTAAAACAAACACAATAGGCTCAACAATCAACATCTGTAACGGTCGAAGTAAAGTGACTATGGCCGTGTTCTTCACATAAGCTTTGTCTTTTGGAGGTTTTAGTACCTCGATACCTCGTCTTTGAGCTCTTTTCGACAAAATAATGGGCATTTAGGTTTCTGGTAACAGTAAGACAAATGGAAGAATGAGTCCTGAAAGCTAAATATAGATCCACATAGTCCATTTACGTCCCTTTTTTTCAGTTGCAAAGCCGCCGACAATTGGCCCTAAGACAGGTCCTAAGAAAGGAGCTAAGGATAACATAGACAAATCAAAGCCGATATCTTGGAATGCCCTAATATCACTGATTGAACCACCAGCTACAGCCATTGCTGGAGATGCGAAACATCCACAGAAGAACCTCAAGATTAGAACAGAATAAATGTTATTGGAAAGCCCAACACCCATGGCAAATAACATTGAAATAGGCAAGGAAAAAACATAGATAAAACGGCGGCCTGAAATCTCAGATATTGGAGCAGCAATTGCTGGACCAATGGCCAAACCAAGTAAGTAGAATGTCAAACCAGAAATACAAAGCTCTGGAGAAGTTCCAAACAAATTCACCATACACCTGCAACATACAATGAACTTCCTATTGACACACACAAGCAAACTATAGCTACTGTAAAAGTCACGTACCACTTATTCCATTGAGGCCAATTATATGGGTTTTCTTTATCTTCTGATAAATCACAATTTAAATTTTCAACCGGTACTGGTTCATTCGTTTGGGCCGCTTCGCATACATTTTCCGAAACCTTAGCCAGTTCTACATCATCCTCTGATCTACTCAAATTGTGTCTTGTGTTCTCAGCATTTGATGCATCTCTTGCTTTGTCTTTGAAAGGATGGTGTCAAGGATGATATTAGAGTGTTAACTTTCTTAACTAATATCAAGAAAATTTAATT